CCTTTTCACCGCTCTACCGACAAAGCACCGAGGAGCTAAAGGCTACTAAGCAATACCTGTTGGAGCACCTCGACAAGGGCTTCATCGCCAATAGCGATAGCCCCTTTGCGTCACCTATACTATTCGTTAAGAAAGCGGATGGGAAACTGAGATTTTGTATCGACTACCGGAAGCTGAATGGCCTCACTCGTAACGACCCATATCCCATTCCGCGCATCGATGAATTGCTCGGCCGGGTGTCAAAAGCGAAGATCTTCACGAAGCTCGACATCCGACAAGCTTTCCATCGTATACGGATGCATCCCGACTCTGAAGAGTACACGACCTTTCGGACTCGTTACGGATCCTACAAATGTAAAGTGCTACCGTTTGGCCTAACCAACGGTCCCGCAACCTATCAGAGGTACATGAACGACGTTCTCATGTCGTACTTGGATGATTTCTGTACTGCCTACCTAGACGACATCCTAATATACTCCGAAGACCCTTCGGAACACGTAGATCATGTACATAAAGTCTTACAGCGACTACGAGAAGCCGGACTCCAAGCCGACATTAAGAAATGTGAGTTTGACGTTACCCGTACGAAGTACCTGGGTTACATACTGACCACTTCCGGGGTGGAAGCGGACCCTGATAAGATCGAACCACTCCGTAACTGGATCAGACCAACCACCGTCACCGGTGTAAAGTCTTACCTAGGCTTCTGTGGCTTCTACCGCCAGTTCATACGGAACTTCGGGAAAATAGCCAAGCCCCTAACCACTATCACAAGCCCCTCGGAGCCGTTCCTATGGACTGAGGAGTGTGAGAACGCTTTTGAGGAATTGCGACGACAACTCTTAACAGTCCAGGCACTTCACCACTTCGACCCCGAATTGCCTACGAAGCTGGAGACCGATTCCTCAGACGGAGTCGTCGCCGGCGTGCTATCACAGGAGCACCCGGACAAGCTCTGGTACCCAGTAAGCTTCTATAGCCACGTACTAACCGGCCACGAGATCAACTGGGAGATCCACGACAAAGAACTGTTCGCAATCGTGAAAGCGTTCGCGAAATGGAGACCCGAGTTGGCTTCGGTGACACACCGGGTGGACGTCTATACGGACCACCGATCGCTGGAATACTTCATGACCACGAAGGTTCTCACCGCGAAGCAGGTACGGTGGATGGAGCTACTCTCTGACTTCAACTTCCACATTACGTATACGGCAGGTAAGAATAACCAGAAGGCGGATATTCTAAGCCGAAGAGGCCAAGACCTCGTAATGCAGCAAAAAGTCAAGTTAGACAGTCGTGCGAGGGTGTTACTTGGCCCAGCCCGCCTACACCCCCGTATCAGTGCCGAGTTGGCCGACAGTTATGTAGCATCGATTAATGCCATCGACCCCCTGAAAACGCAGATGCCCTTCGATCTGATTGAGGCACTATGCGTAGGCAACCGGAAGTCGTTCGCCGAGACACGCGCGAAACAACCCCTACCGGATGGGTACGCCCTAGCCGACCAACTCCTCCTGTACAAAGACCGCCTATGTGTGAACCGTCACACAGAGCTTTGTACGAAACTCATCCGGGAGGCACACGACCAAGTGTCGACCGCACACCCAAGTGGCAGGAAGACCTACCAGTTGCTCGCCCCAAAGTATCATTGGGTCGGTATGGAAGTGGACTGCTCACGGTACGTACGCAATTGCATGACATGCCGCCTATCGCACACCAATGTCACGAAGCAACAGGGTTTCCTTCACCCCCTACCGGTCCCCGACTACCCTATGCAACACCTTACGATGGACTTTAAGGAGTTCCCCAGGGACAAGCACGGATACGACAGCATCCTAGTGTTCATGGACCGCCTCGGGAAGAGTTCGGTAACCATACCGTGCCACAAGACTACGGATGCACGGCAAATGGCGCAGCTATTTATCGAATGGATTTATCGATTCGGACATACCCCGGTGTCGATCATTAGTGATCGCGGACCCCAATTCGTGTCGTCCTTCTGGCACGAGTTCTGCCGGATCATCGGCGTCAAGATCAAGCTGTCGACGGCTTATCATAAGCAGACCGACGGACAGACGGAAATCATGAACCGATATATCGATCAGAGACTGCGCCCATTCGTATCCTATTACCAGGATAATTGGAGCGAGCTCATCCCTATCATGGATCGGGTCCAGATGACGCTCCCTCACGCATCGATCGGGATGACCCCGTATCGACTCAAGTACGGAACGGATCCCCGTACCAGTTGGGATTGGAACACACCAAAGGGAACCACCCCCCGAGAAACTCTGAACCAAGACGAAGCTAAGGAGGTGGCTACTCGTATGCACACCGCCTGGGAATACGCCAAAAGAAATATGGCGAAAGCGCAAGAAGAGATGTCAAGGCATGCTAATCGACGCCGAAGAGCTGTCGATTGGACAAGGTCTACCTCTCGACGAAGAATCTCAAAAATACCCGTCCTAGCCGTAAGCTAGGGCAACAATGGGTCGGACCGTATACGGTATTGGAACAGGTCGGTCACACATTCCGATTACGACTACCCACTGGGTCTCAAATACACGATGTATTCTCGCCGGACGTACTCATTAAAGCTCCGAGTAACCCCTTACCTGGGCAAGCACCACCAGAGCCTAGCAGCGAAGTCATTAACGGCCTAGAAGAATGGCAAGTGGAAAAGATCCTCGCCGTGAGACTTCGCCGCCGGCAGCTACAATACCAGGTGAGCTGGGTAGGATTTGACCCCGACCCGGAGTGGTACCCGGCAGCCAATTTCGAGAACTCTCCGCCAAGCTTCGAGAGTTCCACACGGAATACCCCAACCTACCAGGACCGCCGAAGGACTTACCCGGATGGATCACGGCATGGGAGACGGGCGGGCCAAGCTACGGTCACGGAAGGCACGGCAAAGCAGAAAAAACAGACTCGTTGCTACCCACGAATCTAAACTAAATACCCTCTGAGCCAGGGCACACTCGTCCCGGGCTCTTGCGGGAGCCACCCTTCCCAAACGTCCCACCGGCGTCGCAACAAGCGGCTACCACCATGTGAGATGAAGGGTCGAAGCGACCCCACGCGAAGAGCCCAGCCCGAGTTCCCTCCGACACAGAGTCTCATCCAATGGGCGTGGAGAACGTCCCCTCCGCCGCCTCATCCCCATCTTCCTCCCCCCTCTTTCTCTTCTGGCCGCGGGGCCCCGCCGCCACGGCCACGGACACCTTGTCCACCGCCGCCACCACCGACTTCCCCACCCCCTTCAGGGAGGACTCCAGGCCCTCCAGCAAGGAGCCCTGCCCCTCGAGGAGCGTGGCCGTATCCCTCCCCACTGCCGTCACCGCCTGGCGGACACGCTTCACAGCGTCAGTTCCAAAACAAGACATAACACAAGGGGTAGACTTACGCGCAGGCCGTCCTCGACGGCGTTGCGGAGAGCCATGCTCTCCATGTAGGCCGAAGCCTCGGCCGGAGAGCGAAACTTCGGCATATTGGCGGCCGTGAGGTTGGCCACCCGAACTGCCTCCGCGGCAGCAGCCTTCGCGGCGGCGGGATCGGGGTTGGTTGACGTTTCGGCGTCGACAATCGCCTGGTATTCGTCGGCTAGGAACCAGGCCATCTATCCCCACAAGGTCAGCCACAGAAACCAAAACACGAGGCCGTAGGCCACCCGACAACTCACCGGAACACAATTGGCCTTTTGGCCCACACAGTGGTTGCATTTGGAGCTCGAGGCGCTCCAAACACAGTCGTGGGCGGGCTCGCCCGCTCCCACCTTCGCCTTGCGGCGGACGCAGCGCATGCACAAAGTGCGGAAGGCTGCAGTAAGGGCCCCGGGAGGAGGGGGCACCGGCATCGTCGCGGAATGGGTTCCTACGGAACCGTCAGCCAAGCCACAGGAGTTATCACCCGCGCGTCGACGCGCAACCATCACCTACGCGATCGTCTGGGTATTGGTTTTGTTTCTATGAAACAATCAGTTAGTATACAATATTCGAACAGACGGGGCCACTTACTGTTCTCGGGAGGGGGTTTGTGAGCGTTGTTGTGGTAAAAGAAGCTTCGAAATGTGGGCGGAACCGGTTGCTTCATAACATCCGCTTACAACAATGAATCTCTGAGACGGATTAGCGCGCGCACAGTAACTGAGAAATTCGCGACGCTTACTGCTACCCTCGGACACCTCACGGGGTGCATTCGGACCTGCCTAAATACCCTTTATTACGATTAAAGCACCACTCCCAATTTACGCATTCAGCCATACGTTTCCCATAACAAAGACTACGGTTAGGGCCTACACTCGGACACTCCTCGGTCGCGATACTATGCCACGTGCATTGAGGACAAAGCACTTCCTTAAGGCGGGGGGTAATGTAAGGATGCCTCCTTACACGGGGTGCATTCGGACCCCTAAGGGGACGCGCAGTAGATAACATAGTAGTACAGCAACATAGGGGTTGGAGTCGGGGTCGATTCGGATTACCGACTAAGTAGTACCGAGGGTACGCTAAGCTTGATTAGAGTCGGACCCGAGACGGATATTTAAGGGGTAGGAAGCTGTAAGCTCCCCCTTTATCTTTTTTGTATCCTTCGTAGTAGACCTATAGGATAGAATACAGCATCACCTCCGACTCGCACTCCCATATGCACCTACGGAGAGCCGTATTCCCTGTGTCCTTACAGGACCCAGATACTACCTGGGTAGTATCTGCCGAACACTGGTAACAATAGAACTGAACAATTACCCATGCCTCAACTCCCCCCTCCACCCACGTCCTCGCCTCCCCATCCATAAAACCATGCGCATAAACAGCAACTGAAGCATTATAGTTGTTTTTGGTATCCATGAAAAAAAGAAAAAAAAAAAGTCTGAACAGAGGGGGATTCGAACCCCCGAATCTTTCGATACGTGAATGCACTAGGCGTTGATAACCGACCAGAAGAATTGTAAGTTCTTGAGTCACGCGCCTTAGACCGCTCGGCCATCTGTCCGATTTGATTCCAGCAACTGACACCAGCACAGATGTAATCCTTAAACGCTTATTCCTCAGCGGGATTTCCGTAAGGTTTGGTGAAACTCGATCCAGTGGATCCAATTGTAATCGCGGTTCGGCCCATTCCTGATGAGACTAGGGAGTGGGGATCAGCGTGGGATTAGGTCTTCTCCTGATCAGAACACGGAAACGTGTCTCCACCTGAGATAGTGGATACGGGTGCGATGCTCCTCCTCTCAAACAGGCGTATTAGATGCGGGGTGATCTTAAGTTATCTCCTAGAATTCTGTAAATTTTCACTCGTACTTGTTAGGGAAGAAAGATCAACCAATAAATATTGCTATAAGACGCTATTGAAGCACGGTTGCAAACCCAGATCTCCTCGTCCAGCAGCTAAAGGCGCTGATTGCGAACCTGGAAGCGTTTTCCACTCAAGGGACGGAGATTATTCAATTGAGTCGCCAAGTTGCTGTTGCGTTGGAGGGTCCCTTCGAGACATTCCAACGACTGGCATACTCGGTTTGATTTACAGTCCTGCGATCTTGCATTGACTTATGCATTCCAGGCCCTTCCCCTTGTCTCAGCCCGCATCGCACAGGAGCACAACATATTCCAAACCTTAATCGCGAACAAGGATGAGCCTACCAGCGTCACCGTCCTATCAGAGGAGACTAAGACTATCTATCGACGCAGTTCATGGTAGAGAAGGTCTCACCACAGCACTACAAGGCCACCAAGCTCTCTAACATCCTAGTTGCACCCCTTTTCATCGACGGTGTCCTTCACTTGTACTCGCGCCCTCCAAACACCAATGCTTACGTTTCTGTCCAACCCCCTGTCCTAGCCATGATAATTGCCTCCCCTCTTTCAACGCCCTAAACTATTCTCTCGCCGCACCCAACTGACCCACGAACCCCATTCGAGATCGGCCATGACAGCCCCGTTGGTTTCTACACCTATCTCGAGTCTCACCCTGTCCAGGGCGCCGCGTTCCATAGGTTTATGGAGGCTCAGTTTGCATCGCTCCCTACTTGGCTTGATGTCCTCCCGTTCGACACTGAATATGCCGCTTCCGCTACTCCCGAGACCCTAATTTTCGTTGATCTAGGCGGCGGAAATGGCCAGCAATATGTAGCGCTCCGGAAGAAGTATCCAGCTCTTCAGGGCCGCATCATCCTCCAGGACCGGCCGGCCATCCTCGAGAAGGCAATCACCCCTGACATCGTCGAGAGAATGCCGTATGACTATCTAGGTGAACAGCCAGTCAAAGGCGCGTCCTAATTTTCCTTCTCCGTCCTTTTCAGCTCGCCAGACTTTCCTCCTATCTATCCCTTCTTACCCACGTAACCCCTTTCTCCTTCATCTTTCTCTCTTCTCTTTCTCTCTCCCCTTTTCATCCCTCATCCCTGCCCCCTTCCTTTCCCACCCCCCATCCATCTAACCCACCCGTAGGCGCCCGCGCCTACTACTTCCGCCAAATCTTCCACAACAACAACGACGAGACCTGCCATAATGGCAGCGACGATACGATGGCAGTGCCATCGTATCCTCGCCGCCCTCTCTCCCTCCTCCGTTATCCTCATCGACGACAAGGTCCTCCCCGACCCGAAGCCCGCAACGGGGACCGTAGAGTACACGGCCGGCCTCAGCCTCGCTATCAAGGCCATGTTCAACGCGCTTGAGCGCCGCGAGATGCAGTGGCGGACGCTGCTGGCGGATGCAGGGCTGGATATTAGAGAGATTAAACGCTACACTGATTTTGGGGACTCGGTTATTGTGGCTTTTTGGTTGACACAGATGGGCGAAGAATATAAACCTAGAAAATACTCAGTGCTGTCAGTATTATTTTTTTGTTCTACGGCTCTAAGCCACACGTGTTTCAACCCTTTATGCAAGTTATATATAAATATGATACTTCCTATTCTTGTCCCAAGAAAAAACAGATGGAGCCGGCGCAGAAGAGCAAACGCCGTTCTTCGAGGCCAAACTCCCAGGCTATCATCCGCCCAGGAATATTTGAGCCATTTAGCCTAGCGTGGCGCTGCCCGTGATGTCAAGCACGATATTGATATTGGTACCGCAAGGAGACTCGCGGACAGTGGTGCCGTCGACTTTAAGATGGAGCTCAATGTCATCGGTAAGCGCGAACTCGTCGCGCCGAGAGGCAGACCTCTCCACCTCCATACGGTGCCACCGAGGACGGTGACGCCGTAGCAGTTCTCAATGAGAATAACATAGATCTCGGTGTCAGAAATATCGACGATGCCAATCTCAGCGCCACGAGACTCCGAGACGCAGAAGAAGCCGCGGCCACCTTTCTTGGCGACGACCTTGTCGACGTAGATGTTAGTTTCATATCCGCCGTTCAGCTTGCCGTTCTGGTTCGCGAAGCGGAGGGCAGCGTAGCCAGTACCGGCGCCGGCATTGTCGGCGTCGACGAGGCCAACCTTCGCGTTGGTCGTCATCTGGAGCAGCAGGCCGCACTCGCCGACGTCACGGGCGATGACCTCGTTGATGGTGAGGCCGTCGATGTTCCAGGTCTCGACGGCATGGCTGGTAGCGCCAGTCACGTTGATGGAGTCCATCTTCACGTTGGTGTTTGCAGCCTCGTCACGGTCGAAGCGGATTCTAATACCGCCAATGAGGTTCATGACGATTTTACCGAGCGACAGGTCGGTGGTACCGTAGAAGTGCATGGCGAAGTAGGGGGCGCCGGTTAGGCTCAGTTAGGGGATGGAGACACCCTTGGTGTTCAGCGACTCAATGCCGCCCCTCCCAGCCTTGTAGCCCAGGTCGATGGTGCAGCAGCCCTCGAAGATTTTGCCGCTGTCGATCGAGATGATGTTGGTGCCAATGGAACCCGAAGCCATCACGGCAACGCGCTCGCCGCTGGCGACGGTGCCGAGCGCAGCATTGATCGCGGCGAAGTAGTCCGTATACGCTGGAACCACCTTTGGTGGCTACATAGGCACCCGAAGAGCCTGTGACCCTGGCCTCGGGTGTACCGGCACCGCAGTCGGCGGCATTGGTGAAGGAGATCAGGGCGAGTGCTGCCGCGAGGGTGGATAATCGGGCCATGGTTGCAAATGAAGAGTCTAGTTTGGTTACCGTCTTACTTCTCTTTGTGCTCCTTCAAAGGCCGTGACGGACGCCATCTCTTTATACACGTAACTCATGTTTTTTTCACTCCTATATCAACCGACAGTGCTTCGTTGAGTAATTACGGGGTAACACAGCCCGTACGCGCTCTCGTATGCTTGACTTGTCCCCGCATTCTCCTCAATCTATGCTGACTGCCAATCCTGCCGAGAGTGCCGCTGTGTAGATGCAATGGCCGATCGTCTGCCCTTAAGTGGCGCGATATTGTGAGAACTACTACTCTTGTAATAAACGTGGCTTGGGTGAAAGCATGCGCAAGACATATATATTAAAGAAACTCACCAGGCCGATCTATCACGATGCAGCGAGACACCATGAAACGTCAGTCTCTTCCAAGGAAATAGTTCAGAGACGGAAACATGGAGGCATTATAGTGCATAAAAGAGTGATATATTAAATGGGGAAACTGTGGAAAATGGATTATCCACGTATGGGTGAAAGGTATTCAAAAGATCACCGTCATAAACCACGTAACGGTGGCCTACCGCTGGCTGTCGCGAAACGCCACCGGCATAGCGATTGTGGAGAGCCAGTATTTGGCTTCAGGTCAATTAGGATAGTTCTAGGTAGCACGGTAAATTCGGGCAACAAATTAGATTTGAATTCTTCTCGCACAGCTGCAATTGACCATTGAAGAGATTTAAATGGTCCCTTAAAGCCGGAGTCAAGGCAAACGTTTCACTATCATGATTCACATGAATATCAATTCTAAAGTAGTCGATCCACACCGCCTTTAACTGCCGGCAGTATATACAGCCGCCTGGACTCTATGTGTGAAATGGTCGTTTATGAAGCTTTGGAGCTGTGTCTGAGTCTGTATAGCTTCTAAAATGTAACTTGACATATAAAAAACTATCTACAATATGCTGATAATTCATATAGTGGACGTGTATGTGCCATTGGTCACCTATTTGCGCTAGCAGACCCATCACATGATTCCAGGTCTAATCAATCAATAAGGCATGGAGCATCCTTGTTTACGACCTTAATCTCCTCACCTTCTCCCCTATACTACACAAACAAACAAACCCTCTCAATTCTGACACCGAGACAAATAAGCTACACCCTTCTGCTCAAGCTAGCTTCTTGACCAGGCACTTGTGGGCCTGCAGCTCTAAATACGTTACGGCTTTTTGACTAGGCACTTGTGAGCCTCTAACTCTAAATACGTTGCGGCCATGTCGTCCACCTTCCAGCCAGGCTTCGCTCGGCCCCTACTACCCGCCCTCCCCGAGGGCAAGACGTCAGCGCTCGTCCGAGCCCCCGTCCCTACGCCCACCTTCCCCGATGAATCCACTCTATCCTTCACCGTCCATGCGCGCATCCACATCGCTGCTCCACCCATCATTGTCCTACGCGCCCTTCTCGACACCGGCTCCTGGCCACGTTGGAACAGCTTCATTCCCGCGGTCCAGATCTACTACGGCGGGACGCCTGTTTCCGCCCTCCCCGAATCATCGGACATCCTCGGGGTCGGTGCCGTATTCACCATGTTTGTGAACATGAGCGGCAAGTCAGAGGAGAAGCGCGAACCAGTGGAGAAGTTGAGGAAGTCGAATGAGTACTTGTCGATTGTGGAGGAGCTTGTGCCGCAGCGAGAGCAGGGGAGGAAGGGCTGGCGCATGGCTTGGGGTGCTGATGGCCATTTTATGCTGAAGGGGGATCGCGTGCAGGAGATCGTGGAGACGGAGGGGGGATGCGAGTATGTCACTTGGGAGAGCTTTGGGGGGATGATGGCTCCAGTGGTTAGGCTTGCGGTGGGAGGACAATTGATCGATAGGTTTGCGGATCAGGCGAGGGATTTGAAGGAGTGGTGTGAAGGAGATGGGGGAGAGTAATGGGTGATTGGGAGATACGTTGATGGTTGACTGTGTGCGTGGAGCCTTTATGAAATCGAGGGAATATGAAACTGCGGGTAGGAAAAGGTCTCGCGAGCTCAGGCATTAATTTCTATCAGGCCATTGCTTTTAGCACTTATGGCTTTACTCTATTGAATGAAAACCGTACTTTAAAATTCAACTCCTCAAGTTTGTTGTCCTTCTCATACGGGGCTAGACTACCCTGACAATCCTACTTCTACTCTGCTTCTATCCCGCTTTTGTTTAGGGTAGGTTGATTCGAAACGATCTGTGAGGCCTCAAAACTCCTCGAACAGATAGCTCATATCATAAGCCCCCTCGATTGAGTCTCCATCTACATCCATCGCATCCACCATCTCTTCATCCTCTCCTTCCTCCGACTCTTCAACCTCCTGCTCCCAAACTATCTCGGTCCCCCTCTCCCCCACCTCTTCTTCATCCCCACTCTCCTCATCTTCGTCGTCACCGTCAATTTCCCCCTCCAGCTCCTCACTCTCCTCCCCACCCCCCTCCTCCTCCTCCTCCATCACCGCCACACCCGCCACGCCCGCCACCTCCGCCCCCCTATCCTCCCTCCACCTCTCCGCCCACATAACCTTATTAATCGGATACCTCTCCCACAACCTCAGCGCCCTCTCCCTCGTCTCCCCACTCTCCCGCTTCCGCTTCGAGATCCGGCAGTCCCTCCCGACGAGGTGGTAGATCTGGCTGTCTGCCGCGTTGTACGCTTTGAACCAGGCGTCGGGGACCCAGCCGCGGGGGACGGGGAGGGCGTCCATTTGGAGGGGGTATTTTTTGATGGGCGCGCCGGGAATGCTGGGGTAGGCGTACACTAGAGAGGTTAGCGGGGCGAGGGCGGCGGGAAAGGGGTCGGGGGTTACTCACTAGTGAGGGAATATGTATATGTTGTCAATTTTGAAAATTCGAGGGTGGTCTTGATGCTGCTCGACTGACTGAATTTGGTGATTTGTGCGGTTGGCAAGTGAGAACGTGAGGTTTCTCATTTTGAAGAGTTTGAGAGTTTATACTCCAGGTGCTAAAAGAAAAGAGTATTCCAGGGATTCTATTGGAATCTGAATCTCTGCCTTGTGGACAATGGTGGATATGTTCTATAAAATTCCAGTTTTGTTAGACGACGCGCACTGTGTTCAATTTTGGAAGTTGAGTTATGGCCGTTGGTATTCTTGAGAAAGGGCGTTAAAGATGCGCGAGCATAAAGAGAGTTCACATTAGAAATGTTTGGCAATGAATCTCAGTAATTCAACCGACTGCATTGTCTGATAGACTTTTTGTTTCTATGGAACACTTTGTAACTCTATCGCCGTCTTTCATTTCAGCCCTTCGACTTGCCAAACGCTGGCTGAAGTCTGGTATATCCTACCGATCACCCTGTACCTTTTGAAACAAATCGTCCCTTATCAGCCACGCCCAACGCATCACTCATCTCGATAGAACTTGATCATCTGCCCATCCTATACTCTGTAGCTCCACTCGTGCTCCTCCTCGCCGTACTGTCTCCTTTCAATCCACTCCTTCATGCTCTGGGCGATCTTACCAGCCTCTTGGTCTGGCTTCAAGCCGCAATCAACAATCTTGCCCTTCCAGCTGATATTCCTTACTGGGGAAACAACAGCTGCTGTGCCAGATCCAAAAGCCTCGAGGAGCCTTCCCTCCTTTGCAGCGTCATCCAGCTCAAACATGGTGTATTGGCGCTCAACAACCTTCCATCCCTCTGGCACGAGTTTCTCCTTTGCCAAGCTCAGGATAGAGTCTCTGGTAATACCCTCCAGGATGGTACCGTCAATTGGTGCTGTGATAAGCTCCTTCTGTCCGGTCTCCTTGTTCTTCATGGCCACCCACATGTTCATGGTTCCGACCTCAGTAACATACTCCTCCTTGCCGAACAACCACAGGTTCTGGTGGAACCCGCGCTTGGCAGCCTCAAGCTGTGGCACGATGCAGGGAGCGTAGTTGGCACCCAGCTTCTTGTCACCAACACCACCTGGCCATGCGCGCACGGCGTAGTCGGTGGCTTCCAGTGAAATAGCCTTGAAACCAGTTGGATAATATGGGCCCACTGGGGATGCAATCACAAACATCAATGCGCTGCCTGGTGGGCCAACACCGAGGGTGGCCTGGGTACCGATCATTGTTGGGCGGAGGTATAGAGAGTATCCCTTTTGGTTGGGAATGAAGCGCTCGTCGAGCTTGACGAGCTTGGCAATGAGGCCAGTGAGAACCTCGGGGTCGAACGTGGGAAGAGCAATTCTAGCAGAAGATGTGTTGAAGCGGGCCATGTTCTTCTCTGGTCGGAACAGGCGGATCTCTCCAGCATCATTCTTGTATGCCTTCATTCCTTCGAAACATTCGAATGCGTAGTGGAAGACGCAGGATGACGGGTCTAGTGAAAGGTTCTGATATGGGGCAATCTTGGGCGCGTACCATCCTACACCGATTATTAGCTATACCTTGACTTATATTACAAGCAGAAGTAGCTACCTTCTTCGGCCGTCCATTCGCAGGTTAGCATATGATCCGTGAAAGTGTGTCCAAAGACAAGGTCCTTGGGTGCTATAAGCTCCTTAGGTGTAGTAGTCTTGATGATAGTGAGCTTCGATGCATCCATTTCAGCCAGCTTCGAAGTGCTGTATAGCCTAGCCGCCATCGCTGAAGAGCTTGCCCATTGCTGTGCAACGAGCCTTCTGGGCGCGAGCGCCGTCGACAATTGCCTGAGCTTCATTTTGTTGGTGAGCCAAGTCGACAGAATTTCGAGTCAATGGTCTTTGAGTCAACAATTCGCTGAATAGATTCGAGAAATAGGCTATAAAGCGGGTGTTGGCGGCTTTATATAGTCAGTATACTTCACAGTTGTCTGTCCGATTTGCGGACCCAGAGACATTGAGTCAACATGCCACCTGTGCCGTAGGTAGCCCGCTTGAGCCACCCCATGCCGAATCGGAGTGATAAGACAGGCACAAAAAGAAAACATTATCATGAAATACACCTACATAACAAGACCAATGTGGCTGAATCTGGAAATATCAAAAGAAAAAAATGTTAAATATGTCTATCTAAATGTCTCCCTCCAATGGTCCCCGAACCGCCCATGAGCAATGGTCGCGCGGCCGCCTTCCCCGCCGATTGGCCAATCAGCGTCGCTCGCTAGAAAGAGCTACCTTGGGGAACAGACGGCCCCGTTGAAGTTTCTCAAGGCTGAGATTCGGCAAGGGAATTATTCGCATCTGAACCGTCATATACCCCCCCTTTGCCTTCTCCTCATAGCGCGTACTTTTTAAACGATTTATAATTTAATATCTCAGATGGTTGAATATATTCGTTAATTTGGACGCTATGTTTTCTTCCGCTCTCAAGTCATTCTCCTCCAACATCTCCTCTAACTATGTGATCAGCTCGCAACCGTCAGGTGTCTCGGGCCCTTGGAAGATATTCGATGGCAAGAATAAGAAGACCTCGAAAGAGGTCTCTATCTTTGTCTTTGATCGCAAGGTGTTAGAATCGAACTCAGGCAGCTTGGGCAGATCCGACAGAGCCAGCGCATCGAGTCTCAAACGGTCCGTGGAAGAGGTGGTCGAACGGCTGAAGAAAGAGGCGTCATCGCTTGCGCGGCTACGACACCCCAATATACTCGAACTCGCTGAGCCAGTAGAAGACACACGATATGGTGGGCTGCAGTTTGCGACCGAACCAGTGACGATATCACTAGCGGGGTTGTTACAGGAGAAAGATGAGGAGGAGAGAGCAACAGGCGTTGGTGGGCGCTCAAGCAGATTCGTGAAAGAGGATAGCGAGGGGAATAGGAGGAGAAGAGACTTGGAAATAGACGAATTGGAAATACAAAAGGGGTTGCTACAAATCAGCAAGGCCCTTGAGTTTCTGCACGAGAATGCTGGGCTGGTCCACGGCAACTTGACTCCAGATGCTATATACATAAATGCAAAGGTATGCCCCGAATGGACAGCGTAAAGAATCTACCTAACGTGTTTCAGTCTGATTGGAAAATAAGCGGTCTCTCGTTTCTTAGCCCTGCGGACAACTCTGACAAGCCATCCTCTGTCACCCCTATATCTCTCTCAGAAGTTCTCAATTTAGACCCACGGCTGCCACGATACGTTCAATTAAATCTCGACTATGCTTCTCCGGATTTTGTTCTCGATACGAACCTTAATGTTTCCGCCGATATGTTTAGTCTGGGACTTCTCGTTGTTGCCCTCTACAACTCACCTCACGAATCGCCTCTTCATGCCAATTCAAGCGTCACAACCTACAAACGGCTCTTTGCCTCATCGGGCTCGATACCCTCCAGCAATAACAATTATATTTCATCTCGGCCAATTCCTAGAGATCTTACGACCAGTGTCCTCCCACGCTTAATCGCCCGTCGCCCTGTTCAACGCATGACAGCCCGCGAGTTCCAACAATCATCGTACTTCGACAACATCCTTGTCTCCACAATTCGTTTCCTGGATGCCTTACCGGCGAAGACGCCGACCGAAAAGGCTGCATTCATGCGCGGCCTTACGAAGGTGATCCCGAGCTTCCCCAAAAGCGTGTTGGAGAAGAAGGTTTTGCTAGTTCTGCTGGAGGAAATGAAGGACAAGCAACTTTTGAGTCTGGTATTGCAGAATGCATTCAAAATTATTGAACTTTTGCCTAGTGCTAAACGGTCCTTTACCGAGAAAATGCTGCCTCGCCTGAGAGAGATTTTCTTGAGCGGTGCCAAGCCTGCCGCTTCTGGGACCGCAGGAGCCCCTGAACGTGATACTGGGAAAGAGGCGGGTCTGACCGTATTACTGCAAAATATCAATATTATCACCTCCAATTGCTCGGGAAAGAACTTCAAAGACGGTTAGTAACAGTTGGACTATGGCAGTGGAGCTTATCGCTGACAAATTACAGAAATACTACCGATAATACACCTGGCAATAGAGTCACCTACCCACTCTATCGTAGACGCGGCCCTACGAAGTCTTCCGGTGATAGTCCCTGTGCTTGATTTTAGCACAATAAAAAACGAGCTGTTTCCAGTCGTCGCGGCGGTATTCAGCAAAACTTCGAGCCTGGGTATCAAGGTCAGGGGTCTTGAAGCTTTCGTTGTTTTATGTGGCGGCACAACAGACTCTATTGCCTCCTCTGCTGATGATGGCCTGTCCGGATTCGCGCCGCAAAATGGCAAGAAGAAAGAGAAATCTGCCATCAGCGCCCTAGACAAGTACACCATGCAAGAAAATATCATTCCTCTCATCCGTGGGATCAAGACCAAAGAGCCTGCTGTTATGCTCGCAGCTCTCAAAGTTCTACAACAGGTTAGTTCTGAGGCAGACACGGAATTTATCGCTATGGATATCCTGCCTATTTTGTGGAACATGAGTTTTGGCCCGTTACTGGATCTCAGGCAATTCCAAGCCTTCATGGACTTGATTAAGAGTCTAAGCACCAAGGTAGAACAGGAACATACGAATAAGCTCCAGGAACTTTTGGGCAGCAATTCCGGTATGAAGAATACTGCAGGTAACGATGATTTCATGTCCTTCGGCGACCTCCCAGCAGCATTCTCATCAAATGCAAACGGCGGCGAAGACGACGACTTCGAGCGTCTCGTGACCGGAAAGTACACTACTAGCACAACCGCGAGCAATGCAGTAGCGGATGGCGGCTGGGACGCAGCTCCCAACGCTCCCGCAAAGCCTGCTCCTCCAGCTGCTCCCACATTCTCATGGTCGACCACCCCCTCCCCATCCCCTGGCCCATCATCCCCGGGTATTGGCTCTATGTCCGCGGCCACGAGGCCACAAGCTCCATCTCGAACCATCACTCCCGACCTCTCGCGCTTCGACTCCCTCCAGCCATCAACAACACAGTTCTCCCAACCTCTCCAGCCTGTTTCCTCAGTCTTCATCCAGCCACCAGCAACCCAAGCGTCGGTCAACTGGCAAACGGCCGCGGCCCCCAGCAGCAGCAATATATGGGCCTCCTCAAGCCCAACGTCAACAAATTCATCATTTGCACCTATGGTCCCCGCGCAACAACAACGGCAGACGTCGTTTCCGGGAACAACACCTAGTATGAGCACCTCCATGGGCAATCTTTCTATGTCTCAGCAGCAAAAGCCAATAACCCCCTTTTCCCTTCCTCCGCCGCCAACCTGGTCACAACAGCCCCAGCAGCCGATGCAACAGCAGGGCTGGGGCGCGTTTAGCTCTGCACCACCACAAGGACAGGGAGGCTCGCAAGGTCAAGGTGGGCAGCAGCCTGGGCAGAAGAAGGGGTTAGATGCTTTTGAGAGCTTGTTATAAAAATAGGTTATGATGGTATTTATTTTGGTAGATATAACTTAGGGGATTTAGATAAATATGGGGTTAGCGTGATGCATTGTCTTTGAGCGGCAAAAAAAGGCGCTGAAGTTTGGCAGCGTGCTTCGGTCGGTAGTCGAATTCGAGGACACTTTATGACAGATTCGGGAAATGTGATCATGTTTGGTGGGGATTGAAAATGGTGTTCGGTTGTGCCTACTCTCTTCTCTATCGACTGCCCGAGAGGGATCGGTCTGGGATTGTCCCCATCGCAAATGCAACGCCTCAATGGCAATTAATTGCCATTTGCAAGCTCCACGATTATGTATTGACTTTCTTACTTCTTCAATGATCAAGACTCTATTTTGATTTCACCTGGGTGGAAATATACAGTGAGCAGATTTCTATTTTCTATATTTTGCAAGATCGCTCTTCCGCTTTTTTACTTTGATGAACGATTGCGACCTATTTCTTGACTTCACTTTTTTTCAAGCTCCGAGGTTTGGTCATCAGCTTCGTGATTACTGCAGATGATCCCATCCCACCTCTCCTACTTCTTGCTCGTATTCTTTATAATACCCAAATACACTTCTACGGTTTTGATCTTCACTCAATTCATCAAGTGAATACTTATATATAGGGCTCTTGAAGACCAGAAACGAAGCCCTGCACGCTTGGTGAGCTTTTGTGCTTCTGAGGCTTTTCCTAACTGGCAGCAGCACGCAGAAGTGTCAGGGCTTGTGAATTTAACCGCGAACACTCGAATTCAATGTAAGTTATTTCTTTACTTGTCAATTGGTTTGCCACTTGATATTTTATATATTCAGCAACTTCTCGTTATTTCATTTACAATTCATACCTGGTTTAACAAGATCAGCTGGATATATTCCATAATCGTGGGGTGGTCTTTCAGGAGGGCAGCAAAGTTGAAAACATCCCCGGTTGGAACCCGCTGTCGGGTCGGCCACTGCCACTTTCAGTCCAAGTTCTTCGTGGTTTGGCGGAACGTAGTATAGTCCGTGGTTCTGAGGGACTGAGCTCATATTGAACTGTTTGCAGGCAGCCCTGTAAATCTTTTTGAGTTCCTTCGGGTCTCTCGGATTTTCGGAGTCTCGGAGCATCTTCCTCCAGTCCTGTAACGCATCACGAGTATCATGCACATGGAAGGTGAGAGATCTGGGCACTTATAACTCGTTTGGGCCTCTTTACAAAGCAGTTTGGGCCGTATTTCTCTAAGGCGATCTCACGTTCCTCACTGTGTCTAAGATTTTCTGCTCTCAAAAAATGCTATTAAATCAGAGGAAGACTCTGATGATGACGGCTTCGAGTTCATTCACTCTGCAAAGCCCTCGCCACTCAAGATTGAAGACGAGATGAGCTTACATTCATCGGGTCTAACAAGAGACCTGAAGTTGAATTCATCCGCTCCGTCAAGCGTCCGCAAACGATCGATTTGAGCCAGCTGCCGGACATGGAAGATCCAGACAGTGTGTTCCCGTCCATGGAGGAAGGTGGTTTGAAGGAAGAAGTCAAGTCTGAAGATCCAACTGGAGCTGAAGGCATGGAGAGCGTCCCCGTCTTCGAGGGACAAGCTGGGCCACAACAACCTGAGGCGCGCTCGCCATTCGGCCCACTTTCTCCAAGGAGAGGTCAGACAGAACTGTCTTCTCTGTTCGTCCGACAGAGCACAACTTCACGCCGCTCTTTCTCGAGCCGCGTCTTCGGATACTTTGGAACCCCAAGCTCGGAGAGAAAGCGAAGCATTGAAGATGAAGACGATGACGATGACGATGACGTTGTGGCCCGTCCAAACCTTAGACGTCGATTGTCGTCTATCGAAGCCGACGAAGATTAGATGGAAGAGTGAAACATATTTATGAATTTACGACGTGGTCAATTGAGGAGGAAATCATACTCTATGAAAACGTGGATATTTGACGGCGGCGATTCGGGAGATGGGAAGGAAGAACAAATATATATTTTATGGGGTTTATGAACATTCGGATCACAATACTTTTTATGATACCTTGCGATGGAATGGGAAGAGAGAGAAGATTTGCAGTTGAAAGCAGAAGCATTTGCGGAGTTATGGCCTCGAAGAAAGAGCTAGGCAAGAGTGTGGACACTGATAACTGGTCCCTCTCAGGAGCTCAAAATATAAATAGCCATTTTGAAGTTATAATAAATCAATTTAACTTCATCTCTGGTTATGAAAGTGAAGTTGATATGTTCGGTTTAATTGTGGCATATACGGGGCAACCTTGGCCAACTATGTACATAGTATTAAAGCTTAAAAACCCCGCGGCTCCACTAGCGCCAATTGTGCCAATTGTGGGTGATGACGTCAATGTTACTGTTGTGAGGATTTTGAACTTGGATGAACACCACCTCAAGAGAATAATGTGGAAGCTTCAAAATAGTGACGGTTTTACAAAATAGGCCTTCACTGAAAAGATAAATGGTATTACCTGGGACGGTCATCAGGTCGTCCAATATAATAAAGCGGCGCGATGGTTGAGCTTCCTACCATAGCACTAGCACAAGCATCGACATTACGGTTTCTTAAAAAATGCGTGCTGAGGCTCAGAGTTTGGAGCTTCGACTAGCTCAGCTTTCGGCTACTAAAATACGCTATAGGTACACCGTTTTCAGGAGCAAGGTCCCTGAAAATGGTAGTCCCTATATGTGGGCCTGGCCATTGCAATGACGGCATGACTCTAAAGTTACCCTGATGCAACGATGCAAGCTACAAATATGAGTAGCTCCCCCCTTCTGAGCACAGTCTATACACAGTGAAGCTTCATTTTAATTCAATTGAGCTGTGTTTGCAAGATTCCGATATTCTCACCGCATAATATCATACTTCCCGCATTTTATCACATCTTACAATCATGATGGCTTCAAGAACTGCCATTAGGTCGGCACGTGTGCTGAAAGCACCAGCAAGGGCCCCAATTTGCTCCAATGCCCGCCAAATCAGACTACAATCGACTTTGACGCCACAACAATCCTCGCAAGTGGCATCGAACGTCGGGGGTGGTGCTGGCAGTGGAGTCGTTGCCGGAATCGCAGGCGGCGCCCTTGTCTTTTCTCTCGGATACGGATACTACCATTACAGTGGCGCAAAGACCATTGTCGATGGCGCCGCAGCAACCAAGAGGCAGTTCCGAAACATCACATCCTCCATGAAAGACTCGGCTCCTGAGCCGAACGAGTTATTAAAATGGTTCCGTAGCACCGTTACCTCATACGCCGCGTTTATCCCCGGGGCCAAGTCCTACGTTGACGCGGCTTTCAACGATCTCGATAAAATTGAGCAGAAGCACCGCGGCAAGGTCGACGAGATTATCCGCGATGCTTACTCCGATATGAGGGAAGCAACCAAGGGCGGGTTGACCATCGAGACCGCGCACAAGACCTGGGAAATCCTCCAGAAGCACCTCAGCAAGGTGACTGAGCTTGCCAGCGAAGCATCGGGCGAGATCTTGGATAACCACCCTCACCTCAAGGAGAAGGTTGGCGGCAGCATCGATCAGCTAAAGCAAATGGCCGACTCTTACGGACCGGAAGCTAAGGAGCAGGTGAACAAGACATACGATCAGATTAAGGATATTCTCAAGAATAGTAGCGGCACAGACGCGGCGGACAAGATCCGCAAGGTTGTTGAGGAGAACATTGAGAAGCTCAAGGGAATGGGCGACCAGGCGTGGAAGAAGGGCCTTGAGAAGGCACAGCCTTACCTTGATAAGAACCCCGAGATCAAGAAGGTCATTGAGGAGAACTCGGATGCGCTTAAGCAGGCGAACTTCTCGGAGCTGTTTGAGAAGATCAAGAACGGCGATGTTAGCGATCTGAAGGAGTATGCGAAGAAGGCTGGTGAGAAGGTGAATAGCCCGGGCGTGGGGAAGAACATTCAGGAGTATATCAACTTGATTCCTGGCGGTCAAGAGATCGTGCCGAAGTTGCACAAGCTACATGAGGCGGTGAAGAAGCATGGTGGAGAGGCGGACAAGATTGCCAAGGAGGCGTATAAGGAGATTGCAGAGATCCTGTCGAAGAAGGCTGATGAGGTTGAGGATCTTGCGAGTAAGGCAGCGAATGATGCTAAGAAGTAAGGGGTTGGTGTTTAGTCCCTGGAGTTGGCACGCGGAGGATGGGGAGGATAAATGACTGTAGATAATATTCGCATAGTCTCGGAGTCCTGGATATTCAAATGTTCAAATATTCACGTTCAATGGCTCTTCATGAATTACAGAACTCATTGCTAAAGCTTCTTGTCTGGGCTTGTCAACTCTCGTGATCGTATTATAACATGTGAGAGACTGAAGATATCATAAATGCTAGTGTGGCCCAACGCAACGGCTTCACATGGACTGCCAGAAGCACCTAAAATGAAAGCATAGAACAACTATGCATGAAAGTAAAGAACATTAATCACTATAGGCTGTATTTTTTTTAAAAAAAAAAATACTAATACATATAATTCAACAGGGCGGGACGGGGTAATTATAGCACTGGCGGAGGCTTTTCGGCCTAGAGTATCAGGGTTTGCGTGGTTTTTGACCATGGATGTTTCGTATGACGAACTCGCAACTCACATCAGAATTGATATTCAGGAGGTCCCTTGGGATTCAACTAGCAAGGTCTGTGTACGTTCTGTAAGTCAGTCGACAATGCGCTTCGAGTGACTTCGTCATCTAGGGCTCCTCGAAACACATCCCACGTCTTCCCGAGACAAGACTCATCGCCCAGTATGAATTCAAGGCTAGATCTTTCCAGTCCTCTCTCGAACAACAAATAATCAAATAACAAAATCCCAATCTTCTTAAATAAAATAATTCCCAATACTCCAAACCCATTAACCCACAGCCTACACCAACTCTGGTCCCCCAGTCCGCAACCCCCTTGGCCGCCCCCAGCCCGACCCAAAAAGCACCGACCACATCGCAAGCGACAACAACAAATCCCCCAAAACACCCACCCTCCGTTTGCCCACCCTCCCTCCCAGAAACCTCACAACAACACCGTCCCGCAACACCTTCCACATCCCCAAACCCGCTCATCACAGTCGCCTCATCTGCGCGATCCTCACCGCAAAATCTCCACGTCCCCAGTCCCATCAATCCCGTGAGTCCCCCTCCCCGCTGGGGGCGCCGATCTACGCGCTGGCGTTATCACCGCTGCGCCCTGCCTCCAACACCCACCACAACACCTTCCACAACACCTTCCACAACACCTTCCACAACAGCTCCCCCAACCCCACCTCCTCCTCTCTTCCACACCCCAGAGCAACCGAAACTAACACACCCACCCAGATCTCCAAAAATGGCCCGCGAAACCCGCGCCGCGACCGGCAACTCGCGCCCGCGCATCTTCGAGGCCCCTCCCTCGCCCGTCGCGCCGCGCAAGCGCGCTGCGCCCAAGCCGAAAGCCAATACGACTGCGAAGCGCGCGCCTAAGAAGGCTGCTGCCGCGGGGAGCAAACCGGTGGGTGTGAAGAAGTCGGCGGCGGCGCCGAAGGCAGGGGCAGCTGCAGCTGTTAAGGCGAAGGTGGAGAAGGTGAAGAAGGTTGTGGAGAAGAAGGTTAGTTGGGTGGTGATTTTTTTATTATTTCTGTTTTCATATGCGGGGTTTCCTTTAGTTTTGTATCTATTTATGTGTTTGCGTATCATTGGGAATTGGGAGGAGACGAAGGGTTTCTTTGTGATCGATGATGGCGTGTGAGAAGGGTGCTGGATCGATCATACTTACCATATACCTCCCTCTACCCACACTAACACACCCACCCCACAGGCTGCACCAGCCAAGAAGGAAAAGGCCCCAGCGGCACCCAAGACCGTCGTCGCGAAGAAGTAGACGCGTCTCTACCCGCCTCATGGACACCGCACCGCCATCACATACAAGAAAACGGAAGGCGGACCGAGGTTATATAAGGGTTGGAATGGGTTATCCCACTTCATCTTCCGTCTAAATGACTTGTCTATATCTGGCTCTCTCTCTGTCCTTTTTATATTTTCCTTTTTGTGCTTTTTCGGAGCCGGGTTATGGGCCTATATCTCGCTTTTCATGTGCTCCTCTTTCGATGTTTTCTATTAAGGTTTGGGCTGAGGGAGCGACTTATCAGGGTTTTTTATGGGGAGGAGCGTTCGAGCAATCGGGTTATAGTAACGTTTATTGCGATTTGCTAGATTTGGTTTAATTATACCTGTCTAATACGTCCCATGAGGCCTGCTGCTCATCGCGCTACTTACTATACTGTAACACCTTACCACCACCAATTGGTATGCATCCACCCCTACTCTAATCAACCTGCGAATACCCAATATCCCCACTCACCCTCCCCAACTCCACAAGCCTCTTCCTCATCCCCTCCGCCACCTCCCTATCCTTCCCCTCCATAGCCCCAAAATCAACCTGATCAACCCACTCCCCACACCCATGCTGCAGCACATTCCTCGCCCTATCCCTCCCCCCCTTCACATGTCCCATACTCCCATGCAGCGTTGCCCTCGCCTTCCCCGCATCATACACACCGCGATGTAGGATATTATTATTATAAAACACCGCGTCACCTGCCTTCAACTGCACTACCAGCTGCCCGGGCATGTTATCCTCGTACTCATCTGCGCTCCTCTCTGCGTCTGTCCGCGGCCTGGCGTGCGTTCCCGGAACCACGATCAGCGATGCGTCGTCATAAAGCGCCAGGTTCCACTGCGCGTGCCACGCCGGTTTGGCCAAGCGCTCCGTCTCCTCCTCTGCCGTGGCAGTAGGCGCGATGTCATCCCTATGCCAGCGCAGCGCAAAGGGGTGATCAGGGCGCACGAGGAGGTTATACAGCTCCATGACCAGATCATCAGTAGAGCACTGTAAGAGCTCCGTCACGACGGCCAAAGTGCGCTGACTAAAATACGAGGAGGTGAAGAGAGCGGAGGGCGGGAGTTCGGGGTGCATTAGGTGCTGCACGCCCCAGATGCCTTTGTCGAGGTCGGCGGCGGACCAGGGGGGGAATTGCTTGGGGAGAGTGCGGATGTAGGGCCAGTTGCCGGCGCGGGCCTGGGCGTCGACGGAGGTGGTGGCGGTGCGCAGGGTGGTGAGAGCTTCGGGGGTGAGGAGGGAGGGGATCACGACGAAGCCGTCTTTGTTGAGGCGGTCGAGGAGTGGGTGGGGGGAGCCGGTTTGGGCCGACATTTTGAGGGCTGGTGGGGGGGTCCTGGGGGTGGTTTTGCTGAGGGAGGAATAGAGTTTATAACATGGGTTTGGCTTGAAGATATAAGGCTGAGAAGGCTGGAGGGGCGAGGCTCAAGGTGCCGTAGTTGGGAGATGTAACGTAGCAATCGTGCTGTGGAGAAGGTTAGCCCGAGCCTTAGAGGCAGAGGGGAAGGTGGGATGAGGGGTCCATGGCTCTCAGGGGGCCTCGGATCTCGTTAGTAGGTGACGTTGTGTGATCTCTGTGGGTAGTTCTGGTCGTATTTGTGTGGAGGTTTTGATGGGCATGTCACAGCAGGGCGAGGTTGTGGTAATGTTGCATAAAATGAGGTTGCGATAGAGGAAGTGGGGTTGGTTGTGATAAGTTTGCTCAGGACCGAAAATGCGGGGATGATGCGGGACGAACGCAACTTGGGATCGGAGTGCTCGTGCCGGCTAAAGGTCGGAGGGGAATTGATCTTGAAGTTAAAGTTGATATGTCTCTTTGATTCTATTTCTTGACCATGTCCGATCCTTTTGCAACTAGCCATCCCTATGCCAGCGCAGCAATATAACTTCTCACCACCGTCATCTCTCACCACCACCATTTCTCACCACCGTACGTACTTACGCCGAAACAGGAACCAGTAACACGACGAGTTTATGGCATATGCTCTTGAAAGTTTTAAACGGTGGGATAGGAAGGACGGTTGGGAATTTTCGGATAAGAAAGAGAGCATTAATTGCGAGTACAGGGCCGCCAACACCGAAGAAGAGAGCTCCTATTGAGTGCCCGAAGACGACACTAAAAAGTTACGAGCGCGGCAGGATCAGACTGTCTTTGGGTCTCTCGGAACAGAGCCAGGGGCGGCAAGTATGCGAGAAAGCAAAAAGAAAAAAAATGAGCGGCGCTACAAAACCCCTTTCTTTCTCTCGTGATCCTCTAGTGCTACCTCTACCACCTCAGCCGCCTCCATGGTCTTATGGGGTTGCTGCTGACGATGCGGGGTGGGCGTGATTTTGGTCGGAATGGTCATGCTACCAAAAGTTGGAGTATTGATACTGAAATTGAAGCTAATGGAATTATATTCCTTGGAAGCTGACTCCTTGGAAGCCGACTCCTTAGAAGCCGACTCCTTAGAAGCCGACTCCTTGAAAAGCTATTATATGCCTGTCGTATCGTCATACGGCCCCATACTGAACATAATTCCTTTCTAAAGGTTGAAAAGCACATCCAACGTCTCTAGCCGGGCGATCAATGCTCTAGACGAATTGAACAGGCAACGGGGTATTTAAACAGCGACGGCGCCCAGCCAACAACCGCTCCTCACCCAATTCACTCGGTTCCAGGCGTAGATCCCACGGAACATCTTTACCGTACAACAAACAATCAGATCAAATGTTCGCCGTTTGTATAGACTGCTATATACAGTGGTGAACCAGCACGTACGATGCTCGTACGTGCTCACCACCGCCACCTCCCCCCACCAAATTTACTTCGCAAAGCGACGTCTGCATCAAACCACCAAATCCCAACCCAATAGTGGAGTTAGGTGGTTTTCGTGGTGTTTTAGAGTCAAGAGCTTCGAACCGCCAGCATCAGTATCACTTCCGTCGAGAAAGATCAGGTGAAATTCGACGCATATACATTACACTATATCCCCTACCTACCCCCCCAATCCATCCTTCCCCACCCCATGTATGCCCCCCAAGTAAAAAAAAAAATATTATATACGTACTACCTATCATTGTAGTTGGTATGTATGCGCGAAAAAATCATGTCGTATGCTCATCAAATGTCCGGCCTCAGCTGCCTTCCATCCTTTCCATTCGTAATCCATACAGAAAAACAAAATCCAAAAAAACGCCGGTATACGAATATGACAAAAAGAGGTGCTGTGCTGTAGTGCCTTTGTATATGCAGCAGCCTGGGTTTCTCCAAATCCGAGATTTGACCCCCACCTCAAACCTCCCCCTCCTTCCTCGATCTAACTCCACCCCCTCCTCCTCCCCTTCCCCTTCGGCTCACTCTCACTCATCACCGACCCCGGCCTCTCCCCCCAATTCCCCACCTTACCCCCCTTCTAATAAACCCCATTAGCACTCACACTCCTCCTCCCCCCCTCGACACTCAACCTCCCCTCCTTCCTCGCCTTCAACGCCATCTCCGCCAGCTCCGCCGGACTCGGCCCCCTCCACTGCGGCGCCATAGACGGCAAACTTATCCCCACCGGCGTCGTGAACCCCGCGCTCTTCGCCGACAGGACGGCGGGGATCTCGCCAGAGGATCCGACGGGGCCCATAGGCATGGGACGCTTGGGAATGTCGATTTGTTGCCCGTCTTTCGATGAGCTGGAAGACGAGGACTCGCTCCAGAAACCGAGGATGCCGTGCTTACGGTTCCGTCCGTTCATCAGCGAGGGTGGAGGGCCGATTTTCTCGCGCTTACCTTTCATCAACGGACTCTGCCTCGCCGCTAGCACCATCAGCGACGGGACAGGCGGCGCCATGCGAGTCACCAGCACCTCTCTCCTCTCAGCCTCTTGGGCCCGCTCGGCGGCGCGTACCTGGCTGCGGGCGCGCGCGAAGTTGGAGGCGGATTCTTCGTCCATGCCGATGAGGCGGCCGGTGCGGTCGCGGCGGGGATGGTTGCCGCTAGGTGGGGCCCTGGCTGGTGCGGCTGGCGCTGGGGAGATGGCAGAGGCGCCAGCGTTGTAGGGACTCTTCCCGAGGGAGCTGGTGATGGTGCTTGCGTTTGTCATGTGGCGCTCGAGGTCGGCGCGGGGGGCTTTGTTGGTGCTTTTTGGTGGGGGGGACGAGAGGGGTCTGGGTGATTTTGTGGGGGGGGTGGGTGTTGGTGCGGGGGCGTAGTAGGACGGGGCAGCTGTTACGAGTCGGATTCCTGGCATAGCGGGAGAGGACTGGCGGCGGATTGAGCGCTGGACTTCCTCTTTTGTTGGAGGGGCGGCGGGTTTTGATTCCGCTTCCGTGGGCTCGACGGTGTCGGGCATTGTTGTTGTATGTTTCAATCCGGAGGAGAACCTGCTTGCGCGCTCTTTGAACGTGAGAGAAAGTCGTTTTGGCACGGGCGGGACTTTTGTCTTCTCCAGCTCGTCAACCTTTTGCACCATGATGGGAACTTCGGAGCTCAACTGGGTGCTGTGTCTCTGCCACTTCTTCTTGACGGGGGTAATCGCGTCTTCGGAATTAGCACGGCCTTGAGCTGCTAGCGAATTTGGGCGAGCTCGAGACGACTTTTGTAAAACTTTGCCTGGAGACCGGTGCTTGGGAGATGTAGGTGCGGATTTGCTGGTAGATTTGGCAAGCTCAGCTTCTGGTTGGGACTCCAATGAAGCATCCACGTGGGCAACCGTCGTTGGGATCGGGGGCCGCGGCATCTGACTTCGTTGGGGCTCAGATGGAGCTGCTTCCACCGGCGGTGGCACTATTGGTTCTGCACGAGATTCTCCAGCCAACTCGCTCGGAGCATGCTGCGTCCTCCAATAGTCCGTTTTGGGGACTCTAGGTTTAGAAGACACCTCAAATTCAGCTGGTCGAGCTACCTGATAACCATCAAGTTCAGTAGGAGACTCCGAGGCATTCCTCAGTTTCGACAGTGACCCGGATGGCTGCACCGATGCCAGGGAAGTATAAGAGTTATACCCACTATCGGGGACAGCCAACGGTTCAAGACGTGCGTGCGTCGAGGTATACATTGTTTGCGCAGGACGGCGTTGCGGCATGGTTTCGACAGCAGGAAAGTACAGCTCGTCGTCTTGCCTTCTCGGGGGTTCAGAAATAGGGCTGCGCCGATCGGGCACTCCAAGCTCCGACTTGGCGTCCTCAAATACTTCAAGATGTGACCTAGCGTCCTCAAATAGTTCGTATTCCTCAGATGTGCGTTTAGATGAAGTTTCCAATCTAGGGGTCGACGGCATTGATAAATCAGCAGTGAACAAGCTGGGAAGGAAATCAATATCCAGTCGGTAGAACTCAGCAAGCTCGCTAGCACCGCCGGGTATCTGCGGTGCCGTTTCTAGACGCTGCGACGACGCTCTGCTGATTGCCAGGACGTCTGAGTAGGCTGATTGCTTTGTTGCCGTGCTTGGGTTTCTGGAGAGCGGGTCAACGGTGAGTTGGTCTGCAAGGTTGACTGTGATTTCTGGCTCCCTGGGTTGTTTGACTTCATGCGTCTTCCCTTGTTCCCACGGATGCCGTGCCAAGCTAGCGAGGCTCATTGCTGTCGTCCGTAGAGAGACATCGTCTGCTTCACTATCTGCAGGTAGTGCCCTTCGCGCCTTTGGTGTGTTTGCCGCATTTGGTGTCGCGACACCATTCATGATCCTAAGGCTACCCAGCTCAAAGCTACCAATATGCCTCAAATCCGTTGGCGTGCTCATCCTCTGCGTGCTTGTGATGTCTTCTCTAAACCGCCGTTTCTGGAGCGGTGCCAACATCTCCAGGTCCTCTACGGGGCTTTCGCTTGCCTTAGCCTGGTCGTAGTAACTATATATTTCCTCCTCACTAGGCAGTGTTTTTGACCTTTCGAAATGGTGGGTGAATGTCTGGCTGTATTCCGGTTCAGCTGCTGGTTGTCTCCGTGCCTTCGGATTTTGCTTCTGCAGCCGCGAAGAACGTGACCCTTTGCTGGCCTCGCCCATTCTCGTTGCAACGCCGGGCGTGAGGTGGGAGCGGCGGCGAGCTGAGTGGGAGGTATAGTTTTCTGGTTGAATGTGCACTTGTTCTGTTGAGCTCATGCGGGCGGATCGAGCGGGAGATGTGCCCGATCTCATCGAGTAGCGGTTAGATGCATTTGAGTCTCTCGAGTCGACACTTGCATTTCTCGTCAGGATAGCTTCTGTTTCGGCAAGGTGCTGGCGGCGCAGGGTATCATTTATTTGAACAGCGGATGATGTTTCGGCAACAAGGGAGAGTCGAGCTTGTTGGTATCTTATATAGCTTGGGGATCTGTGCAAATCCGGTGTGCTGGATCAGGGGTTAGCTTTCTGCATATCGATGTTCTGTATACCGTTGTGCGGCTGAATGAAGCGTTTGAATAAACTTACCTGTCAGTTACTGAGCATTGACTATCCGTAGGCAGATCCTGAGCATAACCTGCAAGCCCCAGCTGCGAATATCTACGCAGCGGATCCGAATTATCCAACGCCTCAACTCCACCATTGTCGTCTAAGATCCATTTATCCTCTGGCCTACCCTGGAGCACTATCGACCCAGGCGTGCTCGATTTGCTTCGAAACAAGCTGCTCAGCCTCGACGCCCTCTTATCCCTCTCTTGCTGCCTCCCACGATCCAATCCAGAATCTCCTCCCACATCTTCTGTGAATGGAAGGTCTACATCAGATCTCGCAGGAACACTGCTCGATCTTCTCTTCCCCCTCGCATGAACACCCGCTAGCGAGCTCTTCCTCGAAACCCCGCCTCCAGGCACATCCAGCAGATTATTCGCTGACGTATTCGTCCTGGGCTTCGATAATTTGTTCGGTTTTTTCGACTTAGTCCGCGGCTTCGCATTCTTTCGTTTTGGCTCAGCCGGCATCTCCTGGGCCGTCTTCCCGCCGAAGATAGATGATATGAGACCCATCTGTGGGGATTGGGGGGGTCAACGAGAGTATAGGTCAAAACCAAGAGATCATTGCAACGCCATCGATATTTCTTTCTTCGAGCTCGACTTCGCCTGTCGGTGGTAGGTAGTGGAGGTCTTAAGGGTGGCAATGACGTGTGGGGGAGGCGACGGATCCGGCAGTAGTTGTTTTAGCTGAAGAGCCAATCCTCATGCAATGCAGTGCTCATATGCTCTGTATACGTAAAGGTATGCGCTGGGTCAGACAGCGAGGAAAGCACGAGGGGTCACCCAGCATAAAGAGGTCTTGGGTGGCAGATCACGGCAGGGAATCCATGACCGTTGGGGGGGTTGGGGGGTTGGGGGGGGGGTTGGGGTGGGGGGGGCGTGGTGTGGGCTCTGTGGACAAAATCAAAAAATGTCTTAGATGTACTCCGTAAACAGAAGCGTATCTCCGTATTGACTATGGCACAGTATGCGTAGTCCGACTAGAGCGTTTTTATATTCCGCAAGCCCCTAAAGCGCAGGTACCTCGTTACCTGCGTGGGTACATTAAAAGTGGGACCATTTACGCAAGAACTATGCGGGGTTACGCAGGAATCCCGCCTAGTTGGTGAAGTACCTACAGAGTACAGAGTACAGTACGAGTACCTTGTCTAGCTGAGGTACGAGTAGTGGAGTCAACTAACGCGGGTACCGGCCACTTAATGTTCCGTGCGCCAGGCGCGGATAGAAGTCCGGCATCGCATAGGGAAGTTATGTGAAGCCGGACTTGTATCCGCGCCTGGCGCATCCCTTAGGGAAGATGAGGATGACATAACATTGCTCATTGCTGACCCAAAAACCATAATCTCAATATACTCAATGTGGAGTAGAAACCGCAGAAACTTGTACACTCATTGTCGTCAAAAGCGTACCGACTCTCCTGTTGTGCTATCCTGCACTATCTGCACTATTGCACTATCTGCACTATCTGCACTATCTGCACTATCTGCACTATCTGTAACTATCTGCACCCAAACTCCGATGCATGTATCCTGCCCTATGGCATCCCCACCTTCCACTTCTCCCATGAATCGCCTGGGAAAGACTTCATCTCCCTTTGGACTCGCTCTTCGGCTCGCCGGATGCCTTGGTCTCAGATGCTCACCGGGTCGACCCTGTCCTTCCATGGTGCCCAACTGATAGGAGAAGAATCAAGACTTACTGGCACCAGCAAGACTCTAAATTTAAGCAACGCCCGTCATGGGGACCACCCGTGCTACAGCGTTTGAGACCCCTTCTCCATTCGACTGCGGCCGGGAATCCCTTCGTTTTCTGCGGCGACTCTAGTGCTTCCCACAACTTCTCGTAGACCCTCGCTGCTACGAGAACTACCAGTATCACATCGCACCAGTGCTACTGGACAGCGAGTATGTAGGACTCCAGTCCCCCCCTCCCACACAGCCCCTCCTCCCTATTGCAGAGATAGTCACGACTCGTTGATGTGGCCTCCAGCGAAGAGCACTAGTATAAATATAGGGCAGATGTTCTTTATAAAGTCCTCTCGAAGTTGGCAACGACGGCGGTGGAAGTTGGCTATCCGTTGTCGCACGCTTTTGACGTGGCGGTTGGTGGGACAAAGGCTTGCTTGGATACTGACCGAGGAATACAAAAGCCGGCACTGCATGGCTGTAGAATATGCACATAAGCCTTTCGCTACAAGTGATTATAAGTAGGCCTATAAGCATATCTCAGTACACCATGGGCATGATGTGGGACACCGAAATTGCGTGAGATGGAGTAGAATATCCAGAAACTTCTCCTATCATCATTGCCGTTTTCCCGAAGCCTTCGTTTTCAAACCACCTCACCTCCAAGGTACACAGAGCAGCACTGTGCAATGCACGCCTTCTTTTTTTTGGGGGGGACATATTGTACGCCTTTCAGTGCATGTTCCCATTCCAAGCAATCCGGAAGTAAACATCATCAAGACCCCCAGCCTATCCCAGCCTTGCACCTAGCCTCGCGCTACTAGGGGTGCGTGCACCGCGGCTAAATGTCTCCCTCACGAATCGCGCCAGGACACAATTCCGCGGTACCCCCACAGACGCGCGACCTCAAGCCATCACCAGAGTCGATTGACGACATCACCACGCCGTACCATGCCAGTCCCACACTAAGCGCGCAAACATGCATTTCATCCGACCGGCGTGGCTGACGCACAGCGGTACGTCCCTCGCCTCCCACCGATGCTTTCCCTGGTGCCCCCAGTACAAGGAGCCATATAACTAACTGAGGTCCAGGCGAGCAGAAGGACTTCGAGGTCTACTCCTGTCACGTCTCGCCCGATGGAAGCCGTGTCGCGACGGCGGCCGGCGATGGCCATGTGCGCATCTGGAGCATGGAGGCTATCCGCAATGCGGCGAATACAGAGTACAGGGGCCCGAAGCAGCTGTGCCATATGAGCTACCATAGTGGCACAATTCATACGGTCAGGTTTAGCCCCGATGGCCGCTGGCTGGCTAGTGGCGCCGACGACAAGATTATTTGCGTTTATCACTTGGAGAAAGAGCCCCCGGCGCATGGGGCAAGTTTCGGTGAGTTATATACAAGAAACGAGGGGCGGGGCGGAATACAGGAGAATGGGGAGATGAAGTAGGGAGATGGGCTAATAATCATCCAGGCACCAACGAACCTCCGCCAGTCGAAAATTGGAAGATCCTCAGACGTCTCATCGGACACGATAACGACGTGCAAGACCTAGCATGGTCCTACGACTCCTCGATCCTGGTGTCAGTTGGCCTCGATTCCAAAATCGTGGTGTGGTCCGGTCATACGTTCGAGAAGCTGAAGACCCTTTCCGTGCACCAAAGTCACGTCAAGGGCATCACCTTCGACCCCGCGAACAAATACTTCGCAACGGCGAGCGACGACCGCACCATCAAAATCTTCCGCTTTACATCCCCCGCGCCGAACGCCACGGCGCATGATATGGTGAATAATTTCGTCCTCGAGCATACCATTGCGAATCCGTTTAAATCGAGCCCTCTCACTACATACTTTCGTCGCTGTTCGTGGAGTCCGGATGGGAACCATATCGCTGCTGCGAACTCGGTCAATGGACCTGTCAGCTCTGTGGCGATCATTAATCGCAGTCTGTGGGATAGCGATATCGCGCTCATCGGCCATGAGGGCCCGGTAGAGGTGTGTGCGTTTGCTCCGAGATTGTTCAGCCCCAAGGCGCAAGGGCCGGAGGATACGGATGCCAATGGCTTCAGTACGCAGCCTTTGACATCTGTGATTGCCTGTGCTGGTCAGGATAAGGCGTTGACGGTTTGGAATACGAGCACGTCGAGGCCGCTGGTCATTGTACAAGACCTTGCTCAAAAATCTATTTCCGATCTTGCCTGGACACCGGATGGACGGACCCTGGTCGTCACTAGTTTAGATGGGACTATCCTTGCTGTTGCCTTTGAACTCGGAGATCTGGGCTATGTGGCTCGGATCGAGGAGAATGACAAGGTGTTGCAACGCTTCGGCGTTGGCCGGAAGGGCGTGGGCGTTATTGAAGACGTCGCAGGTCTTCGTCTAGAGGAGCGGAGTAGAGCCGGAGAACTTCGCGGAGCTGAATGGAGGATGGGTGCGCTGATGGGCGATGGAGCTACTGAGGCGCGCCCGGAAAAGAACGAGGTTTCGGTCACAAACGGTGATAGCAAGGCTGCTGATAGTAAGGGGGCTTCAACGCCTGCAACAAATGGGACGGACAAAGATGCCGCGCCTACACCGCCGGCAGAGGAGACGAATGCTGCCAAGATCGAAGCAATGAAGAAGAGAGTAACGATCACGAAGGAGGGAAAGAAGAGGGTAGCTCCCCTCTTGGTATCATCCTCTGGCACCGGGCAATCTTCACTACCGCAATCCCAGCTCATGGCAGCAAGCTCAAGCAACGCCATAGGTGAAGCCCCCCAATCCATCCTCGACCTCTCCAAGCCCTACGACGGCCTCCCCTCCGGCGGCCTCGCATCCATGCTCCTCGGCAACAAGCGCAAAGCCGTAGTCCTCGAAGGCGGCGACGACGACGAAACCGGTAGCAAACGCGTCAACGGCACCAGCACCAACGGCACCATCCCGATCATGCGCAACGGCGTCGACGGCGTCGAACCCGCCACCGCAACACCCACCCGCGGCCAGGAAGTAACCCCCGAATTCATCCGCCCCGCCGTCGTGGACCCCGTCATGTCCGTCTCGCAGACGCGCCTCTCCGTCCCGAAAGTGCGCACGCACATCCTCCGCTCCCTCAACCGTGGTGGCCTGCCTACCACGAAACCCCTCTCCAATGGCGCAGCACCTGACGACGCCGCGAAAAATGCGGACGATGTCATATTCGAAGCCCGCAATGACGCGCGCACAGGCGCACACGCCAATGAACCTACACGTATCACAGCCCTCAAGCGCTCCGCAGTTCTCTGGCAAGACTTCCTCCCCCGCCCCGTCCTCCTCGTAACAGGAAACAAGAACCTCTGGGCCGCCGCCTGCGAAGACGGGTCCCTCTACGTCTGGACCCCCGCCGGCCGCCGCCTCCTCAACGCCCTCGTCCTCGAAGCCCAGCCCGTCATCCTCGAATGTCGCGGGTGGTGGCTCCTCTGCATCACGGCGGTGGGAATGTGTCACGTCTGGAACATCCGTACGCTGTCGTCGCCGCATCCGCCTGTGTCGCTCGCGCCGGTGCTGGATGCGGCGGTGAAATCGCTGTCGGCGCATACGGTGCCGGGGCCGGGGATTACGTCCGCGCATCTGAATTCGACGGGGAATATTGTGGTTACGCTCACGAATGGAGATGGGTTTGCTTATGCGCCTGCGCTGTATGTGTGGCAGCGCCTCAGTGAGGCTTGGTGGGCTGTGGGGTCGCAGTATTGGAATAGTAATGATTCCTCTGTGTCTGCTCTGCAGAGCACTGCCGTCGGCGGGCCGTCTACCTCTTCCGCGCCCGAGACGCTGGTGTCTGCTGGTATAATCCCGCACTTGGAGCGCCATACAACGGCGGAAGTACTGCTCAAGGGGCGCGCATACATGCTCCAGCGCCTCGTCAAGGGTGTGTTACCGCGCCCTGGCTTCGAGAGGTTCGAAAGTGCAGTTAGTGTCGCGCATCTGGAGAATCGGGTGGCGGGTGCCCTGGGGCTGGGGGCGAGGGACGAGTTTAGGTTGTATCTGTATATGTATGCGAAGCGTCTCGGAGCGGAGGGTGCGAAGGGGAAGGTGGAAGAGCTATTGAGGGGGTTGTTGGGGGGGATTCTTGAGGGCGGGGAGGGGGAGGGGGAGGGGAAGGGGTGGATGGCGGAGGGGGATACGATTTGTGGGTGGGATCGGAGGGAGTTGTTGAAGGGTGTTGTGTTGATTCTTGGTATGTTTGTCCCGTCTCAATCTTTCGTTCTGAATCAGAAAAGTAACCATCCCCGCAGGCAAATTCCGCGACCTCCAACGCGTCACAGTCCAGTACGCCCGCGTCCTAGACATGGTAGACGACGAGGACGCGATGGAGTCTACTTGAGCTTACTTATCGTTTCCACTGGAGTTTGCACGGGTCCTGGTTTTGCTTTGCTAGGTTGCTCTTTTTCTTTTGGGGTGGGATGATGACTGTTGTACGATATCACAATGAGTTTTTTTTTTGGTGCGGGCCGGGGGGGGATGAAATGGAATGACTTGTATTTTTTTGGACGGGCGATAAGGGGGGGGTATTGATAGCTGGCTGTATATCGCTGGGGATTATGGGGAATGAGAGATAATTTAATTGCAGTCACATTATCACTCGTACCGCCCAGAAGGTCTAAATCTGGATTGACTTTGCGCTGAGTGCTGAGTGCCGTGGTTGAAGCTAATATAATATAATATGACTTCTTCGCTTGACTTAAAGTAAAAAACGGCATGCACTGAAATTTCGATCGTTACCCAAATGTCACCATTGCTGATATACGAGAAGCTCAAAGAAGCCGTTCTTAAGGGATGGCTGGAGTTACCGGAGGTTGCTGCTGTCGTTACTGTCATATTGCTCTTGCTGCCGCTGCTACTCTTGCCACCACTGTTACTCTCGTTACCCCTTTTACCCGCATTACCGCTTCTACTCAGACTTCCCACGGGCAGGTAAAGGCCTCGGATCACCAAAAACCATCACCACACGACGGGGGACATCGAGTTGTTTGATGCCAAGCACGGCACTGTGGCTCGAAGATGGACGCTGTCATTGCAGGGCTCGGAGAAGGAGAAGATCTCGGGGAGCTGCGGTGCGCTCGACTCTTCCTACTGTGATAACTTGTGCTGTGCTGGAGTTTTCTCGTCGCCGCTGCTACTCTCATCTACCCGAAATGCCGAATTGGCTGCTGCACGAACCTCTGGAGTCAACTACTCTGCTGCTCTTCGCTGTCCTTCCCTCAAAATTCTGGGCAGAAACATAATCATTGTGTATACATCTGATTGAGTGCGTCTTGAGAAATGTCTTCGTCACTTGGTCCTTATTACCTCACTCCCGAACGTGCTTTGCAGCTTTGATATAGCGAGGAGAGTTGGAATATTCCGACGGCGCTTTATACTGTACGAATTCTTTAATACTTTGTTCATACGCTAGTTTATTGATCTCAGGGCAAGCATATAGTTAGTTGGTTCGGCATTATGCCGTCGACGTCCATGCGTGCGTGCGCATGGAGATAAAGAGCTACGGTGACTTTCGGAGCTGGCAGACAAACAAACTCTCACACGGGCAACAATTCAAATCGATGAAGTGAGACCCTCGAGCAATGCGATTCATGTTAAGGATCTGGATTGCCACTTCTTCAACAGCTCATTAGCTTCCCCTACGATGTCGACCTGCACTCCAACCCTCCCTCGAGTGGGCAGGCGGATACTCTTACTGCCACTGTTATTCTTACTGCCACTGTTATTCTTACTGTCTTGCTATTCTTGCTGTCACTGCCACTCCTGCTATCACTGCCATTCCTGCTGTCACTGGTATTCTCACTGCCGCTGCTACTCTTACCACCGCCGCCACTCATTCAACCGCCAATGCCCGGCAGTCATGAGCGGGGAGGTTTTGACACCCGCCCCAAAACAGGGGACGACGCCGAACTAACGCCCTCACCAGTATCCTCGGTGGTCGTGCCCATGATGGGCTCCTCTGCGGCTTGAGCTGGCGCGCAATAAATATGCCGAGCTCAGGGGCGGCCATCGCTAATGCACGAACTTCTGTAGCCAAACGACTCTACTATCATCCCCTCAGACTTTGGGCAGAACTTGTCTTTTTGCCCATATGATGTTTTGTAGACTGCACCTTAAGCAATGTTTTCGTCGCTTCCTTCATATTACCTCACTCCCGGACGTGCTCTGCAGCGTTCATATATCGCGAGGACTCGTTGAAATGTTTCGACAAAGATTCACACCGTACACGTTCTTTAACACTTGCTTTTACGTTCATATGTTAGTTCCTTGACCAGTATAGAAGTTTTCTGTTCTTACTAACACTGCTATTCTTGTTACTGTTGCTATTCGCTATTCTTGTCACCACTGTTACCTTGTTGCCGATGCTGTTCTTGTTGCCGATGCTACTCCGTTACCGCCACTACTCTTGAGCGAATGACAATGTAATGACCAAAATTTAAAAATTTAATTAAAGCTGCTCGAACTCAGTCAGTAAGGCTAATTGAGATCTAAAAGCCAGTGTGGTCGTCGTCCTCGTTGAACAGTTCGGAAGGGAAGAAGGGCTTTGTGCAGTGTCTGCGTTGGACGGTTCGCCTGACAAGAAGGCTTTCGCATACGGGGGTTTTATATACTTTCTTATCAGTAACTATAATCTCCTTTTAGGCACTGCCTTGCCCTTCCTTGCCAGGCTTTTGAGCGGCACGAGCACTTCGTTCATGTAACCCAACCCAGACACATACTCATTGATAATCTTGACTCCATGTGAATAGTGCAAGTGTTTCTAGATATATTGTGCCATGGCTAACCCATAACTGATATGATATGTATGCCTCAACCAACTCTAATGCCTGCCAGCGCAGCCAATATATAACTTCTATGTCATCAAAAAAGCAATAGCCCATACAAGTCATACATGTACAGATAATCAAAAGGAACAGAGACAAATGGTATGTGCATTTATGCCGCCGCCGCCTCCTTCTTATCCCGCATGGCGCGGAAGAAGTCCATAACGCCAGTGTAGACGACGAGCAGAATACCTCCACCAGGACCCAACCTCAGAACCTTAGGTGTGAATCCCTTGTACAGCGCACCGAATCCCTCCTCCTTGAAAACTGTCGCAAGCGCTGGCCACGCCCAGTTGTACTTCTGGACCTGACCGGCGACCTTGGTGGTGTTCTGGATCCTGGACTTGACGACATCCATAGGGGTGTTGAGGATGGTACCGAAAGTTCCACCGGTGGCACCGGACAACATGTCGTACATCATCTGCTGGTTCTTGTTGTCGGCCTTGGGGAGCAGCTCGCGCACCTGGAAGATACAGCCGAAGTACCCGGCGTTCCAGAGGATGTGGCGCCACATGGTGCTCTCGAGGCCGTTGTACAGGGCGAGTGGGCCCTCCTGCTTCACGATCTTGGCGACACAGTCAACCATGCCGGTATATCTGCCTGCCGATGACTTGTCCTGCAGACGAATCTTGACAAGCTCGAAAGGAACCACGACGACGGCCTCGGTGGCACCAGCGGTGGCACCGGTGAGGATGGAGAGGGATTGGGTCATCTTGGGGATGCCGAAGGCGTCGCGGTAGAATTGTCCCCACTTGTCGTTGGCGGCGAATTTGGTGGCGCGCTTGGGGGCCTCCATCAGGATTGGTGCCTCGATTCCGCGGTATAACCGTCCAACACTGGTATTGATTAGAATCTCAAGCTGCGTTCTGCGCGTGGTTTAACTAACCCTTCATTCTTGATGATCTTGCGGAAGCAATCCAACATGCCATTGTAGGAATCTGCGCCCGTTCCCGTGCCGGTCTGCAGTTGTCTATCGCCATATTAGCCTCGCGACAATGACTGTATATTCAAAAGATATCGTACACTCTGGTCTTGACGACATCTAACGGGTACCTGCATGTGAGAGTCAGAAGAGTTCAAATGCGCCGGATCTCCCGAGTTGACTCACATAACCAAGATCTGAATTTAACTAGGGTTAGCCATTGTTCATGTTAATTTCAGACCTGTCCTCACCTCAGACACACCAGCCACGGCGCCTATGTCCTGTTAGCAAGAGTCAATTGCATACTGGGTCCGGGGTAACATACCAGCCGCGAACTGGTATACGAACGGCAATGGTCTCTCAGTCATGATTGCTGTCTTGTGAGCTGCTACAAAGGTTAGAAAATGGTTTCAAATAGCCACCTCCGTATGAGGATGGCTTTCCGTGAAGGGTGAGACCTACAAACCTGTTGCGGTGAAGATGGAAGAGATGAAGTTTTTCGAAGCCCTGGCTGGCACGAGAGAATCTCAAAATCCTTATCGACCACCCACGCGCCATTCTCGACGGTGCTAGCCGATAATCGCTCTTCCCCACGTTGCAGCACTCCACGAGCTTAGCGCCAGGGGCCAGAGCGAGTCCCGGAAAACTCCGCTTGTGGTGTTCTTGCTTCTTGAGAGGTTTAGAGGTACCCCAGTACCCCATATCACGTGCTCTCGTGGACGCGACTTGGGACGCGTCTTCCAAACACAAGAGTAGGAACGACGACGTAGAGGGACATGAGTGTAATTGTTACCAACATCCCCACCACCCCTCACCCCTCACCCCTCGCCCCCTCACCCCTCACCCCTCACCCCTCACCCCTCCATACCATACTATGCCTCTTCAGAAGTCATTCTCAGATACGAATCATTCGACAAAGGTACTTATATTCCTCCAGGGTGATTGAGACAGTGTGGGCTGACTGAACAAGCAACGACGGCCTCAATGGCAACGAAATAAAACATTCCACGCGCCCCAGGACCGATATGATGTGAATCCCTCAGAACCAGCGCGAGCGAAACCTCCGATCCCTATATCCTCGGCCACGAAAAGCAAACTCAAGGTCTTCCAATGCAACTCTCAAATCAAGAACCGCCGGTCTTCCGTAGACATGTCTGGAACGGGGGAAAATCCTCTTCTTTTAGAAGAGGACAAGGAGAACATACCACTCAAAGGATCAGAGCATGGTATAAGCCCTTTATCTCGAAAAGATTTCGCAAAACCGAGTATTGAAACTCCCGCCACTCCCTCGAGCAAACTGGCGCTTCCCGAACTCATCGGCATGATGGATGTGGGGTCAATGGCACAACTTCAATTAAAAACGCCAGACGAGCGTGTAATGTGGGACCATGGCATCAACGCTGCATATAACAATACCACTACTTATGTTGGACCCAGGCGGGGTAGAAAGCGGCCTCGAAGTTCGTCACCAATGTCGTCGCCAGGAAATGTATCGTCACATTTTGCAGCGAATCCAGAAGCTGGTGATCTTCAACAACTAGGCGCCCACGCTGCTCATGCCGGCCCGGGTTTAGATTTATGGTCTGGATATGCCATTGGGGCCGACAAATGCACCCCGAGGGGCCCTCAAAATCCTCTGTTTGCACACCTCATGGGCAACAGCTCGTCACCGCAAAGCGCAAATGTCAAAAATTCTGCGTCAAGGGAAGGAACGTTCAAAAGGTCTATCAGCTGCGGTACACAATTTCCGAAAAGGAGGAAAGTTGGGGTGTTTGAAGATCATACTGCTACAGATGTCTTCATGGCGCCTATGAAAAGCGCACTGTCTAAACCTTCACGGGTTAGTGAGTTGCTTGATGGGATAAAAGTGGCAGCAGTGAGCCCGGATAAATCAGCATTTTCCTCCGGCCCCTCAAGCTCGTCGCCTATCCCACGAAGTAAGGCCTGGAGCGAGAGGAAGGAGATGCATCAGGCGTCGCCTTTAGCTGCGAAAGATCGCCATGTGACCGCAGATGCTGGCATTGTGGAAGGCAAAGCACCACGACTCCAATTGCAGCCTGAAGAAAAAGACGATACGGTGGTGTCGCAAAAGTCGGATTCCACCTCGTCCGATTACGGTGACTTCGACGCTGATCAATTTGACGAATCGTTCCTGGAGGTGCTTGAATCGAATCAGACCAGCATTCAAACCTCACAATCTCCTGCAACAGGAACGCACCTCGATAGGCGACCTATAAATACTCAATATAGCCCCGCGGCGGCCAAGAAACCCAGCATAATGCCTCCTGCGGATACAGAAGAAGAAGATGAATTCGCAGATTCCGACGAAGAAATGTTTGCTGCAGACTTCGAGGAAATCCTTTCGAAATATGACACCCTTCCAGCTTCTGCCGACGCAGGCAATCAACCTGCTTTGAAACAGGAGGAACTGGCTGAAGGGAAAGGCCCTGATAATAAGACAGTGGCGGATATAGCTGACTCTGATGATGAATACGGTGATGATTTAGATGACACGGACTTCGCTGTGGCGGAGGCATCGGCTACACAGGCACAGGCATTGCAGAATTCAGCTAGTTGCTTTTCGAATGTACGTACTGAGTATACATAGCCTGCTGCTTAAATTACTAAGAATATGTTTTACAGCTCAGTCAAAAGCCCAGAGTAATTCAGCGATATCTTGTGACAAACATACTCGATGATAACTACCAGAATTCGAGGGGGCGTCAATGCATCGAAAAGGTTTAATTGCCCCTGCCTCACGTTAAGAGCTAGCTAACAGTCACAGGTTCTCATAGTACAAGTCGAAAACACCAAAGAGTATCGAACTATTCGACTAAGAGATGGATGGATCGAAACACAGGTCACAGAGAAGGCCGCTGTTCACGTCATCGGCAATTTTGTTTCTGGTCAATGTGTTATCGACGACTCGCATAACTTGTTGATCCTCCATCCAGACCATTTGATTTCGGCCACCGTGGTCGCCGACTCGTTCGGCTGCACGAGACGCGCGGTGTTGCAAGACCGTGTCAAAGCTACGAGTGATTCCAGTGCACCACTTGTTTATGGGACTATTCTCCATGAGATATTCCAAGCCGCGATGATGGCCAACAGATGGGATAGCCCATGGCTACATGACCTCATTGAGAAAACTGCAACGAGGCATCTGGAGGACCTCTATACTATAAAGATACAGATCCCTCAAGCTGTGGAACACCTACAAAGTAAGATGGGAGAGCTACAATCTTGGGCCGAAGTTTTCGTCACTTCGAAACGACATCCGGAAGCAATCGTCAAGGCTGGCAACGGCGAGACAGCTACAATGTGTGTTAGCAAGCTCTTGGACGTCGAAGAGCACGTGTGGTCGCCAATGTACGGGCTCAAGGGCAATATTGACGCCACTGTCCAAGTGACAATGCAAGATGCGAAAACCCGCCGGACATTAACAGTTCCCTTCGAAGTTAAGACTGGCAAGAATGCCAATGCATCGCATCGAGCACAGACTGCACTGTATAATCTCCTTCTATCCGACAGGTACGATATCGACATCGCATACGGCGTCCTATATTATATGGAAACTTCGGAGACAATACGAATTCCGGCCATTCGCCATGAGCTACGCCACATGATCATGCAGAGGAACGAGCTTGCCTGCTTTGTTCGTGAAAGACATGCGCAGCTGCCGCCAATGCTTAAAAAGGAGAACCTGTGCGGTCGATGCTATGCCAAAACCACTTGCTTCATATATCATAAGCTTGCCGACGACGGAGACGGAGAGACGAGCGGTATAAAGGGCAAGTTCGACGAGGTTGTGAAACATCTCACTCCACAACATAAAGAATTCTTTCTCAAATGGGACGACCTTTTGACTAAAGAGGAGAAAGAAAGCCTGAAGTTCAGACGCGAGCTATGGACCATGCTCAGCTCCGAACGAGAAAAGCTAGGGAGGTGCTTTTCAAATGTGATTATTGAACCGGGTTCAGCGTATGAAGAACAGGACAACCCTAAGATCAATCGCTTCCGATACACCTTAATCAGGCAGGATGAAGCCATCAATGCGTCTTTCCTTGAATCTCAGATCACTATTGGCGAACCCATAGTGATCTCTGATGAGAAGGGTCATTTTGCCCTTGCTAATGGGTATGTGACACACGTCCGAAAGCACCGAATCACTGTGGCAGTCGACCGGCGCCTACATAACGCCCGTATCCGACGCCCCGGCTTTGATGAGGCCAACAATCAGGTCTTCGCAAGTATTATGGAAGTTGCAGGAGAAGGGTCACCTCCAGAATCGACCGAAGGCAAGATAACAGAGGCACCAGTGCGATATCGACTTGACAAGGACGAGTTCAGCAATGGTATGGCAACAGTCCGAAATAACATCATTCAACTCATGGCGGACGCGCCTTTTATGTCACGGCGGTTGAGAAGCTTGGTGGTCGACTTAGAAGCGCCAAAGTTCAAGTCACAGGCCACCAACTACGTGCTGAAAGATCGGGAAAGTATCAACATTGATCAGAGAAGAGCTATTGACAAGGTCATGAGCGCGCAAAATTATGCGCTCGTACTCGGCATGCCTGGCACAGGAAAGACGACTACCATAGCTCATATCATCCAGGCATTGGTATCTCAGGGGAAGAGCGTTTTACTTACATCCTACACGCATACTGCCGTGGATAACATCCTTCTCAAACTTCGTGATGACAAGATCCCTATTCTCCGCCTTGGAGCTGCGGCGAAAATTAATACGAAGGTTCAAGAATTTGCTGAGCTGGCTGCAAAACCCAGAACGTCATTTGAGGAATTGGGCCGTCTGTGGCATGATACTCCCGTAGTTGCGACAACTTGCCTTGGAGTTAACCATGCCATCTTCAGCGAACGCACTTTCGACTACTGCATCGTGGACGAGGCATCGCAGATCACCCTTCCGGTCTGCCTTGGCCCAATCCGCATGGCTCACACTTTCGTTCTCGTCGGCGACCACAACCAATTACCTCCTCTCGTGCAAAACGAGGCAGCACGTACAGGCGGGCTAGATGTTAGCCTTTTCAAGCTGCTTTCCGACGCCCATCCTGCCGCCGTTGTGAACCTCGAGCACCAGTATCGCATGTGTGCGGAAGTAATGGCCCTCTCCAACGAGCTCATCTACTCCGGTCGACTCAAATGCGGCACACCTGAGATCGCGGCACGCAGTATCAGCATCCCCAATATGGCTAACCTCCAAACGCACCATTTCTCCCCCTCGACGATGTCGCGCGCGGGGAAGACCATCTGCGCTGCTCCAGCGAAGGGTCAGTGTTGGATCCGCGACCTGCTAGACCCAGCGACGAAGGCCTGCTTCGTTAATACAGATACCCTAGTTCCCCGGCCCCGTGAGGAGGCGAAGGGTAACCGCATCGTCAATCCGACAGAAGCCACGATCTGCTCGCAGCTCGTGCAAGCGCTACTCAGCGTCGGAGTTCCAGGAAGCGAAATAGGAGTCATGACGCATTATCGATCGCAACTCGCTCTGCTAAAACACAACCTACGTTCTCATCAGGAGGTGGAGATGCACACCTGCGATCGCTTCCAGGGCCGCGACAAGGAGGTGGTGGTGATAAGCTTAGTACGAAGCAATGAGGCAGGTGGGATTGGAGAGCTGCTACGTGACTGGCGGCGAATCAACGTTGCGTTCACGCGTGCGAAAACGAAGCTACTAGTCGTAGGAAGCGGGTCGACGCTTAAGGGCGGGGAAGGGAGTGGCGAGGAGATGGTGGGACAGTTTGTGAGGCTTATGGAGAGGAAAGCTTGGGTATATGACCTCCCGGGGGGCGCATTGGATAGCCACTGTTTTGACGATGCGGCGACGCAGGCGAGCGGCAGTGCCGCGGCAACGCCGGAAAAGGGGGTGTTGAAGCAACTTGATTTGAAAGCGGCAAGGAAGCCGAAATTTGACGGGCGTGGAATTGGAAATGAGAACCTTAAGGGGCCAAAGAAGGCGGTGATTAATGAGCGGGCGTTATTTTCTGGGAAGCCGGTGTTGAGGGATATTATGAATGAGGCGCGTCAATGATAGCGGGTGGGGGGCACTGGGTATCGTTGGATATGATTAGAGAAATTAGTTTGAATACAGCATGACAATATATAACCTGACAACTCTGATCATGAATATTTTATAGTACCAGCTGGTAAATTACGTGATTCTAGATATTGCACAATACATTACAAACTTAATAACTATCTTATTTTTTCCCATCCAGGCCAACGTGGAAGTTATATCCAAATGATTCAGATGGGTCATTGAATCTCAGCTTCTTATCCAATCCATCAATCTTCTTGACGTCCTCATCCTTCAGCTTAAAGTCCCCTTCCAAATTATCCTTAATCCGCTGAGCAGTCTTGCTCTTCGGCACCACACACCTGCCATGAGCAACACCCCAGGCAAGAGCAACTTGTGCGCCACTCTTCCCGTACTTCTTGCCAATCTCCACGAGAACAGGCTCTTCCTACATTGTATTAGTAACTAATCCTTTGTGAGAAAGGAGATATGCTTCCTTACCGTCAGCTTGCCCAAGTTCTTCCCAGCATCGTAGGTCTGGTTTAGGTTTCCAAACGGCGAGTACTGCGTCATATGGATACCCTTCGTCTTGTGCCACTCTACAAACTCAGTCTGCTGCAGCCACGGATGCATCTCCACCTGATGCATAGCCGGTGGGACCTTTCCCTCCTTGAAAATCCTCTCGATCTCAGTCATATTGAAGTTGCACACCCCAATCGCCTTCACCTTGCCCGTCTCGAGCAGTTTCTCCATCGCCTTCCACGTATCGAGGTAGTCGATATTCGCCGTCTCCATTTTTCCATTCGCGTCCTTTGGCATCAGCTCAGTGCCGGATTTGAAGGCCGCGGGCCAATGCATCAAGTAGAGATCGACATAGTCGGTCTGCAGGGCTTTAAGAGAGTCATTGAGAGCTGGTTCGACATCCTCTGGTGCGTGGGCGTTGTTCCAGAGCTTGGTGGTGATGAAGAGGGTTTTGCGGTCTACTCCGGATCTTTTGATGGCTTTTGCAACTGCAGGTTCAGTGCCGTAGATGTGTGCTGTGTCAATGTGCTTGTACTATTTAAAAAAATATTAGAACTTGCCCTGGCTCTGGACGAATCTTAGGGTCGTAAAACTTACGCCAGCTTTCAGTGCCTCAAGAACAGCATTCTCTTGCTCTTCCTTGTCCTGCCAAGTGCCGAAGCCAATGGCGGGGATGGAGGCACCAGTGTTCAATTTTTGAATAGTCGGCATCTTTCAAGCTGTACTATGCTAGATAATTATGTTGACGAGATCGAGTAGGCGCAGGTGTGCAAACTATATGCTATGAACTATGTGATGACGAAATTATTTATGCTGCCCTAGACGCATCGGATCTATGTGGAAAAAACATTATAATTACTGTGACGTTGGTGGCCACTTCGGTCACTTGTCGTTCAAGATCGATGTTGTTCTCATACGTCACGATAAAGCTTCAGTTCTTTCCCTACAGAGGAAACTACCACGTTAGGCCCCGGCACTTGCAAACAATATAATAGTTACTTGGTGTGGGGTGGAGTAAAATCGGCGCTTGTGGGTTTGGCTATTTGAATTTTAAAGCAATTAGTTATACGAGTAACGTGGTTTACCACCAAACGGAACATCCCACCAAATGAAACACTTTCCGATAGCATCGCAACCTCAAACCCAATTAATCGTTGGTTCTCAAACCACCGCCTGGAGGCGGTTGGCGAAAGCGAACTGGGACGCGAAAGCGATTGTGGGACACTTCGGGAGCGGACTCGCGACGCGACACGACCGACCATGAACACGACTGACAACGTAACAATGCTGTAAATATATATAAGTTATAGAATTAAATAATTAAAAAAGATTTGGATCAATATTGTCAGGCAGTGATTGATCATCACAGCCACCGTCACTTGCATCGTGAATCATGTCGTAGTCCAAGCCTGCAAAGTTCACGTACCCACTCTCCTCGATGGCTAACAGTCGGTCCGCCTCCTCCTCCTCCTCACGTTTCTTCTGTGTAACGTCCGGGTCAATGATTTCTGTACGTAAGCCAATTGGTGGCTCCGTGTCTGGGTTACTTTTTTGAAATTCATGTAGGTCCTTTTTCCGTGTACGTTCTGCCTTCCGTGCATCGATGCCAGCACGGAGCTGCATCTTACGCTCAACGTTCACCATGCGTGTTCTCTCTCTTTTCTCCCGTGCTTCTTCTAAAAGTTGCTCATTTACCTTCTTCTCATAAATCCTTTGCCGTGCATGTTCAACTGTAATAGCACCACCTTTTTGAATAGATTTCCGACTTCTAACCTTCCGCTGTCGTTGCTCAGTCATAATAGTAGTAATTTGTACAAGCTCTGACTGGAACAGCTCAGCCTCTGTTAACTGAGTTTGGATTTCAGTATAAGAAGATGCCCACTTTTGCCGTGACGGTGAACTAAGGATCCTATCAAATGTTTGACTCCATGTTGAAAGATCATAACTTGCTTGAAATGCACGTTGTGGTGTTTCTAAAACTTCTGGTTTTGCATATATAGCAACCTTCTCTTGAATCTTTTCATAGTTAGGTGGCCAAATACCTGCATCTCTAAAAGACTTGATACAGTTACCCTTTGTAAATGTCTGCTTACGGATAGTAGACAAGTCTCTAAAGAAAGATATAACATTATAATCTGTATCAAAATTCCGGATTGCTTGTTGAATTGCACGTCGGTGCCAATGTTTATATTGTGCAAACACAGTAACATCTAGCGGTTGTAGAATATGCATAAGATGAGACGGAAACACATGTAAGTGTATATTGTGTTGATGTGCAAGTATTATAAACTCTGGAACTTCATGTGAGACATGAGAGTCCATTATTAACAATTTCGTTCTTATAGACGGTGTATGTTGAATAAAATGCTGTAGATATTCCATTGCAAGCTCAGAGTTTGTATATCCGGAATCGGATACTGCAACTTTCTCATCACCGTGTAGATTGTCATGGTACCAACTTTCCATGTGTAATTTTCCTTGTATAATAAGGAACGGTGGAAGTGCAATGCCAGCAGCTGAAATTGTCTCTATAACTGTAAGACTTTGTCTGTTCTCTGGAGCTTGTATATAAAGCTATAAATATTAGAATAATATAAAGTAAGATAAGTAGAAACAACTTACCTTCTTTACTGCAGATGGTACCAACACATGTTCACCGGTGCTCATTCCTACACGGAATCCAACTTCATCAAAGTTGTAGATATCACCTGCAGTAATATCTAGTTGATTACACACATCTTTAAATTCATAAAACCATTCTTTAATAGCTGATACTTCATGAGATGCAACCCGTGCTGCTTCAATTGGCCGGGTTTTTATTGTATGGAAGTTGTGTTGTTGTGTCTTAATCCATGTCTGGAACCACCGTTGTGATGGTGGTGCACGTGTTGGAGTTTCTGCTGCACGTAGTTGGCAGATGGCACTGAACACCATAGGCTTAGTTGCACCGTACCCATTTTCGTACGAGCGTTGGATGTATCTTTGTATAGCTGTAACTTGTACATCAGACAGTACTCTGTTCTGGCCTCCGCGTGGCACAGCGGTGCGTTGTGGTGATGCGCGTCGTTGTCGTAGTCGTATAGTCCGGAGCGTACTTGGGTTTACTCTGTACATCCGTGCTACTGTAGCACTCTTCTCTGTTGGGTTTTCATTTAAAAATTCAATGGCATTTAAAAGAGCTTCATTTTTATTTACTTCAACTACCGGCATAGTTGTGGTTGTAGTTGTGCTCGTTGTCGGTCATGTTCATGGTCGGTCGTGTCGCGTCGCGAGTCCGCTCCCGAAGTGTCCCACAATCGCTTTCGCGTCCCAGTTCGCTTTCGCCAACCGCCTCCAGGCGGTGGTTTGAGAACCAACGATTACTCCACCACACCACAACAAAAAGATGCCTCAGAAAGCTAATGAAGGCCGAGTTTTACTAGCCATTCAAGCTACCAAATCACCCCACAAACTGTCCATCCGACGTGCTGCGCAGCTATATGAGGTCCCACATGTAACACTTACCCGTCGCATACACGGAAGCCAACCACGAGCTGGTAGACGCGACAAACAACGTCCATTGACCCCAATTGAGGAAGAGGAGCTCATACGATACGTACTTGACCTAGATTCGCGAGGATTTCCACCTCGAATTGAGGATGTACGAGATATAGCGAATCTCCTCCGTGCGACGCGTCGCGAACCCCCAGTTGGAAAAAACTGGCCCTACCGCTTTGTACACAATGAACCAAAGCTTAAGACGCGTCTCTCTCGTGCGTACGACCTCCAGCGAGCCCTCTGCGAAGATCCTGATTGTATAACAAAGTGGTTTGAGCTGGTAAAGAACATGCAGGCGAAGTACAGCATCCAGGATGCTGACTTCTACAACTTTGATGAGACGGGCTTTATGATGGGTGTTATCTGTGGGAATATGGTTGTTACGAGCTCAGATCGAAAAGGCCGAGCAAAGCAGCTTCAGTCTGGTAATCGGGAATGGGCAACAGCGATTGAATGTGTGAGTGCAGACGGCTTTGTAGTGCCTGCATACTTGATTGTACAAGGCAAGCATCACCTTGCGCCTTGGTACACAGAGTGCGGCCTTCCACCTACTTGGGCCATCAAGACCTCACCAAATGGCTGGACCGACAATGATACAGGTCTAGACTGGATAAAACACTTTAATCAGCATACACGTGTACGAACACAAGGGGTCTGGCAGATGATTGTCCTAGATGGCCATGAGAGCCACCTATCTGCCCAGTTTGATATGTACTGCAAGGAGAGCAACATTATTACGCTCTGTTTCCCTGCGCACTCCTCACATCTTACCCAGCCTCTTGATGTTGGGTGTTTTAGTGTACTAAAGCGAATGTATGGTCGAGAACTTGAGGTCTTCATTAAGGCCTCTATTACCCATATCACTAAGATTGAGTTCTTTATTGCATTCAAGGCTGCCCACGACCATACAATGACAACTGAAAATATCCTAGCTGGCTTTCGAGGTACTGGCCTAGTCCCGTACAACCCAGAAGCAGTTCTCTCAAAGCTTGATATCAAGTTACGGACGCCACCACCAACTGGATCCCCCCTACTAGAGGCTGACCCTTGGGTCCCTCAAACGCCACAAACCCCAGCTGATGCAATTTTGCAGTCTAAGTTTGTACAGAATAGAATTGGAATTCATCAAGGAAGCTCCCCAACAACAGATAGCTTGGTCAGGGACACACACGTATATATCACCTGAAGCATACAGAACAATACTACAGCACGGCACATTGAACTATAAGCGCGGAAGGAAGCTGGTTGACTTTCTACATGCCTTGGGTGGGTAGTGATAAGCCACTCAACATATGAAGCCATTCCTCATCCCATCGCAGCATCATGTATGATTTGCCGCGCCTAATTATCCCATATCGAAAAATGCCTACAGTGCAGCATCCCCCCCCCCTTACACTCGCCATCAGCCCATTTGTTGAGAAACCAGACATCATATCTTCATCAGTTCACCCCGGGATTTATATCCCGTCACAAAGGTGTTCACTTCATGCCATTCACGGGCCCACTCGCAACGGGACCGTTCGCGACACCCTCTGGCTCAAAGTCCTCCTCATATTCGGTGTCCAGGTCCTCCCTGTCATCCTCCACAAATCCGCTGTCAACCTTCAAATGCCTCAGCCGCCTCCTCATATCATCCCGTTGCCAGTTCTGCCACCTAATCAGCGCCGCAGGCGCGTGCACCTTGAACCCATAGATCCTAGGACTGTAGCGTTCGTAGCTCTTGGCGGGCATCAGAGCTGGGTACACCTGGAACAGGATGTTGTGGAAGCTGGTCCCGAAGTACGCGCCGTCGATGGCAGCGTGGCGCGAGGACTTTGGGTTGTAGATGTCTTCGCACTTGGCGCAGTAGAGCTTCACGGCTTTGATGTTGGGGTTGTCCGACTGGCCCATGGGAAGGAGGGGTTGTGATTTGCACATGACGCGTGGACATTTGCCAAAGTCGTTCTTCTTATACTTGTCCAGCTGGTGCAGTGTTAGCCAATATATCCATATACATAGTTCGAGAAAAAAACCCATACCATCTTTGCCAGCCCTCGAGTCGTTACAATGTATCTTGCGTGAACAAGGCCGTATAGGTGCCTAGCAGATTTCTCAATCGTCTCCCTCATATCATCGTCGCAGTCCAGATCGAAGACATCAGTAACCAAGTCGAGTGCATACTGATAGTATTGCACTTCCGTATTAAGCCCCGTCAAGTTGAACCGATCCGTCAAGTACTCCTCGTCGATCTCACAGAAATACTCGTTACCCCGTGATGAGATGAACTGTAGAGCGAAGTCAGCCATTGTTTCTTGCATTTGACAACACAACTAAGATGTGAACCATATCGCTCCATATGTGTGGAAGCCAACCAGACAAGGGTGGCTTTACACGGTCCGACGAGTGATCGGGCGACGATGGGATAAACTTGGGGGCGGCTGGTGGGAGTTCCTTGGTCTCGCGCCCAAAAAGTTTGCGTCTGAGCCTAAGGCGATCTGGGGAAATAGATTGCATTTCGTCGGCGCCGATAGAACTAGGTTATCCTTTGAAGTCTTCTATTTATTCCTGTAGACGTGCACGTTGGATTGGGCGCAAGTTCTTCAAAGCTGCGGAAAGACAGCCTTCCTTGGCCGATCGGCGCGAGACAATGGTCGAATTTTGCGCCCCTCCCATCGCGCCTTCCCATCGTCCAAATAAGCAGCAGTGTGCCTGCCATCGCACTTGCTCAAAGAAGAGGTTATAAACAGAAGGAACGATCATGATAGACCTACCCAGTCTCTCCAGTAACTAGTGTAATCGCTATCGGTTTCGCTATTGAAGTCGTCCATTTCGTGGGCCTGTTGGACAGGCAGTCGCGACTGAGTCTGCTGCCGCTTCCTGCGCTCCGCCGGGTGTTGCGAAAGAGCAGAGGTGTTGATACGGAAGGCTGCGTTGCGTGGAGCCCGCTTTGGTTGAGGAAGTTGCGTTGTTTTGTGCGTGGGGGGAAAGCGGGCGCCGCTTGTTATAATCTGATCTGATGTCAACACCCCTTGTCGCGATTAAACTCGAAGGCGCGCTACAGCCGATTCCGACAATTTCTACAACAATTTTCCAGAAGCCACTTTTATTGAACGTTTTACAACAAAAGCAGTTCTAAATTCTTTTGAATTTGGGTAAGGTCATTATTTTATATTGTCGAATCCCTCGATCATACTATGCTCCCAATACATAGTCTATTCTATATACAAACAAAAACTATGGAAATGAGTAGTAGTCTGGCCTGCTCGGGTCTTGGCGTAACCCTCCATCACTACTATTATTCGACAGTTGTCCCGGACTTACAGTACCACTGCCAGATCGGTCCGAACCATCGTGTATCCCTAAGCCTGTCGGCAAACTATGCCTACCCGATCGCCGTGGCGGTTTCAGGGTCGTGCCTTTTAAAAGGGAGCCCACGCGCTCAACATCCGTCGTGGGGCTCCGCATATCAACCAGCTCCAGTGCCTCCCTCAAAGTCGCACCGCTTTCATCCAAGGCTGTTAGGAAGCGTGCCAGCTCCTTGCACAACTCCCAGTCACCTTCGTCTCTGGCTCTGCCAAGTAATCGAACAAGCTGCTCGGAGCTTGAGGACAGCTCCTCGAAGGTATGTAAGACTAGCAGATATCCTCCTGCTGTCTTCAAAGATCCCTGCTGCAAAGACTCTTCGAAAAGGGTTGCGGGAGGCGGTAGGTATGCAAACAGTGTTCGCCAGGATCGCACTTCTGTCTTCCTCGTGCACTGCACAATAATATCTAAATATTGTGGGAAAGAGGACAGGAATGAAACCACACCAGGTAGTAGCGCTTGATCAGGGCGGGGCGGATTATCGACTTCATCATCCAGTACATCGTGTAGCAAAACTTCCAAGGCGTGAGGGAAATATTCAAGATGTCGATACTGATGGGCGAGGTGAAGCGCCGCCGTCGAATCATAGCGAGATAAGTGGAATTTGAGCACTGGAGGTATGAATAAATGTGTCTGGTAAACAGTTAGTAATTACGACTAGAGCGGCAGGGGATATATCATACCCTTATTGCAAAACGGAAGAAGGCGAAGTTGATGTCTCTACGTTGCACCAACTCGGGCTCAACGCCTATTAATATCCCCTTGTTTAGTGAGATAGACAAGGGGTAAAAATCTGTGGCAAAGTGAACAGTTGATGGGAGTTCTCGGGCCAAATCAGAAGGCGCCGACCGTAACACGTCTTGGACATCAGGCCATGCGTTCATTTCTTGTCCATCAAACATCCATAGAGAATCCTTCAGGCCTTGAGCCTCGAAACCATTCATAGATGTACCTGTATTTGAAGACCCTGATGTTGCCACACCCTGAGATTTCTCGTCGGGCAAATCTCTCGTAAGAGCAAAATACTCGATATTATGAGCGATAACTCGCATATCATATTTTAATTGCACTTCTTCGTTAAATGATGGTTGTAGAAGTACCAACTTCCCATCCACTAGAAACACCACAGTAGCAGTTGCCACATCTTGAGCTGGGTCCCCTTCGTTCATTTGTTTGTCAGGCAAGATCCAACTGAGTCCCCTGACCCGAGCTGGCGATCTGACAATTCCATGGAAAGCAATTTGGCCAACCTGGACAAGTTTGATCTTCCCATCAATGGGTGTAAAAATATAGTGGTAGAGTAAGTTGTCATATGTGTAGACAAGCAATGAATCCTCCCCGGAAGGAGACACGAGTACAATTGGCGCTGGTAGGCGGACTGCGTGTTTCACAGACGAGTTTCCAAGAGGTGCATCTCGAGGGTATAGTCTAACCTCGTAAGAATCACCGGCCTCGACGGCTGCAACGAGGATATGCTGATACCAGCACATACCCCCGCGAACCACAAAACTATTTTCCTCGTTCCCGTCGTCAAATGTTTTCCATCGGCCACTGGATATGCTATAGTGCGCGAGACCTCGTCGACCAGCGACTGCCACATATCTCCCGTCGAGAGATATCACCGAGCACCTGATTGGCCATTGATCAGTGAGATAGTTCGTAGGAATCTGGGCATGGTGCCACAAAGATGACTCTGCGGATATCGTAGTAAGATCAGGTAAATCATAACCTCGGTACACCATTATCGAGTCCCTAGTCTGAAGCATTGTTCGTGATATGTTCGATGCAGTAAAACACCCAGTAATCGAACTGCGTGACATTTCCAAGATCCAAAGTCTATCATCGTTGGGCCCAACGAGAAGTATCTCGGAGCCGCCAGGGAGCCATGTCCCTTTGCTTACTCCATAGAGCCATCCCTCATCGCCGTTTTTGGCGGCCCCTAGGTTGGCAGCGAAGCTTGTGCTTTGAGGTTTACCGAACACACTCCAGGATGCCCAGCCTTCTTCAAAGCCGGCGAAGAGGCAATATCCATCAGGAGAGTATGCCAAGAAAGTTATCTTCCCTGAAGTAGCACTTGACACTGAAGTTCTTTGAGTGTGAGATAAGGGTATGTTTCCAGCGTAATCTTTTGCTGCGTAGACATCAATTCTGCAGTCCGCACGTGCAACAGCAATTAAAGAAAATCGGGCATTTATAGCCACCTTCGTGGCATGAGTCGTTTCGCTCTTTGGATCGTGGAAGCAATATCCCTTAAAGAGCTTGCTTGTGCTGGTAGACTTCTTTGCTGTGTTGCCTGTGTCTTGTGGTTCTGCTTTCATGGCTTCCCTCGATTCGACTAGTCGTTGCACAGCAAAGGCCTTACCGTCACTGGTTATCCATGCCGACAAATTCATCGGGCGATCATAAATCATGTCCAAAACGGTGACTTTTTTGGGCAGCCATGCCATCTTGCTCAGAAGCTCGGTACTGGTTTGGTTACCAGTGCTATCCGGAGCCCATCTTATACACTGCACTGCAGGTGGCTTGGTGGTTGCAACAACCAGTTCTTCGTCGAGCGCCAAAGCTCTCTCAATGCCCGCATCAACCTTAATCACCATCCGAAATCGAACACTGACTTCACGCACTCCGCCACCCTCGCCAGGGCCCCATAGTATTCTATCGCTTTGGTTTCTAGCGCCAGTAAAGTTGCTTTGTCTTCTGGTGTTCACACTGGAATTTTCGGGGAAATGCGGCCTATAAGCGCGAGTATCTGGGTCGGTTGCCAATGAATAGGTGATAAGGTAACCTAGGGTAGTTTGAACGACGAATATGGCCGAGTCGGGGCGTATGAGGAGAGAGACATTCGGTCCATAAGTTTCGAGGGAACCAGGCGAACGTACAACAACCGCCAGTATTGCTGTTGGCTATCTATAATTAGCGGATGGATATTTCAACAAGTTAGGGAAGCAAGAAGCTGAATACCTTTGTTTGCCATATTGTCATCGAAGTTGCTGTAATAACTGCAAACAGGTGCCCTGTCCTAGACATTTGAAGTCCCAATATGGGCTGCCTCCCTGCTTCTCGAATCGAATCATTGTGTCCGTCTTCCAAATCGTCAAGAGACGTGGCTGGTGGCCCGCGTTGAGCATCGTGTTCCACGGGTTGAATAGCGGGGGTGCGAGGAGTGGTTGGAGTCAGATGCCCAGAGAGTAACTCGTCACCATCTTGGGCATTGTCTGAAGCTGCGCTTGAGGCATTGAGATATGAGGTGCTCTGGGGAGCATTGGGAGGCTCTACATCATCATTGGAGTGATGGATGCGGCCTTTCGAGGTGGAGCTATTGGAAGCGGCGTATATCCGGGGAGCTCCAACGGGCCAGTACATGGCTCAGTGATGGCGCGCGAGGCCTCATTCGAATCAACGCATGCCTTGTAGGCAATATTGCTGCTTCGAGAGCACAAGACGAGAATTGAGGCCCCGAGTTGTCAATTCACAGCTTATAGCCATAAATCGAAAAGGTGATCAAACAGGAACAGGTATGGCGCCGAGATTGGCTAAGCGTACTCGTATGCAACGACCTTGAGGTACCCCAGTGTCCCGTGGTCCGCGCGTCGATATTGAAGATCTAAGATAGAGATAGAGCCAGGCCGATCGATCACTTAGACTCGCTCTATTTTGTCTACATTTGTGCACAATTGTTTAATTCCTCGAGCCTGTGCCATATATTTGTTTTTGAGAAGGCAGGCATATAGCCCGAAGTTTCATACCTGACCTTTGTACGTATTCTCTCAGTCCCAAAACGCGTGACATCAAAGGCTTACAAGTCCTTATAGTATAAAGACAACAGCCCACTGAGGCAATCGTGCTGCTAGCTGTGGGAGGCTTCTTGCAGATTCTCTACGGTCCATATCCTGGCCCTTGTTTGAACCGACTGCCAGTGTTTCCTTTTAGCAGGAAGGGGCAATGGCGCCCATGAGGCCAAGGCCCAGCCTCTCCAAGGAGCGGTTCCCCGCGGTTTTCAGTAACCTTAAAACCCAAACCTACCATGACCCGTCTGCTCGTGGTGTTGGGTCACACGCGTAAGCTCCTCTATTTTCCTGAAATTTTATGTCTCTTGGTAAAGAAACACCATTGCCCCGCTTCGTGTATGGCACGAGAGCCAACAAAGGGTGCCTGGGCCGTTGCTCAAAACTACGAGTTGCTGCCTTTTTTTCTTTTTCATTTACAATATATCTCTGCGGAATAATGCCGATTGTACAGAGTTTTAAAATGTTTCTCCTATTTCCCGATGACCCCCCGACGACTGAGCAAGGCCAAGCGGTATGATTGCGTGTCTTTCATGACGACTACTTCTAAAATCAGGGGATTCCTGGTTAATCAAGGCAATAAGAAGCTAAATTTTATTGTTATAGGATACGATGTTTAGACTGGAACCCCCTGGGAACACTCATTGCTTCCGGTTCAGCAGACCGTACCCTTAGAGTCTGGAACCCCGACAGGCCAAATGTCCGCTATTCAACCGAGCTGAAAGGACACGATGCCAGCATCGAGAAAGTAGCATTCAACCCAGTCAAAGATGCCGAGCTATGTAGTTTGAGCGCAGATGGAGTCTTAAAGCTGTGGGATGTGCGAACGAAAACCTGTATCAATGAGCTCAAACAACTTGGATCGGCTGTTTCGCTGGTGTGGCATCCGGACGGCGAGGGCATTATTGTAGGCAATAAGGTATGCAAAAGAACTATCGATCGCATGCTCATATCTAATACTTTCTTTAGACGGATACCCTCTTCTTCATAGACCCGACACAGTTCAAAGTGGTGGCTGAGCGTGCACAAGACGTGCAAACAAACGAGATCGCCTTCTGCTGGAGTGGAAAGAGGATATTTGTTTCAACGGGAGAGGGCCGTGTTAAAATACTGAGCTATCCCGACCTTCAACCCGTCTTTCAGTGCGGATGGGAAGATAAGCCCCTCACATTAAACGGCCACACATCCTCGTGCCTATCGCTGGCATTACAACCAACAGCTCGCTTTCTAGCGAGCGGCGGGTCAGATTCAATCATATCACTCTGGGACACAAAAGACTGGCTTTGCCAGAGGACGCTGATTGACATGACTGGACCAGTCCGAAACATCAGCTTTTCATGGGACGGGATGTATGTGGTTGGAGGCAGCGACGAAGGAAACGGCTTGGAAATATCTCACGTAGAGACGGGGGAATCTGTTCACAGCGTGAAATCGCAGGCGCCGAGCCCGGTGGTGGCATGGCATCCGACGAAATATCAACTCGCATATACGGATTTTGGAGGCTTGAAGATCATTGGCATCGATTCGGATAAGAAGCATAACAACTGAGACCAGCAATTTGGGGTATCTGTTGATAGTAAGATACCTTAATTTAAGGAGTGTTCTGTAGAAATACCTGCTGTTTACTACTACAACCACGAGTTTCTACATCATTACTGTATGGCCATATGGTTCTTAGGAATCAGTTTCTAGAGTAAATAGCGATCTCTGCCATAGATGAATGCCACATCGGCACTTTACACTACTATCTCATCCCACAACACAGTAAATCAGTCAATGCCCGTTATCTCCGCGCAGTTGTAGCTAACAGACAGAGGTCCTACGGTCGATTGACGCATTCAGTCCTAGGCACTCATCACGAAGCATTGGAGGGCATCACGTAATATCGGAGGTCATCATAGAGCATCGGAGGCCATGAAGGCTACCCTCGAAGCGGGAGCAACTTTCTGGAATGGCGGCGACTTTACGGCACACATTATTACTCCTTGCATCTCCTTGCCGCCTATTTCACAAAGTACCCTGAGGATGCCAACAAGGTCGTACTCTCGATAAAATCGGGGTTCAAGACCGGTTTTGAGATTGATGGTAACCCAGAACACGTCCGCGATCGAGTCAATAACTGCAACAGGATCCTGGCAGGCACGAAGAAGATTGACATCTTCGAGTATGCTAGGGTGCCAACTAATGTTGATTTCTTCAGTGTGACGCTTAAAGAGCTACAGAAGTGTGTGGAGGGACTCATTGGAGGCATAGGCCTCAGTGAAGTCACAGCGGCTACTATCAACAAAAGTGCAGCAATCGCAAAGATTGACGCTGTGTAAGTGGAGTTAACCCTCTGGTCGACGGATATCTTGACCAATGGTGTCGTGGAAGCTTGCAGCGAGGCCAGTATCCCCGTTATTGCGGGAGTCTCATCGGTATATCTGAACTTGGAGATGCAGTACTGATACAAATATAGATATTCGCCGCTTGGACGTGGGATGTTCACCGGCCAGATCAAGTCTGCGGATGACATCTCAGAGGGCGATTTTCGTAGGAGGTTCCCGCGTTTCCAACAGGAGAACTTCCACCACAACATAGAGCTAGTTCAGCGACTCCAGGAGGTGTCCAATAGAAGTAGATGCACACCTGGGCAGCTTGCAATTGCATGGGTGAGGCAGGCAGGAAAGACAGTGAAGCGAAGCCCTCAGATCCTGCCCATTCCGGGAGCTACCAGGAAGGAGAGAGTCGTCGAGAATTGCAAGACCGTCACGCTCGACAAGAGTGCACTGGCGCACATTGAGAAGGTAGAAAGCATCAGGATTGGCACTGGTTCCAATATGACCGTGGTAATATATTTACATATAAGTTAGTAGTATTTTAGAGCATTGTAATTTAATATCGTGCTCACCGACATCAGCGTTAGGCAGTAGAAGGTCTTGAACAAAATCCGAAAAATATAAACATATAAGCAACTACATCGCAAGTTAGCATGCATGCCACGAGGTATTTCATGGCTAATGATAGAGTGCGAATTTGCATCAGAAATAGTGTAAAATGTGATAATCTGTCGCCTTGGGATCCCCGAAAGAATCGTACGAATTGCAGAACTCTTGGAAGAATATTCATCATGTGCAGGGAAAGAGAAGAGAGAAGTAGTATCATACCTTTTGATAGTAAATGCCCCCAGGTCCCCATGTACGGCATTAATATCCGCTACTTACCATCTCCATAACATTCCAGCAACAAAGTGGAATCAGAGATTCGAAATGATGTTCGTTTTTGAGGCTCGAGAAAAATCGACTTTTTGAAGGGGAGCATGGCCGACCCACCGACGCTATTCCCTAAGCGGTACTCCTGTATCGCGATGCCTCGCGATTTCTACTATCAGATGAGAGACTGAGCAACAAACGCAACGCCAGCTTCACCAGCGACAACCCAACACTGCAAACCACCACTCAATCGCCTCAAACAACTTACCTGGCAGCAGCACCAAACCTTCAAAATGGGTTCACGGAGCCCCTCTCCGGCGAGCTCGCCGCTCTCAAACGTAGACTCGGACGAAGCTGAATACTACCAACGACACATTGCAGCTTCACATCCCTCCAAACGACAGCGCCTTGACGGGGGCTCATTAGGAGCCACATCAGCCTCACACGATCCTAAATTCGACACCCTATCTTCAATATCCTCCGACACCTCTGGCGACGTGCCACAGTCCCCAAGTTCACTGCCGAAAGTGGACGACGAAGATGCACAGCAGGAACAGGTCACTGTGTGCGCGTGGGAAGGCTGCGATGGTGGAGATTTTAGTGATATGGACAGGCTAGTGACACACATACACAATGTCCATACCGAGCATAAAGGGAAGAGGAATACGTGCGAGTGGGCGAACTGCCCAAGGAAGAGCCATGCGCATGCCAGTGCGTACGCGTTAAGGGCACACATGAGAAGCCACACAAGGGAAAAGCCCTTTTTCTGCGCGTTGCCTGGTAGGTTACTTCCTATACGATGTTGCTGAACCCTCAAGCTAATAAGCAAATAGAATGCGACAGGTCCTTTACTCGCTCCGACGCCCTTGCAAAACACATGCGCATAGTTCACGAAACCGAAGCACTGCGCCCATCAGACCCAACCCCGAGGTCTATACTTCCGAAGTCAATGCAGCCGCAGGCGACAAAGGGCAGCAGCCGTCTCAAGATCATCATCAAGAACCAGGGTACCCGAGGCAGTGATGGGGGCCAGTCGCCCGCTCCTAGACGAGGACACGATGGTCTCACGCCCTTGACTGTAGATGATGGGTTTACACTGGACGAGCTGGCATTGGGAACGAAGGAGCTGTGGAGGTTACTGAGACGACAAGCACACTGGGCGGATGAGGAGGCGGAGTCTCTGAAACAAGAAATCGAGACGATGAATGAAATACGAGACAAGGAATGGCTGGAGAAGGAGATCCTGTTGGACCAGGTCATCAATAATGAGATGGATTGGTTTGAGAGGCGGAAGCATGTACTTGCAACGCTTCCAACGGTTGAGGAATTGAGGTCACAGACAATGGCGAAGATGGAGAAGGCAAGCAGTGGCAGTGGTAGTGGCAATAGTAAGGGTGGACGAGAAGAGAGAGAGGCGGAACAGAAGGTGGACCAGCGGGAGGCGGCGGCCGCCTTGGCCAGTCTGGCCCAACAGTAGAAGCAGCTTGCTTTCGACAAAGGATCGTTTGGCTTCCTTCTGTGTGTAGCTGGAGTGTTGGATTTGCACAAAGGAACCCCCTTTAGTGTGGCATGCACGGAGCGAATATTGGGCGTTTTGAACGGATAAATGATTATGATATTGGGATGGGAACTGGTAATGGCGGGTAGATTTGAAGGGACAATATCATATCAGATGGGCTGGCCTTGCTTGGGTTACGCTCCAACTTTGAGTTGTCATTAGCATAGAGCAACATGGAAACCGTATATTTCCCATATTCTACTATTACACCAAGCTGTTATCCCACTTTCGCGGTTCCGGGAGGGAAAGCCGGCCGATTTTAGAGATGCGAGAAAGGAGCAATCGCATATTGATAGTTTGACAGCAATTCGATGTATTCTACGAGCCTGCAGTTACTTTGGGTGATTGGTAGATATATTACCCCCACGCCGGACCAGAAAAGACATTGGGGGAGCGGCGTTGGTTCTCCGCTGGCAGTAATTATGCGGGGCATGGCAGGGTGACGGTCAACCCACGGCTCCAAATGTGCGGATATCGCGATTTCATGGCGGGGGACAAAACGATGCAAAGTTACATGGAAAGTATTGAGTATTGAGAATAATAAAGAAATAGTTAGATATATCGAAACCCGAATTGGTTAAACTGAGCTGCTAGATGAGAGGCTTTGGGGATAGGGAAGGCCGTTGGGCGTTGTGACAATTATATTTCCATAGAGCGCGGGGTAACGGCAGGCGAGTTGGGGGAAAACAAAAGACATCGAACCAAGTAGAAAGGGACCTGACGCTAAGAGTATCAGTGGGAAACTTGGTCTTGTTGCATTCCTGGGGGTCGTATCTAGTAGCTATAAAGTATATTAGGTGTATGCCGTCGCCTGGGCCTGTATTCTTTCAACATCATCTTTATCAGCCTCGCACTTCAGACCAGGGAGTGTATTTTATCCAGACAGCACCACTCTAATTGAACACTACTGCCTCCTTGCTACTTCCCAAACTACATATAATACTTCACTTTCAAAGACTCCGCCATGTCCAAGCCAAAGGTGCTCCTCCTGGGTGTGATTGACCAGTATGTTTCCTATAACGTTTCCCCTCGCATCCGTCGACGACACTGACCCCTCATTTTCCCAGTGCTCACAAGGACTGGTCCGATCTCGCGTCAATTACCGATGTTCTCCAGCCTACCTCTACCAACAGAGCAGACTTCATCAAGGAAGCCCAGGGCGGTGCATTTGACGGCGTTGTCGCTGCATACAGAACCTTCCAATCGGTCTCCATAACTGGGCTCATAGACGAAGAGCTCGTCAGCTCGCTGCCCAAGAGCTTGAAGTACCTCTCCCACAATGGTACGCTCTATTTCCTTCAATCATATATACTCAACATTCCATTGCCGACTGGACACTGCGGGGCATGGCAATAGAAAACTACAAGAGAGTTACGGGCTAACCAAACACAGGGGCTGGATACGATCAAATCGACGTCAACGCCTGCACCAAGCACGACATCCGCGTCTCCAATACTCCCTCAGCCGTCGACGATGCCAGCGCCGACGCAAGCATGTTCCTGATTCTCGGCGCCCTGCGCAACTTCAACACCAGCATGGTCGCTCTGCGCGCCGGCAACTGGCGCGGTAACCCCAACCCATCCCTAGGCCACGACCCCCAGGGCAAGGTCCTCGGTATTCTCGGTATGGGCGGAATTGGACGTAACCTCAAGATCAAGGCTGAGGCCTTCGGATTGTCCGTGCAATACCACAACCGCACGCAGCTCAGCGAGGAGCTGTCAGGGGGAGCGAAGTATGTTAGCTTCGAGGAGCTGCTGGCGACGAGTGATGTGCTTAGCTTGAACTTGCCGCTGAATGTGAGTAATTCGTTCTTGTTTTAGGGGGTTATAACTGATAGGGACAGAAAAACACACGCCACATCATCTCTACGCCGCAATTCGAGCAGATGAAGGATGGAATCGTGATCGTCAACACGGCACGCGGTGCGGTTATTGACGAGGCAGCGCTGGTGGAGGCATTGAACTCTGGTAAGGTGAGGTCGGCAGGCTTGGACGTGTATGAGGAGGAGCCAAAGATTCACCCCGGGCTCGTGGCTTGCGAGCGTGCGATTCTGCTGCCCCATATGGGAACCTGGACCATGGAGACGCAAACGAAGATGGAGGTGTGGACGATTGAGAATTTGAAGATGGCTATTCAGTCAGGAACACTGAAGAGCCCGGTGTGGGAGCAGAAGGATATGTGAGGTTGCCGACGACGGGGCATATAGAGTCTCAGGTGTTGGATTGAAGAGAAGATCGGACCTGACCGCAAATAGAATACAAGGGGAGACTGGCCTGCAAGATATGAAGGGTCATAAAGAATAAGGACTGTATATTCAAATATACAGGGACAATATATAACTTCATGATAGCTGTCATTGCTGCCGCCTTTCATAATGCATGCCGATGTGCCGCGAAGCATGCTAAACGATAGCACAGAAGAATACCACAGTCCAAGAATCTCCAACTGCAAAATTGTTTTCACTTCAGGCTCGTAGTAGAAGCCTAATGAGAGACCAACTACATCGCTATTAGTGGTATCCCAGCGAGCGATTCCCTGTCCGTAAAGCTCACCGCCATTGCATTGCCATGCCCCTAAACTCCGTACACCAGTTATGTATCATCGGCACAATATGTGCATATCCATTCTCTTAGATCAATATTGGTTCCATCACCTCTTCCCTAATGGATCAGGAAACTCCTCTACTAATAGTTAGCTTAGTTATAATAATTCGCGTTCAACGGCCCCAAAGGCTTCGAGGAAGAACGTACTCATACTCCAATCCTGGTGTACCAAAACCGACTCGCACCTAGCGACCTCCTCTCGATACTTTGCGCTCTTCCAGCAGCTTCCCGGCGCCCCAAAGGGGTCCTTCCCTTTCCCATCCTTGTCGCCATTCTTCCTACCCCTTGGTCCTCCCGTGACATTTGAGGTATTCGCCGACTCTATGAATGATCGAGTAGTTTGTCGGTCTGGTGTATCAGCTGGTGAGTCCAGCATCGCCGTATCATTGTGTAGTCCATGCGTTTGCAGGGGAGACGAAGTCGGGGCTGGGGAATTGGAGTCTAGTGGGGTTAATCCATGAACCAACAGCTGGGAAATGATGTACAGATTCTGAGAATCTGAGAATTATAACTCACCTGCCATTGTGTCACCCTTGAACGACGTGGCTACGTGTCCGGCTGTGAGTTCAATGGACCAAAGCCTGTTGTTATGTAAAGTACCTGAGCTTGTGCCAGCAACGACCTGGAGGGCTTCCAGAGCGCTTCATGGGGTTGGGCGGCCGCAGCAGTGGCCCGCTAACCCCCACATTTTGGCACGAATCCAACCGAGACATAAAGTTGCGAGTTTCATGGCTTAGTTCTCCAACATTACAACATACCACTTTCGTTGCTATTTTTACTATATACAAGCACATATATTTATATATAAATAGGTCCAGCTCTTGGAATGGCTAAAAATGGCTCATCGGTGCCCGACGCCTGGGATGACGACTGGGAGTCTCAGGCTGATAAAGAAGAAGGAGGGGTTAAGCTGGAACAACCTGAGGAGGTGAAGTTGAGCAAAGCGGAGAGATTGGCTAAACACGCCGAAGAGAATAAGAAGACGTGGCGGTCTGCGTAAGTTTCTCTCAAATTACATTACTTCCTGGTCCTCGTCCGACTCTAACACCATGACCAGAGAAACCCCCGAAACTTTCCACTTCCTCGCAGCCAAAGACACCGTCCCACTCAAGTCAGAATTCAAACCTACCCTCAAAGTACTCAGCCGGAAACCCGCCTCGCAAGGTGCCGGAGACAGCGACGAAGACGAGCAACCAGGCAAGAACCAACTCTCCGTCGAAGAGATGCGCGCCAAGGCACAGAGGGAGCGCGAGGAGAAACAGAAGAAATATGAGGAGGTGCGCGCAAGGCTATTTGGAACAGATACAAAGTCTGGTAGCTCTAGTCCCGGGAACGTCACCCCCCCGAGCCAAGGAGACGATGGGAGGGGTGGTGGCAGAGGGAAGGGAAGGAATCGAGGCAATGGTGGGGGAGGCGGAAGGGCTCAGCAGGATATTCGCCGCCCTGACAGTAGCCATAATGGCCCAAGGGAGCTCTTTGACCCGAACTACACGGCCAAGCCTGGGGCCGTCTCTATGGCACGTCGCGGCAACGAAACCACCTCCGGACGCTCTACACCCAACTCTACTCGCGGCGATCGCGAGGACGCGCAGATCTTACGCACACCAAGGGGTCCGGACGCAGGGCGAGGGGGCTTTGGGTTTGCTAACAGGGGAGGTAAATCTGGTTGATGGTTTCGTCTCTGCGCTAGGTCTAAATCTATCTACCAGGGTGGTGCTGCGGCGTCGGCTACCATCCTCCACCGATCTTGCCCGCGAGCTGGACAACACGCTCCGTGTCAGTTGTCTTGTCCTTACCGACGTCGCTGATGACAGCGCGGTAGGATGTATACGCTAGCTTCTCAAGGGGTATATCCGTTATGTCCGCCCAGTGGGACAGGGTATTTTTGATGTGGGAGGGAGATATGCCATAAATGGTATCGGACGGGGTATCAACCTCCATCTCCCCATTGCTGCTAGATTCCACAACCCCGTTCTCTGAACCGGAGAAATACGCTTCATCCACCGCGGCAAGCCACTCTTTCTGCTCCTGTGGCCCCGACTTGGTTTCCCTACCCAGCCGCTCCGCTACAATTGGGTCGTCGACTTTAATCTGACCTCCACCGTTTGTGCAGCCGCCGGGACAGGCCATCACCTCGACGTAGCTGAGTTCCACGGAGCTACCAGCTTTCCCCACGGGTTTCCTGGCTGCGCCAACCGGACGTCCGCCTGGCATCCGAGACGGCCGCACTGGCTTCAATTTTCGTACTAAATTCTGGATATTACGGAAACCATAATATCTTGCGGTCTTGAATAATGTCTCGCCGCTGGAAGAGATGATGTTATAATCCATCACATCGGCGTTGCGGCCTCGGGTGGTTTGAATAGTGCTTCCTGGATGTTGAGATGCGAAGTATTGGAGGATATAATGGAGGTTGCCGCCCGATGTACCCGCAGCGCGGTCTCCATTGCTTTGGATAGATGAGCGTGGTGGGAACAGGAAGTTGTGCAGGGCTTGATCAGGAAATGATTGCGAAGTTGAAAGTTGTGAACGAGGTAGTGCCGCGAAATCGATGCCTCGTGATTCGGCGAGCATTATTAGTTCCTTGCTTGTGAGAACACAATCAACATCCCTGACCCCTTTTGTCCCAGGCGATGCTTCCCCGTCCCAGTGAATGTCCGTGAGTTCCTCGCGGCTCGCTTCTAGCTTCTTGTCGAAGCATGGCATGACTGCTACATGCCATATCATATCTGGTGAAATCTTTAACTTCTTGCTAAGCGTCGTCTTGAGAAGCGTTCCCATGAGTGCCTGTGGCGACTTTAACCGCGACAAGTGCGGCAGAACATGAGGATGCGTCTTTTCTGCGTAGCAAATCCAACCTGGGCACGAACTCGTGAGAATAGGTTTAGTAGGTCCTTCTTTGCGACCTTGCATAGACGCCGCCACCTCCTCAGCTCCTAGAACCAAGCATGCCTCTCTCGCAACATTCGTATCCACCACCCATTGGAACCCATTCTTTTGCTCGCCTCCTATGCGCAGTCCCTGAGGCCCGCTCAGGAGCTGTTCAATCATATACCCTGCCTCGCGCTCTGATACGCCATAAGCAGCGGATATACTGGCTCGACTTTGTGGGGAAACGCTCGCGATGTATATCCTCCCGTCCTGGTTCCCTACCCCGCTTTGTATCCCACCATCTTGCCCGAGCTGCAGTGCTGGCGCCGTATCCAGTGCATTCAGCACTTCCGCATGGCTCTGCAAACTCACAAGCACGGCTTCAGCAGACGTCACGCAGCCGGAGCACGCGAGGCAATCTGTGAGGCTGATCTCTGCTGGTGGCAAGTCGGAGGGGAGGGGCGCCTCATTCGAGAATTTGAGTTCGTAGGGGTTATCGTCTGCTGCGGGGGGCGGGAGAGTTTCAATCGGCTTTATGCAGGCGACACCTGGGGAGATGAAGTCGTTGAGGTCGTCTGCGGAGAGGATGGCGGACATGGTCCAGATGGAGGGGCACTTCGCGTGCGGATGCTGAAACTTTATATAGTTCTTCTCAAGCAGTCGAACTTCTGAAGCTGAAAAACACTAGCTATAAATGGGAAAAGAGAATAATAAAATCATTAGGGTGGTTTCAAAATCAAAAGTAGTATTGATTTGTAGTCATAAATATGCGATTAATAATACCAGATTATTGTAAATTGGAATAAGATAATTCGATAAGGTCCCGAGTCCGGAGAAGCGCGATTTGAGTGGCGATGGTGGGGTTCTGGCCAGGACAGGGATGGTGGGTTCTCGGTTTTGCTTTTGGGTCTCAGATGACGCACGTACGCGGATAGCCACTATCGGCCTCAATGTTCAGCAGGGTAGCTGTTTTGAACTTTTGGATATATGGAAGCTTGCTGTAAATCTCATGGTGTATGACTTCTAACTTGAATTGATACATCGATATCCGTCAATATCCATTGTGATTTCAACTTTTGATCTTGTTACAATACCACTCGATTGCTTTGGCGCAAACCTTCCACGTTCGAATCATGAATGCAGGTTGCCCACAGCTTTGTTCTTGACGCGCTTTCTAACTTTCTCAGTCATTTAACTTGTTCTGCTATGCTACAGCAGGCTGGCTAGTTCTGCAGGCGACGCCATTGATTATATCTCCTCGCCTCATCGTTGCGCTTCTCTCCAACGACATCCACCAGCCAAACTCTCTCGAGACCTACTTTGCCCGCTTCCTTGGTCTCACTCTCATACCTTTCGCCATCCTGTTTCTGTTCCTGAGCGGCGCTTTCCCTCTTGATGGTTCTAGCTCACTCTGTATGTTTCCCTACGATGGCCTCTTTTTGCGTCTTGGAATACTCTAACAAACCGCAGCTGAACCCGAAGACGCCCAAACGACACCATACACTACTCCTACTCTCCTCCTAGCAGGTCTATACCATACTTCGATCAGCTTCTACACATATGCACGTTACGCTCAGCGATCCACGTCACAATTCTCATACCTGCTAGCTGCCACGGTATCTGGACTCTTGGCTGCTCTAGGGCTGTGGTCGGCGATGTTTGGAAATGATAGCCATATTAGCAAGAGAACCGGGGCAGACAAGAGGACGAGCGGGTGGCCATTTAAGAACACTGTGGAGATGAAGAGGAGGAAGGGGAAGGGAAGGCAGGAGGAGGGTATCGAGCTCAAGGAATTGTGATGGATCATATCTGAGGGTTGAATGTTGGGTATGAGGATAGTATTGAGCCTTTTGGGCGATGACTGGCAAATTGTTTGAAGAATCTCGTACAAGCCAGGCCTTCAAAGCCTCGTGGCTATCTCGTGGATTTGGTTAGGCTTAGTTGGTCGAAGATAGCACCGCCATTGAGACATGTCTTAGAGGAGTGGCTGGCGGTTGCTTCCACTAATCGAGACATTGCGCACGGCCACACAATCAAACCCATCGTAGCTGCTTCAAATACGAGCAACGAAAGTCATATGTGGCATTCATATTCGTGTAATATTACATACTTTTTGGATCACTCTCCTATGATTTCATTTCCATGAGTCCGTACTCCACTATGCAGCGCAGCTTAACGCCCTTGAAAACCGAGCCAAAACATCAGAATCCCGCCATCGGGTGAATATAGACAAACCCCTTCAGACCACACGTTTAACCTGTTCAAGTGAGTTAGCAACCTTTCCAAGAATTATTTGATCCGTGTGCCTACCTCGAAGAATCTCTTCAACCACCACACCTGGAAGACACCATTTGCAATCAGAACAACCATTTGGAAGGTGCTCCACCATTTAACGCGGCCGTTGGTGCTCTCAGCAGTGTTGCGATGGATGCGCTCGCGGAGGACAATGTAGGATTGTTCGTCTTTAACCTGCGCGAGAAGATCGGATAGCGCGCGAACTTTGAGAAGTAGTTAGCAACAATTTTTGTAGACATCAGGCGATATTGTTACCTTCAATCTCTAGAGGATCAGTGGTCTCTTCCGCCTCGGGCACATAAACAATTCCGTGGACGTTGAATGAGACCTCCTTGCTGTTCGCCGACCAGTTGTCGTTGCTGAAGCAGTATACAAACTTTCCATCGTGCTTCGCAACAAATGAGTGGTCTCCTGTTGATACACTGCGCTCATTTGCCTCGAGTCCGCCGGCAGGGTTGGTGATCTGGTATACCTGTCAGCAACAGCCCTTCCAATGGACAACACGTCATGAGCTTCTCACCCAGAAATCAATGTCCAAGTTCCCAGCCTGTTTAAATTCCCTGTCGCCGACCTGGAAGGTAACAGTCATTTTGTCATCTCTGCGGAGCTGTTCGTGGAAGCATTCGCGTCCATGTCCCGCGAGCTGGATGTTGTGAGCTGTCGCGGCGGTAAAAAGGGTACCAATTGCCAGGAGGCAGGCTGAGATAAAGCGCATGATGTCGGTATGGCAATTGAGCAATCGTGGCCGGTTTATTTGTATGCCGTAAACCTGCTACCTGATCCTCGTTGATATGGGCGGTTCCTGATCTTGGTTACCTCCTAAAATGATGACAGCAGACCTAGGGGCACCTTTTAGACTCTGGAAGCGCTAAAAGTGGCTTAGCGCGGCTAACAGACCACAAGAAATCCCACGAAGACGACCTGTCCACTCTCGCCTCACCTTATCATCTACTAGGTAGATACTCCATCATCCAACTCTCCAACACTTCAACGACCTCGTCCTCATTAACTCACCGCGTTGTAAGTAGGAATCTTATCAACCTCACCGAGTCTCCAACAGTCAAGTCCGCCAATATCCCCTTAGTGACAAAACCATAAACATCGCATACAGTGCCTGGTTTTACGTACACGGCCAAGCCTTTCCCATCGTGCACGGGGATGATATTACACATTCCCACCATGGCCTCCTCTATCACTGTTACTCTATTGTTGCCGGAAGAACTCTCGCTGATTCGAATGACGGTGAACAGACATTTACGCACGAGCGCCTCGCCATAACATAGCCTACTCGCACATACCGCAAATATGGGTCTTACATTCTCGAAGCTGTTCGACAAGTTGTGGGGAAAGAAGGAGATGAGAATCTTGATGGTTGGTTTGGATGCTGCCGGAAAGACCACCATCCTGTACAAGCTCAAGCTTGGTGAGATCGTCACCACTATCCCAACAATCGGTATGGCAAATCCAACAATCATCCCAGCTGCTTTATCAGTCATCGCAATCGGGACTGACGCGTTTTAATTCAGGATTCAACGTCGAGACCGTCGAATACAAGAACATCCAGTTCACCGTATGGGATGTCGGAGGACAGGACAAGATCAGGCCTTTGTGGAGGCATTACTTCCAAAACACCCAGGGTATTATCTTCGTTGTCGACTCCAACGATCGCGACCGTGTTGTTGAGGCCAGGGAGGAGTTGCAGCGCATGTTGAACGAGGATGAGCTTAGGGATGCTCTGCTCCTGGTCTTCGCCAACAAGCAGGATCTGCCAGTGAGTTGCCATCAAAGACAGACTTGTTGAATATGTGTTAACCGCCTCCAGAACGCCATGAACGCCGCCGAAATCACCGATAAGCTTGGTCTGCACAGCTTGAGACAGCGTGGCTGGGTAAGAATCGCCTCCTGTCTAGGCAGCCGCTTTTGGCATGTGAAGATAACACGACTAACTTTTGGACACAGTACATTCAATCCACTTGCGCTACCTCCGGTGATGGACTTTACGAGGGTCTTGAGTGGCTCAGCAGCGCTCTCCGCAAGACTGGCCAGAACTAAGATTTGTAACACATATCATCTCTCCTCAATCGTTCATCACAGCTCAGCCAATCATCCATCTACGACAAATGCTTTTACACATCCCTATCCTGGTCTTTTGTCACTTCAGCGGTTTGAATCCTATGAGAGGCGCAAGGGTGGATTTTGTTCGATGGCGAAGTTCTGTGGCTCTTTGCTTTCCTGCATGGCTCTGGCTTCGCCTTCGTGAAGCCTTTCTCTTTGCGTGCCTTTTGGGTCTCCTCTCTCAGTCTGCTTGATGTTGTCTTTATGGTATAAAAGCAGTCGGTAGATTAGGGATGAGACGTGGTTGGTAGTTTACTCGATAATGGATTTTACTTTAGAGCAGGATCGTCATGTGTCATCTAATCATATTCTTAACTCTGATCCGTAATGTGCTCGTAGTTTTGTTTTCCATACGTACTTGTATCTATGTTGTACACTCTAATCGCAGAGGGGTAATATTGCGCGTTCAAACTCCTCCACATGCATCTCTTATATGTTTACACATCCCCCCCCCCTTCCCTCCTACACGCCCTCACTCCCCCCCTCTTCTTCCCACTCTCCCACTCCCTCAACGCCTCCTCCCAACCCCTCCCCTTCCCCCCCTCACACCTCTCCTCCACAACCTCCCAAGTCCTCGCCCTCACAATCCTCTCCACCCCACTCTCCATCCTCACGACCCTCGCCAACTCCTCCGTCCTACTCTCCCTCGGAAAGAACCTCGACGAATAAGGATCAAGCCTATCATCAATCACCCTCGCCTTCCCCCTCTCCTCCTCAAGCTGCCTCGCCACAAGCCCCGGATCATCCGGGTCCGGCGACACCGCTACATGCCCGCAGTACTGAAGCACGTCGGACCGCGCCTGCCATGCTGGGAATAGAATCTCGGACTTGAAAGAGGTGCAGGCGCGGGGGTCGAGCGTGCAGGCGCCGGAGGGGGTGCGGTGGGAGGTGGAGGTTACGTCGAAGCCGCGGGCGGCGGGGGTGGCGAGGGCGTTGAGGTTCTGGGTTATGGAGTCGTCGATTGAGGAGCGTGAGATGCGGATGAAATCTGTGAGTGTTAGACGAGGGGGTGGGAGGTGGGTGCAGGCTTGGGGAGAGGCGTACCTCGCAGGGCGGCGATGGAGAAGCAGAATTGCGGAGTTAGTACTGGATGGCGGGGTTGGGAAACCATCTCTTCCGTTGCCATAGTGGGCGAGGAGGGAGGCAGCTTCGACCAGATGAAGTTCGCCACGGTGGATGGTGTTGGTATGGTGTTTTCGTGGGTTCGTGGGTTGGCGGTTAGGTGGTCTGGAAGGTCTGGTTTGGGCGGTGATGTTGGTACTACATACAGTATGTACCTTTTACCTGGTTTTATCTAAGCGCGGTTTGGCTGATAAGAGACCTCGATGACGAAGTGAGCTATTCCTTGGATGTGGAATCTGTCGAGCTTCAAGGTTGGGGATGCTTTTGTAAGATGCGTGAAATATGTCGAATAATACGAATGTGGAGGTCCTCATTGTGAGTTCTTTCTAAGGATATTCGTCCTGTGGCTGTCATTTCTCCCTTCCGTACAAATCGCTCTCAAACCGGATGACAAGTGAATGTCAGACGAGATAGCAACACCTTGGAAGACCTATCCAGTGTATAGGCGGCCATTTACAATTTTCAGATCTTACATCGTTATGAGAATTTCGTTGCTCTGTTCTAAAATGTTCAAACCCCCACCACAGACATCTACCCACCTAATTTGGTGCGACGAGCGGATCTTGAGAATTTCATAATGTCAAACCCCCCACGGGTCTACCCCCACGGCGGCGCTTGCATATTTGCTTCTTTCGCGTCTCTTATTTTGACGTCAGGTCTGTTGCTGATAATTACATAAAGGCTGGAGGGATCGCTGCTTTCACTATCGATCTGCTAGCGTATCCTTTGGATACTTTGAAGACGCGATTCCAGAGTAAAGACTACAAAAGGATCTACTATGACCCGGCCAAAAATGCCGTGAATAAGGCGGTTCTGTTCAGGGGATTGTACCAGGGCGTAGGGAGCGTGATCCTCGTTACTTTACCCTCATGTGAGTCCATTTATATAATTATTGTTCTGTATTGATTGTTGGTAGCGGGAATCTTCTTCACAACATATGAAGCCGTCAAGAGCGGTTGTATTAAAATCAACCCAACACAGAGCGGGTCGCAACATCCATTAGTTCCGCTACCAATTGTCCACTCCGTAGCCTCATCTGTAGCTGAGCTTGCATCATGTCTGATTCTCACACCGGCAGAGGTCATTAAACAAAATGCACAGATGGTACGGCGGCCAGCTGGCAGCCACCACTCTAGCTTCAAGCAATCACCAACCTACCAAGTCCTGCAACATTTTAAGAAGCCAACTCAGTTGCTCAGGGGCTACACCTCCCTAGCAGCTCGGAACCTCCCATTCACGGCAATGCAGTTCCCCATGTACGAGCACTTAAAACGGACTATCAATTCCAGTAGGCAGAAGAAGGGCAAGGCAACGGGGTCAATCTCGGAATTAGCAGCCGTCACGGCGGTCAGCGCAAGTGCGGCTGGCTCAGTCGCATCGTTTATCACAACGCCACTAGACGTCGTGAAGACACGGGTCATGCTCTCAGCAATGGACAAGCGCAGCGATAACAGCAGCACGAAGCCAGCCGGCTCAGTATCTCCTGGAAAGGGAAGCGCTCCTGCACGAGCAAGCCGCGGCGTGAATATTGACGTGGCACGACGAGTGCTTTCCGAAAGCGGTGTCAAGGGCCTCTTCCGCGGAGCAAGCTTGCGATCCGCCTGGTCTGCGTTGGCAAGCGGGCTGTATCTCGGGGTCTACGAGAGCATGCGGATGTGGCTCGGGGAGCGGCGGGTAGGGACGGATGTATGAGGATGTGATAGGGAGGGAATTCTTGGAGGAGGAGGGGAGTGTGGAGTGTGGAGGGGAGTGTGGAGTGTGGAGGGGAGTGTGGAGTGTGGAGGGGAGTGTGGAGTGTGGAGGGGAGTGTGGAGTGTGGAGTGTGGAGTGTGGAGGGGAGATGTGGATGATGAGACGTTGTATCGCACACCCTGGTTCGAAACGGCGTAAGCAAAAGTCGACTAGAGGGTTTGTGAAAATATGCTAGCATTCCTACATCTCTCTAGCTACGTGGAGAGCATCTATAGATGGATATATTTGAATGGGTAAGGCTGTAGCGGACGAAGAGTATACCACAGGCCAAACTGAGATTTTGCACGCATGTTTGTTGGTCCCCGTCTCGTACAGGCAGCTGAATGTGATATGAGTAATATCACCAGCCGTCAATTAGACAGGATCAGCAGGAGGGAGCGAGCGTTTGATGTGAGCGGTGAGAATCAGCCGGGATAATCTAATGACGGTGGGTGTGGACTGTGCGTTGCAGACACGATGTATATTGGCTACAACACCCCAGGCAGGGCTAGGACTAAATGGCATTTTGGAGGCTATCAATCTCGAATTATGATGACGATTGCCCCGTCTTAACTATTATTGATGCTTTGGTAATATACAGTAATCAGATATGCCGGACGCCGTTTCGTGAGACATGGGACATGGGCAACTTTGTTCTCTGTTTGGCCAGAAAAAACCCGTGGGTGTGGATGTCCTTGTTAGCTTCAAACGTGCCAGGATCTGATGTGTGTATGGCTATCGGATAATCAGTACTATATTCTACAAAGAAAAAGAGATTATTCTTTTAGCTTCTAACAAAAGAAGCTCGGCCAGTAAAATATTGTCGAGTCATGACGAGCCAAGCAAAACCAAAAATCCACCACCCTAGATTAATCGTTTTTCTATCCGCCTTCAGGACCGGCAGGGTCCCACAGTGTGTGCCTGGCAACCCGAGGCCGTCTTGCACCATCGGGCTTTAAGATGTCGAGCTAGATTGTCTCGGTTGCCACTACTTACTAACAGTAATTGTGGTATTTATTAGACTGCCCGCCTTGCGCATTTTCTTTTTTGCCCTCTGTTTTATATAGTAAAGTCAAAATCCAGGTAGTTTTTGAGTCCATTCATTCTCTCTTTTTGCCTGCCCGCTTCGTTCTCTCCTTCTCACATCGACGCCGCGGTCAATTGGGCAAAGAACATACTTTCAGTGTCTCTGGCTTCGTCACACCAACTATCGCCCCTCGTTCTAAAGCTCGGGAACAAAGCCGCCTCCTCGTCACGCGGTAGGTGCTTCACAATCACATTTGCATCCCCGCCGTAACAATGGCGATCGACATTGGTCCAGTTCTCGTGGAGAAGCCCGTGGTGGTGCCCATTACCGTCAAGATCACAGCACCAGTTGCTCTTCCGGTGGCTCCAGTGCCTCCGCCAAAGCTTGGGGACGAAACTCATCTGGTCATCTCGCCATATACCGACCATGCTCATCTGCTTGATCTCAGCACAGTCGGCATCCAAGAACAACTTTTGGCGTTCGCATTGATTAAAATGAAGTCCCTGAGGGAAGACTACGCAACTGCTCCATATATCGAAACCTTCAACTGGGCCGAAGTTGTCGAGGACCTCCGTGAGCGTGCCAAAGCGATTGGGCATTCGTGGACCGAGCAAGCCTTCTATATCGTTGCATTCAGGTCCCAAGTTCCGCCAACAACCGACTATTCAAACCTCGACGCTCTCGACAAGGCGGCCCACATTGAGGCGATCCAGAGTGGTGGTTTCTTGAAGTAAGTGATACCCCCATGAAAATTTCCGGTGTAAGTTTCTAACATTTCCCTAGGTACTGGTTTGGATCTCCCGACGTAACTGGGAGAAACCTCGCGACTTGCGTTTGGAGAACGCAGGAGGACGCCGTTCTTGGTGGAATTGGGCCAGCTCACCGCCGCGCCGCGGGTGCTGCAAGGCACAGCTACACCGAGTGGCACATTGAGCGCCTCTCGCTTGTCATCAAGGACAACATTGACAGCTGGGCTATTGAAAAATGGGTAGCAGCCAAATGAAGACAGCAAGCTACACCAACGATTTGACGCCGCGAAGGAAAAGTTAATGAAGGGGAAGAAAGTTATGATGAGACGACAAAACATGAGATAGACTTGTACCCGTTGCGATACATATTGGTTTCTTCATTGCTTTCAACCTAGATTGGTTTGGGAGGTTTTGTGCTTTTTGCTTTCAAGCGAGCTCATCATAGCGGGCGTTACAATCGACTTCCATCGTATAAGGCTCTGCCAATAGGCGCCGTTACTGGCCTGGAATGATAATATTTTGAAAATATTTTGAACTGAAAACGTGCAAACCTAATCAATCACCTTAGAAGAACATATTTCAGGGTTGTGAGAACGTGACTTACCTATAGTTGGGAGACATGAGAGAGCGGGAAATCTGTGGTGATGGTGCTAAATGTACTAGCGCGATTTTGACGCCAAGACTTTGCGTTTGCGATCCCACAAACGAGAAACGACGTCCAAAAAGTGTCCCGCCCCGACGAGTATTCAATCTGCGACGACCACCTCACCTTGACAACCCTCTTGCCGATCGCCATCGCAAGCTTCATCAACTCGTCGTACACCAGGGAAACCTTACATATTCAATATGGCGGACGCTATTTCGAAGGAGATTCCGCTCAACGCGGTGCAGGTGGAGGCTTTGGTATGCCGATAGGGCTTTGGTGGCCAGTTCAAGACTGACAGGAAACAGGTTGTCATGAAGATCGTCAAGCACTGCGCAGCTGCGTTCCCCACGACCGCAACAGGCTCCATCGTCGGCATGGACAAGAACAGCACCCTCGAGGTCACCAACAGCTTCCCCTTCCCTACCACAGATATCGTCCAATCCGACTCGTCGCACCAGAGCCAGAACGACCACCTAAATGCGTCGAATGCGGCGGCAGCGGCACCGCGCGCCAAGGCCAACGTGGTTTACCAGAACGAGATGATCAAGTACCTGCGTGAGGTCAACGTGGACGCCAACAACGTTGGGTGGTACACGAGCGCGAATATGGGCAGCTTCATTAACTTGAACCTGATCGAGAACCAGTACTTCTACCAGAAGGAGGTTAACGAGCGCACTGTATGCTTGGTACACGATGTGTCGAGGAGCGCACAGGGGGCACTGAGCCTGCGTGCTTTCAGACTCTCGCCTACGTTTATGGCGGCCTATAAGGAAGGTGTTGCCAGGTTCACAACCGAGAGGTTCGTCGCATGCATATCATAGCTGGAAGTCGCTTCGAAATGCTAACCTTTTTATTTTAGCCTCCAGAAGTCCAAGATGACCTACAAGGATATCCTTGTTGAGCTCCCCCTTATCGTCCACAACTCCCACCTTTTGACTTCTTTCCTACATCAACTACCGGCAGTCCCATCCGCTGAGCTTGAGTTCCCCACCAGCTTGGCAGACATTAAGGGTCTCAACCCAGAGATCCCATTATATCCAGCATACGAGACCACTCTTGATATGTCGATTGACCCATTCTTGGAAAAGTCGTGCGACCTGCTTTTGGACGCTGTTGAGAGCCACTACACCGAATTGAACAACTTCCAGTACGTTCCAAATTCGCGCCGTCTTACTACTTGGCTAACACTGCTTGTTCAGATACTACCAAAGACAACTTGCCCGTGAACAAACCAAGGTCACCGCTTGGCAAACAAAGAGGAAGGCCGAGAACGCTGGACGAGTTGCGGCTGGCCAGGCGCCGCTCCCGGAAGACGACTGGAAGACCCTTTTCAAGCTGCCAACCGAGCCATCTCGTCTCGAGTCGATGCTCTTAGCTCGCCAGGTCGAGCAGTACGGACGCACCGTCGACAACTTCACCGCCACCATCAGCGCAAAGATGTTCCTTTCTAAAGATACCCTGCTTCCTGGAGAGTCATCCTAGGCTAACTTAGGGGGGTTTTGTGTGATGATAGGGGGGCATGGATGGGGAACGGGGAACGCGAGATAATGATCTGCTCGTTTGGGGGATTTGCATGGCAATGGCGTTCGACGGCATAGAACAAGCTGTGTATAGTATTTGCCCTATTACAGCCATAAAAGAAGATTCAAAACTATATTAAGCAGCTGCCTTTTCGGGGACTTGCGAAGTGAAGTACGGAGTAGCAGTGGAATATCTAGGAACCGCACCTTCTTCGACCACGCTAGTAACACACATATTTTGTTGTTTTCGCCAAGGATAACATCGGAATACGCTGCGTGGGGAGCGAGGGGTTTGTCATATCACTTGTTCGGGGAGTTCTGGCGCCCTTCCTAGAAACCCGATGCGGGCTGGGAGCCAATCATATAGTCGAGACAGGCCACACAAGGTTTCCAGCACAGTATGCCCCGCAGCAAAACTGTTACAGTGTACTCTAATGTGGTGAATCAAATGGAAGTCGCAGCTTCGGTGCAACCCGTCTAGTTTGTAAAGGCAGCAGGGTTACGTTGGGAAGGAAAACGTGTGTAGAGATCTCAGACCACAAGTTCCCCGATCGTAGTCGTCCTACATCTATACTATACAACTAGAAATACTAAATCAGTATTCTTGTTATTCATAATTGCTTCAATCGCACGTTTCCTGGGCGCTTCTGCACGTTGTGGTAGAGTTTTTTGTCTGGACGTCGGAGACTTGCCCCTCCTTCGTCCTCTCACCGCCACGGGCACAATTCGTTCAGGGCCAACCACCACAAAGGCCGCCAAACCCGAAAGGTTGGTGGGGTTATCTTTAGCGAATATACGATCCTTCCAACTTGTCCCACTTCCCTCCCCCCCGCCTTCACCTTCTCATTCATCTTACTCTCCCAAACACCTCATTTTCCTCCCATCCAAAATACCCCCAAAACACTTCACATCACAATCATGAGCGGAGCACCAGCATCCAAGTTCAAGGTCGCTGACCTGTCCCTCGCGGCTTTCGGCCGCAAGGAGATCGAGCTCGCTGAGGTATTTACACCACCCCTTAGCTGAAACAGATAAAATAATCATCGGACTTGAAGCTGACCATATTGAACAGAATGAAATGCCCGGTCTCATGGCCACCCGTGCCAAGTACGCTGAGGATCAGCCACTCAAGGGTAATTGAATCTACTGCCTCATAATACATATCCAGTGCTAACTCGTCCCCAAGGTGCCCGCATTGCTGGATGTCTCCACATGACCATCCAGACTGCTGTCCTCATCGAGACCCTCACCTTCCTCGGTGCTGAGGTTACCTGGTCTTCCTGCAACATCTTCTCCACCCAGGACCACGCCGCTGCTGCCATTGCCGCTGCTGGTGTCCCAGTCTTCGCCTGGAAGGGTGAGACCGAGGAGGAGTACCAGTGGTGCCTTGAGCAACAATTGGTTGCCTTCAAAGACAACAAGGGCCTCAACCTGATTCTCGATGACGGTGGAGAGTAAGTTTAACCATTTTCTTGTACATTGGAATCCGAGTCTAATCGCAACTAGCTTGACCTCGCTGGTCCACAAGAAGTACCCTGAGATGCTCAAGGGCTGCTACGGTGTCTCTGAGGAGACCACCACCGGTGTTCACCACCTTTACAAGATGCTCAAGAACGGCGAGCTGTTGGTCCCATCCATCAACGTCAACGACTCCGTTACCAAGTCCAAGTTCGACAACCTTTACGGTTGCCGTGAGTCCCTCGTCGATGGTATCAAGCGTGCCACCGATGTAATGATCGCCGGAAAGGTCGCCGTTGTCGCCGGTTTCGGTGATGTCGGAAAGGGTTGCGCCATGGCTCTCCACTCCATGGGTGCCCGTGTCATCGTCACTGAGGTTGACCCCATCAACGCCCTCCAGGCTGCTGTCTCTGGTTTCCAGGTCACCACCATGGAGAAGGCTGTCTCCCAGGGACAAATCTTTGTCACCACCACCGGCTGCCGTGACATCCTTGTTGGCGAGCACTTCGAGGCCATGCCCAACGATGCCATCGTCTGCAACATTGGTCACTTCGATATCGAGATTGACGTCGCGTGGTTGAAGGCCAACGCCGAGTCCGTCCAGAACATCAAGCCCCAAGTCGACCGCTTCCTCATGAAGAACGGCCGCCACATCATCCTCCTCGCTGAGGGCCGCCTCGTCAACCTTGGCTGTGCCACCGGCCACTCCTCGTTCGTCATGTCGTGCTCGTTCACCAACCAGGTCCTTGCCCAGATCATGTTGTACAAGTCCGAGGATGCCGCTTTCGGCAAGAAGTACATCGAGTTCGGCAAGAGCCAGAAGCTCGATGTCGGCGTCTACGTTCTTCCCAAGATCCTGGACGAGCAGGTCGCCCAGCTCCACTTGGCACACGTCAACGCCGAGCTCTCCACCCTCTCCCCTGTTCAGGCTGAGTACCTCGGCCTCGCCATCGAGGGCCCATACAAGCCAGACATGTACCGTTACTAGACAGTTTTCCTTTTGGAGTCTTAATCAATCATGGGCAGGAGCATTTTTCAACACGAGTTATGATAGCATGAATCTGGGGAACTAGGAGCATTTGTCCTTCAACGGCATCTTCACAACAAAGGGTTTTCCGGAAAGGTTATATTTCAACAAAGGATAAGGGAATGGGATGGAGGGTGTTTCGTTTTGTAGCGTATGGCGTTTGCTTGGCTGGCTCTTCAACCACGGTCAAGTAGAATGTAGAGATGAACTTGACAGAGTAATTCCATAACTAGGATATTAAATATTTGGTTATCTGATAAATGGCTTTATGAATAAAGTGATATGGTGTATGCATGGCCAGCCGGAATAATGAATACAGGGCAAATTTAACACGCCACAACAACACGTACGATAATTATAGCCTAGATGCCAGTCTCTACTAACCCAGTGATCGTTCGGCGCAGATTGCCAGTACAGACGACCTCGAGCGCAGGACCAGAGGCATTGGGGTTGAGACTGACTGCAAGATGGAGTCCATCAAGTCCCTTGTTGCAGCTAATCTCGAACTGAGGAGCAGTACCAAGTCGCCAAGACAGCAACTTTAAACAAAGCTAAATCTTCAAACCTATCCAAGGTTATAATTACGATATTATAGACTTCAATGAGCTAATTTTTATAAACCAAGCCTTAAAGAGATGCTCCTTCAAAGTATTATGATGTTGTGCGGTATGACGAGGCTGGGATGGTGGTTTCGGCCCTTCAGCGTTGTCTTGGCAATTCCGGACGTCATGACGTTTCTTGAAAGTTCTAGAAATTTCCACAAAGCTTCAATCAACATTGCATATAATTGCAATACTTAAGTCTTAAATCTCATTATGCCCTTTATGTTTCGAAGTCTATGAATAACTGCACATTACAGCAATGCTATCCTCAAGGATGAACGCGCCAGCAAGGCGCATTTGCGCCTCTGCGAGGCTATCAACTGTTACATCACGAAGCTCTGCTATAACTCCTCGATCATATTTATTACCTACTATTCGTACGAATCTACGACTCATACCGAAACTGTCTCCCGTGGTATCCCTTCGACACTATGCCAATGGGCCCCGCAAGCCACACCCTCCAGGGGGCACACACCGCATGGACATGAGTGGCGGGGAGGAAAAGTCCGCGCTGGAGGAATACGGCGTCGACCTTACCCAAAAAGCCAAAGACGGCAAACTCGACCCCGTCATCGGCAGAGACTCCGAGATCCAACGCACCATCCAAGTCCTATCGCGCAGAACGAAGAATAACCCCGTCCTAATCGGCAAAGCGGGCACGGGAAAGACGGCGATACTAGAGGGGCTGGCCCAGCGGATTGTGAGGGGGGATGTGCCGGAGTCGATGAGGGAGAAGAGGGTTGTCTCGCTGGATTTGGGACAGTTGATTGCGGGGGCGAAGTTTAGAGGGGATTTTGAGGAGAGGTTGAAGAAGGTGCTGAAAGAGGTGGAGGAGGCGGAGGGGAAGGTCATATTGTTTGTGGATGAGTTGCATATACTGCTTGGACTTGGGAAGGCGGAGGGTAGCATCGATGCGTCGAATCTGCTTAAACCGGCACTGTCTCGTGGCGAGCTTCAGTGCTGTGGTGCGACGACGATTAATGAGTACCGACTTATTGAGAAGGATGTCGCACTCGCGCGGAGATTCCAACCGATAATGGTGAATGAGCCAAATATCCAAGATACGATTAGCATCTTGCGCGGTATTAAAGAGCGTTACGAGATCCACCATGGAGTGCGCATATTGGACGGCGCGCTTGTTGCAGCTGCTTCGCTGGCAAATCGCTATATCACAGAGAGGTTTCTCCCAGACTCGGCAATTGATCTCATGGATGAAGCAGCTAGCGCTCTTCGATTGCAGCAGGAGAGCAAGCCGGAGGATATTTTACGCTTGGATCAGCGTATTATGACGATCCAGATCGAGCTGGAGAGTCTCCGAAAAGAAAGGGATGTTGCCAGCAGAGAGAGGAGAGAGAAGCTGGAAGCAGATTTGGAAGCTGCACAGGAAGAAGTGGGCGCTCTGAATGACAAATGGGAGAAAGAACGTGGGGGGTTAGAGGCTATCAAAAAGCTGAAGGCTGAGCTTGAGGAAGCGAGGATAGAGCTTGAACAAGCACAACGCCTCAACAACTATGGCCGTGCAGGAGAGCTTCGATATTCTATTATCCCAGGGTTGGAGCAGCAGTTGCCAGCAGATGGCGAGACTGGATTGGATGCCGGTTCGGAAAGCAACCTCATCCACGACGCAGTCTCAGCGGACGATATCGCTGCGGTCGTATCGCGTACCACTGGAATTCCGGTTTCTAAGCTGACCTCGGGTCATGCTGAGAAGCTTGTTCACATGGAAGACTCGTTGCGGCAGTTTGTTAGAGGTCAAGATGAAGCACTTGTCTCTGTCGCCAATGCCGTTCGGATGCAAAGAGCCGGGTTGAACGGCGAGAATCGTCCACTCGCCTCATTCTTCTTCCTGGGCCCTACTGGTGTTGGAAAGACAGAGCTCGCAAAGAAGATAGCATCTTTCCTATTCTCAACCGAGCAAGCCGTTGTCCGTTTCGATATGAGTGAATTCCAAGAAAAGCACACCATCTCCAGGCTCATCGGGTCTCCTGCTGGATACGTAGGCTACGATGACGCCGGGCAATTGACGGAAGCTGTTCGGCGGAAACCATATGCGGTTCTCCTCTTCGACGAGTTCGAGAAGGCTCACCGCGACATCTCGGCACTACTCCTGCAGGTGCTGGACGAAGGCTTCCTGACCGATTCTCAAGGCCACAAGGTTGATTTCCGCAATACCCTCATAATCCTCACCTCCAACCTCGGTGCTGACATCCTGGTCGGAGCGAACCTGGATCATCCCTACAAGGAGGACGACGAGGGACAGATCGATCCTGAGGTCCGCACGGCCGTTATGAATGTGGTTGCCCAGAACTACCCACCCGAGTTCCTGAACCGCATCGACGAGTTCATAGTCTTCAAGCGGCTGTCACATGAGGCTTTGCGCGAGATTGTGGATATTCGCCTCAAAGAGCTCCAAGGGAGATTGGATGAGCGGAGAATCACTCTTGAGGTCGATGATGAGGCGAAGACTTGGCTTGCGGATAGAGGATATGATCCTCGCTTTGGAGCAAGGCCGCTGAACAGATTGATCTCGAAGGAGGTGGGCAACAGGCTTGCGGACCTTATTATTCGGGGGCAGCTGAGGAAAAACCAGGTTGCCAATGTTAAGGTGAAGGGAGATGGTCTGGAAATCGCATCTATCACAGGTGGGGATGAAGAGTAGGGGATGGAATGGATTGGAAATTCGGGGGAAGTCAAAATTGAAATGGAGTTAGTTACACATATACGACTATATTTATAGTGATTATTTTATCACCCAATAGAGCTCATGGGCTTCAGTTGGTTCAAGGATGCCTCTCCTCTTCCAAATTATGTCTTACGCCACCTATGCTCTGCTAGAGTAGCATTTTTCACTCAATAGCATCCAGCTAACTTCTCCACTGAGAAATTTGCCTTCTCAGATTTGAATAGTGGTAGATGGCAAATTATTCGTCGGGCTGCGATTCAGGTACCACTGAGGAACCACACGTGCGGCAACGCGGCTCTGCGCTAAATAGGCGACCAATTAAATCTCTCACCCCTCCCACAATATTTGCGAAAAGAACATCCGCACTCCTCGAGCCCAAATAGAGATCGCGACATTACAACTTCTTCTTTTACGATCGCTCAATAACCTCGTCTCTATCCTCAATTACAAATTTTCACCATGGGTTTCACCGATCTTGTCTCTGAGGCTGGTCTCACTGGTAAGTCTTGGCTTCTGTCATTTTCCCTCATCTTGCCTCTCGACCGCTCCATTTGAACCCCTCTATTTGGCCAAGAAATGGAAAATTTGGAGATCAACAACGCTGACTTCTTTTCCAGTCCTCAACAGCTACCTGACCACCCGCTCCTACATCGTTGGGTAAGCATACAATCTCCAAGTTTCACCTATACCTCTCTGCCATGCCACTCCGTTGCTGTCCATGACAGTAGCGGTGACTAGAGCTTCCCCTCATTATGAAGAACGATATTGGTCCGTGTTACTGAGGGGCCTCAAGAACCCCATTATGGCGACAAAACCAAGCACTTGTGCAACTCTGATTTTTAAACATTGGCTTCCTTTTCATGCCCTATACGCATTTGTGGTCTTATCAGCAAATCTAACAAGACTATAGCTACAACGCCTCCCAAGCCGATGTTGTCACCTTCAAGGCTCTCTCCTCCGCCCCAGACGCAGCCAAGTACCCCAACGCTGCCAGATGGTACAAGCACATCGCTTCCTACACCGATGAGTTCGAGACCCTCTCCGGAGACTCCACCAAGCCATACACCGCCTACGGCCCTGAGGTCGCCGAGGTTACCCTGAACCCAGCCAAGGCACCTGCCGCCGCTGAGGAGGAGGATGAGGATGTCGACCTTTTCGGCTCTGATGACGAGGAGGAGGATGCGGAGGCCGTCAGGATCCGTGAGGAGAGACTAGAGGAGTACAGAAAGAAGAAGGAGGGTAAGGTCAAGCCTGCTGCCAAGTCCGTTGTTACCCTTGACGTTAAGCCTTGGGACGATGAGACCGACATGGTCGCTCTTGAGGCCGCTGTCCGTAGCGTCGAGAAGGATGGTCTCGTCTGGGGTGGATCCAAGCTCGTTGCTGTTGGTTTCGGTATCAAGAAGCTCCAGATTAACTTGGTTGTTGAGGACGAGAAGGTTGGTCTTGATGACCTCCAGGAGGAGCTCGCCGAGTCGTTCGACGAGTACATCCAGTCTTCCGATGTCGTAAGTTGCACCACATATCCCTCGAAATATAGCATCAAACCGCTAACACATTTACTAGGTTGCTATGCAAAAGTTGTAGATGGTATGGAGTCTTTTAGATCTAGTCTATTTGCCCATATCCAGCGCCGTGACGGCGTAATGTCACATTTTCGAGCTGGAGTTGAAGGTTAATTTACTGTCAGAAGAGTACAAACGAAGCTTTATGACATGATGATATCATAACTAGCGATAGAACCCGAAAATTCCATGCGCCGAAAATGTCTGGGAATGATACAGAGCTGTAAATATTGTGATATACGTATTCGTGATTGTTGTAGTAGCTGTATGGGAAACGCCTGATGTGACCCTAGCTTAGTTTGCGGGTTGAGCTGTAGCGCCAAGCATTGGACCCCAGAAAGTGAACGTCAACCACACAAGCTATCAGAGGGTTGTACTGACGAACAGCCTCGACAACACCCAACAAAACAAACAATGACCTGGATCTCGAAAGCAACGACGGGCCTCGGCCTGCTGTTCCTCGCACACGCGTACGCCCCCCAACAATCCATCCCCTTGAGCTCCGTTTCTGACCCAACACCCTTCTAGTTGCTACTCAGCCCAAGAGCACTCCGCATTACAGTCCACCACCAACGCACTCCACGATGTGCCCTCCTCCGCCAGCCTCCCCATAGACATCGTCCTCGAAACCATCATCTCCTTATTCACCACCATCCTCGGCCTGGTGCTAGGCACAGCTGAGCTGCGTCCGATACGCTGGCGCGTGTGGGCCGGCAAGATCGAGCGCGAGGGCGAGAAGGGGTTCCTGGGCGCGGATGGACAGGTCGCGAAGGACTATGTTGGGAATCCGTATAAGGTGCTGGAGAGCAGACCGGGGTTTGTGGATATTAGGAAGCAGAAGAAGGAGTTTGCGGAGTGGGTGAGGGAGGGGGGGAGTGCGGAGGTGCGCTGAGAGGGGGTTGAGGGTGTATAATATGGGTTATGGATGGGCAAGATGGAGATGAATAAAAAATGCAAGCATGTCATACATTGAGGGAGCGTCGAACAAAAAATTGGCTCGCATTTATACTGGAATCCTGTGATAAATCGTAGGTGTAAGTTGCGTCAATATTATTTATTTCAAATCCTTTCAAACCCAACTTTTATGTGCTGTATGGATTCTTCTACTACTTATATCCGCCGAGTGGCACTGCGTGGGACACACTTGACTCTCCAGGCCGAGGCATGAGGGGTGACACTCGCCAACTCCCAACCTCAGTCACCAAAGGCCGTTTGTCCATACTGCTGTCTCTTGAGTGTCTAAAAGACACATTCAACTCTTAATAGCCACGGAATGCAAAACTAGCTAGCAATGTCCTCCAAGCGCCAGAAAATCAGCTCACAGTCGAGCTCAACTGTTTGGTTTTCAGGCCGTGGGCCCAAGTTCGCCCCCAGAGGCAACTCCCGTAGCTCAGAAACCACTTCATCTCCTGGATTTCAAACCCCGATAGGTCGAAGGGCCATTGCTAAGAGCCAATCTGCGAAGACTCAATTCTCTAGGCAAGGCTCCGTGCTGCAAACTTCCCTGCCCCCCTCGTCACCCGCTCTGTCACAACTGGCATCAGCGAAACGAGCCGCCTTCGGATTGCCGCGGTCTCATGCAAATGGCGGCTCCTCGTCCCTCTCACGAACCAGTAACCATATTGCTGAGATTGAGAGTGAAGCAGAAGTACAGGATCGAGAGGATGCCGATGCGTTGAACGAGATCATAATGGCGATTGACATGAGAGATCGGGGTACGCTGGGGTGTGCATATTACATTGCAAGGGAGGAGAAGTTGTTCCTTACGGAGGACATAAAACTATCTGGCCTGGATATTGTTGATACTCTGAAGCTACATGCTTCACCCACTGTCGTTCTTATTAGTACCAAGTCAGACGACGCCCTCGAAGACCATCTCATGAAGGATGCAAGTCGCGGTGATAATCCTGGTATGCTCAATATAGCTTAACTCAATTCGAATAGCAAACTAACTGTTATAAGATGCAATTTTCGGTGCATATGTTCTTGATTCGAGACCGTCAGCTGAGTTTCAGTACGAACCCGCAAAGAGCAAACTGGTGAATTGCGACCTCAGCGGTAGCAATGGCCCGCGCATGCAGTTCTCCACACCAGGTGACGAGCTTATGGGAAACATGGGATATATGCAAGATCCCGAAGAGTATGAAGCTGCGGGTTATCAAGGACGACTTCTCGGACTTGCTGGGTGCATTGACCTTGAGAGCCGTGTTTCGGTGGGTGCAGTAGAGTCTTATTTTAATGGCAAATAAATATCTAACGTCATTACAGATTGGGTGTGCGGGCGCAGTATTGAGCTATCTTTCGAGACGCAGAACGACTGAATATTTACCAGGGGACCAGGAGGCCCTGATAGCATTCAATGTTAGCACGATTGAGATGTTCAGCCTGGCAGACATGATGTTCATCAATGCCGATACCCTCAACTCGCTACAGATTCTCCAGTCTGAATTTCACCCAAATATACACATGCAAGGACCTACCAAATCCAACTCAGGGGTCAAAGAGAGCTTGTCTGTGTATGGCCTCTTCCACCAACTGGCTCATACTCCCCAAGGCAAACACAAGCTCCGACAAGTTTTCCTCAGACCAAGCCTAGATTTGAATTTGATACAGGAACGCCACAATACGATTGCCATCCTCCTCAGACCTGGCAATGCGGACGCCTTGAATATCATTACCCAGAGCCTCAAACGAATCAAGAATATTCGTACTGTGCTGATTCACCTCATGAAAGGGGTCGGTGCCTCAGCTAGCAAAGGCGGAGCAATAAAACAGGGCATATGGGGAAGCCTGCAGCAGTTTACCTTTCATTCGTTGAAAGTTGTAGATGCAATTCGGAGCATTGAAGACGGGGACAAGCTGGCAATTGTAGGCAAGGTAAATACTCCAGTTTTTATTTCTAATTCTGTCCTATATTCTTACTACCCCATTAGGTTCTGAAAGAGTTGCTGCCAGCCGAGCTACATGTTGTTGGTGAGCTCATCACCCAAACTGTAGATTTTGCAGAATCAGATCTACACCATCGCACTATCGTGATGCAAGGCGTGGACTCAGATCTGGACAACCTAAAGAGGACGTATGATGGGCTCGAAGATTTCTTGAGCCAAATGGCGGCAAAATTGGTTGCTGAGTTACCTGAATGGGCTGCTCAGTATGTCCAAAACTGCATATTCTTTCCCCAACTCGGGTTTCTCACAGTGGTTACTCTCGATCCCGAAACTGGCAGGGGTAACTATGAGGGCCAGGGACTGGATGACGACGCCTGGAATCTATCGTTCTGCACTGAGGACATGGGATACTACAAGAACCGCCAAATGAAAGAGATAGATAATCATTTTGGTGACATGTATGGCATGATCTGTGGTAAGTGACAGCTGAAATACCAATAAATGGGGAATGGCTAACACAAGACACAGACAGGGAGATTGAAATTATTCATGAACTTGCAGTAGGAGTACTCAAACATGAGAAAGTTCTCAAAGACACATCAGACATTATAGGAGACCTCGACTGTCTTGTTGCCCTCGCACAAGGAGCCCGAAAGCACAACCTTCTGCCTCCACAGATGACAAACGACAACGTAATAGATATTACTGGTGGCCGGCATCTTTTGCAGGAGCTGACAGTACCTTCATATGTGGCCAATAATGTCTTTCTCCAGGGAGGTAGTGGCAAAGATGATGGTGAGGAAGCGATGTCTACACATAATAACCAACCAAAGGGCCCAAGCCTCCTCTTGATGACTGGGCCAAACTACTCTGGCAAAAGCGTTTATCTCAAGCAAATTGCACTCATCGTTTACATGGCGCACATTGGAAGCTTTGTCCCGGCAGACAGTGCCACCATTGGCCTAACTGACAAAATACTAACTCGAATTGCCACGCGCGAAAGCATTTCCCGCGCCCAGAGCGCCTTTATGATCGACCTGCAGCAGATTGCCCTGGCCACCACCTTGGCTACACACCGCAGTCTCATTGTCATCGATGAGTTTGGGAAAGGGACGAACTCTTCTGATGGAGCTGGCCTTGCCTGTGGTGTCTTTGAATGCTTTCTCAGCCTAGGGGTTAACCGACCCAAAGTCCTCGGTGCCACACACTTCCACGAGATCTTCGCAGGTGGTGCACTGCAGGATCGTCCAGAGCTAGAATTCGGGCACATGGAAGTACGTGTCGACGCTGAGAGCGAGAGCGTTGAGGACCAGGTCACATATCTGTACAACTATAAATCTGGTAAAAGCATGTCGAGCTTTGGGACTTACTGCGCTGCGATGAATGGGGTCGATCCCGCGATTGTTGAGAGAGCGGAGGAACTGATTATCCTGTCGAGCAAGGGGGAGGATCTGGTAGCCGCCTGTGCGAAAATTTCACAAAAAGAGGCGGCCAGTTTGGAGGAGGCGGAGCAGATGGCGAGGAGATTCTTGGCGCAAGATATGCATTATCAGAATGGTGAACGGGGCACGGTGGCTCCTGATATTAAGGAAATGCTTCACGACATATTGGCGAGAGCTTGAACTCAAGCTCTGTATTGTTGATAAGCTGCACATCTCTTTGCTATATTGCTAACACATAAACCATGTTCCAATCTTGTGGAGTAAGCTAGCTATCGCGCTATAAAGGAGCTTTATGAATCATTTATTTTATCAAGCCGCTGTATGTCACCAACTGAAAGTGTTGGTTTATTGTACCTCGCCAACTAGAATCAATTAGAACAGTTGACGAGCATTAATCACAAATTCAAGTCGATGAGCATATAAGACCAGAGGGTTTTGATTCAGGGGCAGTTATTTGAAGCCGCACGCGGACAATCAAGAAAGAGTTTCCTCGATTAGAATTTCTATCTAACTCAAGCACAACGCTCGCTACTTGATAATTTCGAGATCATCATCGTCGTCATCATTATCATCGAACAGAACTTTCGCCGCATCGCCACCAAAGCTCTCCCTCCCAGCTTCCCTGATCCCCTTCGCAGTAACAAAACGCGTCTTCTTCTTCACAGGCTGCAATCTCTCCCCATCCTTCATCCGTCCCAGCTCTTTCGTAAGATGCCCTCCCCACCCCATTGCTGGGGCACTAGAACTTGTAGAATCAATCCCTGTCCTCTTCCGCTTTACCGGGCCGAGACTCATGTCGCTAGCCTTCCCGCCTAGAAGCCCAAGCTGTTTCGCGTCAGGGCGAGCCTCTGGCTGCCACAGATCAGCTTCGCTCTCCTGCCGTTGCGATTGCTGGGAGCCGGATCCAACACGCATATACTCTGCGCCTAACCCGCCGCCCAAATCTGCCAATTGCCTTTGCAAATCACGCTCCTTCTCCTTCTCTGCCAATCTTTGCCTCATTCTCTGTGCTTTTTGCATTTTCTCCCCGGCTTCTCCTTCGAAACGAACGTCTCCCCTATGTACATACATTGTTGACTGAGTACCTCTATCATATGCAACACCTTGGTTTTTCTTCAGCAGCTCCGATCGACGTTCTGCGTGATTATATATGTCGTTATTGCGGCGACCACCCCTCTTACCAGCTTTAGAGTCGAAATCCATGGTGCTCACCTCCATTCGGGAGGCTTTAGTCCTTTTGAGAGTTTCATTAACATGATATTCGCAGTACTCTGTGCGACGTTTGTCAACCCAGGTGCTGCAAGCATTGCCGTCTTTCTTGATCGACTTGCAGTATCCCAGATCTCGTGCTGTGCCAATTTCTAAGATTGTGTCGTCACTCGAGTTGATGACCAGACTAAACCGTCCTGTGTCTGTCTTCACGGGCTTCATGATGGTCGGGTTGAGGATGGCGACCACTGTACCCGTGGTGAGTTTCCAGTATTTTTGGAAGCCTGTATCAAAGAGGAACAGATCCACCTCCCACTTCAGATCGCAGAGACACTGGATCATGAATTTCTGGCCTTTGGTAGCTCCATTTTTCTGAGGCTTGGGATCGGATTTCGAAGCAAGGACGGCGAGAACGACAATGTCTTCCTCTATCTCAGGCAATCGAAAATCTGGCGCTTTGACCTCTCGAAGGAGATCAGGAAGTGTAAATATTTTCTTGCCCGCTAACGTTCGAGAAACGACGTTATGGGGAATGATCCGTTTTGACAAGTGGAGGGAGGAAAATGACTCAAATTCAACCGGATCGGTTTGTGAGCCGCTGGGTATAGACTGGATTGACGAGGCAGAAGATTTAGGCCCAAGTTGAGAAGAAGGCTGAGAGTCTGTGGACTGTGCAAGTGTCGAAGCGGTCGATCCACCAACATTCCTTGACGCCGAATTCAGGTAGCCTGTGCTTTTACTTTTGTGTAATGTGCCACCGCCAGGGCCTTGCAACCCGTTCAACACTTGGTCTCTGCTAAACTCTGGCACTTGTGGTCGTACTTCTGGCAACGGAACTGCGGCAGACTTAAAGTCTTCCATTTGCCTCGCATCGATATCAAAGGCCCTACTCCGGAGCCTCTTGAGCCTTGCATCTGTTTCTTTTTGTGTGGTTTCTTGATCTCTAACTTTGGCCATACGCTCACTGAAGGAAGTGGCAGGCCTGCTCTGAGATTGCGACGTTGAAGGCACCGGAGCAAACGGATCTTGGTTGGCCATAGGTGACTTGGATCCCCGTAAATAGCCACCAGCACGCTTTACATTCTCCATTAACGCATCCGCCGGTTTGCGGAGACTAGGCGGCGGCCTCTTCAAGGATACATCGCAGCCTCTAAGCCCTTTGTCGATTCCCAGAAGCACCCTACTAGGCGACCTTGTAGGCTCCGGTGCTTGGAGTTTTCGGACCGGCGATACCGGCACATGGATGCTAGCTTGAGACCTGGCCCTCTCCTTCCTCTCTTCACGGAGTCCAGATATATTCGATCGTCCGTGGACTGCTGCTGAGGAATTCGCTCGTAAATTAGGAACCGTCCCAGACCTCGGTATAGCCGCCACGATGGCATCCCCACCCCCAGCTTTCGCTTTCTGTAGTTTCTTAAGCTTTAGTCGCGCTTGTATCTCTTGCAATTTCAGCTGCAACGTCTCCTCGTCCTCCTCTTCGTCGTCGCTGTCGTTTAAGTCACCTGACGCCGTCGCAAGGGCTGCTGCGCCATATTGTCGGTTTCGTGAAGGAGTTTGTTTATCTCGTTTCGAAGGGGACGGCGAAGGTGATGTTCGTTCCCCAAGCCGGCGAAGGCGTTCTCGCCCACCTGGGGTGCTCTTGAGCGCATCCATTGGAGACCTCGGCGGCCAATGTGGTATATCCGCCGTTGCTGGTAGGTATTAGTACATGTAAATAATTCCCGCCGCCGGGATGGGAACAGAGAGCCATACGTTGAGACATATCGCCGAATCCTTCCCTCCATCAATGTATATTCGGATCACTGAGGGGTCGCACCATGCTAATGGGGTGTTGTTGTTTTTGTTACGCAGGGATCGGGGTATAATAAAAATCAATTGTCATTCAAGTGATGCTGAAAGTTGTATAAACTCTGCTCCAAAAAATACACTCAAAATATAAAATACGGATGTAGCTTGGACAACTCCGGACCTCTGCGAAGTAAATATTATATCCCGCCAGCGGTTCGTCAACGGCGGGTTTCAACTTGTAATTTGCTGTTGTTCTTCGTTCCTTCTTGGGGGTCGCGAAAGTTGCGCGGGAATTGACGCGTTTGAGTCGCGTCTCTTATCGTTATCGGCATGTATCAACGAGAACGGCTGTTCGAGACTTCGGCATCAACAGAACCTACAGCACCCATTGTTGAGCGACAGAGGCAATGGCGCCCAGTACGACCAGATCAAAAGCAAAGGCGAAGGGGCCAGCACCCAATACTGGGCCCGGCGCAACATCCGCGACCACACAGAAGAAGCCAGTACGACCCGACTCCAAGAACCCGCCCAAACTCTTCGTCCTCCCCAAGGACACCAGCCCTACAGCTCGAATTGCTACATTAGCCCATCCCAGAACTTCCGAACCGACACGATACTTTATCTGCCCTGAAAAGGGGTTCTTTGAGTTCACAAAAATTGCCGCCCCGAAATCCCAACCTCGAAGTTGGCTGCTCGCTCCTAACGAGGAGGAATGCGCCAATGAAGGTTCTCAAACCACGGGCAATGGGGAAAACAAGGCCGCTGAGAAAGACGAAGGAAACGAATATACACCGTCAGAAGGCTATATCACCTCCTCCGCCGACCTCTTCCTCGCCACGCCCATAGACCCGTTATTCCTCCTCCTCCCTGCCCTCGCTGGCAAGTCTTCCAAGCCCCGAGAAGAACCTAAGCGCCTCTTCCTCGAAGCAGACGACTATCTCGACGTCCTCTCCTCCACCTCGCCCCACCTCAAGTCACTTCTTGGCCAAGACTCTTTGCGCAGCAAGTTCACAGATCGCCTAGGCGCTGTTTGCGACACGGTCGACGCCGGCGAGACCATGTACCGCCTCTCTGAACCTAAACTCATCGCCATCTTAGCCGAGAAATGCGCGGCAGTAATTGAAAAGGGGCTTCCGGCAAGCATGGAAGACTTGCTAGTGAGCAAAGCACTAGCAGTCCCTCTCCTCTCCATAACGCGCGGGGAGGACTGCCCAGATGAGGAACTTGAACTTGCGGACGCGAACAGCAGCGCGACTCCTAAGACCGAGAGCGCCGAGTCGCAAACACCAAGTTCGGCTACAGAAAGCTCTGCAACCCCAGTATCTGAGGCATCCACCGCCCTGACGACGCCTTCGCCAGATGCCAAACCACCAATCGTGGCCCCTGAAGGTGTGCCGCACCTCCTCCGCCTCCGCACCGCCTTCCAGTACCTCTGCTCCTCCTACATACCAGCCGCACTCAGCACCTCACTCGCTTCCAAGTTCAACACCCCCTCCCCCGACCAAGCATCGTCTTTTCGAGACTTCACCCCCCTAGACGCTCACCTTGCGCACCTAGCAAAGCTACGCGCCGACGCTCTCGCGTCGCGGTCCATGAACGACTTCTCCAGGAAGAGAGGTTTCGAGGACGAGGAAACGGGCGAGACTAGGGCGGAGAAGAAGCGGAGGAAGGATGAGGAGGAGAAGCTGGCGAAGAAGAATGAGAGTAGAGGCGTGAGAGACCTCAAGAAGGTGAATGTGAGCGGTATGAAAAAGATGAGCGATTTCTTCAACAAGAAGACCTGAGGGCACCTGGGTGCCTTTGGTCAGGAGTGCTGTGTACGAGTATTTGAAATATGGGCGCCTTTGAGGAGTTTGTGCGGGTGGTTTTGGGGCGTTTGGGCGGCTGCATGAAGAGTATATGGCATTGTTAAATACGTTGTTAGTGTGGAATGCAGAGCAATGACATTATAGTTCCCGATTTAGAACGAGATATATAGTGAACAAGGTCCTAGACCCAATAACAAGTATTTATAATTTGCTACTGGAGAATGCTTCCCCTCATACCCAAAATGTATGAATTATCATGCTCACAAAACAAACCAAACTCCTATTACTACAGTTTGACCTTGACACACTCGTATATATAACATGCTGCCTGTGTCTGCATTAAATAGTCCCGACCCCAAACCCACGATGCTTCTACTCAAGGATATACCCCAGTTCAGCCATCTACTCTTCCTTACTCTCCACAGCCTTCCCACTCTCCTTTATTTTCTCATCTTCCTCCTTCTCCTCTTCAGGTTTGCTGACACTCTCACTTTCCGACGGCTTGACAGGCAACGAAGAAGTTGCATCCTCATCACCCAGGTCTTTGACTTCATCTTTAACCTCCTTGTCACCACTCGTATCAGCAACAGTGGATTCCTCGACCTCAGCATCCGCTTCCGGGGATTCACTGATTCCAACGACCTTCTTGACTTCCTTAGATGTAGCAGCCGCGGTCTCTGCCACAACCTCCTTTACGGTTAGCAGAGGGGCACCAATGGCTGTAGTAATAGGGGAAGTCTCCGTCTTCTTGTCCTCTTCTTCAGGCTCGGTGGCGTCGACATTCTTGTCAGTCGTAACGATCGTATCCTCAGATTTCTTAACCTCCTCCTCGGGCTCAGAAGCTTCACCCTTCTTGTCTTCGGTGGCAACCGCCGCAGCCTCAGCCTCGACTTTCTTCCCCTCAGTCTTCTTCACTTCCTCGGCTTTCTTCGCTTCCTCAGCCTTCTTCAACTCCTCCCGCTCAGAGCTGAAAATTAAATCCCCATCCTCAGGGCTAATCTCCCACACCGACGACACCGAAACCACCAACTTCTTCCCCCCCGTCGGCGTCGGCTCCACCACCTTCGCCACCGCAGCCCTAGCAGGAGCCCTCCTAGCCGGCCCTCTAGCCCTCCCCTTTCTCGCATCAGCAAGCGGCACCTTCTCCTTCTCCTCCGCCACTTCCTCCTTCTCCTCTTCCTTCTTCGGCGCCTGCGGCCCGAGCTTCAGACGCTTATTTAGATCCGACAAGAACCCGCCTTGGAGCACTGCAATCTTGCTTCCCACCGGCCGCGATGGCACGGGGGGCTTCGGCTTCGAGGCTGCAGCCGCACCGGTCTGCGAGCTGGCGGAGTTATTTGACTTTGCGGATCCCCCCGATGTTACTGTGGTGAGCGGCGCGCCCTCGGCGGAGTCTCCAGAGGCTTTCTTGACTGGCCGGCTTGGTATCACTGGTTTAGAGCGCTCGGGAATGGCAGGTTTCGCCTTCAAAATTGGTGAAGTATTTGGAGACTTTGTTGTATCAGTCGCGGCAGTCTCTGCCTTCAAATCCGGCTTCTGATCAGACAGTTTCCTCATCGGGCGAGGCGGAATGGATGGCTTCAGCGCCGCTGCAATGCTGGTAGTCGCGGGCACCTGTTTCTCTTCAAAACCAGCAGCATCACCCGCAGGCTGATCCACAGGCGAAGTCACATCCTCGCTCTGTGGCCCCGACACAGTCGTCTGAAGTAGCAACGAATCGGGTGAGTCTTCCCAAATATCTCTACTCGGGAATCGCTGCTGCTTTAACCCCTCAGCGGCGATCGATGCATTTTGTTCCCAAGGCTGCTTCTTTAAGAAGCTCTCAGTCTCTTTCTTGCTGAATTCCATATCGGCCAACTCCTCCTGTCGACGCGCAAACGCTTGTTCAGGCGTCTCGCCCTTGCGAACTTCCAGGGTTTCTCCGGTGGCTTTGGCGTCTTCGGGCCCTTCTGGCAATTGCGGCGTGGAAACAGTGGCGGTTTGCATATGAGATTCTGGGGTATCCTCCCAGACGTCTTGGGACGGGAAATGGCGGCTCTTCAGCTCTGGGCGAGATTTAAGCTTATCAGCCTCCGTCAGTGGCTTAACTGGTGGTTGTTTGCTCTTATCATCCTCAGGAAACAATGGTTCATACTCCTGAACATCCTCAAGGGGTGGTGAGCGAGGATTATCAAATTCTCCTTGTTGAGATATACTCGGGATGTCCTGACTGCTTCTATGGCGACTTGTCGGCCTACTGCCACTGGGAGACAAGCCACTGCCTTGTCTGCTTCTGAAATAGGACCGCTCATCATCGTAATTGCTGTCTTGTAGTGGTGAAACTGCCGGCTGGAGCTCATGCCCGAGCGGTGTTTTAGCCACCTCGTCCGAAGCCAAAATGGGGACGCCATAACCGCTCTCCGTGATGAAACCGCCCGCACCAGGGGCGTTACCGCCTGTAGGCCCAAGGTTTTCCGTAGACTCTGCGTGCTTCTCGCCTCCGTAGATCCTACTAATCCGACGGTTTGGTTCTTGAACGTGCACAACAGTGTCGTCGTCGTTTTCGCTCGCAAGGCTCGTCTCAGAGGCTTTTTGGGCTGTACGTCCCAGGCTTTCAGCTGATTCAGCCTTGTCGACGGAAGTGGAGCTCTCCTTTTTCAATGGCGAGATATCAGATGAAAGCCTTGGTGAAGCCATCCGTGAGATATATTCGTCTGTGGCGACATAGCCGATTTGCTCTGTCGGGGTACCAATGAGAGCTGGTGAGTCTAGTTAGAAGTGTTAGCTACCGATATCTTGGTAAAAATAATGAAGAATGCGTACCCAGTCCTGAACCTCTATTTCCGGTATCCCTAACAATTTTATTCAAATCCTCGCTGCTCATAGCCCAGTTATTTCTCTCCTCGCCGTATGCACTAAGCTCTTTCTTCCACAGCTCAGGATGCTTCTCATAGTATGCTTGTTCGAATTTATCCTTGGAGATAATCCCATGCCCATGCATTCCATAGCTACCAGGCGGGCCCTCGAAGCCACGGCCGCTCTTTTGACGTTGGTGGCGTGGCCTAGATCCGTCATTGTGGAATCCAATACCTGGTTGGTACGGGGACTGTGGCGAAGTAGAAGGAGCCTGCACCATGCCAGCGTTGGGGTACATAGGCACTCTGTGTCCTACGTCAGGGCCGTCGGGCTGGTCTTCGTTATCCGCCGAGGAAGTTGGGCGTTCCAGCCCAGTCGATCTTGAGCTAGCAAAGCTGTCTTTCGTTCTCAACGAGTGTCTCTCCGGGTCCCTGTCATCAACGGAAACTCGCTCTTGACTCCTCGGCTTTCCGAGACCAAAGGCCGCAGCTTGTGACGAGTCGGTCCTTGTAACAGTGTTGATTTGGTCCTTTGCGCTGGACCCAGGAAGCGATGGCCTAGGAGCATAGAGCTTCAAATCCTCCGCAATATTCCTTGTTTTATTGGGCGCTCCGGGCGAATCTACGGCATCTGGTGTGCAGATTTCCGCATACTCCATGCCCTCTTGTCCAACTGAGGGCATGTGTGTTACGCTCGACGGCCTGGGAGGCGCATCTGACGCAGAGGTATGACCATTCTCCCTCAGATGTGATGCGGTTTTGCCGCTGGCGACGAAGTCTAGCTCGTTGAGAGGCGAGGGTGCGTAGCTGTCTCGCATTGGGGATACGGATCGGTCAGCGCGGCGGTTGGTAGGTCGAGGTGGGATCTTGGGGATGTCGCTGCCCAGTGTGCTGCCGCTGTTCGTGGAAGCTGGCTTCTGGGCTTGGCCTCGCGTCGGGCGGGGAGGGATTTGGGGTATCTGTTGGGTCGCCATGATTGTACGAGTGTATGATGCGTAACTGTTGGTAAAGGGATTCTATGGATTGTCAAGGGACTGTTTCCATAGTCAGCTTGGTAGGTCTCAGCAATACACTGGTAGGCAAGGCACCGTGCATTTAAAAAAATAATGATGAGAACGAGAAAGGCAGTCTGATTGATATGGAGGATTTCAAAAAAGTAGCATTGAGGATGCTCATGAGCGGGTTGAGAAAGTTCAAGATGTGACCTTGGACTTGCTTGGGCCAGACTCGCGTCATGGCTCCAGCTAGGCTGTTCCCAAAGCGGAGCGTCATTATCATCTCCCCACCACTAAAATAGAACTAACCTCTCGAATCACAACGCCCTGAGGGATATATTTCGAATTCCACTGATAAGCACGCAGCGCAACCACTTACCTACATAAAAGATAACGCTTCTAAATGTGATATCGAATGGCGGCGGTGAAACAGGGTGTTAACGCACAGTTGTCATGCTTTTATGGACAAGACTCCATCGAGGTGCGCTGGGCGATCAGAGACGTGTTATATTTCGAGGGAAGACGGCCAAGACGATGGCCAGACCACAGGCTGCTGACCAAGTTTCATGCACATATTCCAATACGGCCAGTACCTCCAATCCGACGATCGCAAGTAGATATGCGTCCAAACTCTCAGACCGCTTGGATAGTTGTAAGAGGTTTATCATCAAGGGGTACGTTTGAGGTCTATCTCACACTATCCAACACTTGTCACATTTCGATTTGATGAGCGTCGATGCGTTTGTAAATGCGTTCGCTGTGTTACCAGACTATGATACTACACGTGCAGTAGCAACTACTAACCTTTAGACGATGAGGTATCGCCACTTTCAGCCATTTACTTGAAGCAATCACGAGGAGAAAGTGTGGCGTTAAGGATCGGCTGGCGCCCGTCTGCCTCCACATATGTGCATTACCAGTTTAGATATCGCCGTTGGATAAGAATATAGAGGCCATTGTAGGAGTTCGAAAAGCTACTCAATATCAAAAAGATGGTCGCCATGAGGTTGCTGAGTTCCTAATTTTCACTTTGATACGCAACAGACATCTGCAAAGTTGCTGCACCAGCATAAACACCCGCTTGCTATAACTTATAACCCGCCGCAAGGCACGGCAGCCATCGAATTCCTTCGAAGAAGAATACAAATACACACGCCTCCAAAAATCCATGAACGCCCATGCTCCAAACTGAGAATAGCCATTCTATACCCAGGCAATGCTCACCATATCAGTCGGTCGTTCCTTGTCCAGCAATTCCAGTTTTTGTCCCCTTTCATTGTAGCCCCCCGCTCACTAACCAGGCGTCACCACTGGGTCTCAAGTCTCCATCCCCCCTCCCTACACAATCATCTGCGCAACGCCTTGTCCGCCGAGGGTCTTGCTGCCGGTGAATGCCTGTCCCTTCAGGCCGGCCGCCGCATATAGCGCAGCCGTAATTGTCAACAGCGCGGCGGCAGCAATGAGAGATGTGACGCCAACTGCAATGCTAATCCATTGGATGGCACCCATGACGAAGTAAATCAAGGCGCGCATGTAGTTCGTCGAGAATCTCCGCATGAATTCATCGAATGTCGACGAGGTAGGGCAGACTCGCAGGAGGAGCGGGATCTCAATGAAGACGATGATGAATGACGATACCCTGTGCAATCTAGTGAGCTCTTGAAGAGGCATGGGGCGGAGGCTGATGGCTTACAGGCAGAGCGCGCTGAATAGGATAATCAGACTGAGGTGGAACATGTTTGCAATGCCAAGCGCAAAGCAGAGTAACATGCAGATTACGCCCGTCCTGAAGAAAGCAATAACCCGTTAGCCATGTCCAAAAGTCGGCCCTCCGGAAAATATGGGAGAGTGAGTCTGATCAATATCCGGTCCCTTGCTTGCTACAAGCTGGTTCTTCGGAAGCATGTTTGCTTGTTGAGCTTCGCTGGACGCACTAGCCCGGCTTGCAAGTTGTCAAGAAGAGAGTCTCTCACCATTGCGCGTATATACCTGTAGAGCAACGTTAATCACCATGGTATCATTGTAAATGAGGTCCTGTACTCACTGAAATTCCTTGTGGCGAATTCCTCTGAGATCGTCATCGTTGCTGATTTCTTTGAAAGCTATTGGGTATCGGTGGCTGTCGCAGTAGTGGATTAGCATCGGCTCGCCAGCTTGCTGATGGCTCTCTGTGTGCCCGTCTCGTCAGTACTCACTATTGTTTAGGTTCTTGGTAAAAGCTGCGGATAGAGCAATAGAGAGCTTTTGGTTGTTTCAATATTCTGTTTACCTATTCAAGGTCAGACTGAGGGTCCTTTTGTTATGCAGCTTCGAGTGATGCCGCGTACCTTACCGTCCCACGCTAAGCCTTTCACGGATTTATGCGGCAGGCACCGGAAATATGCACTCGTCAGTTATTACTTCCTTTAAATTTACTTTTACATTACTGTTTATCTGTTACGTTACAGGCACCAACAACTGAGCTTCGTGTATCCAATGGTGTATATATAATGCTCTGCTGCAAGAAAGTGATGTCGCATTTGCTATCCACTTATACCACGAGTTCTGGAGCTATATACTTTGGGTTAGGCGGAATCTTTGTGATACTGTTCAACAGCGCTTCAGGTCATCAGGCAGAAGTGGTTACGCCTCGCTGTGCATTCTATTTTATGCGGCTTGCGAGAACTATCATAACATTCAAAACAATTCCGTGTTCGTATTCGATATCTTCTTTTATTCGTCATCAAAGTCTGGCTGCACTATGCAAGCAAAGGCACATTACGCTCCACAGAGTAGGTCTTGGGCTGTCTATATTCCCACCAGCCTAGTACTTTTGGTGCCACTAACCGAATACCAGCTTGAAGATGTCGTTGAAGATGAAGTAGCTTCCGGCTCCGTCAGGCCGAAGCTGGAAACACTGGCTGTAGTTCATTGGTCTCTGTTCCTCATCGACCTAGAACAGAATTAGCTCTTATCGAAGAGGCGCAGTTATAGCGATATAACGTTTCCAATGTGCTTGGAGGCGGGGTAACTAACCAACAGAGCACCGGTAACCAAGATGATGATACCACCGCCTTCGGCTGGCTGGGCGTCCAAAGTCGACACTTGATGCTTGACCTTGGCAAATGGGAGAGACTGAGCATTATGATGATTAGCATTAGACCACTGGAAGCGCGCCATGGGCAGTACATACCATAAGCTTCTCAACAATGGGCCCGGCACCAGCGACAGCCGCGGACTCGAAGGTCAACATGGAGTTGTCGCGCTGTGTGAGAACCACTTGTTAGTCGCCTTATCTAGTGAATGGTATTGAAGCATGGGTGCTCACGTAAAGAGGAGCCAACTGCGATCTATCGGTATCGAACTGGTTGTAATAAAACTCCGTAAACTGCTCTGTTCCCAGGACTTAGCAAAGGCCCGTCTGCACGAGGCATCGATTGCGTGAAATAAACAGAGGTATCTTCGCATAGCCAGATTTTGGCCATATCGCACTGGTAATTACTCACTCGCGATTCCTGCAAAGTCTACAACGAAGTGGTTAGCTTTGGACTTCTTTGGCGGGGTTATTTCAGCGACAACGGACAACAGACAACGCAGAGGTGTGCGCTGCCCACTGTCCGACAAGTGCATCAATAAGAGGAGGATAAATGAAATCACTCACCAGCCATCTTGAATGCTGTATCGCTGTTGCGATGGTTTATAAAGCTTAAAAAGGATTATGGTTCTGCACAGATAGGCAGAGTGCTGTTCATGGAGGGGTCCGATATACAAATGAGACAACAAGCTTGTTGTGCCTCAGGTAACAACGGCGCTAGTGACTAGCGGGAAATTATTTACTTATGCCTTTCAACCGGTCATCTTTCTCTTTTTCCCAATCTTCGTTCTCTACAAATTCTCTCCTTCGTTGCTTCCTGGATTTGATTTGTGCTGGACACATTTCAGGCTCAATTAATATTCTCTAGATGGTATGTTTCTGTCCAGCTTTTCCTTCACAACCCACCATATTATGATGATAAAACCTTCCATTAAGAACGGCCAGCGGAATCTTCCATGTCGAGACAATCAATTATCAAGCTCAACAGTCTGATCTATATGCACATTTACACATATTCAAACATATATGTACAAGCACAGAATGCTAACAATCTGTCGCGCAGGTCATTTCTCTCGAGTCTGGTGCCTTCACCGCCTCCCAGAGCCGCATGGGCCTGGTCCGATTCTAAACCCGTATGGTGTGACGGGGATCTCTATTTGGGCACTTTATAATAATGAAAAGGCTTCAAATGATATATTTTATGAGAACTGCAGCTTTCGTGATACCATTATCGTCTTGAGAACTGTTGAAATAATTAGGCCACGTTGAAATAATGCCATTTTACTTTCCCATAAATGTGCATTATGTGGTTCTGAAAGGGTTGAGCTACCGTACTTGGGAGAAAGTGTGTGTACGGAGTACATTACATGATATAAACAAGGTCCACAACTGGCCCGCACGACTATATGCTATACAAGCTGTAATATTGGAATATTTATTCTGATTTGGATGGTATAATAAGATATTGTTTATTTATTACCCGACCAGACAGCTCCAGCTCGTCGAGTAAATGTTGGACAGCCCATCCTAGAATAAAGAAATCGAATGTCCTCAGTCTCGTGGGGTCGTGTCGTCGTCTCACTCTCTCCCTTGCGCTACCGCCGCTGTTTGGTCAGGCTGCACCAGCACCACCTTCGCATCTCGCTTCACCAACTTTGTAACTTCTGCATCTCAGCTGCTTTACCCACAGAGCTTATTTCTCTTTCACAAGGAGCTGAGGCACTCGAACTAAGATTGATATATTGCTTCTGTTCTTTCAGGCTTCACGGACCTCGCGTCCGCACTCCAGCAAGCTCAACCTCGAACTTCAACCTCGCCCAATCATCAGTCCCCCCCTCCTCATCCGAGCCCGCCATTCCACCAAATCATCCTCAAGGCCCGCAAAGCCTGTATTTATTGTAGCGCTGCAGCTGGCTTAGCTAACAGCCAAATGCCTTGCTTCAAAGGAATAGCAGTGTCCGTCCACGCTGAAGGGGCGCCACTTCCAGAGTACTCGGTTCAGAAGCAGTCGCGCGTGTCCCGTGTCAACACCTACATCCCGGTCCCACAAGCTCATGTCCCCAAGGATTCCCTCTCCAATAAGCCGGAACCTTCCCGGTTTGCTATCTCGATCACTCTCCTCACTTCTGGCATAGCTGTTCCTTACTCGACTCCAAAGGCCACTGCCGACAAACCTTACCCGCGTGCCCAGATTGTCTGCGACCCCTCCAATAAAAATGCCGACAAAGGACCACATGGCATGATTGGACCCTATATACCGATTACAAACTCTGAAAACGAAACTATAGCTGCATATATTTATTTCGATGGGCGCCCAAAAGAGGAGGTGGCTACGTTGTTGCGCCCTGGAGAGGAGACATGGGTAAACTCAAGATGGGTGCAAGTCCCAGACTCTGAAGGCGGGGGCCTTGCTGAGCGAGAGTTCCTATTCCGCGAGGTGGGCCTAGAGCGCTGGCTTAATGGACTGGACCTTGATGGTGGCAAAGATGCTGCCGCGAAGCTCGAACGACGCCGGCAGAAATTTGAGAAGAGGCGCAGTCGTCGGCGGACTGGGAATGGCGACATTGACATGTCGCCAACAAAGAAGATGGGAGATGAGGTGTTACGCTATGGAGACAGTGAGGGGCCACCAGTTGAGAAGCTATCTGATGATGATGCTATCTCTGACTGGAGCTCTGATGATGATGCGCCCCCCGAAGCTGCTGGTCAGATCAAAGTTGCTATGTTTAGAGTGCTAGCATCAGGGGAAATCAAAAGGGGTGAATACTCTCCACAATTCGACGCGCATGACGACGATGAAGGCTCTGAGGGCGGCAACAAAGACGCAAATGGAGGATCGTCCGAAGCTGATATCGATCACACGACAAGCTTTGCTAAGCCCAAAACTCTGGATCCAAAATCTATCAGCACACAAACAGTTACTGGCATTGATGGACCTGACAAGCCATACGCTGTCTTCACATTTTTCTACAGGGGCGAACGTAAGTATTAAAAACACCCAAATCTTGAAAATGCATAGCTAACTGAATATAGGCCAGCTGCAGAAGATGGGAATACTCGACTCTTCCAAGCATGCGAAGACAACTCCAGCTGCTACCAAGCGTGGATCTACACAAATGGACTTTTCAAATCTCGGCCCCTTGAAACCAGGCGGCACGGTTGGCTTTTCCGCCTTCAGAGACACAGAGGACTGGGCTCGGAAGGCTAAAGCTAGAAAAGCAAGCAACGGCAGCATACTTGAAGACAGCGACGATGATGATGAAGATATCGACATTGTTGGTAAAATGGAAGAGGCCGATGATAAACATGTCAAGGCCATGCTCAGCCCAGAAGACGCAAAGTACTCTGGAGAATTAGCTGAAGGCGTTGGCCGAATTAAGGTATGCATTGAGCACCCTCCTCCTCCTCAATAACAACAACTAACATACCTCTCAGCTGAAGCGCCAACACTCCGCCGACCCTTTGGGCGGTGCTCGCCAGTCCCCTGTATCCACCGGCACACCCTCAGGAACAGTGACACCCCCAGCCACCACCGAAGCGCCCACCGCAACCCCCGCCATGGATATCACCAACAACATATTCGGCAAGACCACACTCCCCGATGACTCCGTCATCGGCAGCCCCCTCAAGAAGCAGCGCGCCACGACCTTCAGCGCCACGCCCGAGGAGGCCAAGACCCTCCTGAACTCTGCGGGCGTCCCGCTGCCGTCTGGAAACATCCTCAGTCTTGCTGAAGCGGCTCATTCAAACACTGCCCCTCTACCACAACTGCCCATGGTTAATTTCCCCAAGGCCGAGATGGAGGAGGAGGAGGAGCTGTAGATGGGCGCTTTGAGGAGCAATGAATATATCTCCTATCTCCTTATTGCATCGACACTGGCGTTGTTGGGTATCTATCTATATGGGGTGTGATTCGGCCTGAATGGTTTTCATGAGAGGGCCGGGGGGGGGAATTTGACCGTTGGAGGAATGCTATTGCTGTTTTAGCTTCAGAGCAAGTAACTATTGTTGGTTGGGTGGGAAGGAGGGGGGTCGCTTAGAAACACAGATGAGATGGGGAGACGTGCTCGCAAGCAATGTAGGTAGCATTTTGTATTATACCCGGCGAGAGAAGTGCAGTGGAGAGATGGGTCTCCGAATAGATTTAAACCCGCTGGTTACATTGGCATCAGTGATGAACGTATTCAATCGGCAAAAAACTCCATTATATTTTACATAAACGGTTACACCCACCCACCAATCCCAAACTCCCATTAGACCCCCTCATATAAATAAATAAAAACGCAGCAAAAGAGCCCCAGTCCCAACGCCATATGTGTGACATCCATGGGTTCTATCCATCCCCCCCACCCCGCGCTGCCTAGCCCCGCTAACAGCAAAGCAAAAGCCCCGTAAAAGAAACATACATCCCCTCCCGAAACCCCATACGCTTTGTTGTCCCGCTCGACATTACTGAGGGGCAAAGGCGTCCATTATCGTTTTGAGATATGCATTATCCACCGTTTAAAACCCGACGCTCGCTATGCAGGGAACCAGACTCTCTCCAAATCTTCATGTCATGCGCCGCCAATGGATAGTAAGAGTTTTTATGTAAACAATTGAAAAATCACAGCTTTGTGGAAAGTGCATGCTGCCTGCGATCGGCAGGCAGCATGTATAAATCGTATCCTTTGTTTCCAGAGTATGCTCGAGTCAACAATAGTCTGGTGAATCAGAAGAGAGCGTAAGGGAACGCCTTCAAGGATTACGTTGGGTCAACGCGGCGAATCGTTCGGCGACCTGGAGAGGTCAGTTATTACTCGGTGCCAAGGGAACGCATGATGTGAATTACCTCTGGTGCGGATTTGATAAAAGGGAGGTCGAAGAACATGTATTTTTCGTTCTTGATGAGCTCGAAGATTGTGATGAGCAGGCCCCAGGGTTGTGGCCAAGGGCCAATGAGTCTCTCCAGTAAAACCCGAGTTATTTGTTGACGGATATCAGACTCTTCCTGGTCATTCATGTCATTGCCAAATACATCAAGTAAGGACTGGCTGAAATAAAGAGTGTGGGCATTGGGGAACCGCAGGTGGTTGGCCATGCTATTCACGAAGTAGTAGCGTGTCTCTGAGCTCAGCTCGTGGATAAGCATAGTCAAGAGAGCTGAATCAGGAGACCCTTGGATGAAGATTGGCCCGCCTTTCTGAGCAGCATTTTCTATTGCTTGCATACCCATGTGCAATACGATTGCGTCGATAAGCCCCAAGTCAACGTGAATTGGTAGGTATCCCGCTGATGTATGGTGGCTCTTCTGGCGCTGAATTACATGTACAATATGAGCGACAGCATCTTCAGATGGTCCACTTTGCAATGCCTGGTCGACAAGATCCAAGAGCCCGGCTTCTTTCAAGGGCGCCTCCGTATTAAACGCAACGGACGGAGGCTCGCGAATGTCCTCAACGCGGTCAATCTTGAGACCGGCCTGCAGAGGATCAGGCATTTTGGAGAATGCCGATGGACCTGACGTCAAAATCATATTGTGCAGCTGAATGCAGTGGGGAGGAATAGCAGCACAGAGGCGAACATGGTTGCCCGATAGGAACTCTGGGTAATCATGGTGCAGGACCACAAGAACCTTGATTGCTCCATGGTAAATGTCTTTCGTCACTGGCGATATATGGAGCTGCTTAAGAAGCTCTCCCAAGTATAGCATCAGGCACTCCAATAACTTCACGAGTGGTTCCCACCCACTCTGCTGCTGCAATCGAAACATGTGAGGCATGAAGTCTCTGTGAGAGATGAGTCCCACCCATGCGAAAACAAATCCGGGGTAGCGCGATGGTTGCAACTTCAAGAATGCATCGGCAAATACTTGATAGAATCGATTTTTGTCGGCTTCTGAGAATTGTGGCGCAACAACATTGAATTCGTGCAACATTGTCGAGAACAGCCTGAAGAAAACTTTTTGGTTGAAACCTTCACCACGCATGACGTGGTGATGGTTCAAAACAAGAAGTATGAGAGACAAGATGGCCTCAAAATAAGCCACCTTATCACGCTGGACTTCGCCAGGTCGTTCGTCAGATCGCTTCACCAGGCGTACAACCAACTTAGCCAAAGCATCAATTGGGAGATAGGCGTCATTGGCTAAGCCGTTGTTCTGGAAGTGGTGATCGAAACGATCGACAGACGCATCAATGCAAATACGTAAGAATAAGCAGGTATTCTCTTGATCGGTAACAATCTGTTTGTTGTGGAGTTGCTCAATGAAGTTATTGGTGATGCTGTCAGTGGCGCTTGCGCTGTTACTCAGGTTGACCCATTCCTCGAAGACGTAGCCCATCTGGTCCTTGTGAGCCTGGAATTTGTTGTCGCTATCACTGGTCAAAGTCTGCATTAGGCCAGATGATTTTAGCTTCTGGATAAGCTGCTTGCCAGCTTCCAAATCGGGCTCCTCGCCCAGCCACTGAGCAAGAGCTTCAAAGCTTCTTGCAAAGTCTGTGAATAATGCGACAGGTCTATCAACCAGAAGCACTCGGCCTGTGAGCGCCGACAAGAAATCAATTGCTGACACCTTGCGTTGTTGCAAAGCTTTGGAGGCAGCGATATCAACGCGTTGCCAGTCGAGAAGCGAGATGTCCGTATTGATCAAGGACAGGACAAGTGGGACGCTCAACAAGCGTTCATCGGGCTGCAGGGCAATAAACATCACAACATGCCGAGCTGTGCCACCGTGCAGCTGGCAAAGCATATCTAGAATGTGCACCAAGCTCTCAATGGCAAGGTCACCCTCAGTAGCTGGCCTGAATAGCAATTGCAGAATATGGTCTGCAGTGAACCTCGAGGCCTCATCAGACACTTGAGTGTTCCTAATGATAATTTGACCGAGTGCATCAACAATATCAACAATAGTGTGATGTCGAGGCAATTCAGAGTAGTGCTGCTCTGGAGAGCTGCTTGCTGCCCTCAAGAGCTCATCGAGTAGTTCTTGAATTCGGTCCGCAAGATTTCTGTGGTCAACAGGAGGAGCTGGAGATCGTCCGTTAGTCAACGAGGCAGCCGGTTGCCCATATGTATGCGGCTGACTGTTGAGAAGCGGCATTACTGGGGGTTCTGCCAGCGTTGGCAAGTTCCCCACAGATGGATATTGGTCCTGGAGGACGTCATTTGCTATGGAGCGGCTGGCATCCGATGCAGACGTAGCATGTGCTGAAATGCCGAGAGGGGCTATGCGAGGCTGTCTGGCGAACTCGTCGTATATAGCCATTTGTTCTGAGTTGAGTCCTCCCGGAGTGCCAGGTAATAGCTTATACGGGTTTGGAATGGTCATTGCCCAACGGCTCAGAGTAGGGTCAACGTATGGCTCGGTAGGTCTTGAAGCTCGCCATCTGCGGCGCGCCTCAATTTCTGACTCGATCATATCCTCAATCTCGGGAACGGCACGCTCCTCGGCCTTATTCTCAACTTGCTTGCAGGCCATATCAAGGTTAGAGTTGACGCACATGATAATGGTCCCTTCTGCTAAGCCCTGGTTCATGCTCATAGAGGCTTCGCGAATATAATTATTCATGCTAGCTCGGAGAGGCTCCTTCGAAGTAACCAGGGCAAGGCTGCCAGCAGTTTTCTTGACCATAGCAATAGCAGCATGTCGTAATCTATTCTCATCGCCCTCAATGGCAAAATCCTTGTGGATCATTTGGGCAGTTGAGATCGCTGCGATTGTGACTGAACGCTCAACAACGGGTGATATGATCTCGTGCACAGCACGGGTAATCGCTGTTCGAACAATATCTTGCAGGCGTGGTTGGTTAACCAGATCATTTGCTGGGGGGTACACCAGAAGAGGACCCAGGTCGGGAATTGACGAAGTTATATCCTGCGGCGAGAATCGGCCGGTGCCAACGCCAGGTGCGATACCATTCATAGAAAGGCTATCAAATCTGTCGACAACATCAAGCGAAATAGGCTCGGTTGGTTCATCAATAGCTGGCAGGCGAGTCTGAATGTCCGTCGAAGGCTCTATACTCTTATGGTCAAGGTTCAAGCCTTTGCACAAAACTTCTATCTCGAATTTGAGGTTAAGTTTGAGCTCTGCGTGTTGGTAGAGTTCAATGAGCAGGTGTATGATGTCCATCAGCCAAGGGTTGGGAGGTTGAAAGATCGTCGACGATGCGCCTTGCAGCAATACCTTGCATACAAAGGGGATAACAACGATCAAGCGTTGAGTATCGAAAGCTTCGAGGAGCAGCTGCTTAAACGCGATATTCTTGTGCTTTATCGGCTTATCCTGTGCTAGCGTCAAGGATCCCAGCCATCCACCCAAGTTCTTCAGGTGAGCGCGCTCGGTAGACGACTGCATAGTGGCCTCCGCATTAAGCATTCGGATCACACTAACATAGGTCTCGCGTAAGACTTCCGACCAAAGTGACTTGTTTCCGAACAGGCGTACGAGGTCAAGGTAGAGCTGGTGGTAGTTTGGCTGCATCTTTGCGCGCTCTTCGACGAGATGTCCTGCGAACCATTGCTGATGCCTCTCCTCGATGACATCTTTAAGCTCTTTGAATTTCGTCTCAAGATTTCTCTCTGTGATATTGTTCAACACAAATAAAACCTTCTCTTGGGTGTCGTCCGACGGGTCCTCATAAATACTGTTATATGCCGGCTGGTCAACGTGTAGCGCGTTGAACGGCGCAACACTTGGGTCAGTGGAAAGCATGTCGTCAAAGTTTCCATTCGGGATAGCACCGCCATTAACGGAGTTGTCGGCGGACAAGTCGTTCGCGTTGCCGCTTCGTGACAAATCCGCCTGCTCACGGCAGACTTCATCAGCTCTAGCCCAAACATCTGTCCCTTGAAGTCCAGGAATTCGCAACAGATGCCTGCAGAAGCCTGGCCACTCTCCAAACCTTTCGAAAGTTTGCTTCAGTGCCTCCACACCAAACTTGTACATTGGCTGGTCAGGAGTATTATCTTTCACCGCGTCCAAAATCATGCCGAGGGCAACTTCCAATGGTAAATCCGGCAGAAGCTTCGCCTTGATGATTCCACCGAACAAGACGGCGGTCGTTTTGAGCGCTTCCAGAGGGTAGGTGCTATAGAGACTATACTCGTCAAAAAGTCCATGAATCATGCAGGCAAAGACATCCTGATCAGAGGGGTTGCGTGACAGCTTATAGTCTCTGAGGGCTTCGACAACAGCTCGAACTTTAATTTCTTCACTGTACATGCGCTTGTAGTGCTCCTCCATTTTCTCGTTGGCTTCGATGGGTAGCGAGTTCCTTTCACGACCGTTCTCATCGATAATGTCATCAAAACCCTCGCCATAGTTGACCAGCCGAGGGTAAGCCGTGATGCATGACCGTTGAAGCGCCATCTGCTCCGTGCTTAATGATCGAGGCAGGATACTGGTCAATATATTCAAAAGCGCTGATATCGTCCTCACAGGTAGCATGACACTTGTAGGCTGCTCCTGATCAGTCCTTTGCACCTGAAGCTCATGCTGCGCCTTAATGCCGAGGAAGTTAAGCAGCATCTGTGCTAGTTCGTCGGGGTGTTGGGAATGCTTTTGCTGCCACTGATCGAGCTCGAGTTTGCCGCTCGCATGTGCCCAGGCAGCAAGATCCAAACCAAATCCATTTAATATTAGGAGGTCATACAGCCAATTATGTCTGATTGAATGCTCAAGGATCATAGGCAGTTCGAGTGGTGTTCGCCCATGCGTCTCAATGAGTCGCCCGACGAGCCAATTCCTGTCTTTATTCCAAACCGAGAACAACACAAAGTCGTAATTTGGGTCGATTTTGTATAGGAAGCGATCAAATAGAGAGTTAAGTGTATCAGTCGCCAGCTCCGGCCAAGGTTTTGGCACACCAAAAGCAGACACCACGAATACATCCAAGTTCGGTACAACAACCTCTTGAAAGAGTCGCTTGGCTTCAGGAGTGTCGGAGGCAATATTGGATTGCAGTGCCACATGAAACACCGCTTCCAGCGCAAGTACAGACACCAGGGGGTGTCTCACGGCGCTTGCTGCACGCTCTTGAACATTCGACATCGCTCCTGCGAATTCTGCAAGAGTAAAGGACGGCTGCAACCCCGGAATAGTGCTTGCATCTAGCTGTTCCGGATTCAATGAAGCATAGGCATTGATGAAAGACAACTGGGTTTCTGAGTTCTGCCAACGGCCACCCCACAAGCTTTGCACGTCGAAAGAGCTGTGGTCGTCGGCAAGCGGTTTAAGGGCTGAATAGAGGGCAAAGAACTGATCGGAAGAAATGCGGAGGCCTTCTTGATCAAATTGTGCCACGGCGCGTTGCCAGTTAAAGCTCCGAGGTAGCTCCTTTCGAAGGCTCTTGACGAGCACCGGCGTCGAAAATCGAGGTGTGCGGCTTATTGCTGTATATAAAAGGGCCATGCCGACTTGTTCTTCATCAAGCCGACTAATTCCCATGCTGCGAATGTATTTTATACACGTTTCCTCATCGGCCGTAAAGGCAGCCCCCATCCGTCGAATGTATAATATGAAAGGGCTGTGGTTGAAAAAGGGTTTCATTAAATATAGCGCTGCTAAAATTTCGACTGGAAGTGTGTCCTGTTCCGGTTGAGAGTATCGATATCGTATCGCCATCGTGAAGTCGGCCTTGGCCCCATCGTTGAAGTTTGGCGGGTGCTCTTGGATAAAACGGTCGATTATGGTTGCCACAAATGATGCTGTCATGTCTCCATGGAGATTATCATGTGGTGAGGAGAGGGTTTGGAGGAATGATTGAAAGTTTGCAGAAAGTATGGCATCGGCTGTGACGTGTCAGTGGTTTGCATTGAGGGTATCGGTTGGGACTATCGAACCTTTGGTCTTTAGATCTGATCGCGAGCATTGCTTGAACGCTAAAGCTAGGATTGTCTTCTCGAGCGCATCCAGCTTAAAGTGCTCCATAAAGGTTGACAGATCGAAGTCGCGGAATATATCCTCATTCGCTGTTTCGATGGACTCGGCGATCTTCCCAGCTTGGTCGACATCATGCGATACCTTTCGGACCTCATTGACCAGGATTTGGTAGTTTCCGGGGTTTGCAACTGATCTATTCACGCCAGGGAATATCTGTGGCGCATTACCAACAACCAGTCGGCTGAAGTATTTCTGGAATACTTCCATGCCGTGGTCATCGATCAGCTGCAGGAGTTTAGTTAGCGCGGCGGACGTGTTTAAAGCGAGAAGTCGTGACAAAAGCATACCTTCCTGAGCTGTTCTGCTTGTGCTTCCCACTTTGTTCTGTCCTTATCTTCCTTGATGGTGCTGAGGAGTAGGTATACTTGTGCGACGACAATCTTCGTCAATGAGTTCGAGCCAGTCGGGGTGCTTGGGCTTGGGCCTGCGCTGAGGCCTCCAGTATGTGGACCGTGAGGCGAATGGCTGCTGGCTGTTATGATACTCTGCGCGGGCGAAGGTGTATATGTGCCGCTCCGATGATGAATTGGGACCATCGAGTAGGGCAGAGGTCCACTACACCAAGGAAGCTTCCCTCTCGAACCTTGCAGTTGTCAGAGGATAGAGACCAAGTTGTATGGACATGGGATCTGGGATCAGATAAAAAGGGTGGCGGTGAAGGATGCCGGTGGGGGAGCGGTCGGGATAGTGGATTGAGAGGGATGAGGATAAGGCTTTGGAGGAAGGGCGAGTGAGGTTAGAGTGAAGTGGTGTTGTACAGTCGCGCTTGATGAGGCTTGCTCCCTAACCGAGCGTCTGCGCTGGTGTACCTACCTGCACTAACTTAGTGCACTAATGTCGGATGACTAAGCAATCTAATGGTCAACAGTTTTAGATTGGCAACGGCCATTCTAGTCACGTGCTTATGTTATGGTCCCTGCCACGTAACCCTTATAGTAAGTTGGAACTTACTATAAGGGGTTGTCAGGGTTTATTCTTTGTATTTTAGCAGGCTATCAGAAGCCGTTTGGTTTTCAGTCGCAATCTTTATTTTAGTACATTCCTACCACTTGGTATCACGTACTACAGTGTTTGGCATGTTACAAACGGGTCAGGGGCGAGGGGCGAGGGGTGCGTGTATTCACTATCAAGCCTTCAATTTTGAAAATCTGACATTTTATACCATACTGATAGGGGCCTTGTATACTACAGTAGTTTGTTGGTTTTCTGTATATATATACGTATATATATCATGGATAATTTGGCTGTCTGGAATTTAATAATAATTACATACCACCAATTATTATATTTCCCATGGATTTAAATATAACCAAGTTCAGCTGAAACTCCGGGTTCGTTACCGCACAAACAAGAACCGTAATGACAATATTATACAAAAAGAGCAGACGAAAATAAATACCAATAGATCATATATAAGGCAAAGCTAACGTTGAAACATGATACTTGGTCAGGAGTTGGTGGGGTTAAACAACCCCTATGTTAATATGTGGAGGGTGGTCTGGTGGTCACGAAAGACCGGTTGCTGGGGGAACAACAACCCAAGTCAACAAATTCAGAATGGAGTCTTGTTAACCATCCCATCCATTTGCGCATACTACGCAACCTCAACTGTTCTATTATACCCACGATTTACAAGGCTTATCCTGCCGATAGTTCACCATCAAGACCTGCATTATTACTGTTGTAAAATATACGAAATACCTTTGATTCGCGATCGAGAGACACACTCCACGAGACCACCAACACAGCCATCGTCGCGATGCCTGGCACGGTCTCAGAGGGTCCATCAGTCGCACTGTCATGTATGCTCCCTGTCCCAACCAGAAGCATCGAATGATACTGACTTATTACAGTTGCCAATAATTTCTGGGGTATGCAAGCAAAGCGTTAAACCATACGAGTAAAGAATCAAGTCTAACAACACGGGGAATAGGAAAGGAAGATGCCGGAGTCAACCCACTCCTCGAGCGCATGCACAATGCGAAGCAGACTTGCGATGAATTGAAGGCATTTTATAATGGTATGGAAAGCCTGGAAACCGAATCGGACTCAACACTGACACACCTAAACAGCTAGGGCATCACTCGAGGAAGAATATGCACGCAAGCTGTTGGCTTTGGGCCGTAAGCCGCTGGGGTCACAAGAGGCTGGCACCCTACGAGCTTCGATGGACGTGATGCGAGGAGAGGTGGAGTCCATGGGGAAGTCACACCAGAATGTTGCACAACAGATGAAGACGGAGTTGGAAGAGCCGCTGGCGGCATTCGCTGGAGCCCTGAAGGAGCGCCGTAAAATTGTCCAAGGCGGCATTGAGAAGCTCCTCAAGACTAAAATTCAGCAAACCCAAGTAGTTAATAAGGTACGTCTTGATCTGACCCTTGTAATATTCTCCACATACTGACTGGTGCAGACTCGGGACAGATACGAACAAGAGTGCCTTAAGATCAAGGGGTATCTTGCACAGGGCCACATGGTCATGGGTCAGGAGGAGCGTAAAAACAAAGCCAAGCTTGAGAAGACACAAATTAACGTCGCCACGTCGAATTCCGAATACGAAGCTGCCGTTAAGGTATTAGAGGAAACCACGGGCCGCTGGAATAGAGACTGGAAGGGCGCATCCGATAAATTCCAAGATCTCGAAGAAGAGAGGCTAGACTTCACAAAGAGCAGTCTGTGGACCTTTGCGAACATTGCATCCACTGTCTGTGTTAGCGACGACGCCTCCTGCGAAAAGATCCGCCTATCACTTGAGAACTGCGAGGTAGAGAAAGACATCCTCTCATTCATCAGAGAGTGTGGAACCGGCCAGGAGATCCCGGATCCTCCAAAGTATATCAATTTCTGCCGTGGCGATATAAGCGACACACAGTCGGAGGCTTCTGAAGACGATGCCTATTCCGTGGCACAATTCCAAAGGACTATTAATCCTGCTTTCAGGTCCTCTTCTCCTCAACCTTCCACATACGAGTCTCACCACGATCCAAAGTCTAGCCTTGCACGAGAGTTGGGGCACAGAGAGCCAGAGACACCTCCAAGCCGCGAAACTACCATCACTCCACAGAAAGCATTGGCCGATAGGACAGCACAACCACAGGTAGACTACAGGAGAGAACCGAGCAGGTTGCAATATGAGCAACCCCAGAATGGACAACTGGCATCCGTGCCTTATGACCCTTACCCAATGGATGGTATGACAATGCTTTGCCGAACTGGACCACCATCCGACAGAAGCTCCGCCGTCAGCGGGCTTCGTCCATCAAGCCGTGATTCGCACAGCGAATATTCCAATCCGACATCGTTTTCCAGCATGGAACCTCCAAGCGGCAAGCAATCACCCATTAAGCAAGATGCTGCGTTTGCACCCGCGGCCGATAAGTCTGTTCAAAAGAAGAAGAGCGGATTCTTTCAAAGCCACAGCCCTTTCAGAAGGAAGAGCAAGCACGGAAAGGAGATCCAAGCGGCAGCCCCCAGCCCATCAAATAGAAATACATGGTCAGCAAAGCCTGCGTCGAACTACCAAGCTTCCTCGTTTGGTCGATCCCAGGGCTATGGCAACTCCCAGAATAGCCTTACCGATAGAGAGACCACTGGCGGTGAACCTGTTGACCCCCGAGCAAGTTTCCAGTTGAACGTTGGAAACAATGTTTTCGATGTTGCAACGCCCGACCGAAGGAATACTGCTCCACAAGAGAGGGCAGTGGATGAACTTGACCCCATTGCCCAGGCTTTAGCAGAGTTAAAGGGAGTCACTAAACAATCATCATCTCGGGTTTCTGCAGACCATTACTCTGGAATGGCGACGCCTGTTCCAGAATCTGCAAGTGCCTCGCGAACTAGGAACACTCCTATGGGAAATGGGGCTTTGGTAGCTGCCACACGTGGGACACCTCCACCTTCGTATGACCAGCCAGTGTCCAGACTGGATCTTCCACAGCCTGCCTTCACCTCAAAAGCAATGCAGCAGACAAGCCAAAAGTATCAAGCACAAACTCATAACATGTTCAACTCTAGCCAGTCGCGACCCGAGCCTCAAGCCGACTATGGCTCTTCCAGATCTCGTCCGGGAACGAGGGGCAGCGACATGCCCAGGGCAACCTCCCCTATGCCTACCCGAAGTGTCTCCCCGAGACCTAGTCAATCTAGCCAAGTCATGAACAATGATGGGAGACAGGGATATCGTTCTGCATCGCCAAACCCATATGGCGGCAACAGCCAACAGCGAGGAGCACCACAGGCCCAAAGATACCAACGCTACAATTCCCCAGGTGATACCGCACGTTCTGTGTCTCCAGCTCCCTTCAGAGAGAGGCCTGGAAGTAGAATGAGCGGGGGGGACATGTCGTTGCAGCTTGCTCCTGCTGGAGATGATGGATATGGATCGCAGCAAGGACGACATGGAGGCGGAAGGCCAAGCACTAGTGGAACTAGCAGGCCCATGAGCTACTATGGCGGGCAAGGACGACAGCAGATTGCTCAGGTGAACCCTCATCAACGAAGCAAGAGTGTGGCGGACAACAGGCAGTTTAACAGAGATGGGCGACCTATTTTACACTTCGGTATGTTTGTGTGGTCAATTTATTTTGGAATGTTGCTAACTTGCTCATAGCTCGCGCTCAATACAACTACACGGCCGCAATCCCGGAGGAGCTCAGTTTCGGGAAGGGCGATACCCTCGCTGTTTTGAGACTGCAAGACGATGGTTGGTGGGAGGCTGAGGTTGCAGGCAAAAACCAACGGCCGGGCCTGGTTCCAAGCAACTATCTCCAGCAGATCTAAGCAGGAGCTTCATAAGTATGGTAAAATATGGTAAAGTAATTTGTTTGGGTATAGGAGCAAGCGTTATGGTTGATTTATTTTGTAACGATTGGTATTTGCTGTGCGAGTTATGTGCCTGAGCTTCGACTCCGGAATATGCACCAATGTTTACGTATACGTATAGTTCTCATGAATTCAAATCCTATTCAAATATGCCTTCTGTATAATGTAGCCTGTGAGTGCCTTATGTAAAACAAGAACGAGGCTAAATATCTATTTTATTGGCGTCACTTTCGGGACCACCCACCAGTCATGGTAACCCTTCTCACTAGACTCAATCTCCACCTTCAATTGCAGTGTTTTCGACTTCGTCTTCTCTGCTGCGGCCATGGCCTTTTTCACCATCATCAGTGTTATACTAACACTAATACAGCTCTTCACCTCATCCTTCACGTTGTTATGCCACGCCTCATCACACCACTTGCCCCTGCACTTCGCAGTCTTCGCGTCTAGTTTGCTCAGCAACTCAAAGTCCTTCCTCGCCTTCGCCACGGCATCAGAAGCAAACGCAAGTAGGTTAGCTGACGACTCGTGCGGCTGTGAAACAACTTCTTGGAAAACAGGGAATGGCAAGAACTCCGGGAGAGAAACGGCGAGGAAGGATTTCATCCGCTGCTCGTACCGGATGGCGTCTGTACTGTACGGATGCGGTGTCTGAGGAATCAAATTGTACCTCGTGAGCACGGTATATAGGCAGCCGGTCGAATTAGCCAATCCCTGCTTAGCGGATGAGCTTAACATGGAAATATTGACGTGGCTTATAGTTGCAGCGAATGCCTCGTCTTTGGTGGCGAAATTCTCTTGCTTTGGATCCCGACGCAGTTCGGCGTAGTCTTCCGTTAGGAAACCTCGGATGCGCTGGAGGTGACGGAAGGTTGTCTGTGAAATGTTATGGAGATACCAATACATCCCGGCCAACTCATCGGCGGCGTATACTTCAAGCTCAAAACCCATCTGTATTAGCCATTCCATCTGTCTGAGCTTGTAATAGTAGCTCCAGCTCGACAGGGGAAAAGAGTAGATGGGTTCTGGGCCAAAGTCAGGATCGACAACCGGTTTCTCTTTGGTAAAATCGCGTAGTTCGGCGTCGATTTCTTCGGCATCGAGCTGTAGGGTGTCCCAATCGATAATAGTGTGGTGAAGAGTTCGCCGTATACGGCAGCGGTTCTGACATAAAGCTCGCAGGATATCCAAGAAGGATTGAGCGGCTCGACTGCGGAAGATTTCCATATGTTGGGCCATTTGGTGACGAGGATCATGTGGAACTTCGATCTCGTCGTTGATAGCATCGAGGAGGGGGTTGGCAGGAAGGACGAGCGCAGCGAGATCCTCATCAAGGACGGACCGAAGGGAGAGTTTTCCGAGAACGACCATCTGGCAGAATAGATAGTGTTGAAGGAGAGTGCGTATATACACTGATGGTTGGGGTTTGCTATTTTGAAAGAGAAAGACAAAATTCTATTATAATAATCAATATGATGCTCCGCGTGTTAGTTGGAGGAACTCACCATCAAGCTGCTTGTGTCATGAAAGTCCAAGACTTCGGAAACCACTAGTCCGTCTTTACACAGCCGTTCCAGATGCTGATATGCATCGTCGAATGCAATTGTTACTACAGGGCGTGGTGGTACCGTACTCGCAAGCTTCCGTTGCAACTTCACACTGAACGCGTTTGGAACTGGCTTAGCTAGCTCTCTCTCAGACTTGATTCCAGGTAGAAGCTCGAGCGTTCTAGACCATGCTAACAGCAATGGTTCCGAGGACGATCGATCTTCTGCTACGCCAACTGTATTTAGGAGAGAATTTCGGCATTTGAGCCTTTGAACCAACGCCCCCTTAATCCTAGGGTCCATGGAATCTGAAGTTGCAAGTAGATGTATGGTCACATCTATAAATTTCGTGATCGACGCATCATCCAGTTCCGCGAGAAGGCTCCTATTGTATGTGTGGGTGACGAAATCTTCTTCCTAGTGAATAATAAGAATCAGAGAAGCGGACGAAGGATCTAGAGAACCTACTTCATAGAAATGTTCTGACTTGACCCGCTCATTGATGTGCCAGCATGTCTTTATTATAGCTAGACAGTAGGCTACAAGAACCCTCAGTGTCAGTGGCTCCATCAAACTCGGGCAATCAGCTGGAGAAGAAAGATCTTCTACATTTTCTAGTTTTAAAGTGAGTATCTTGTCAATGTAGAGGCTGGTGAACAGCGTCTGTGACAATGGATGACCCATATGCCATGCCATCTGTTTGCTTCTTAGCGACAACCTCCATGGGCAGGAATAGAACCACATACCTCGAGACATAATAACTGATCTACTATTCCTAAACACTCCTCTGGCAAAAGCTCTCTCCAAATATCATAACTGTCTTCCATAGTCTCGCCCTTTGCAAGGTAACCTGTGTCCATTTTGGTATCCATGATCTATAAAAAGATTTAGACTCAGGGCAAGAAACATACACAAGATGGACATACCTCTATGGCACCAACCGACTCAAAAAGAGTAAAATACTCATCCTTGACGAGTTCTCCAACCTCAAGCCCTTCCGAGCGGGTTAGTGTTTCTCTTCGGTCTCCGACGCGGGGCAGTAACGTACCCTCAGCAGCTTTAGTGAAAACGTCGGTGATATCTACAGCGACGACGCCCGAACTATGAATTCGGGGTGCCGGGCGAAGTACTTCCCCATACTCATCCAGAGGTTGGGGTTGTTTGTCTCCATTATTGATATCAAGGTTTGAGGTTCCTGAAGGCGGTTAGCAACTGCAGAGGTCCGATAAAACCACGACCTTACCCCTGGAGATGAAATTGATATCATCAGCGTCCATGACCGACTCTGCCGGATTTTTCTTTTTGGAATGCTGAGCTTAACACAGGGCCGCCAGAATGGTGATGTATGACGGGTTGTCGCTGTTCGTCATGTGGTTCGGTTAGGATTTTGGGCCAATGTCAAGATTTATCGAAGGTTTTGGCCTGGGAGAAGAATTTGGCGGCCACCATTTTTTAGAATGGACGACAGTGAGGAACTCTAGCCATAGTTTCTATCGGCATGTTACTGGGGACATTGATATATTAAGCTATGTTTTATTTGCACAAGTTGAATAGTACGAGTGATGTGTCATATGGCGTATTCAAAGTAGCACTCTACCAAAAGACGGGATTCCAAAGGAATAGTTTGGGTCTGATATAGATTCTCTGGGAAATATAACTATGCATTGCGGAGGAGGATATAATTCGTTGTCAAGCTGTGGCTCGGGGCGTGTGCATTTGTCTTGTTGCCTTTCCAACTGTTGCAGCGTTTGAACATTGTCACTCAGTCCTGGATATCACAGGCACGTTGTATCAGAGAAGAACCGCTGTCACTGCTGTCCAAAAACACTGGTTCGGTCGATATTAGAATGTTGGGCGATAGATTCGTATCGAGTGTAATACATTTGTACAAGCCCACGCTCTCCCACATCCTCCCACCGCTCTATCCTTCTATCTCATAACTCAAACATGTCGGATCTAAGACGAGGCGCTACCGGCAGCGGCCTGGGCCTCTGCGTTCGCATCGGCGACGTTCTTGACCTCGCCTTGCTTGCCGTTCTAGAATTGCCGCTGTCAGGAAATATTCTGCACAAGGGGTCGCAACTTGGTTCTTACCTCCCATCTGGCGGAACGCAGCTCAGAGACGCCTCTGCGCTCAGCGGCGACTCTCTGCTCCTCCTTCAAGCTTCTGCGGACGACGCGGGCGGCGACCGAGAGGTACTTGTTGTAGCTAAAGAGTCTTTCGTTAGTAAAATATTCCGACGTCGGGTTGATGACGGTAGGGCCGTGAAGGGCCAATTGAGTTGGCGATTAATTTCAAACATACCTGAGGCCAGCTTGCTTCCAGGCGAAAGTCATCTTGATTGTGGGAGGGGTTGGATGAGGTGACGAAGGTGTCTTGGTTGTGATGTTGAGGTTCTGTCGACGAGCTCGGCTGGACGGGTGGTGAGGGCCAAGATTGCCCGATGCTAGAAAGTCACGTGAAATGCGCTTGGCGGACAGCCATATAATTAAAATTCTAGTCAACACAGCCCAGATAATGGAATACATCAAAGCTATGCGTAATTGTGAAATAGCTATGATCTTAGTGAAAGAATAAGTTTAGAGATATTTCTATGTTCAAAATTGTATTTTGTGTTCTACAATACCCTCTGAAAACTGTTTGTACAGGGTTCGTAAATCAACTACTCCAATGCATCTAACAACCCCCTTAAACCAACAGACCAAGCTCCTCAGCGAACGGCAGAACGCCAAGATCTCCAACAGCAGCAACACTAGCCTTACCCTCGAGCAGTGCCTTGGCAGCCTGTAGAACGTCGTTAGCATAGATTCAAGGTACGAGGAATGTGGGGATCCTTACAGTCTTCAGGCTTTCTTGGCTCACACCCTCAATCGACTTGGTAACCTGGTCAATCTGGAATGGCTGTCCGCCCTGGATAAGGCCGGAACCGGTTGCAACGAGGCCAGACTCGATGTTTTGGCCCTCCTCAAGAGATCTGTACTTGGCAAGCGCAACAGCCTTGGTGAACTCTTCTTTGTTGATGGAGCCCTCGGCAATGCTCTTCAGCGACTTAACTGCCTCAGTGGCAGCGCTGTTGACAGACAAGGCTGGGCCAGAGAAGTTGATGGTCAGAAGGCCGGCATCAGAGTAGGCAGCGTGGGTGGTGGAGATGGTAGCACCAGGAGCTGCAGCTGCGGCCTTGGCGAGGAGAGAGAAGCCTGGGGAGTACTTGATGGTCGACTTTCCACCGAGGAGAGCCGCAAGAACGGCAATCTCTGGCTTGTATGATGATCCGGCAGTGAATGAGCTTGATCCTGGGAACGCAATGACGAATGCGTTCTGGGCGCTGGAGTGAGCAATACGCTCCTCACCACCGTAGTACTTGGTCGCCTTGGATGGCAGCTCGTGGCTCCCCTTGGTGGAGACATCGCCGAAGAACTCACCAACCCACTTGCCCAACTCAGCCTGGTTGGCACCGTTGGCGACAACCGAGATGTTTTGCTTGGTGTAAGCAGATGATGCAAACTCCCTGACGGACTCCTCGTTCAGGTAGCTAGCGAGAGGAGTGTTTAGAGCTGGCTGGAGGGGTGCTCCAAGTCCGCGGTGGAACGCAACACCATGGGCCGCATCGGAAGCGAATTGAGCTGTGTTGGCATATGCCCTCTTCTGCTTGAGGTGGATCGCTGGGTTGACCTCCTCGAGGAATTCATGTGCTAAATTCAAACCATCAGTGCTGCGCCAGATAGACTCGTAGGAAGAACTTACGCGTGAACTTGGTCTGGGAGATAACCTCGCTGAGCAATTCAGTGAAGAATGGGAGATCATCGCGGAGGAAGTTGGCTTCGAGGACCAGGGCTTCGCGGGTGTGGTAGGCAACCAGTTGTCCTCCCAAGAGCTCGGATTCTCTGGTAAGACGTAGCGCGGATCGTCTTTGGGTGTTCTGGGATAGTTTATTTAGCTTTACATGCCCAGAAGTCGATGCCCATCCCACTGACCTTGAAGGCAAATTGTTCCAGAGCGGTGGTCAGTCCTGGGAGCAGTTCGTATCTGGTTCCAGCCTTAGCGACCACGGCGAGCTTCGTAGTGTGTCCGGCAACGTCTCTGCTGGCCACCTTGATGCCATTAACATCGGCGTTCTCGTAGCTGAAAGAAGTCGAGCCGGTGGCAGCAGCGAAGCCGCGGCGGGTTGCCGGTTGAGCGCAGCATTGCCGACGAGCGACACGCTGCGCAGTTTGTCCAATCGCCGAACGCGAGATCATTGTGAGGAGGGAGATCTAAAAAGTTATGGCGAGAGGAGAGTTGTGACGAGGTCGAGCTGTTGTGGTTGGAGAAATTCGGGATGACCATCAATTGACACCCGGATTAAGCCGCACTGTGATTGGCCACGGGATCAAAGTTGCTCAGGCAGACCAGTACCGCCCAAATTTGTCCCGAGTTTCTGCTATCGGTGCCTCAGCCAAAATGTACCCCACCCACATATAATATCTCGAACTTCATCCGAACAGTTTTGTTAATTGTGTGCAATTTGATGGTTCAATGACTTTTCTGTAGTATTGGTGGCAGCTCTAGAGAACTTGAGATACTCTCTAGTAGCAACAAATTATGTCTCATGTAAGTAGAAACAAATCACCCCAGAGGGGATGTGCTGAGTCAATAGGAATCTAACGATGAGATCACAGACGCAGCATTTGGCAGATCTTTGCGCCCTCCTCGTCAGGGAAGCTTATGGAGAGTTGACCAGTGTATGTGTATCCTCGTTGCGATCTATCAAGTACCTGTTACATTTTAAATCATGCGCGTGTTATTTTCACCAAGGTTTAAGCTCCAAAGTCTAACTCCGTAACAGCGCATATTCGCCATACTCCAGCGACGAGGAAGACAAACGATCAACACTATTAAACAACATACTGGCCTCACGGGCCGACAGGTGCGACATGGACTCGTAGTGCTGATACAACAAAACCTATTGTTCCACAATACCGAGCAAGAATCTGGCTCTACCTTCTATGAGGCGAACGAAGATTCGGCGTACTTCCTCCTGCGCTCTGGAAGGATATTAGAGACGGTCGAAGAGAGATACGGTGTTGACGCACGGGATGTTGTCCAGAATCTGCTTTTACTAGGGCATACAAAGGTTGCAGATCTCGCAGAGGCATACGAATCGAAGAACAAGACTACAAATGGGCATACGAATGGAGCAAATGGAGCGAATGGTGCCACAGTGAACGGGTCCAGCAATGGCACAAATGGGCACCACGATGATCAAAAGCCTACAATCAATCTGGACGGCATATTGGCCAGGCTTTTGGACGATGGGTTTGTTGAACCAGTGGTAGAAAGCATGTTCAGAAGCCCCAAGGATGCCTATAATCAGGCCGAGAAAGAAGCCCTCTCGTCCTCAGAGAGTGGCGCTTCTAAAAGCGCAAAGGCAACCCTGGAGTTGAAGAGAATCGTCACAGCCACTCTACAAAAACAATACAAGGAACGATCCTGGCGACACGGAAACATGAAGCGTTATATGCCTGGCGGGCATCCGAAAGGTGCAGATAAACGGCGGAAGCTCGCAAGTGGGAAACCTGCAGTATTAGGATCAGGAAGCTATGATGAAGATGTAAAGCTTGATGTAAGTTTTCAGCGACCGTGACTCCTAGAGAACATCTTGCTGACCAAATTTCTAGCGCGAACTCGTTGTTCGGATAAATTATGAAAGATTTACAGTCGCATTACGGACACATGCTCTCACGGAGGTTGCCAAAAACGACATTGGGGATGTAACGTCTCAAGTCTACGGAGAGCTTCTTCGTTTGCTAGAAGATAAGATTCCTCGTTGCCGGGGGAATATCGTTGAAGACGATGACGAAGAGAATGACACTGGAGGCTCTACAATTACAACGTCAACTCTGGCACAGGCGCTAAGCGCCGACATCAATATCGGTACTGGTATTGGCCAGGCTGCTGGTAATAAAATTACAAGCGCTACTGATGGCGCCAATGGATCGCGCAAACGACGCGGGGAGAGCTCCGATGAAGAGGACGTGGTGACGTCCAAATCACGAGCAAGCAAAGTGAAGTTTGACGTTCAGGCCCCAGCGAAGCATTCTCCAGAGAATCACCAAGCTCGAATCACACAATTAAAAGACCACCTATTGCTTCTGACTGGGCACAACCACGACCTTCTAAAGAAGCTCAGCAATGATGGGCTGGGAGAGTTTACTGTCCTCTTCAAGAAGGCTACAGAATATATGCGAGAAAATGAACTAGATACATATATTGCTTCTGCCTTTGGTAAAGAGGGCCTGCGCATGTCTCACATTCTGAGAAAGCATGGCAAGCTCGACGAGAAACAGGTCCAGAAGATTGCCTTGATGAAGCAAGGGGAGGTACGCAAGACTTTAGTCAAAATGCAGATGGCAGGCTTCGCGGATATTCAAGAAGTTCCCAGGGATACCCTTCGAACACCCGGCCGCACCATCTTCCTCTGGTGGTTTGACACAGAGCGGATCACAAACCTGTTACTCGATCGTATTTACAAGAACATTGCGCGGTGTTTGCAAGTTCTCGAGACAGAAAGATACAAAGAACGTGTTGTGCTTGCGCTGGCAGATAGATCAGATGTCAAAGGCAACGAGCATGAAATGCTCCCAGAAGACCATCTGGTGAAGTTGAGTGCCTTCAATGAAAAGGAAGACCGTTTGACGACGCAGATGAACAGACTTGATCAGCTTGTGGGGATCTTCAAGGAGTTCTGAACCTTTTGAGCATGGTGGTGGGCTACCGGATTCTAACTTCAGATGTGATATATTAGGGCACGGGGGCTGCTGGCGTTCTATTTGTAGCATATATGGAAGGCGTTGAACCTGGCCGATGGGCTTTGGATCTACATATTTGGGAGCTTTGGGAATTTGTGATACCATGAGGCATCGAGGGAGTCAAATCTCCTCGTGGCGCCTAGTATAATTATAGCAATAGATAACAAAAAATCTCACTGTGCATCTTCTCAGCTAAGCTATCAGTATTTGTCGTACGATTTAAATGGAACAGGTGCTGGTGAGACCAGAAGCGGTGTAGATGACTCGCATCCCATCGCTCGCCATGTGATAGTCGGAATTGTATGTGGGACCTCGAAAAGGGACCTCGCTGAAAAGGGACCTCGCTTATGGTCGAGTAGTACACGGCTTGTGGCGGTGTTCCTGGTTACTGGTGCAGCCTCGCCGGGGTCTTGTAAGCTAATTTTGCCCGATAGTCGGTGGATTTATTCGAGAAATTGGAAAAGAGTTCCCTCCCGTTGCGCCTGCCACGAAATATATACATTTCTCACGAAACCTTCAGAGAGGCATCTAATTCTGTTTCATTGAAAAGGAATCCTTAATTGTCTTATCCTTTATTTATTATAGCCCTCGAGGTTTCGTTGAAAAACAGAAAAGAAATGTCTCCCACAATGGCTACCGCTGGTGGAAAGGGCGTTAAGAAGGAGTCGACTGCGGCGCGTCTGCTGGGTTCCGGTATGTCCTTATGAGGATCTCATGTACTGCTTGGAACCGCGCTGACACCTCCTTTAGGTTCTGCTGGTATTGCTGAGCTTGCTGTCTTCCATCCGGTATGAATTGCTTGGGCAGAACTCGAGAGGACGCAGCTGACCAACTGAAGGTCGATACCATTGCGAAGCGTCTTATGAGCAACCACGGAAAGGTAAGAGCAGAATGCTTTATCACAAGCCAGCTGGAATATCATAACTAACCCGCAACAGATCTCCAGCACCGCCCAGCTCAACCAAGTCATCTTCAAAGACAAGGCCACCGTCTCAGCAGGAAAGAAGTTCCTCTCCCTCTTCCCTGGTCTCGGATACGCCGCCGGCTACAAGGTATCACAGCGTGTATACAAGTACGGCGGGCAGCCCTTCGCGCGTGATCTCATCACCAAAAACTATGGCGACTCCTTCGACCGCACCTTCGGCCCCACGACCGGCAAGGCCATGATCTCCTCCCTCGCCGGCTCCATGATCGGCATCGGCGAGATCGTGCTCCTCCCCCTCGACGTCCTCAAGATCAAGCGCCAGACAAACCCCGAGGCCTTCCGCGGCCGCGGCATCGTCCGCATCATCAAGGATGAGGGCTTCGGGTTGTACAGAGGCTGGGGCTGGACCGCTGCGCGCAATGCGCCGGGCTCGTTCGCGCTGTTCGGAGGTTCCGCGTTCACGAAGGGATATCTTTACGGGCTGGAGGATTACAATAAGGCGACTTGGTTTCAGAACTTCGTCGCGTCGATTGCGGGTGCGTCGGCGTCCCTGATCGTCTCGGCGCCGCTGGATGTCATCAAGACCCGTATCCAGAACCGCAACTTTGAGAACCCGGAGAGCGGCATGAAGATCATCAGGGATATGATCAAGAAGGAGGGCCCATCGTCGTTCTTCAAGGGTCTCGTGCCCAAGCTGCTCATGACTGGACCCAAGCTCGTCTTCTCCTTCTGGCTGGCTCAGACCCTGATCCCCGCCTTCGACATTGCCTTCAGCAAATAGATGACCCTACCGTAGCGTGTTCGAAAGGACGAAGAGATCAAAGTTATTGCAACCGGCCATTGGGCCAGCAGAGCGAGTTAGAAACGGTAGACGGCTAGACCTGGTTTTGGAGCTTTGGCGTGTACGATTGAGGAAGAGGGGGCAAAAAAGAGAATCCGGCGCACAGTTTTCTTCTTGGCCTGCGACATGCGGAGGGAAATATGATTGTAAATAGAATCATTGTACATACTTAGTTATGCGGGAGGGGATTATCGTCTCCTTCCTTATGAAAAACCCCATCTCTAATAACTTTAAATCTCAAATTATTTTGCTGGTGCTTGTAGGCGTTTTGGGTGATTGGTAGGGGAGCGTTATATCAACGAACGGCATTTACCGACCCCCGTAGCTTCACCATCCCAAAAAAGTAATCCACGCCCCAAGCAACCACAACACCACATCCCCTCAAACGAACAAACTCCCTCTCAACACTCGCCCACAATGGCACCACCCGCCTACATCATCTCCCGCACCCTCGACCCCATCTTCGCACTCTTCATCGGCCTCGGCGCAGCATCAATGCGCATAAACCGCGAAGAGAAGGAGCTCGGACGCAGCACGAAGGAGACTATTGACGCTGGGTTAAGGTGAGCTTTCCCATTTCCTTGCCGTTGAGTCAGATGAGAGGGGATGGGGCTAATGGGGTTATAGGAGGATTGGATTTCCGAGGGCGGACGACCCGGTTGGTGCTGCTGCGGCGAAGAAGTGAAAGGCGGGGGGGGGAAGTTGCGATAGGCAGGGATATGGGGACCGATGAGTCGACGCCGGTCCCAAGTGCTGGGGTTGGATGGATGGCACTGCGGGGATCTGGGATGGGAAGTAGGGCCGGGCTGGCTACGGATCTGGGCGGCTTGGATGATATGAGGTGTGGATATGGCTGTATACTACTGTATGATCAGACTGTGTTGGGAAAGCACAAGAACGCAGGAGGTGGGGGTGCTTGCAGGGCGGGAAGCGGTTGTATAACAAAAGTCATAGGGGGAAATCACGGACGGGAAACAAAGGAGTTCTGTACGAGGGGGAGAAAGCGCGTATTCCCCGGTATCAAAGAGTTGCAGCAGTCGGAAAGCAAAGCACATCACATCAGCAATATTTGGCACAAACTTGGGTTCTAGGATTCCCATTATGAAACCACGATAGAAAACCACTACAATCTCAAGACGCAATAGACACGCAGGAAATCGACTCTTGTATAAAGACCCTATCCCCCCCAGTCTTCCACATGCAGTCTCACAGAATCATCGAGCAAAGCCAGTTAGTTGAACCGTCATCCATCCTTTGGCGCACCAGCGCCATGCGACTCTACAAGCCGCACAACCCGTTGCTCTGCCTGGCCTGCCGAGAGCTGTAGCCGCCTTGGCCGTCATCATCGTCGTCTCCGTTTACGAAATAATAAAAAAACGTTATCACAAGCCCCCGCTGCTGCCATAACCCCCCAATAAAAACTGTCCACTCTCGCAAATGTCGAAACCGCGGGAGAAAATAGGAGCCCAAACGCCGGTGTGTGGGAAAGTTGGGGGTGGTGTCGTCGATGCCTGTCGAAAGGAGGGTCGTTAAAGAGAGTTGATGCCGACTGGTTAAGCTAGCTCCTCGAATCCGAAGGTGTTCTCTCCCGAGTACGTGATGTAAAGGAAGCCGTCCTCATCTGGGATCGAGTTAGCATGCTGGACGGATAAAGGGAGTGGGGTGGGATCGGCATACCTTTGTGCTCCTCGTAGATGCTCGACATTAAGGCAGCGGTCGGTGGCAAGACCTCGTCGACGAAGATGAAAATGGCCTTCTCTGGGGACAGCTTGATACGCTTGCGGATGACGTACACGAACTGGCCGACTGTCAGGTCCGCCGGGACGAGGTACTTCTTCTTGTCGATGGTTGCGATCTCCGACTTCTCGACCTTCTCGCAGATGACCTGATCATGGGTTAGCGGTGGGTGAATGTGAAATGACGGTGAGGTGAAGGTGGGAGCTTACTGGAATCCGGTCGTTGTACTTTGCGCGGATACGCTCCGCCTCAGCCTTGCGTTTGGCAAACTCGTGCTCGTCCTTGAACTTGGAGCGCATCTTGATCTCTGGGAGGTTGGTTGGTTTGTAGTTTAGGTTGTGGTCCGATGTGAGGTGGGCGCTTGAAGTTGAGGTCAGTAAGCGTGCTCTTCTGTCTTTCCTGTCTATATCCAAGGCTGATATTGAAGAAGCGACAGGAACGGGGGGTGGGCTTACTATTTAAGGTACGGGAAGAACGTTGGAGAAGGTTGTCGTGGGGTTGATGGTGATGGTGTGGAGTGTTTTGGTAGGAGTATAGAGTAGAAGTAGTCGTACCGATGCAGCCTGGCGAGATGGCGGGGGTGGTCCTGAGGCAAGATTGCCCAAAGCGGTGTCGTATAACGCTAAGCTGTTTTTGGACTGATGTGGGTGCTCAGCCGCCGCCGACTAATGGCAAACCAGTGACTCGCATCATCACCAGACAAAGCAAAATCAAAATCACGCCCTACTACTCTTCGGGATACTCTTGGGGTCTCTTGGGGATACTCTTGGGGATACTCTTCGGGATACTCTTCGGGATACTCTTCGGGATAAGCCTGCTTACTATGGTACTTTGCTTCTACTACAATATCGTCATGCCTGAGGCACTAACTTTATTATCGTCATCCCAGAGAGTCGCATCAACAGGTCCCTAGTATAATTTCTGGGAGGCCACGGCACGGGATTTCCTCACGTATTACTCCCACGCACTTTTGCCGCAATTCCCGTCAAACTTCAAGGGGTGCATATTTAACACCCAATATATATATTATAGGGTGCTATTTCTTTGCCGCGAACATGCCTCCAATGCACTCTCTTACCCGGGCCTCGAACCTGCTCCGGGTTGCCCCTCGGCCATTCACACAACCTGCCCGGATCTCGCGCCTCAAACGCAATTATGCCGATATACTGCCAAAGCCCCCGAGGCCCGAAGACAAAAAGCGGACCGGTGTCCTGTTTCCCAAGACCCGCATAGCAGTCGGCGTGGTTTTCTGCGGCCTCCTCATCTATTCCATGGTAGTCGTCCTAGCTGATCGTCCTCCAACGCAATGCTAATTGGGTCTCTAGGTCACCGACGAGCCCACCAAGCTACAGACAGCGTCAATTGCGGACCGCGACAACCTCACGAAGCGTGAGTCTGGCGTGACTGCTGACTCGCCTATGCGCCTTCGCATGGAAGCGTTCATTAAAGAGCAACAGAAGGAAATCGTGCGGGTGCTACAGGAAATCGACGGCAAGAAGTTCCAAATCGATACGTGGGAGCGCGAGCATGGGGGAGGAGGCATCTCCTGTGTGCTGCAGGAGGGAAACGTCTTTGAGAAGGCCGGGGTCAATATCTCCGTCGTCTACGGCAGTCTGCCGAAACAGGCTATCATAAAGATGCGGGCGGATCACAAGAAAATCGACACTTCTGTTGACTCTCTGCCCTTCTTTGCGGCTGGCTTGAGCATGGTGCTGCACCCGAAGAACCCGATGGCTCCGACTGTGCATCTCAACTACCGGTACTTTGAGACTGAGAACCCAGATGGGAGTGTGGGAACCTGGTGGTTCGGCGGCGGCACGGACTTGACGCCGTCATACCTGTTTGACGAGGACGCGATCCACTTCCACAGGACCGTGAAGGATGCCTGCGACAAGCATTCCAAGGACTACTACCCACGATTCAAGGAGTGGTGCGATAAGTACTTCTCGGTCAAGCACCGCAACGAAACCCGCGGCGTAGGCGGAATCTTCTTCGACGACCTCGACGACTCGGAGAACGACCAGGAGAACTGCTTCGCGTTTATCCAGACGTGCTTGAAGGCCTTCTTGCCTTCTTATTTGCCCATTATCAACAAGCGGAAGGATATGCCGTACACGGAACAGGAGAAGAACTGGCAGCAGATCCGCAGGGGGAGGTATGTGGAGTTCAACCTCGTACATGATCGCGGAACTGCGTTCGGTTTGAATACGCCTGGTGCGCGAGTGGAGAGCATCTTGATGAGCTTGCCGCTCACTGCGAGCTGGAAATACATGCATAGCCCAGAAAAGGGGAGTAGGGAGGCAAAGCTAGAGGAGGTCCTGAAATCACCCAGAGAATGGGTATGAGGGTTAACATGGACGACGGTAAGATTATGAGCTGTACTACTATGGGCTACAAAAAAGTGAAAAGATATATAGTGTTGGATTATCACATGTAAATATATTAGTGGATGTTGGGACAACCAAACATGCAGAAAGAATAATTATATCTCGCATCTCTTCATTAATACATTTGGCCATGACACCAGATCAGTGCTAATGTAGTATACAAAATCTTCCTTCAGGAAGACAATCCACCTAGGCAAAATTGATCGTACATGAACATCCGTCTCCATGCTTCAAAAAAACGCCGCTCGGACATTCTATACACGGAACTTTTGACTTATGCGAGCCAGCCCACCCACACCCACCCCCAAACCTTAACCCACCACAAGCACTAACACCCGTTCAAACAACCGTCGAAATCTTGGACAGAAGACTTGGCTTCTGCTCATTGCGGAAGACGCCCAACAGCGACTTCCACACCTGTCCCGGCTCCTGGCTCGCGTCGATCCCGCTCCATATGCCCGTCTTCTGGTAGTAGTTGACCACCGGCGCGGTCTGCTTGTGGTAGGTAACAAGACGCTTCTTGAGTGCCTCGGCGTTGTCGTCAGAGCGCTGGATCAGCGGCTCGCCGGTCACATCATCCTTCATGGTCTCCTTGGGGGGGTTGAAGATCTTGTGGTATGAGCGGCCCGACGCTGGGTGCACCAGGCGGCCGGTGATGCGGGAGACGAGGAGCCCGTCGTCGATTTGGAGCTCGACGGCGTATTTTAGGGGCTCCTTGCGCTGGGTGAGCATCTCGTCGAGGCGCTCGGCTTGGACGACGGTTCTTGGGAAGCCGTCGAGGATGAAGCTATGTGAGAATTAGATGGGGTGTTTTTCTTGATGGGGGATGGGGGGTGTAGGCGTACCCTCCCTTGCACTCCTTGTTGTTCTCGAGCTCGTCCTTGATCATGCCGATGACAATTTCGTCGCTGACGAGGCCACCTTCGTCCATGATCTTCTTGGCTTGACGGCCGAGCTCGGTCTTCTTCGCTACCTGCGACCGAAGCATATCACCAGTTGCCTAACGCGGACAATCAGCATTGTATCCAGTAGGGGAATTGTTGTGCATGTAGTTTTTACTCACCAAATGGCAACATGAGAACATGCTCTTGATCTTTGGTGCTTGTGTTCCCTTGCCTTTTTATCACAGGTCAGCTTGAGTACCGAGGCAGGGTATCACTCAACAACAGAGTGGCATTGGAAGTCATACCAGCTCCTGGAGGTCCCATCAGGATCATCCTGACGCCATCGGCGATACCGGATTGCTTCGACACTCCGCCGGAAGCCAGGTGCAGCCTGCTTTCCAAGTCCTTCACCCGTTGCTCGAGTTTCGCGACCAGGTGGTGAATATCCTCAGTGACTGGAGACATTGCTGCGGTAGTAAGTCAATTCACGAAGAACGGCTCGTACGCAAAAGGGTAGGGACTTGCAGAAAAATATTGTACAGAGATTTGGGGTTGTTGAAGGTGATGGCAGAAGCTGTGAAGTTTAAAAGCTTGGTTCGGACCTCGCTCGCAATCGGCGGAATGGATCACTCTAATCCGGGCAAATAAAGCTGGCGTCTTTAGCCGGTATGCGCCGCCGAATTGCATGTTTTGTTTCGTTTGTTGCCTCAATCACGTGCATTCGTGAAAAGCAGCGGCGCTTATTCGTTAAAGCAGCGTCACAAAGATGTCGCGTTGAGGTCAGCCTAGTAGCTAAGGTACAGTGCGGTCAGAATATCAAAGCTCCATATCGAACCCATCCACCCCATCTGAACCACGACATCACATCCTCCCACATCACAACTCCATAATGCCGGCCACTACAGCAGAAGCCCATTCCCTCGTCACTACCACCGTCTCCGTCGCACCTCTCGTCCTCCTCTCCGCCGCCGATCACTATGGCCGCTCCGCAAAGGGCACTCGCAAGCGGGTGGTTGGTGTGTTGCTTGGACAGAACGAGGGGAAGAACGTGAGAGTATCAAACAGTTTCGCAGGTAGGGATCACGTCCACACACCCCAATGAAACGAATCTGACATTGTGCGCTGCAGTGCCATTCGAGGAAGACGAGAAGGACCCATCAGTATGGTTTCTAGACCACAACTACGTAGAGTCGATGAACGACATGTTCAAGAAGGTGAACGCAAAGGAGAAGTTGATTGGGTGGTATCATTCGGGCCCCAAGTTACGGGCATCGGATCTGGAAATCAACGAGCTGTTCAAGAGATATACGCCCAACCCGCTGTTGGTAATCATCGATGTTCAACCCAAAGAGGCTGGCGTACCGACGGATGCATACTTCGCAGTGGATGAGATTAAAGACGTAGGCGCTCTATGTTCTGTTAAGCGGGCATCACAGCTAACACTCTGTAGGACGGAACGACCACATCTAAGACCTTCGTACACACCCCATCTATCATCGAGGCAGAGGAGGCAGAGGAGATTGGAGTTGAGCACTTATTACGAGATATACGTGATGTAGCAGTCGGCACACTCTCAACAAGGATTACATCGCAACTGCAATCACTCCAAGGGCTGCATTTGAGGCTGCGTGATATACAACAATACCTCCAGAAGGTCAGCGATGGGAAGTTACCAGTCAACCATGTCATCTTGGGCAACCTCCAAGACGTCTTCAACCTCCTCCCCAACCTCTCCACACCAAAGGCCTCCACATCAGAAACCCCAGGGTCGGGCGAGGCCACCAGCGAACTGGCACACGCCATGAGCATCAAGACCAACGACCAGCTGATGGCCATCTACATTAGCAGTCTGATCCGCGCCATCACAGCCTTCCATGACTTAATCGAGAACAAGATCCAGAACCGTCAGCAGCAAGAGGAGAAGGAGGCGAAGAAGGACGAGGATAAGGAGAAGGAGGGCAAGGACGCCAAGAAGGCTGAGGGCGTCGCGAACGGGGAAATCACCTCCGTAGAAGACGCAGAGAAGGCGAAGGAGGACAAGGAGAAGAAGTAATGTGGGTGTCGGCGAGGCGTCTGGTCTGCAAATCGTTGGCACGGTGTTCTGAGCGGCATATCGAACAAGGGCAAAATAGATATGCATTTGTACTATATAGTGGGCAATGGGGTGGTAATGCCATAGACGCAGCAAATGCAACTATCCATGATTCCAAGAAACCGAAAACTGAATGCGGCAAAGAAACAGGTAATATGTCGTAAATTGTGAACATGCCCCCATGTATGTATTATGTATTGTCACTAAATCACTCAATCACAATCACTCGATCAGCATCTGTTCCGACTTCCGTCTTCGGTCCAATGATGCCTGTAAATTGAGGTTCGCTTGATTGTCTTAGCGCGAACCCTCCCAACAAGCAGGGTCAGTCATCCAAAGCCTCGCGAGTCCCGCCCGCCAAATTCACGCCGTGCCGAACAAATCGCACCAGCGAACTACCTCGGGGACATTTGCAGCAACCACAACCCCCATATACCCTCCAACGACTCTACGCGGCACGACTAAACCGCGAACTATCAAACCCCCACCGAATCCCACCCCGCTCAAGCCCTCGACAGGCCATTTCCCCCACCGCCTCCCTGAGCCTCGCGCAGCCCCGCCCACGTACTCGCAGGAGGCGATGTGCAACCGCAGCTCCAAATCAGGAAGCTAGGACAGGACGAGCGCGCGCGCACACGATTCAGAAGTGGAGGGAGAAGAGCGCGATGCTCGCCACGCCTAGCAACTCGAGCCCTCGCATCGCGTCGCCCGCGAGCAGCACCACCAGCGCCTTCCGCTACAGCAACAGCAGCACCACCGCTAGCCCGTCGACCAGAAATGGCAAGAGCGCGAGCCCCGCGCTTCCCTTACTCCGCCAGCACCGCGATATGACCGCCGATACGGCGTCGACTGGCGTGTCTGGGTCGCCGGCTACCACGGCGCTCGGATCGTCAAATTCGTCGCAGGATCTTGTCGACTTGAAGAATCTGAATATGAGGCGCAAATCGCGGGATGAGTCGGGTAAACCGGAGGAGTCCAGTAATGGGGGGGTTGCCAATGGTGAAGGGCGCACACAGGGCGACTCGGCAGGCGAAGGCGTCGGAGTAAGAACAGCGATAGATATTCAAGCGCTCCTACAGTCTCCCAGCGCGAAGCGCCGCCAGGACCCCGAGCCAGCCAAAGACGGCTCATCACGGGCGAGCCAGCAATTTTTGCCTCCGAAACGGCCGCGGGCAGCACAGCGTGCGCCAAAGGTGCTACCTATACGGTACGAACTGGTCGATGCGGAGGATATGGTTATTCTCGTTGCCGGTATGGTGTCTGAGCTCATCCAGACGAACGACAATCTGCCACTGCGGGATGTGGTACTCACACGCTTCCACTCTCGGTTTGTCCTGCCCTCTAAAACAATCGCAGTAGAACGATTGCTAACCAACACAGCACACCACCAGGCATCTCAGTCCTCGACTACCTCCAACGCCTCGCCAAACACGCCGCACTCACCCCACCCCTCCTCCTGTCCATGGTCTACTACATGGACCGGCTCTGCTCGCTCTACCCCGCCTTCACAATCACAACTCTAACCGTTCACCGCTTCCTCATCACCGCCGCCACCGTCGCCGCAAAAGGCCTCTCGGACTCCTTCTGGAACAACACAACGTACGCCCGCGTTGGCGGCATCAAGCTCGCCGAGCTGGGCTTGCTCGAGCTCGAGTTCCTGCACCGTGTTGATTGGCGCATCGTTCCCAATCCGGAGGTGCTGGTGGATTACTATCGCGGGCTTGTCAGTCGGACGGGTGATTACGTGATAGAAGATGAGGACGCGGATGTGGACGCCATGGGGGAGCCGGCAGTAGCAGGATCAGCGGAGGTGCCTGACGAAGAGGGAGGAGGACGAGATACGAAATGGGAAATGTGGATGAGAGACGTGGCGCATACATCGGACACAAAAGGAGGTCCATCCGGGGAGAACTCCGGCAACGTCGGAGCATCGGGGCAGCCCTGAAGGGGGCCACAGAACCCGGAGATTACTTAGAGATATAAGTCGCACATACATGCATTGGTCAGGAGTTGGGGCGGGGTGGCGTTAATAGCGAGGCCCTTCGCGCGGTACGCGCTGGTTGTGGCGCCGGCCGATCGATTATGAAGGTTTGGAGACGTGATGATGAAGGGGGTTGGAAATGAAATTAGGGTAACTAATGCCGCGTTGTTGGCAGTACAATTCACGTATATATACCTTGTGCCTGTTGGTGTAACTCTGGCTGTGACTGTTGGGATATGTTGTGCCGCCGTGATATTGGGAATAGGGGCTGTAAGATCTTATGTTGTGCATCTCGGATATTACTGCAGGTCTCTTGCGCCAGTAGGGTATAGTAGTAAGGTGTAGTGAGAATGAAAGCAGACATTTGAAAATCAATATGTAATTCCTATGTCTTGAAAGCCGTCATATGTTTAACGCGACCTACTTACTTCCTCCCTTATCATCAAGTCCATAACATTGCCTTTTATATAATTTTACAGCGTTACTCACATCCATTTTCAAGTCAAGTATATCCACAGCCAACAGCCCAGTCCAGCTCAGCTATCTACCCCCCATCATGTCGTAGCAGACAACTCGGTGGGGCTAGCCGCAGCATCCGCCGTCATCCACGAAAGTATCTCCTCATTACTAGCCGCCCCATCAGCCGGCGACATCTGCTCATCCCTCTTAAACACCAGCTTCGGCGCACACGTGGTGGCAGCGATGAAGTAATAGCGATGCGCATCCAGATTCAGCGTCGGGATCGTCCCGGCATTACACCTCGTCGTCGAGATCCCCTCACACACCTTGATATCCGCGAGCGTGTAATCCACATTCGTCGCCGATCCCGTGCTCAGCCAATACTCGGGGGTGGTGTGACGGTACCCGGCGATCAGCATCGGTGGCAGGCGCGGCACGGGGTCGTTGACGTGAGTTACGCGCGCCGTGGTGCCGGGCTGCGCGGAGACCCAGGAGGCGAAGGCGCCGTTGCCCACGCGCGGCGAACCGTAGGTGTAGAGGTCGGCGGCGTATCCCTGAGAGCGCAGGTCACCGGCGGCGAGGGTGGCGACGGCGCCGCCGAGGCTGTGGCCAGTGATGACGATCTTGTAGGAGGGGTACTGGGCGCGAGCGGTCTTGAGGGCGGCTAGGATGGCGGAGCGGGGCTCGTACCAGGCGGTTGCGAAGCCGGCGTGGGCGGAGCAGCCGGAGCACCCGAAGTCGACGTAGGAGAAGCTGAGGTCGGCGATGAAGTTGCGGATGGAGGAGGAGCCGCGGAAGGCGAGGACGATTTCCTGGCGCACGGTGGAGACGGAGAGGAAGCCTTTCATGTCGGTGAGGATGGAGCTGGGGTTTGTTAGCGTGGGGGTAGGGGGAAGTGAGGATGGGATTGGGTTACCACTCGAACTCAAGGATGGAGACAGCATTGGCGGCTTCGACATCGGCGCAGTTGCCCGTCGCGCAGGTGATGGGAGTGCCAGAGCTGTCATCGTTGTTGGAACAGTAGGCTGCGGCGGCGTATTGAACGTAGTATTTCAATTTTGCGAAGAGAGCGGCGTCGACAGCTGATGGGTTGTTAGTAGGCTTCTCTCATATGCATTATCATAATGCTCCTGGTCAGTAGTAAAGCGTATGAAAAAATAGCCCAGAATTATGCAAGCCTTTGAAACATGATAGGTAGTATTTTTCATGCACGTATTTGAGAATCCACTGCAGGTACCTACCTGCAGTGGATTCTCAAATACGTATAATCGAAAAGTTCAGCTCTTACCTCGTTTGGCCAACGAAGATGTCTCGGTGATAGCTATAGGCGAAGCAAGAACACCGGCCAGCACACTGGCAGCGGCGAGGCTAGATGTGAACTTCATGTTGTCTTGATGCTTATACTACCTATCATCATATATTAGGGGCTATCTATGCTTCACTGTTGGGAGGTTTTGGATATACCTTTGGTATATAGTGTATGAATTGACACGTAGGAACTGAGACGACGTCAAGGGACACCAGAGGGCCAAAGTAAAGACGCAGGACAGGCACCTATTATACTCCCCCGCCAGCCCTCCAGCCGCCTGGTCTAAGACATTATCCAAAAACTGCCGAATGCTTCTCAGCTCCCCAATTCAGCGGGGGCCGAGGAACATTCGGGTGATCAGCGGGAACACTTGTTCTATATTGTGGCTTGCCCCCGAATCGGCGTTGAAGCCAGTTATAGCAGCACGAGAACCCAAAATGTAGCGCGGAATAGCGTGATATAGCGTGGTGTAGCGCTATGTGAAGAAGCCATAGTTCGGTGCATATAAGTGGTGTAAATGGTGAAAATGGTGGGTGTGGTGGGTATCAATTGCACATGTCTGAGAGAGTGTATTGTAGTGTGACCTCCCCCGTGTGTAATGCGATGCCGCCATAGGCCACAACCCCCATCAACCCATCACGCCGAGATCAACCTTACAGCGCCCTAACAGATCTACTCTGTAAGTCGCGCTGAGTCCCGTATGCATGCACATACTCTACTCTAATCGCTAATCGTGGGGTGCCAACTAGAGTACGCCGTGTACATTCACGGTCCCTGATATACAGTATCGCCAAGTACCACGCACTTCCCGTGCCAGCGGCCTTATTATTCCCATTCCTTCCGTCGGTGCGACGACGATCGGGGGAGAGCGGCACTTCACCTCCACAAGAGTACCACGCACTTCCCGTGCCTGCGGCCTTATTATTCCCATTCCTTCCGTCGGTGCGACGACGATCGGGGGAAGAGCGGCACTTCACCTCCACAAGAGTAGCTGCATCATGACAACGGCGCGGGTCAACGCTGTTCGCCCAGCCTGCGAGTTAATCTACAACCCGTCCACCACCACTCCTCCCATCCCTCTCCCCCTGCCCACACCCCACGCCCTCCTTACCGCCCTCCTCTCCCTCCCGCCATCCACCACGCGTCCCTCAACCCCCAACCCCACACCCAACCCCCTCGTCCACGCCCCCGCTCCCATCCGCACCCTCCTCACAACCCTCCACATCCTCCTCCCCACCCTCCTCCTCCCCGCGCTCGACCTCCTCGACCGCGCCCTCCTCACCCGCATCACCACCCCCCCGCACCTTCCAGAACCATCCGCCACCTCCGCAACAGCGTCTAGCACCGAAGCAACGGGGTCCATGCCTGCAGCCGCGCCAAGCCAGTCCCAGAGAAAACAGGTCTACCTCGTGCGCTCTTCACAGACGACAGGCGCCCGCGGTGCGGTGGGCGGGAGGGTGTACATCGTCCGGCTGGGGGCATGGAATTGCAGTTGTGCTGCGTTTGCGTTTTCTGCCTTTCCGGGGGCAGCGAGTTCACTTGTTTTTGACGCTGAGGAGGAGGAGGAGGAGGTGGATGTGGATGTGGATGGTGGGCACGGGGGAGGAGGGGGGGAGTGGCAGTTTGGCGGGGTGAGTAGGGATGGGCTTGGCGGTGGAGTGCCGTGTTGTAAGCATATTCTGGCGTGTGTGTTGGCGGAGAGGATGGAGGGGTGGGTTGGGGTGGTGAAGGAGAGAGAGGTGGGGAGGGAGGAGATGGCGGGGTTGGGGTGTGAAGGGTAGGGGCGTGGGAGGAGGGATTGGTATGGATGGGAGTTTCTTGGGAGACGGAGGATATGGAATTGACGTGTGCAGGAGTTATTGGAACGGGTTCGGGATACTACCTTTGCTGGGTTGGTAGAACGGAGTTTGGGGTCATGGTATGGTTTTCTCTTTTCATCTAATGAGGCTCGAAGAACACAAAAAAGCAAAACTATCACATGAGACGCACTGCTAAGCACTTCCAAGCCAAAGTTTATATTGCAGGGTATCCGCACATTCCAACCCTGCCGCCGCACCAGGCTATAATTACAAACTGAGTAAATGGCAAAATATATCTTCCCCGCGCCCACCACCACACACACCGTCTTTCCCAAATGCAACAGTAGTAGTAGATCTTTAATATATGTCCAATATAGGTCACGACCACCTCCGCCGCGCAACCCCACAGACGGCACGGCTCACTCATCACCTCCTCCCCGTCGGATTCACGGCGCGTCGCTGCTTGTTGATCCAGCTCTTCGACACCTCGCTGCGCCGTTGCAGCATCACGGTGTTGCTCTGCACGCGGCTGGAGAGGTCGTACCACGCCATGGTCATCATAGAGTACTCGCGCTTGAGATTGTCGTTCTCGCGCTCCAGAGCAGCCTGCACGTTTGATTGCATTAGAAAGATGGGTTGTATCCAATATGTAAATTTAGATCGCAGGAGATAAAAAGGACAACAAGCTCGCAAGAGATAACATAATAACAAGTCATGAGGAATACAGAGCCAGCCCTGCACCCAACACACTTTCTACAACGCGTACGAAATGACGGGAAAACAAGAGACATAAACATTACCTTCTGCGCATCGTTCCCATTCTCCTCCAACTCCTTGACCTGAGCCTATAAAACAAACAAATCAGCAACTCCTCCACGTCTCCCACCCCCGTCTAGCGACGCATCTTCGCCAGCACCTTGCCAATCGCATTTCCCCTCTGCTTCTCGGCCTCTCTCACAAGCGCCTCCTGCGCCCGCGAGGCCGCTACAGTCTCAGCAGCAAAGCGCGCAGCGTCCAGCTCGGCATCTGTAAAAGACGCCGGCGTAGGGACGCGGTGCAGGGTAGTGCCCGTTGCGGCGCGGGGGACGGGGATCCACAGGGGTTGTAGGTTGGAGCCCTTACCTGGAGTTCTGCGATTGTTGCGTCTTTCTTCAATACTTCTCCGGCCTGTGTGGGTAGCTGTTAGTGATCTGCACTTGTACATCTTCTCACCGACGTGTCCACCGCCACTGTGGTAGGGCTCGCTGCGGGCTGTGGTGGGCCGGGAATCAGGCAGTGGGATGGCCGCGGGATTAAGGACGGGGGCCATCCTCGACGAGTGTGGGATGTGGGAAGAAAAATGGTTGCCGATGCGAGATGCCTGCGCAATTTCTTGTGCTGACAGCTTCGCGCCCTTGGTCCGCTTGGGGTAGGAGCCCACGAAATATCGGGTGTTGAAGATCCTCCAGTTCTTGGAATAGAGGTGAGGAGAAAACGGAGTGCTTACGTCTGGTTGGGTTGGGGTCGCGGGAACTTCTTTGGGTTCATCGTCCACGATAGGGGTTTCATCCTCGACGTTCGTGTTCTTCTCGAGGGCCTCACGAAGCTTGTTGTTAGTGAGTAACGACTCGATCAGCTGTGATTTCTGGGCCTCGTAGTCAATTAGGAGGGCCTTGTATTTGCCCTTGAGAGCAGTTAATTCATTCTCAAAGGACTTGGATAGGGATTCCTGGGTGGCCTTCAACTCCTCGAGGGCATCGATCTCTTCTTTCTCGACCATACTCACTATGAAAACGTTAGCATAACTCTGCGAATGGATAGGGGTAAACTTGCAATCTGCCGTTGCCATCAAGAGCTCTCGCTTGGCGTCTTCGTGCTCGGCCTCGAGAGCAGTAAGCTGCTTCTGAAGAGCCTCCAGCTGCTCAGTCACGCTCGTATGCGCCCTCTTCAACTCCACAAATGCTTGATCTCTGTAGTACTCAGGTGTAAGCAAGGTTAATGTGCCAATGGATATAGCGGCATTGACGAACTTTTTATTATCATCCACCAGATTCATCATCGCGCGCAGCTGCTGCTGCGTGATGACCTCCTTCTCAAACGCCTCGCGATACTTCCCCTCAATGACCTTGATATGTGCGTCGGACTCCTCCAACTGTGCCCGAAGCGAGCTGTTCTCCTGGGCCGCGAGTGTATTCCCCTTCAGGAGGGCATTCTCTGCCTTCAACCTGAAATTCTCGAGGTTACTCTGTCGGTTCCCTTCGGAATTCTGCATCTGCTCTGCCAATGTTTGTCCGTGGGGTGAAATCTCGGGGAGTGGAGATTGCTCCCGTAGCTCGAACATGGCTTGTTCGTATTGTGCGATCTTCTCTTCCTGCGTCGATAAGGAGTAGCGTAATTCGGAATTCTCAGCTTCGAGCATCTTCTTCTGGCTCCCAATCTCAAAGATTTCCATCTCGGCCTTGGAGATACTGTTCTGGAACTGTCTCTGGGAAGCCTCCAGACTGCTGTTACGTTCCATGATCTTATCGATGTGTTGAAACTGCGTCTTCAACTCCTCGTTCTCGAGCTCAAGGTCCTTGAAGTTCTTTTGCAGGTCCTTCTGTACCTCGAGCTTGTTCTTGTAGCGGTCAACTGTGTTAGCCTTCTTGGTAAGCTCGTCATTCTTGAACTCGAGCTCCTTGATCTCATCTTGTAGCTGAATGAGGCGCGAGTCGGCATCTTTCAAGTTCGAAAGCTCCCGTCCCATCCTCGCCAGCTTGTCACGGTCTTGCTCGAGCTGGCCCTCTTGAAACTCAATCACCTCATCCCGCTCCCTGATATCATCCTCGAGCCTCCTAATGCGATGCTCCGTCTCATCGTCCCTGACAGGAGCGTTAAGTCTATCTTCGGCGTCTCTGAGGTGATCCTGGAGGCTATCATTATTCTCCTGCAGATGTGTTAACCGAGTCGTCAAATCTGCAGTCTGCTTCAGTAATCTCTCATTCTCTTGCTCAACCCCCCGCTTCTGCCCGAGCAGAACTCCATATCGATACTCGAGCTGGAACTCATCCGGAGTAGCCTTGCCAGGCGGGGGCTGATATATTTTGTTTCCCGACTCCCTCGCCTCGTGAGCCTCCGTTATTCTCTGTACTCAGTTAGCTGGCCGAAACCTGCAAATGGGGGAGCGGGGATGCGCACCTGCTCGATGATCTCCTTAATCTCTCCCTGCACGCCCTGATCGAAAGTCATAATCGTACTGATGTAATCCTGGCGCCTGGGCCCGCTCATGGCGGCCACGAGGAGGAACGAAGTAAGCTGTTCACAAAAGTCAATACACGTTGTCGATCCGCCATTGAGAGCCACGGCTACCTCGAGAATGTCCTCTGTCTTGCCATCAGCGGAGATGGCGATGAAGCTCGGCGACTCCACCAGCTCCTCCAGCTCAGCGCATTCGGTGACTATGTAGCATCGAAGGCCGCGGATGACCGCTTGGAAGGTTTTCTTTTCGTTGATGCGCCGTCTCGTGAAGGTCGGATCGATGTCCGCTGTGGTATATACATGTTAGCCTTCTGGTGGGAGTAAGGGGGGGGGGGAGCGCAGGAGGTACTTACCCATAACCTGGTATAGGAGTTTGCCATCGCTCAGGTCTACCAGAGACCTAGCTTCCTTATGGAGGGGGAATGTGTTCACCTGCAAGACACCGTTAGCTCTGTGTGTCACAACCCTTATTACATGCGTGTCTTGGGGAGGGGGAGGGGCGAGGGTATACCCAGTGCAGCAGCGCGGCCTGCGCCGCCTTGCTGTCAACGGAACTCATGGTTGTGGAGATTCGGTATGGTTCTGTTACTGTGGGCTATGATCGCGCAAGTGCCAGTATGCTGCGAATCGTGATAGATCGTTGAATATCATTGTCGGTGGGCCACAAATCGTCGTTGTATTATAGCTATCGCAGTTTCATTGTCGTGTCTTGTGAGGGAACACTTAACGACAGGGGTGCCGAGGGCCGATCAAAGCATAAACGTCGTACCTTTATGCACGCCACAATGAGCCTATTTACGTACAATGAGCCTATTTACGTACAACGGAAACCCCAAAAAACAAACTTCTAGAACAACTCAAAGTAATAAAGGGTTGCAGTGATTTTCATTGTGATTTGGTCTGTTTTTGGGAATAGTTATTCGATAAAGACACACTCCTTTCATGATCTCATTGTTCATTTCTCAATCCATTATCAAGCTCTACCTCTATCGAGGGCATCCATTGAGGGCAAGCATCCCTTGTCAACCCCCCAACCCCTCCTCAAGCTCTCCCCACATTAAGAGGGCTCTTCGGATCATACTCGGCACTCTCAATCAAATCCGGATATACCAACCCCCCCTGCCTCCTCACCTCATCCATCGTCTCCATAATCACCGTACTCTCCTCCCAACTAATCCACTCACTCTCCAACTTCCCATCCCTCAAACACCTCGCTGCCTCATCCGCCTCCCAAAACATGCCCTGTCCCCACCCCCCCCTCTCCTCATCCTTCGGGATCGCACACTCCACCTCCTCCACCTTCGTCGGATCAGAGTTCATAATCACACGGTAATGCGTGGGGCAGTATGCCGGGCCGTCGACTTGGATCTCCCCCTTTGTTCCTGTAATCGTAATAGCAGCCCCGTAATTCTTGCCGTGCTTGTATCCGGCTCGCAATCCTGTTAATGCGATTCCCATGGCGTTGTGCTTGGGGAACTGCAGAATCATGCTCGTCATCTCGTCCGCCCCGGTCTCAGCGTACTTCTGGATAGCTGCTAGTACCGTCGGCGCTTCCCTGGGCTTTGGCTGCGTGGTGTACATGATCTGGAACACCCAGGTTAAAGCGTAGATCCCGATATCCAGCAGCGCCCCCCCAGCGAGCTCTTTATTAACCATGCGATTCTCGTTGGGGAAGTTCAATTTCCCGCCCTCGGCATGCTCGGGGAACGAGAGGTCGGAGACGACGCGGATGACATCGCCGATCTCGCCGCTTGAGACCATCTCGCGGATCTTGACGGACAGCGGGAAGCACCGCGTCCACACCGCTTCCATGAAGAACAGTTTCTTCTCCTTGGCGACTTCATACAGCTTCTTCGTCTGCTTCGCGTTCACCGTCAGCGATTTCTCGCAGAGCACATTCTTCCCCGCCTCCAGCGCCAGCATCGCGTTCTGGAAGTGGTGGGAATGCGGGGTGGCGATGTAGATGATGTCGATATTCGCATCGGCGACCAGCTCGGCGTAGGAGCCGTATGCCTTGGCCGTCGAGGGGCCCTTGCAGTTATTGATGAAGTCCTGGGCGCGCGAGGCGGAGGAGGAGGAGGCCGCGGCGGCGAGCTCGTGGCGCACATCGTGGGTGTCGCGGATGGCGGGGTTGGTGAGGAGGTCTTTGGTGAATTCTGGGGGTTGTTAGATGGGGAGGGGATGGCGGGGGAAGGTTGGGGCGGGTTGGGGGGAAGTACTCTCTGCGATGTTTCCGGTGGCTAGGATACCCCACTTGACGACGAAGGGAGAGCAAGACATGATTTCTGGTTTGGCGTGACACAAATTCCGTACTTCTCGAGTTGAAGAAGCTCTATAATTTCAAAAGAAGTAGAAATAGAAATAAGAAACCGAGTTTAAAAAAGTCCGGATAAAGCTGCCAGCCCAGGTGTCCTTATTAAAGAAACCCGTCCTCCACAGATTCGGAGAGGCGGCCCGCCCAATAACATGTCTTGGATCTCCGATCGGCGGGAACCCCTCCATAGCACCGCAAGGCCAGTGTAACCATACGCGGCAAGAACCTATCCAAAGATACCCACACCTGGTTTACGAGTACACATTTAGGCACGTTACGCTGGTACGGAGTACAGCTGGCTACGTTACGTGACCCACCCGTTGTCGGGGTAAATATCAATTTTGGATTGTATGTCTGGGGATGGGGATGGGAATGTTTGTTGTTTAATTTGTTTAATTTATCACCTGTACTTTCTCAACAAGATTTTGTGAATGAATTTAATAAAAAAATATATTTCTGGCACAAAGTGCGTCATGAACTCCGTGCGCTATGCATTGTAATACATTCCACCCCCCCCGTCCCTCCAGCCGATTGCCTTCTCTCTTCCCATAGAGTCCACCAGCATTTTATGTACGGCCCTATCTGTTCCTTGGTGACTAAATCACAACCCAAGAGCGTCTATTGATGGGACGTTCAACCCTGACGTGATCTTTCCCATTCAGTTCTGCAAATCCCGTAAGATCTGAGAAGCGGCGCCTCCCCCCTCAAGGCTCCGTCTTAATCTTCGTCCGCACAGAAAGTAACTCCTCCTATACAACATGTCAGTCCCCGTGCATCTCCCACACACCCAGAATAACTCACTTCATTCTTCCTCTTCCCCAACACCGGCTCCGGCGTCCCACGATAACTCTTCCGTGCCTCAGCATGACAACTCGCGTGATAAATCCTGTCCCCAACCTTCACCGCATCCATCCACACAAACTCCTCATCCAGCCACTTCATCTCGAACTTCTCCTGACAAATCGGGCAGAGACTGTTCGCCAGCTCCGGGTCGTCTGGCACAGCGAGGTACTGCTGTTTCTTGGGTCTCTGGGAGGCTGGGGCATCTCTGTCCGTGGTGGCGCTGGCGAGGTGCTCTTCGTCCGTTTCCCGGGATTTGATCCAATCCTGCCGTGTCTATTAGGGTTGTTTCCTTTGTGAAGAGGGTGGGTGGTACGTACCAGCTCATCGACATACCAACTCCGATGCTGTCCCCTCTTCTCCGCCTCGACCATGCGCTGGTGCACACGGAAATGCCAGTCCATGTGGGCGGCCTTCTTCCTCTTGCCATCCTCATCGGTCTGGAAGCGGCGTCCGCATTGCGTGCACGGGATGCCGAGGCGCTCGTAGAGGCGACCGATCAGATGGGGGCGAGGACTGTGGGTGTTAGAAGCGTGGACTGGCATGGGGGGGAAGGGCTTACATCTTGAGCGACGCGGGTGTGAGTTGGACGATGTCGACTGCAGCTTGGGGACCTCCAGCCCACGCGGGAAGTTGGCCGGGTTGACCATGGAGAACTGGAGGGGGAGGAAAGATGCCTCGGAAGGCACCTGGTGGAGGAATTTGTGGCATTTGGCGGATTGGCGGCGTTCCCGTCGGCGCGGGATCACTGGGTAGTAATCCAGCAGCCCGCAGCTGATCGAGGAGAGATGTTGGGTTTGGCATCGCTGAAGGCGGTCTAGCCTGGGCTGGCGGGTATGCTGGGGGTGTATACGACGGTTGCGAGTGCGCTGGCTGTACATTTGCTGGTGGTGGTGGAGGTGTCGCGTGAGGTGTCGACGTTGACCTCGCCAGCAGAGCAGCCAATGCATTTTGCCCCCCCAAGAGAGACGCAAGACTGGGCTGCTGCGCAGGCGGTTGTGATACGGCTACGGGGGTTTGTACAGGTGCCGGCGCAGGTTGCGGCGGCGGCGCTCGAGGCTTAGATGCAGCAGACAACGCCTTGACTTGGTCCTTTATGAGCGCTATCTGATCAGGAGGCAGCTTTTGGCTGCCGACTATGCTCTGCAGATCAAGCAGGGCCTTAAGTCTTGTCTGGATACTGCCATCATATGGATTTTGAGCAAATTCACTCTTTGCAGCAGTAATGAGACGTGCAATATCACTGTTCAGTGTGTCTATGTTATCATCCAGCACCCCATACCCCCTAGATTGTACAGGCTGAGGTTGCCACGGCTGTGTCGCAGCAGGTGGCGGTTGGTATTGGGCGGGTTGTTGTTGCTGGGAATGGTCAGCGACGGAATCGTCAAGAGAGGTGAAGGGACATACCTGCTGGGCGCCATATGGCGGAGGGTATTGAGAGCCAGGATATTGGTTCCCGCCCATATTTGGGTGTTGCAGCGGCGTTGTCGCAGTATTTCGGAAAGGCACGGGAGATGGACGATTCTTGCCGGCGAGTGGTTGTTGCTGTCTGGAGTATTCTTGATGTGCTTGAATGGCCGACGTCCTGGCTTTTATGAGGGCATTCTCAATCGGTCTGGTCACTTCTGGGAGGAACACTGGGCGTGTATCGATCGATCCAGGGACTGGTTCTTTCCACGTCTTGAGCATCTCCTCCATCTTCCGACGCACGTTGTTGTCCACAAGCGCGTACGCTTCCATGAATGTCGAGAACAGCTGTCGACCGAAGAACAATGTATAAGGTGTGCCGACATTCTTCACAATCGAGTCGAGGAGGTAGAGAGCGGGGAGTTTCTTCGAAGGGCCGGTCTGAATGAATGTAAGTAAAGGGTCAAATCAAGTGAAGGAATACAAATGAATGATGAAAAGAGATGCCAGCTACACCCCTTGCGTCGACAATAGTTCAAAAGTGAACTCTACAGTATGGAAATGTTCACCTACCCGTTTAATATGATCCTTCAGCGCCTCCGATATGGCGAGGGCGTTCTCTGTATTCTCTTTCGCGATGATAGTCAGATTGCTGATTTCATATCTCGAGTTCATAGTCAAGTCCTCCAGCGCCACCTTGAAGTCCTCCGCCACCTCATCTGACGCCCCGTAAGACATGGTTATGGGATATGTAGTAGTAGAGGAAGGAAGGTCTGACGACGAGGTAGTATGTAAATGGAAAAACAAGCAGCAATTGGCCCAGTGGCAGGCGTGCGGCGAGAAGCGCGCACAGTTGTTCAACGGGGCAGGTTCTGGTCTCAACAACAGCAGCACCTAGTTATATCCATGCAAGATAGTTTTCAACTCTCTGGGAGAACTAGAATCGTGTATTTGATGCCTTCTGCCCTCCTCCCTCAACAACGCAAAGTAGTAGTACCCCACAACTTCGCCTGGTCTGCTCAACGGCCTCCAAAGCAACGATGATTCACCCAACCTCCTGTTAGCCAGGTTTTTCGCCAGTTATTAGTTTTCGTGAGCCGCTGGGGCTGTGATGTCGTGTAGTGGGAGAAGGGGTGATATGGGGGGAGTGAATGAGAGTTGGAGTTGTAGGAGAGGGTGTTTTTCAAGGGAATGGAGGAGGGAGTTGTGGTGGTGAGGTTGTCCAGGTCGCGACCTGAACAAAACGATGAGCTTGGCATCAACGGGGGGGAGCGCTAGTCCGTTTTGGGGTATTGATAAGATCTTGATATGGAAGTGAATATGAATATTTCACCGCCAAAGTATCGAAGTTGGAGAAGTGAAAGAGAAATTTAAAGAGGACGTTAATTCAGGTCAAAGCGAACAGGACAGTAGTGAGAAGTGTTTGTTTTATGTCTGATGCGAGCGTGAACTTAATTCACTCATTCTTCAATCGGCACTTTCTTTCTGATACTGCACGGGTGACAGCGGGGCATATCACGCGAACACATCAATACCACCTTGGTCTTTTTATAACTCCCATCTACCTTACCCCTCGCAGTATAAATAAACATAGAAATCATTCCCACTGGCTACTATCTCTCCGACATTGATCAAATCAACATTTGGAATTAGCCCGTCAAAACACCAAGCAGTCGTCCAGGTCGGGAAGGTACTTATTGATACCAAAAACGTCACATCACATGCATCCCCAGGCATCCCATAAACCGTACCACAACACGCCACCACAAAACCCCCCATATAACGTTTAACTTCCAACCTTGGAAAATCTCAAGACCTACATACATACTACACACGAACCATTTTTCTATCAAAACGAAAACAATCACCGTGGTATCGCGACGCTCACCACACACCCCACCACACCACAGCAACAGCAACAGCAATAGCAACACCAACACCAACAATGAAGTTCACCCTCCTCCCCCTCCTCTCCCTCCTCGCACTCGCCTCCGCCGCCGCCCAACCCCAGCGCCAAGTCATCATCTCCTACCCCGATAACACGCCTTATAGCGTCGTGGAAGCGGCTATGGATGAGATCCGCGCAGCGGGGGGTATGATCACGCATGAGTACAAGATTTTCAAGTGAGTAGAACCCTCTCTCCGATCTTCCCGAGCGATGGATGGATGTATGGATGGATGTATGGATGGATGGATGTATGGATGTATGGATGGATGGATGTATGGATGGATGGATGGATGTATGGATGGATGGATGGATATATGGATGGATGGATGATGGATGGAAATGCGTGTGATGGTGAAGGATGATTATCATGGATGATACTGACTACAGCAACAGAGGATTCGCAGCGAAAGCCCCCGCCAAAGCCCTCGAGACCGTGCAAGCCATGGGTTCCGAATACGTCGCTCTGATCGAGGAAGACGCCATCGTCTCTGTGAACAGTGGTAGTGCGCAGTAGAGCGAGTCGCGAGTCGGTGAGGGGGCAGACAGGCCGACGAACCGACTGCGGGGATGATGATGGCTATGATGATACGATATGGATGATGGGATAAGGGATACTGTCTCGCTGGGCGGGAGAAGGGTTTTTAGTTTTAGGCGGCGAGAAAGGGATGGGATGGGAAGAATGGGAGCGTTGAGTTATATTTTGAATTTGAATTTGATGGTATTGATCTATTTCCTTTCCTGTCTACCCCAACCATGACGCCCTTCTATGACGCCGTGGCGCATCTCCTACTACTCCCCTACCGATTCTACTCGATACCAAGACGCTCTCCCCTACCGCTCCAACCCATCTCCATCCCCAACACGACCCCAACACGCCTTATCCCCACCTCCACCTCCACCTCCTCATATCGGCACAGCACACACTCCATGACGACACACCACGTGACCATTCCCAAGCCATTACACCAACACGTGACACAATCCGCTCGGTCTCGGTCTCGGTCACATACATCATAACTGCCACTCAGGCCCGCGCCGTCCATGCTAGCCTGCTACTTGCGTGGGTATAGTCCCCCAGCCAGCCCGCAGTAAATGAACGTCAAGGCGCAAAGGACAGTCTTGGCAGCGGATTGAGGGTTCTGGGCTGGGGGGAAGGAGTACAGTATGGCGCGTTTCAGCAGTGTTTGCTTGGTAGCAGGCGTATTTTGTTTGCTGGGCGATGCGGTCATCTACCTGTGCGTGCATTTACATTTACCATAAACCGCACGAGAGGAGAGTCTAGCCTGGCTCTGTATACTTGCCTCGTTGTGCGTCCCGCCGTGGCAGGGTATGGTATGGTAGAGTATGGTATGGTAGGGTATGGTATGGTATGTATGGTATGGTAGTGGTATGGTAGGGTATGGTATGGTATGTATGGTATGGTAGGGTATGGTATGGTATGGCAACACGGCATGGCACGGTATGGCACAGGATGGAAGAAAGTTGAGCCTCTGCCGTCTGTGAGATGCGTGTTTCTCCGGGCCCATGTCTGTATGCCTGTGATATGCGTGTGTCTCTCAGCTGGGGTGGGCACAGTACCAACCACGGCCAAGTACGGTGATTGGTGGATCGAGTGTGTCTTGTACATAGAGAGTGTACACATAGTAGCGTATTGTATGTTGTATGTACATACTGTACATACTGTACATACTGTACATACTGTACATACTGTACATACAACACGCGCATTTGTATGTACATTTCCCCCCACCCACACGCACACACACACTACGTACAGTACGTACAGTACTCCTACTACGCCTACCCCTACTTACTGTTACTCCTACTACTTACTGTACTCCTACTACTGTACTCCTACTACTGTACTCCTACTACTTACTGTACTCCTACTGTACTCCTACTACTTACTGTACTCCCCTCTCTCCTCTCCCCTCTCTCCTCTCCTCTACTACTCCTACTCCTCCTACTCCTCTCTCCTCTCTCCTCTCTCCCGTCCGCACCATACATACCACACACGCACATTTCTCCCCCCACACCCACCTCCCAAGCCAACCTCCAACCTCCAACCTCCAACCTCCAACCTCCAACCTCCAACCTCCTACCACCCACCACCCACCTCTCACCACCCACCTCTCACCACACACCCACCACCCACCACACACCCACCACCCACCACACACCCACCACCCACCACCCACCACCTACGAGTACCACCACCTACCACACCCACCTCCCACCTCCCACCTACCACCACCTACCACACCCACCTCCCACCTCCCACCTACCACCCACCTACCACCCACCTACCTCCCACCTCCCTCCCACCTCCCACCTCTCTCTCTCTACACACAACTCTGCCTCATAACTCTCTCTCACAATCTACCATACTACCTCCTTCTACGCCCTTACAATAAGGTCACTCATATCCAACAGGTACGTTTACCCCCATATCCTCAACCTCTCCTCCTTATACCCAAAGAATACAATTCTCCGTCTCGCCTTTATCGCTTTTCAATCCCTACACTTGTTCTGCTTTCATCCCCATCTCTGCCCATTTCTCGTCGTTGTTTTCCCTCGTCGTCGTCGACCTTCACTTGACACCCTCTCACCCTCTCACCCTCTCACCCTCTCACCCTCTCACCCTCTCACCCTCTCACCCTCTCACCACTTCTCACCCACTCACCCACTCACCCACTCACCCACTCGCCCACTCACCCACTCGCCCACTCACCCACTCCCAACCTACCACTCATCTGATCTCGCACTGACGCGACTGCTTCCTCACAGCTCAATTCCATCACCTCACACAGCAACCTTTCGAAGGAATAAATAAATAAATACTCTTCATTCAATCAATCATCGTAAGTTCCTCACCTATCGTCATTCTTTCATTCACATCTTTGCGCTTTCCCAGTCGCGTCCATCTGCAACCTCTGCCCGACAACCACCACTTCCAACCTTCCCACCACGCGATTTCGCCCACACAAAAGTTATCACATTCGTCACGTCCCTGCGCAGATCCCGCAACTCCACCAACAACAACAACTGCCACCTCGTCATCGCCCGACACGATCGCATCGCCCGACACGAATCGCATCTCCCCACACGAATCGCATCTCCCCCTCTCTCCCTTCAGTCGCGCAAACATTGGCTGGACCTCAATTGACACATTCTCCCAGACCACTCCCACACCTCACCGCAACCATGCCCAAGGAGACCAAGACCAAGCGCGCCTCCAAGCCCAGAGGCGAGAAGAAGAAGAAGGGTGCGCGCACTTCCCTTCCCTAGCCTTTTTGGGTGTCCTGGACGCGTCCATACTGACTCCGGAACAGACCCAAACGCGCCTAAGCGTGGTCTCTCCGCCTACATGTTCTTCGCCCAGGAGCAGCGCGACAACGTGCGCGAGGAGAATCCCGGAATCTCTTTCGGTATGAACCTCCCCACGGCCATCCATCCTTTGTCAATCGTGGCCAAATATATACTAACACCTCCCTCCAGGCCAAGTCGGCAAGGTCCTCGGCGAGCGCTGGAAGGCCCTCAACGACAAGCAGCGCACCCCTTACGAGACCAAGGCGCAGGAGGACAAGAAGCGCTACGAGGACGAGAAGGCTTCCTACAATGTAAGTGCCGAGAAGCCGGTCGGCGTCCGCAAACGTCCCAGCCGCACTGATTGACGCGTCGTGCAGGCTGATGCCGAGGAAGAGTCGGGCTAAGTAAGCTCTCTCGACACGACTGCTCCTCGCGCCTTCGAGGCGTTCCACATGTGTCTGTCCACGCCACGGCCGCCCCTCGCAATCGGTGTTTTTCACAAGACTTGGCGATTTCGGAAGGTGGTGGTGTGGTGTCGACGCGTGCGTTGCGCCGTTTCTCGCGTGTGCGGACCTGGTCGTTGCGTCGTCTTCTTGCCGTTTTATTGCTTTGGGCTCGGGGCTGGCTGGGCGGTGTTGAAATTGCGGCGGTGGGCTCGGGGCTTGGGGGGGCTGCAATCATGCTACTACTACTACTGCTACTCTTATCGTAACGTGCTTTTTTTTGTTCCATGTTTGGACTCTCGTGGTTTGACCTTGACGGCCATGGATGGGGGGGAGAAAGTGTGCGGATTGTTTTCCTGCTCGGACGGTTGGGCTTTTACGACATAATCAGGCCTCGTCGTCGTGGATGAGCCGCAATACTAGGACGTCGTTGCTTGCCATGATTTGTGTATGCTGCGATGGTGATGTGATTGATATATATGGTGTGATGTTTTGACGACCTGGAACCCCTACTCCCCCCCATCACGTATGCAGGAACCGCACACCATCATCACCCTGTACGACTCCCTTCTCAAATGGTATCCGGTAGTACGCAGCCTGCCCTGTTCTTATACCTAAACCCCGAGTAGTTCGTCCGTGCGATGTCCCTGTCTCCGGGCCGTGTGTGTTCGTCCTGAAGCTGCCCCCCTATGGTCGTTGAAACATGCAGCCTTTTAGATGCCTGGGAGGGAGATGGGCGGACGAGTGGGTCCGAGGTCGACATAGACTCGCAACGTCCATCCTATAACAAAACTCTTCTCGCCTCCCCCGCGACCCCTCCTCCAATTCGCCCGTCTGATCTCACCCCAGCCAATGGCTCCAAGCCACAGACGAGGGCGCAGATCTGATAACGACAGGAGTGTCCCAAGCCTCCAATCAGCACCACCCCTTGTCGACCCGTTGAGCGCTCTCGAACGGCCACGCAATGATGCATAGACGTAGCGCCGCCTCGCTTTGTCCGTCGATACCGTACTTCACCACCACCACCCACGCTGCTGTACTGTATTGCGGGCGAGCGAGCGACCGAGCGAGCCAGAGGGCGTTCTGCTCTGGAGACGCGGGGGGGGGGGCACCATAGCGCGCGGGGGAGGGGGGGATGTTTTGCAGGTGAGTTGCCGGGCGATGATGTGCTGTGGTGCACTGGACCTGTGGTGCACTGGACTGGACGGTGAGTCTCGGGTCGTGGGAGAGGGGAGGTAAGTGGTTCACCCGCGCTGTGGGGATTCTTTTGCTTCTCTTTGGGTTATCTCTCTTTCTCCCAACGCTCCTATACACCTCTTCTTTTCTTGGTGTACTCGCCCGCTTGCTTTTTACTGGTTTTCGGATTGGGCTCGCACTGCTATCACAGGACCGCGCTTGGGGGGATCGGGATCTTCGCTCGTACCTTCGTTTACGTTTGGGCTTTTTGGTTTGGTTTGATACCCGAGGACGTCTTTGCTTTGCTACTGAGGACGTCTTTGCTTTGCTACTGAGAACGTCACGCGAGGTTGAGGTTGAGGTTGAGGTCTGCATGCTGCTGCGAGGAGACGTGGTGGTCGATAGATACCTCTCACCCCCTCCTCAGGTCTCTACACCAGTCGACGTGGAGATAGATACCTACACCAGTCCATACACCGTCTTGGAGACTGATAGGCAAGATGACCATGTCGACATACGGCTTGCTCTGAGAGTACACACTCTGGACTGACTCGCCCACCGCCAAATCACGGACTGCACTCCTGCACTCCTCGTCTTGGATAAGGGTCTCGCACCCCTCTACAGCGACACGTCAGACGCTCCCGGCCCCCTCTATCAGACTCAGACTCTGACCATCTCCACCCCATCCCGCCGCCGCCGCCGCTTCAAACTCTCACTTCAAGACCCATCACCTCACCACGGGCGCCCTGAACAACTCCTCCCATCTCGCCCACCTACCGGCACAGCAGGCAACACATGCAGCCACCACCATGGCCGAAACAGTAGAATGCTGGTGGCTCGCCAAGCGCGCCGACGACATCGCCGCAGCCCTAACCCGCATCCGGACCTCCCCCCTCCCCTCGCACTCCCACGCCGACATCACCAACGTCATCAGCGAGGTTCTTCACTCCGGCTCCCTCCTCCGCGATCTCTCAGACCTTTTGAGGATCTACCGCGACCGGGTGTCACTCGTGCGCGGGTTTCTGGGGATCTTGGCGCCGTGTTTGGGGAGGTCAGTGGAGGATATTAGGTATTTGCTGGGGGAGAAGGGGAGTTTTAGGCAGGTGTGGGGGGGGGTTGTGGAGAGGATGGGGGAGGATGGGGGGGGGAGTCTGTATACGAGGTTTATTATGTATAATGGGTATATGGTGCAGCTGGTGAGGTTGTTGAGCAGGTGGGTTTTGTTTCCGAGGATGGGAGCAAGCGGAGTGGTGGTACCGAATGCTAACTGCGGACAGGCCGTCGATGTACGAGGCCACGGTCTTGAAAACTCTTATCGAGAAGACGTTGCGGTTGAGAGCTGCTCGTGGGATTGAAGGTATGACCTCCCTCCGCCCCCCTGTCGTTGAATAGCACCGCAGCTGAGTGTTAACCCCTATCCAGCTCCGCGAACCCTACCCCTCCTACCCCTATGGTCACAAGTCCGGATCCCCCAAACAGGCGTTAGTATCCCATACCATCCTCTTCACCGTTCACCAACTCACATATCCAGCAAATCCACTGGGCTCAACAGATCTTCGACCGTAAACACGCTATGACGAGGATGAGGCACCAAGTAGTGTGAGTCCCTCACTCCCCCCAACTTCCCCCTTTCCCCCTTTCCACAACAGTCGACCCCAACTAACCGCCCGACCAAGATCCTGCTGTTACGCCCCCTCCATGCCCGACGCTGCCCTCGAAACCCCGCCGGGCTCAACGGTGTTGTTCAAACTGTATTTCCCCCACAAGCCCCTCCCCCCTCCTTCGTTCACACAAGCTAACACCCCCTGCAGCAAATTCAACCAAAACACCCTCTCAGTAGTCCTCTACCTCCCCCCCTACCCCCCCACCGCAGCACGCCTCCTCTGCCGCTGGACCGCCCGCGACGGTTCCCCCGCTTACGCATCGAGGGGTTTACATGAGCTACGCATAAAGCGGAAGGGGTGCGCGCTTAAGCTGGAGCGGTGGTCGCTGGAGAGGGGGAAGCCGGAGGAGTGGTTGGTGCTGTATTTTAAGGGATGGGAGAGTGAGTTTGCTCCCTTTCTTGCCTGTGCTCGGTTTTGGCTTCTTCCCTCCTCCCTTTTTGCTCCGGTTTCGTTGGGCTGGGCTGGGTTGGGTGTGGGGCATTGGGGAGGGGGTGAGGAGGATTGTGGGGATTGCTGTGCTAATGGATGACAGAAATGGTACTCTTCCACGACGTCTTCGCAGTACTCAAACAGCACTGTCCACGCACCGTGATGTGCGACCCCGAAGAACTCATGCTCGGCGAAGAACGCAAACTATTCCGCGGGTACGTCTCTCGCCCCATCCCCTTCCTCCCTTCCCGTCCCCCATCCCCTCGTCAAGCTGCCGGATTTCAGCTCACACACCCCCCAGCCGCATCACCACCGCCTCAACCCCCCATATCCTAACCCTCTACCTCGACAAAACAACATCCACCCCCCGCCTCTCCGCCACTATCCCCCACGGCCCCCTCAAGCGCTCCCCAGTCTGGACCGCGTTCGTCCACCCCGACTCGCTGAAGCCCGAGAACTTCAGACGGCGTGCTAGGAAGGTGTTGTTGAAGAAATTGGATATGAATGTTTATGACCAGGGGTATGAGGGGAGGAGGAGGGGGAGGGGGGGGGAGATGGTTCTTGGTTTCTGCGAGGACGGCGGTGAGTATTTCCCCTTTTCTTGCCCGGTTTTGTCTGTTGGGCGCTGGGGAAGAAGGGGATAGCTAACACTCTCTATAGACGCAGAGGCTTTCCTGAGCGCCTGGAAAGCCCTCGCGAAAGAAGCGGCGCTGTGATCGCTGGAGATAATTTGAACGACTCACTTTTTAACTTTTGTATCAGGGAATCTAAATTGGCCATGTATAAGTCTTTGAACTGGGAGGGGGATATATGCATTTTATATTCTACATTGTAATTCTTCACATCATAGTCACCGAAATCGAATCCAGTTCAGTTCAGTTCATTTGATTTCATTTCGTCTTTTGAATCTCTATAATCCCGCTTTCACCTCCCTAGAACTCAAGAAGAGAACACACAATAGTGAATGAAGACACCTCCAACAAACGACAGTGTAACTACAAGTATTCCATTTCCATAACCCCCAATCCCTATCCTACCAAAAAACATCCCATCCCATGACCGCTAAAACCGCAAAACCAATTCCACCACACATCCCCATCACACGATCTCTTTACTCAAGACCTAACCCCTCTAACCTCGCCACAACAGCCTCAATCCCCGCCCCCAACCTCTGCACCCTCAAAAACCTCCTCTCGCTCTCCTCCTGGTCCACAAGCTCAAAGTTCAACATCGCCTTCGCAGGCTGGATAGCCGCGATCAACGCCGCAGTATCAAGAGGTAGCGGTGCGGATGCAGCCGACGATGACGAAGGGGAGAATAAGGAGAACATCGGATCAGAATCAAACTCCTCATCCACCTCCTCCACAACAGCCTCCACCATCGACTTCGCGACCGGTTCCGGGGCCGAAAACAACGGGAGCGGGAGCTCAAGCTTATCCTCCTCAGCCTCAAACGTACTCGAAAGCTTGCCGGAGAGGACACTAGCATCGAACCTCACCTCCTCCACACTGTGCACGCTGAAGACCTGCGGCTGATAGATGAAATCATGCGTATTCAGATCCAGCAGGCTGAAATCCAACGGCGCCGCATCAGGGATCATGGCGTAGTTGATGTTCATATCCAGGTTCTGCTGCTGCTGCTGCGCGTACGGGTTCGGGTCCTTTGGCGCTTGCGTCTGTTGTTGCTGCTCAGGAGGAGTGGCCTGCTGTTGACGCTCAACGGGGTTGGGGTTCGTGCTCAGCGTGTCGAGGAAGCCGGAGAAGGAGGGCGAGGAGAGGAGCATGCGGGTGAGGTCTGCGAGACGCTTGTTTTCCGAGAGGAGCTCGCGGTTCTGGTTGCGCAGGCCCTGGTTCTCGTTGACGCGGGTGGCGATCTCGCCTTCGAGTTGGCCAATGTATTCTGTTATATGTTAGTCGAGGACAGAAATATGAGATCAATAAACATACCCTTCCTCCTCGAGCGGAAAGCGCGCGCAGAAACCTTATTCCTCAACTGTCTCCTCTCCTTGCTACTCAACTTCTTCCCCTCCTCACTCGCCAACAATTTCTCATCCTCATCCATATCCTCCTCATCCTTCCTCGAGCGTCCATGTCCCCCATACCCCTCGGCAACATCCTCATCCCCATTCGACGTCGCCTCGCTATTCTGCCTCATCGAGTTAAGCAGCTGCGAGATCTTCTCCTCAACAATCGGATCCGTGGCCGGCCTGGCCCTCGCCCTCGCCGCCTGCGTCGGCACCGCGCTATGCCTCTGCTGCTGCGCGATCAGCATCTGCTGCTGCTTGCGCTGCTGCTCCGCCTTCGCCGCCTGCTGCTGATGCATGCCCGGCCAGAGCCGCCCGACGTTGCCCGCCTCCACCTTGACGGCGGGTGCGGGAACCGGCGTCTGCGTCTGGCTGGCGTAGTCGGCGGCGTGGGGGGGGGGGGGGAAGAAGAACGCCGGGTCCACGGTGGGGGAGTCGTAGTCGATGCCCATGCCCAGGTTGTCGAAGCTGCCGGATCCCGAGGCGCTGCCGGCTTTGAAGCCCATGTCGCTGAAGTCGTCGGAGTTGTCGACGCCAGAGAGGTAGCCGTAGCCGGCGTACATCTGCGAGTTGTTGTTGATGGCGAGGGTCGTCGCGAGGCCGCCTGTTGGGATGCCAGTCTGCTGCTTGTGGGCGTCGTAGGGGTGGCTAGGAGGGGCGTGCGACTGTTGACGCGGCGGGAGGAGAGTGTTTGCGGTGGGTGTTGATGCGGTTGGGCGGAAGGAGACGGACTTGCTGGACTGTGCGGGGGAGATAGAGGGCGAGCCGTAGGTCATGGTCTCGTAGGAGGAGAGATCGAGGAGGGAGTCGAGCGGGTCGAGACAGTTGGCCTGGGAGGCGCTGCGGGACATGGCGTCTTGTGATGATTGGGACGACATGGCGTCTGGTGTGGTGATGATTGTTGCCCGTCTGTTCAGGCGTGGTTAAGGGTGCTCGAGAGCGGATTGGCGGGTTGGTGGTGAGTGTGCAGTCCCGGGTGCGCTGGTGGGAGCATGCAACGGCGTGCAATGGGTGGGTTCTGCTTTGTCTGAATGTTTCGAGTGAAGATCGAGAGATGTTTTACTCGGTGATGGTGAAATAATGGTGATAGTTTTTGACGGAGGAAGAGTAAAAGAGTAAAAGAGTAAAAGAGTAAAAGGGATGATGAGAAGTGGAGGATGGTTTTGGATAATGGCAGCCTGAATGCGCAGCAGGTGAGGATTCAAGCGCTGGGGTGTGAAAGGCCGCGTCAGCCAGCAAGCACGATCTCGGGGAAGGGAAGGTTACGGGGAAGTAGCGGTAGGGCTGTTTTAGAGTGGCGAGGTACAAAGTAGAGAGAAGGGGAGAAGTAAATGGTAGAATCGGAGATTAAGTGCAGTGACCTTGTATAGAAGTATCTCTCTCAACGGCAGTGATGTATTGGGGGTTGATTTGTGTGTAAAGTTTGGCTAATCCACAGCCCCAGACCAATGGCGGATACATGCCAGACAAGTACCCTAAGCATTATCTCCGTTGGTGGTTACCAAAATAACCTGCACCGCCCTATGCCATTCCACTTCAGGCCTCAGATCTCAGGCCTACACCATTCGCTTCGATCCTCAGATCTCAGGCCTATACCATTCCCCTATACCATTCCACTTCAGACCTCAGATCTCAGGCCTACACCATTCACTTCGATCCTCAGATCTCAGGCCTATACCATTCCCCTATACCATTCCCCTATACCATTCCCCTATACCATTCATTCCACTTCAGACCTCAGATCTCAGGCCTACACCATTTACTTCGATCAGATCTCAGGCCTATACCATTCCCCTAATACCATTCCACTTCAACCCTCAGGTTATACCATTCCCCTAATACCATTCCACTTCAACCCTCAGATCTCAGACCAACGGCCGAGTTGAAGATATAGTACAGTACAGTAAGATCTAACCCTGGCTCAATACTAAAAAGTGTACTCTTCTGCCCCTGTATACGCAGCGGCTAATATGAAACTTGCTCTTTGCACCGCCGCCGCTCGCTGGCTCCTATACACCAGTACAGCCGGCGCTTCAGCTATATGTCAGCTATATGCATGTATGCATATAGCTGACATATAGCTGAAGCGAGTACGTATTATGCATGCACGAGATTTAGCCCAGCGCATACAGATGACCGCAGTGGGTAAGGAGTAAGGAGGGGAGTGGAGGCGACTTGCTTACAGTATTGTAGTAGTTTTGTAGACTACGCAAGTAAATTCCCATCGTGGAGTAGTGCTGACGAGCGCATATCTCGCTCACACTTCACACAATGCTCTGCCATCTCCTTCATCCCAACCCAACTCTACAGTACAGCAAAACGCTGACCTAACCTGGCCTGAGCCACTGTAACGAATGAAAGAACGTCCAGATCCCCATCTCCCATAAAATCCCAACTCATCTCCGTCCTTCCTTCACCCTATCCTAGAAATCTCAAACCCACGTGATCCAGTGATGACCAACTGGTCGATTTAGACTAGTCGGCCATCACGTGACGCGGTAAGCAAGTAGCAGTACAGACGGTTGGTACAGTTGAACGGTTGCGGCCTCCATTACCAAATAGAATAGGAAGTTGACTCGGAGCGGATCGCGGTGGATATTGACTATCCACCGCAATCCCACTATCCGCAATCGAACTGAGTGGAGCTGAGGGTTGTGCGTGCTGCATGCTATCGCCATGATGTCCCGAAAATACTACTCAATGATTCCAAGAAGCGAGTCGAACGACGACTATAATCCTCAAAACACCCTGTTAGACCCCTGAGAAAATACCATTTGGAGGAAGGCGTTGCGCTGCTCTGCAGTGCTTTCTGGGGTTGGCCAAACTAGAGTAGACTCATATTCCTCATCAATAGCAGATCGTCCATGAGTATCGCAATATTCACGGAACAGGAGCATTTCCATAGACAGCCATGAATTGTGTTCAAAATAGATAGTAGAGAATTATTATAAGAACCCAGCTGTAATCCGTAATTAGTATGAAAATAAACCAGCAGCTGCGATCTTCATAATACAACAGACCGAACGAAGAAAGACATGTAAACCAGCAGTTGCGATCTTGATAAAACGACAAACCAAGGGAAAACCCAACAGTCCAAGCGAAATACCGACGTATAACCCATCAAACACCCAAACCCCAACCATGTCCACCGCCTCAGACCCATCAGCAACCAGCACCACCCACGGCAACAAGTAAAAGAAAACCCACACACACAGCTTACCTCCTCAAGCACAATGAAATTAATTTCTAACCCACCCCACCGCCTCAAAGAAAACCCCCCCCGCAATGCTCGACAAATACCTCGCCACCACTCCAACCATCACCGAGAACCTCGCATCCCCAGGCCCGCCGAGGGCGGCGAAGAGAGTGCTAAGGAGAGGAGAAAGAAAGCTGCGGAGTATATTGAGGGTGGCAGGCGGAGTGGGAGAGGATGGGGTGAGGTTATTGGGGATGGTGGGTGTTGGATGGGAGAGGTGAGAGTTGGAGTGGGGCGATGGATGGTGTATTTCGTGATGTTCCCCTCTTCAAAAGGGGTTCGGGGATGGATCACAACGGGATGGGGAATCAAATTCGACCCGCTTCATCTCAGCACATGTATACAATATCACAAATATCACACAACAACAAAAAAAGATAAGACATATGAAGGTCGTATGTATTTTCCCATTTTCAAATACACATATAAGTAAAACGCGCCATCCGTCAATCCAGCCAGCTAACACCCCCCTTTTCCGCCCCTTGCTATGCGCAAGCCCTATCCTGTTTTGAGTCTTTCTACTCCTACTCCTCCAATAACCAGACAAGTGAACCTCGACAATAGGTCTAGATCCAGTGTTTATCCATCCATCCAACAATCTTCCTCCTTGTTGTTATCGTTGCGTCAGAAAGAACAGAAAAGAACAAACACCACATCCACCCATCATCGTCATCGTAAAAGTCGGTTCAGTCGTCGGTCGCGGGAGAAGTGCGAAGTAATAGTGTGAGAAGTGAAGTGAAGTAAAGAAGAGAAAGTCAAAGGTTGTGCCAGAGCGCGTCAAGGCTGACAGTAATATGTACAATTGAAGTAGGATCGAAAAGAGTGTGTATCATGTGTGAAGGTGCGTGAAATCCGCGAGGTGAATCTTGATGCGTCGTGGAGAGGTGTCGAGTGGAAGTGAAGTGAAGCATCTGCAGCAGCGACAACGCAAATAGAAACATCCATCTAAGAGACAAAGCTCATAAACACGTTCCCGAGCGCCGACACAACGTTATTCTGCGTCAATGCCCCGTCGGCATAGAAGTACGCATACCTCTCCACAGCGTCGTTAGAATCCAACCACGGGATAACCTCACGCAGGAAGTTCTCCTGCTCCTCCGTGCTTCCAGACGCGCCAAACTCAGTAATCCACAGCTTGCGCCCCTCAGCCGCATCACGCATACCGTCGACGTGGGTCTTGAATCCCTTAACATTGGAGGCGGCATCATACCAGTGCATTGGGACGAAATCGACCGTGCACCCATCGCAGGCAGCCATGAACGATTTGAAGTACGCAATACCCATTGGCGCGGGACCGTTCGTAACAGCAGGCGACCCAAGCTTCGCCTTCCCAGCAAACGGCTGCATGAAGGTCTTGTACCCCGCCGCGGCAGCACCAACATCAAGGTTTGATTGCGCAGGCAGATCAGGCTCGTTGAAAGCCAGGAGGTGCTTGCTCCCCTTCGCAATGGCGGAGTTGGCAGCCTCGGTCCAGCCATCGGAGTGAATGGGCTGCGTGCCCCAGATCATAGGCACGTATTCGAAAGGCGACGGAATGGCAGGGGTGGAGGAGCCCCAGTTGTAGGCCCAGGAGACCTTGGAGTCGGCGCCGGTGAAGCTGGAGGCGAGCTTGGCGTTGTTGTAGGCGAGGCCGCGCTTATCGCCGCCGGGGACGACGGGGGGTGTGACGACCACGGGGGTTGGGGTGCTGATGACTGGCGCGATGGGGGTTGGGACGATTGGCGCAACGACCGAGTAGACGACGCTGACGACGCCGGCGATGATGCCTTCGGGGTTCTTTACTGCGGCGGCGGCAGCGTTAGTGGCGGCCTTCGCTGTGTCGTTGGCAACAGCACTGGCGGCGGCCTTGGCTGCTTCGCTGGCAGCAGCGTTGGCAGAGGCTTTGGAAGCGGCTTTGGCGGCAGCAGCATCAGCAGCACCAGTGTCAGCCACTGCGACGGCGGGGGCAGCTGGAGCTGGAGCGGCGGGCGCAGCGGTAATGATAGGGGCTGGGGCCTCAGCAGCAACCTTCGCTTTGGCATCAGCGGCTTGGGTTTGAATCGCATTGGCGGAGGTGGCCGTGGGGGTGATGAAGCTGGTTCCGTCCCACCAGACAGTCACCCAGTCGGTGACGGTGTTGACCACCACAACATCTCTGTCAACGAGGATAGCAGCATTACGCTTTGCGGCGGCGTGGAGGTGTCTGTGCCCCTTGTGAGGGACAGCGACGACACTGCTGGACAGCAACGAGGCGGCGAGGGCGATTGTCGGAAGAGAGAAGAACATGGCGATGAATTGAGGGATGCTCTTCTTTGTTGTTGTTGTTTAGTCGAAGAGGATGCGATCTTCGCGGGAAGAAGATTCTTTGCAGTATGTGCGTGGGAGATGATTGTCTTGACGTCGTGGGAGGTGGAGTGTAGATCGATCTTGTTTTGTGATTTTGTGTCTTAAAAGTGTTGTTGATACCGTCAAGGCAAGGCACTGGCGCAGCAGTGGGGATGGAATTGAGTGAAACAAAGGAATGTGATATAAGAATCAAGAACCAAGAGTCAACTGTTTAATCAGATCACGGATCTTGATTCCAGCAGCGAGGGGGGAAAAGAACGAAAAGGAGTGTGTGATGTTACTGAGAGAAGTAACAACGGGTGGTGAGGAGAAGAAGAGGAGGAAGAGGAGGAAGAGGAGGGAGGGGGAAGAGTTTGGGGTGTCATATATACGTCTGAGGCCCAACATAAACATAACACAATCACACCAAGTAGAGTGAGGTAGAGCACAACATAGTTTAGAGAAATAGGACAAGGATTGCAGTATGATACAGTGTGGTAGAGGATGTAACACAAGCCTGGCTTCAGAGGAAGAGTACAAGGATGGTACACGATAGAATACATTTGCGGCAGATGGGGGGGGACTGTACTGTACATACCAGATAGCGCCGAAATCCGAGATATGACGGGCTTGCAAGGAAGAGAAAAGGCTTCCTTTCAATATTTAGCGTCAGGTACAGCGCATCAGAGAGGATGACGACCAGGGCAACCAGGACAACCAGGGCGACCGGACGAGGACGACCGGACGAGGGCGACCAGGGCGACGAGGAGACCAGGACGACGCCTTTGTCTCCACACCCGTTTCAAAACATGCGTCAGCGAGGTCCACTACGGATGGCATACCAGCGCGTAAGCCAATGATGGCGGGACTGAAGCGTCAAGAACTGTGCGACGAGATATTCAACACCGACCTCCTCATCGACCTCCTCATCGACCTCCTCATCGACCTCCTCATCGACCTCCTCATCAACCGCATCCAACACCGACCTCCTCATCAACCGCATCCGTGTTGTGTCCTGTGCTACTGTACTGTCGATGCGCCGTGTATCTCCACTCCCTATCCCCAAATCCCACGCCCCAGCCCCGCCCCACGCCCCAGACCACAGCATCGCACAATCCCATACGCTCTCATTCGACGTCACCCCGTCCTCCCCATCCCACAGTCAGCAAGCGGTAAGCGGGTAGCGTTCCGGAACGACGCCATGGTGGGACAGGCCACGTCCTCAGACATGGGCTAGAGACCGGACCAGACATGTCTCCACTTGGGGTGGTCGATGCGACGCTCAGGAGGAGATGGGAGGGACAATTTTCGGAGATTATTTAGGCGCGGAGACAGGTACGAGTGTGCCACAGCCAGCCAATGCTGGTGCGCTGTTGGTCTGTTGGTCTGTTGTCTGTTGGTTGTTGGTCTGTTGGTCTGTTGTCTGTTGTCTGTGGTCTGTTGTCTGTTGGTCTGTTGTCTGTTGGTCTGTTGTCTGTTGGTCTGTTGTCTTGTTGGTCTGTTGTCTGTTGGTCTGTTGTCTGTTGGTCTGTTGGTCGGCGGGTGTCTGACTCGGGTGAGACTGGAGAGTGAGACTAGATGAGGCCGTGGTGGTGATACTGCGTCGATGGGCGGGTGTGAGTGAGTACGCGCTTTGCTGAATATATTGCGGTCAGCGAATCGCTGTGGCAGCCACTTGGTGAGATAAAACTACAAGTAAAACTGCAAATATAATTTGCAGTTTTACTGTAGGTTGTGTGTCACGTGATTTCCGTGTGGAAAGTGAGACGATGGGCGATGACTAGGTGTGGCTGGCATGGCCAATATGAAAATTTGAATTGAATTGCAGTCTGCTGGGTATACGCGTCTCGCCCCCCCCCCCAATGCCTCGCCATGGCTGATTATGTACTGTAAGATTCCACTGCCCTTCCGCCGTCTCTCATCTCCATCGTGCCTTCCTTCTCATATTTTCCCTTCAATCATCTATCGTGCCTTCCCTCATACCTTCCAATTACACCCCCCTCGCTCTTTCCCAATTACACATTACTTACTCCTCATACCCTCCCCCCTCCCCCCTCCCCCCTCACCCCTCACCCCCCACCTCCAGTCCTAACCTAACCCAAACCCAACACCCAACCCCATCCCCATCAACCCACCCCCATTATCGTTACCCTCCGCGCCCATGCGCATAGCCCACCGCCATCTTGCGGCGAGGTTGCTCATCTCGGCGCCTTCGGCTTCGGTGGAGGCGGTTAGGAGGAGTTGGGTGAGGAAGGCGGAGGCGATGGCGAAGTTGGCGCGGGACCCTGGGTGGTGGTTAGCTTTGTGGGTGAGTGAGGTGAGGTGGGGTTTATGAGAAGTGAGCTAGGGGGGAAGGAGCGATGGGGGAATGGGGGAAGGAGCGAGGGGGGAATGGGGGAAGGAGCGAAGGGAAGAGCAAAACAGGAACGGGGGAAAGAGCGAGGGGATAATCAGAGGGTGAGTGAAGGAAGGAACGAGAGGAGGGTGGGGGGGGGGCAGGGGAAGGAGGGAACGAAGGGTGAGGAAAGAACGGGGGAAGTGGGGGAGACGGGGGACGGAGCGAACGAAGGGTGGGATAAAGGGGCAAGGGGAAATAACGAAGGAAGAGCGATGGGGAAAGAACGAAGAAAGAACGAAGAAAGAACGAAGGGGACAGAACGAGGGAAGAGAGAAAAACGAAAGAGGAAAGAGCGTAGATGATACCCTCCCCCCAGAAAAAAAATCCAAAACATACAACTATGCCAAAACCCCTCCACCCCCCCGCCCCCGCCAACCCCTCCACAAACACCACCGCCTCCTCCGCACACTCCCTCGCCCCAGCCCTCACCGCCCCCCCACTCCCCATCCCCATCTCCTGCCCCCCTCCACCCCCCGTTTCAAGCGGCCTCATCAACCCACGAAACAACGTCATATTCGCAACCAAATACCCCAAATACAACCCCGCGTCCCCTCCCTCCCTCCTAACCGGCGCGCCCCTCACAAACAACGCCCTCGGCAACCCCTCGCTCCACGCATCGAGGCGCGCGCGCAGGCCGCGCCCGAGATCGAGGGATAGAGCGAAATTGGAGGCGGTGCGCTGCGTGGCGCGGACGGAGAAATAGGAGTCTAGGATATCCGCCAGGATGGCAGAGAGGTCGGCGAGGAGCCGGAAATTTGTGGATGCGTCGCTGCCGTCGTCAGGGCCAAGCGCGGGTTCCAGATCCGCGGGCCAGAGGGGAGGGACGTCTGCATCGTCTGTGCGGATGCAGGAAGGTGTCCCGAGAGTCAGGGCAGTCCATTTATCAGTGATGAAAACGGCGTGCCATAGCCGTTTCCGCAGTGCGAGGTCGGGCGCGGGGAGAGACCAGGATGTGGAGTCGTGTGAGAGACCGCGGGAGTGAGCGAGGGAGACGGCTGTTGCGATGAGGGCGGGGCGGAAGGGGGTGTGTTGCGCGGGACGATGGAGGAGGAGGAGCGCAGCTTGTAGGGTTGCGGGGCGGGGATTGTGGAGTTCATGCGTCAGCGCCAGGTGCGCGGTGCGGTAGAGTTGCGTGGATGGATCCGGGGCGTGAGCGAGCGACGGCGCGAGGAGCGCGTCGTAGGGAGTGTAGGGGAGGGCGGTTGCGTAGAGGGCGGCCGTGAGGGAGAGGGGGAGGGCGTCGAGGGCGACGCGGGAGATGAGTCCGTTGACGAAGAGGGAGGCGCGAGCGAGGATCGGGAGGTATGGATCTACGAAGCGGAAGTAGAGGGCTAGCAGCCGGAAACACTGCTCCGATGTGAAGAGTTGCGATATGTCGTAGCGCGCCTGCGCGAGGACGTGGTCTTCGGTGCGGGGTTCGGCGGAGAGGCTGGTGCTGTCGGCGGAGAGGGTGAAGACGGGGGGTGGTGCGTCTTTGGGGGTTGGGCGGTTGCTGGAGCTTGGGCGGCGGCGGATTCGGCGGTACTGTGTTTGTGAGATTGTGCACTCGTCGTTCTCGTCGTAGTGGTACCTCCTCAAAAGGTAGGGGTTTGTCTCGCCTGTCTCGCCGACGAGGCGTGCTGAGCGGGAGGGGTGTGAGTCGAGGCTTCGTTCGGGGGATGGGACGTCGAGATGCGGCATCTGAAAGCTAGCTGCCGCGGTGTGATCCAAGCCTTGATGGTGCTCATGGTGCTGCTGTTGATGCTGCTGGTGGTCGAGGAAATGGTCATGGCCGATTTGACGCTCGAACAGGCGCTCGTCAAAATGCAGGCGCTCAAAATGCAGGCGCTCGTCAAAATGCGCAACGTAGTTGGGGTGTAGATGGCCCGAGATGTCGCTGTCCTGCGCGAGCATTGGAAGCTGTGGAGGTTCTAGCACATGGTAAGTTGGGGTGCCCCTTCTAAGACTGTCGCATCGATATGACGTTGAGACGTGATGATATGAGACCTACCGATATGCACCCTGGACCCCTCAGCTGGAGTCCCTGTTGCCGCTCTGGACCCTGAGCCCTGCGACGACGACGCCGCCGCCACCACCGGCGCACCCGCACTCTCCGCTGGCGGCCGCCGCTTCTTCTTCGGCTGCTCTACAAACGTGCATTCGCGCCGGTGAGACTGGCACAGCTGGCACGGCGGCGCAACCTCGATCTTGCAGGCTACCTGCCGCGCGCGGCAGAAGTCACACGGCCGGTACTTCCTGGACTTGTAGTTGCGCGGCCCCGGGCCCGGACCGGGCTGTTGCATGGTGGTAGGCGCTTGCGCCGCCGGCGGCAATTCGAGCTTGACGCCGGCGGGCATAGCCACTGAGGAGCCCTGTGCCTGTGGCGAGAGCCCGCCGAGGTAGTAGTCGCCTGGCGACAGCGATGCCTGGGACAAAGGATCCATTCGCTCGCTGGCCGGCCGCCGCGTCTGGGGTTCCCGCGGGAGGTAGGTGTGTAGGGGGGCGGATGGCGTGTGAGGGGCTGAGCGCGCGCGCACACACCGGAAGCTGATGGCGGTGTGCTGGGAGACGAAACGGGCCGCGACAGCGTGGGGCTCCGTGTCAGACCAGATTCCGGGAAAGTTTAATTCATGGCTGCTGCCGCGGCGGTGCTGCTGGAGGATACGGATTCTAGTCGCCCGGCGGTCATGACTTTTTTGCGCGGGTTCGCCGCTGAGCTGATCGCAACAGGATGAGCAGAGAGTGCCGTCGGGTTCCCCTGGGCGAGTCAAGTGGATCCAATCCGGTGAGAGTGACGCCGATCGCTGGCGTGGTCGCCCTTACGCTGTGCGAAGTAGGAGATGGTCGACGATTTGGTGCCAGCGTGCCCCAAAAGTCAACCACCCCCCCCCACCCTCGCGACCCCACCCTCGCGACCCCCCCCTCGTTCTGCCCCCTCACCGGAAATGAGAATGCGCTGCCTCCCCATATGGGACTCCCTTGTCTCTCCTCTGCGGCTGATCCAGCAATATGCGGATGCTAATCCCGTTTCCCATGGAGAGATCTCCGGTGCGACAGCCGCTTTAGGCTCGCACTCATTTCCCCCACCATGGGCTTGGCTGTGCTGGGTCGACCCGCTGGGTTTCTCATACCAAGATATCGGGATAGCTGACTTAGATCAATTCCTTTGCAACCCCCCAGCACCCAGGACATGCATAACTGACAGCGGGGCAGTCCTACTCCAAGCAGAGAAAGAGATTCCCATGTTCGGAATTTGTCTGGGCATTGTGGCTGAATCATTTGCGTCTTCAGCGCGCAACCCCCTTTTTTTTACAATCTCTCACCGTTCCTCCAACTCTCACCATTCATCCAACTCTCACCGTTCCTCCAACTCTCACCCTTTGCCGAGGTGAAGATAAGGCTATTGAATCCACTTCATCCTAGTCTCTACGGTATTAGGATGCTCATCTCATTATAATATCTCATGAACATTACTATGGTTGTTACGATAACTACAACATATATCGGGCGCTATATACAAAGGTGCAGCCCCCAAAACGAACTATTCCTTCCCATATAGAGTACTATAAAGCAAGCAATCAATCCGGTCATTAGGGCCCGCAAAACGCCTTCCCAAACCGTCCAGGCCATGAGCCTAATTGTACTAGCCTTTCCCATGCGCCAGGGCCGTCCCACCGTACAAAACCTTATATATACACCCGCCGTTTGAGCTGACAAACCGACGCCACCATGCCATCCTCGTGGTGTCAGCTGCCACATGCGCAATCTACGCCAAAAATACCCCTAAACTGTCCATTCACCCCAATGCAGCCGTACCTATAAAAGGAAACTTTAATTTCGACAAGGTGAGTGCTTTGGCTTAGGGCCTTGGCGGGGCTTCTTCACTTGTCGCATTGGCATCCGGTCCACTAGACCTCGTGGTTGTCGTATTGGCGGTTGTTTCCGTCACGCTTGTCGTTGGTGCCGACGTTTCATCGTGCGCATTACTCGACCTCGTACAGACCGAGAATCTATCTCTCAGCCTATCGGCGAGACTTAATCTATTTCGTGACCCGTCGGCAGGAGCGGCTGGCGAGTCCGGCTCTGTCGGCTGGTGCTGACCGGATTCCCTGGCTAGCTGCCTCAGAATGGCCATGCGTTCATGGACAGGCGCGTGGCGCGTAGCCAGGATCCTTTGGACCCGAGACTGGTGGACAGTTTCAGCGGGTACAGCTGGCATTTGGTCGGCATCCGTTGGGGAAGAGGGCTCGCTGGCACTCAAATTACTGCGCACAGGCCGAAGATCAACGCGGCTGGGGAATATTAGAGTGAGCATGAAGAAAGCGGTGGGGTATCTACTTACCATAAGGGGCACGTTCCGGAGACATTCAGTAGCCAAGGGTCAATACATGCTGGGTGATATTGATGGTTACAGGGTAATACCCTGACATCTTCCCCTTTTGTAAAATCCTCTGTGCATATAGAGCATCCAAGGTGTTCATCCAGAGTCTCTAGGTTTGGTTGAGAAGATGAACCCACTTCATTAGATTTGGGGGATGATGTCGCAATATCCGCTGCAACAGGGATTGCATCCTGTTGAGGGCTGTCAGTTGCCACGTGTACAGCATTAGGTTCTTCTGATGCATTTGTGTTGTCGAGTTCTATATCCCGGTTCTCCGCCTTTGGCGGCAACGGGTCTCCAAATTTCACAATAGGAAGGGTCTCGAGCATTGCTTTGGCAAGCCCCTTTGCCCGACTCTGTCTCGGACGGCCGGCAAAGCCAGTTCTTGGTCCATATCTTGCCGGATTGTTGTGAGCGCGCCAGGCGCCTGTGGTGATGATGATGAGGAAGAGCACTGTGACAATGCCAGTAACAGCATATAGTACGCTCATAGCCACTGCCGGACTTTGATTTCGTGATGTCGGCTGGTTTTCGGCCTGGGCCGTATCAGGTTGAATCGTTGCATTCGCTGATGTCGTCGACGCCAACATTTGCATAGCATTCCCTGTGACGTTCCTTAACGTGTAGTAGTTTGCGAACGAGCCGACGTCCTTGACGCCACAGTGTGCGGACGCGACGCTGTATAACACGATGGCGCCTGGGTTCTTGGGGACGATTAAGTCGATGACGGCGTCTTGAGTTAGGAAGGACGAGTTGGTTGAGTCGCATGATACCAAAGCAATATCGCCCTTATTGACCTCTCCAGCACCAGCACCATTCGTAGTCACGGACTTGAAGCTCCCTTGAATATTGGTCTGCTAAATTAGCCGGCGTACAATGGAAAGAGTTTATCATGGTGTTATACGAACACTGGCTCTGATACTCCCGCCCCTACCGGCCTGTGCCGTCAAGGGCTCAAGCAGAGGAGTCAGGGTTCCTTGTGGGGACTCCCATACCAACGTCAGTTGCGTGGCTTGCTTTGATAATGGGGCATCAGTGCCAAAGACGTCGACAGCACCGGCCATCGAGGTGAGCAGGAGGACGATAAGGGCGTGGATAGCCATGGTAGGCGAAACGATTTGGGTGCTCTCCCAGTGTCTGTCTGTCAGTATTATACTCAAGCAGCCTGCCGCCTTTCGCACTCCGCCTCCTCACATCTGGGGAGATTGGCCACCAGGTGTGAATCTTACTAGATTTCGAATGCCAAGGTGTATCTGGAAGGTGATTGCGTGGATGGTGCGGCTCATTATCCTTGGTATGAATTTGGAATAAGTTTGGTCGAGGTATGACGGAAACGAATGATACTGGGAGTATGGGTACAGCTGGAAATGTGACAGGTGGGTCCATGGAGTGGAGTGAGCAAGTGCGGGCGGCGATCGGCGGTCGGGCGATAAGGATAAGCGCCTCTTTGCATAGGCCTCCACATTCGGCAGTGGAATTCGGAACGGTTTCAACGTAGCCTCACCATACAAATATCAACGGCTAGGCTCGAATCGTGGCTGGGCTCGTCATGAGTACGGATACGATCTATCCGAGCCTATTCAACCACACTTGCACTGGCAAAGCTTACTCAGACACGGCGTAATCCGCATCACCGTCGGATTAAGTGGAGAGGCGGTTACTTTATAACTCCTTTATACTCTTGTCTTGGTGATTGGATTTGTATTTGGAATCATCCAAACAGTTGAATAGTCTCTTCCATGGCACAGCCGCCCAGAAGGTCACGAGCAGCCTTGCAGCAGCTCTCATGTCATCAGCAGTTACCCGACTTTCACAACGGTTGTAATAGGGCAATCGTGTGGCTGTGGCTGTGGCTGTGGCTGTGGCTTCCGGACGGGAAGGCTGGGCTTGGCCATATCAACGCCATCCATGGTATTGACTAAAACAACTCCCACACCTACTGAGCCTTTTAATCTTCACTGATCTAGGTGGCGTTACGTTCAGATCTCCTCCATATCATCCAAATCGTCTACGGGTTCCCAGTCGCCCACCTCCACTCGCTCTGGCCTCACAAACACTCCATGCTTGGGTCCCCCTTCCTCTCCCCAGTATCTGGTGCCACCGACACTGCCATCATTCTTGCCCACCGGTTCATCCAATCTCACGCCCACCCAAGAACCCAATGACCCTGGAATCTCTTCCACATCCCCAACGTACATAATCTCGCCTCGGCGACTGTCATCCCCGCCCACACGGCACCTCTTGCCAACGGCAATGCCCCTCGAATCGATTTCGGTCTGGTAGGCCTTGATCTTGGCTTCCTCGATAGTAGGAGCGTCGGGATTGAAGCGTCCAAGCTTCTGTGCCTTCTTCCATGCAAGCACGCTGTCACTCTTCTGCTCGTATTCTTCAGCAGGCATCACATACTTCTCGACGGTCGAGGCATCAGTGAAATTCGGGCGCGCGCCGCGAGGACGGGTGTCGGCAACCTGGATTGTGTTAGATTATTTTTGCGAATAACGACAAGCACTGAATGAAATGTGATTCCGTAGCCTGTACAATAGACATCGTAGGAGCTTCAAACGAAAGGCAACTTCACGATTGATTATCACGTGACGCACAGTAAATCAGGGGACTCACGTGTAGCTCGGCGTAAGGGGCCAAGGGAAAGGTAGCAAGCTGAGTGTTCTCTTCGTCCGCGGCTTCAACGGGAATGCCCTGCTGGTTGACACGGAGTGTGATCCTCTGCGACAACGGAGGTACGCCTGTGACTGCCTCAAGTTTCGACTTCAGCTGGCCGATGGTCCAAGAGGGTGTGATTCGGCGCTCCGATGAAGAGTTATCCGAAGTAATGAGAAGGGGGATATCTCCTGCGGTCTGCATTGTGACGACTGCGATTATGGGAGTCTGGGCGTTAGAATGATGAGAGTTGAGAGTTGAGAGCTTTTCTGTTGTATTCGGTGTGTAACTTATAGAATAAATAATATTGATACAAGTAGTAGGGATATAAGGCAGCTCCCTTCTTCTTTCATCCGAACGGCAGTGCTAGCGTCCCCTCCACAAGTGGGAGGGAGCTTTTGTAAACTCTCAACGCATATCCCCCCCCCACGCTAAATGGCCATTGGGTATCGTCGAGAAGCCTCAATGCGAGCCGAATCGGGATATTCATAAATTATCCTGTCTTTTCATCTGATCTTTGGGATGCTTGATCGCTCCCATGGTTTGTGCCTTCGACCCCTCCTGTTGCCTCATCTTACCACACACAGTACAGTACTAGTACTATAATAAAATGCCAATTCTCACCCCTCCTTTACAACAGCTAGCTCTTTGAGTACATTCGCAGGCAAGTACCTCCAACAGGCCACTCATCCACGACCAGTTTGAGAAGGCGCCTTGGCTTTGCTCGGGTCGTGCGCAGTCCGGACGTTCTGCTATTCTTACGCGGAATGGGCATCGTCGTCTTGTCTCTGATGTTGCCGTTGGCTTGAGCTTTTTGTCGTCATCAACATGAGGCCATCATTCCACCCAGGTCTCTAAGCCTCCAATACGGAGGTAAGGTTTGCGTACCATGCTGGCCCTTGTCGCATCGCCCACATACACCGCTCAAACATGGGCTCGATCTGAGACGTCCCTCATTTTAGCCTCCTTCTCCGTTCGGGGCAGGTTGCAGGCGCCATAGGTCACAATCCGTTGTGGATTTCTCCATGGAACAAGCTGAGCTGCAACATCCATTTCTAGACCGCCCAGACAAACTCGTGCGGCATGAATCCCTTCAGCAATGTTCCGGGGGCTTATGTATGGGGCTGGCGGTGGGGTTGATATCCTATACCGTTTTCCCCCTTTGTGCAACTCGCCGACACGACGCAAACGCCGCAAGAAAGCTAGGCCAACCACATTACAATACGTTCGAATTGTCTATGAATTGTCATTACGACCGACAACAATCCAGCCTCCCGTGTCACAATGCCCTTCTTCGACATGCAGGAATCCATTCGGAACGTCTTCCGTGCGACATTTGATAGCGGGTCTATACCCTCGTCCACCATGGTGAAGTACCCTATGCACCCTGTCCAAGTCCGAGCGCTGATTGGATTCGTCTGATTTTATACCTCACCAAGAACCGCTCTCTATGCTATCAATGCATTGTTGGCCGCCAATATTTATAGCTTGAAACCATTCTGGTCGAGGAAAAGGTGCCTTTCGAGGCCCATAACACGGCTACTAGAGAGTCTCGGACGTCGGCCGGCGGCTTAGAGGTGGCATCAATCAAACTTGGATTGTCGACTATCGTCTTAGAAAATCTTTCGAGGTATCATTGAAGCCGCACACCGCCAAATGTAATATCCCGTCGCATCAAATTCCAGATCAAGCAAACTTTTAATAGAGTCATGCGTAATTGGAGGCGTTGATCATCTCTGGCCGGCTTTGCAAACGGTTGCCTTGCTTGGCGTGGGTTCCTGCTTGAAAAAGGCTCCCAACTTGACATGGAGCCATATTGAGGCGGGTCATATCGTGGCATCGGAACCTGTTCCTCGGATTTCCGGGGCTCTTGGAATTTGCCCTGTCGGTAGCTGAGTACTGCAAGTCATGGATCCAAAGCGGACTCGCGCCTCGCGGCCCACGGAGAGGCACGCGCATTTAATGCAAGTCAATGCAGGCAATTCAGATCTTGCCTGGATTGAAGGCCCCTGACCTTGCCTACCTTGCAGGCCAGACCGCCAGTTCTCTCGTCAAGCGCCCAAAGTGGAATCCTAAAGCCCCAAAACTCGTGCCTGGGGTAAGCTATTTCACCCGAACAATTCTATTGTACTGTATTATACAGTGTCAAAATACGAATGCTCCACCATGCGTACGTACTGATACTACAAGATCGCTGACACTACCATACACTACCATGCTAGAGTGCAGTAACGCGATATATCCATCTAGGAATACGCACAGACGCTCGCCGCTTTCCCCGATCTTAAAGGAGACACTCATAAGGTAGCAGCTGTTGTCGTGGGAGAGCATCCGTATTCCTTAGAAGGAGATTTTATTCTCCGAGCCCTGTTGCAACTACCACCAAGGGCCCCTGGAGGGTTCGTCCCAACCATTTTCAGCCACCACTTCGTGAGCCCTATGCGTTGCCGAGGGCTTTCTGCCACCAAAAATACAAGGTAGCTGGGGTACAACGCCTGCACAGCTGGCCATTTTTGGAGTATAGAAGGACTTGTTCATGCACGAATTCGTGGCATGATGCTCCGTAAGTCACCACTCTACCCTTTCCCCTGCCCCTCCATATCTGATCAGCGCTACTCTATATGCACCGTGCATCTTCCCGGACATCTTCCCTCAGACCCATTGTGATCCATGTTGCCGCCGCCTGAGATCGTGGATTTCGATCTACCTTCTGATGCTACCAGTGGAGGTCCTCTTTTACTTCCTGTCTCATCTTATTGGTCCAGCATTACTTCTTGACACTGCCAATCATGCTATCAGCAGATTAACCTAGGCGAGCTCCCCCAGCGTCCTGGGAGCTTGCTAACATAAAGCCATAGCCTCCTTCAAGTACTAGAGAACTGCCGTTGATTTTATCCCCCTCTACCCCAACCTGTCATTCTATTCTTCCAGAGATAGGAACCCTGACCAAGCCGGTTTTGTCATCTACTGCCGTTACCCAGGTTTAGCACGACTCATCAAGCTTTGGCCTCCAATCGTCTCCACGGCGCCGTCGATAAGAGAGCAGGCTGAATTATAGCAACATTTCCGGATACGGGTATTCAGAAGACGTGGCAGGAACGTCAGCCGTGACGGCTCTCGCCATCAGAACCGTCAAGGTGGATATCTCCCACCTTCTCAGGGCCTCGGACTCGAATGAGCCCCCTCCTCCAACTAGGCCGGCGACCACGAGCCCAGCTTCTCTGCCAGCAATAACAACGGTTGAAAGCGTCCCTCCATATCCAACAGCACAAACCGGTGGCACTGGAGGGAAGCGCTGCATGCCTGCACATCCGTCAGAGATGCCAGCCAAGAAGCAAAGCAAGTGGTCGCCGGAAGAAGACGCACTGATTATTGACGTGAGAGGACGTGGCATGAAATGGGAAGATATCTCCAAGTGTTTACCAGGGCGAAGTGCTATAAGTTGCAGGTTGCACTATCAAAATTACCTCGAGAGGAGAAGTGAGTGGGATGAGGAACGGAAAAATAAGTTGGCGAGACTTTATGAGAGGTATGTACATGACCTCCACATTCCTGAGACTTGCCAGATTGTCATAATTGTGATCCTGGGATACAAACTATGAGCTCCAACATCCCCCCCCCCAGCACACAGCTGATTACTTTACGTGTAGGTTTAAACCAGAAATGTGGGCTAAGGTTGCCGAAGAGATGGGCGTTCCATGGCGGGCAGCGGAGGCCATGCATTGGCAGCTTGGAGAGGCCGACATGGCACGTCGCGCCGGCGTCGTCCCATTCTCACTTTCAAGCGCCCCTGTCGATACTCCCGCCCATGGGCGCGCGAGGCCGCTATCATCACGCGGCCACTCGCACTCACAGTCGCTCTCGTCCCCAACTGCATCTACGATAGGCAGCTCAGTACCCTCTTCCCGATACTATCGTGAGGGACCCGCTACACGTTCTATAGCTGCGCGGCGGCAGAGCATGGCGAGAAGTGGGTTGCCCACTTCCCCATCAGATGGGTACATATATGGCGGAATCGGGATGGGACAGGGCATGGGGATGCCAATGACCGGAGGGCCGCCTATGCTACCCAGCGTAGCAGAAATGACAACTGGAATGAGCCCATACAGCACACCAGCGTACTCAGTATCAGCATCCATGGCCGGCGGACAACCACGCTCGAGCCCGGGCTCTACTTTGCCCTCCATAGGCTACGCTTTACCTCCAAATTTACCACCGATGCCAGAAGGAAAGAGTCGCAGCCCTGACTCCGGCCATGGGGGGACTAGAAGACGGCAGGACCGATAGACACGGACGAACGCAAAACAATTCACTAATACAGCTAAGCGCACTACATTGAAGGGTTGCGATATCACGCCGCTGTGTGTGACTACGATTGAAAAAAGGGATGCATGGGTTGGTTTGGCGCAAAATGCATAGCGTGGCCTGGGGAAACGAATAGAGGATGACTTCACGACAACTTTGGATGGACTTTGGCAGGGTTAGCAATTCGAATATAAACTTGACTAGGCTATATTCATATTCATAAATACATATTCATGAATATTGATGAATATTTGAATATAGATGGCTCTAGCTAAATTAGGTAAGGTAATTTCTATATTAGGAATAGTATGTAGATAAGGCTAGATAAGATAAGATAAGATAAAAAAGTGGAAATATATAATGTTAGCTTATACAGTCATAATCCGTTAAGTCGATAGCTCGGGTCCCGTAAATACCATCGAGATAGCGTAAATATCGAGATATCAAACGTATTTTGGTAGTGGACAGGGGGGTTGAGGCCAGCAAAACGTATCGACTTAACGTGAATCGAGTATCGACTTAACGCGTCATGACTGTACAGTCCACTCTCGCCAAGACGATGTCGGATTACAGTCAAACCCTTGTTAAGACGATGGCATCCGTAGCAAGCATTTCCATCGTCTTATCGTATATATCGTTATATAGAGTAATATTATGTAAGCCACCTATCTAACGTAACCTGCTGCTGTGACTGTGCTCGAATAGCCTCAATGGCTGTTTGCAGCCGCTCTAGTGCCCGTATATGCCCCGTAGTAAGAGCATCCTGGCCTTCAGAATACTCAATCAGTATCTGGAGGGCATCCTGGGCCTCCTTTGCCATAGGCGCAGGCTGCTCAGGCTGCTCCTCCTCTTCGTCATCATTTTGAGAGTTCTGATGCCCAAGTTGCCCCTCTATTATCTCCTCAAGTAGTTCTTCATCAGTAGTCTGTCCTTCCACCGCTCTAGCCTCTTCCACAGGGTTTAGAAAGTTCGAAATAGCCATTGAGTCTGTAATTGATGCTGTAGTTATCGCTTGGTTGTAGAGTTCTTGTATTCCAGTAGGCATCGTTATTGTTGGAAGGCTAATTGGATTTGAAACAAGTGTAGATTTCTGGAAGCAGTTGTATATCGTAGTGTTTGAAACTTCTGTATTCCAAGCACGAATAATCCAGCGAAGAGCGAGTCGAAGATTCATAAGTTTCTGTGGATCTTGATTTGAATCGATAGTGTCGATTATAAACTGAAGCCAATGTTGTCGATAATAAGCTTTAACATTTTGAATAATTCCTTGATCAAGAGGCTGGAAACGACTGGTACTGTTAGCTGGAAGCCAACAAATGCGGATATTAGGGGGAGGAGGGTTAAGCTCAGCCCCTGTATAGTGTGCTGAAAAGCCGTCCATTGTTAAGAGTATTTGCCGAGTAGTTCCAATATGCTGATAAAAGGCTTGAAGCCATTCGCTCATAAGTATTCCAGTCATCCAAGCCTTTGATTCGTTGTAGTGCTCGAGGTGCTTTTGCATGGCCAATTGCCCAAACAGGGAGTCGGTCTGTTCCAGTAGCGTTGACGCAGAAAACCAGGGAGATCCGAGTCTTATTCTTCTTCACACCAGATTGGAGTTGCGATGACAGGCCTCGTGATGGCATCATCTTCCAGAAGAGTCCAGTTTCATCCATATTGTATATATCCTCTTCTTGAAACTCCCCTGCTATTGTCCGTAGTGCCCTCATTTCTTCCTCAACGTTTTCCGGAACTGATGCCGCCTCTCCAAACCGCTGTCGTGATTGTATATGATGCCGCTTTTTGAATTTTTCGAGCCAGCCAGTAGAAAACGATGGGCACTCTTGGCCAGCATATTCTGGCAGTCGTTTCCAGATCTGCTGTGCCTTCTGCTGTAGTATATCGCCAGTTGTAAACCCTCCTTTTTCTTCAATCCGATTCTGCCACTCCCAAAGGATATTCTCTAGCTTTGTGTCATACTGACATTCGTTGCACTCAGTTTGCTATCAAACTCAAGAGCAAACTTGGAAATCTCCTCCTCAAACCTACAAGTCACTATACATATTTTGGCTTATCACACCAACAACAAGAGCAATACTACTCAACGATTGCTACAACCATCTATGATTCATTACACGTCATCGCTCCTTAGTTACTGGGCCGATATTACCACATAGCATATCTCTACAACCCTCTATGATTCATTACATGACATCACTCACACTACCACATGACATATCTCTACCAACTAGAGGCCTAGGAGCATGAACGATAGCTCTAAAAGCTCCTACGAACCTCTATGATTCATTACATGTCATCGCTCTTTAGTTACCCACAAGATTGGTTAAGTTATGACATAATTTGTCTATGACATAATTTGTCTATGACATAATTTGTCTATGACATAATTTGTCTATGACATAATTTGTCTATAGGGGTACTCTGACCTTGGACCTCCTTTTACTTCCTATAGGCTATGAACCTAAGAGATGGTTCTATGGGATTCTCTTACGTCGACTACAGTTACCAAGCCTGGTAATCATGGAAAGTCTTGGAAAATGAGAGAACTACACTCCTTTAGCATAAATAGGATTGCCCTTTCCTTAAGAAAGGGCAAGCAGACAATACAGTAAATCGACTATCACATACTTCCACGTCTTTTCCAAGCTTCCAAGCATTCATCTTGTTACTCCTTGTTTCTGAAAAGTCAGTGAGGTGTTAACCTCTGACTTACCCCTGAGTTCCCAGACTCAACATTTGTTGCAACTTGTCTGAACCACTTCACTACATCACACACCTGATTGCTGCGTTGTGGAATAGTCTAAGCTACGACCCTTTGGCTCTTTTTCCTAAGACAGTGTGTTGTCTTAGTAAATTCATCCCTTCCTTGGGTGGCTAGATTCTCACATCTGGTGCACCCACCATTACATTATATAGGTGGATTACATAATACTTGGCATTTCAATATAATGATATTTTCACTTTTACGATATTTACACATGTCATCAATTGTATCGACTTAACAGAGTTGACTGTATGATATTCTAGAAAGTCAACCTTATATTTTTTTAAAGGTCTTCTTATTAATGAACTTAACCCTATTATTAAAAATAAGGAAAGGACTGTTACTATTAAATGTACACAGCCTAAAACAACAACAAGAAGATGATGATAATGATAATTCATTAGCTGATTTTGAGAAATTATTATATTCTCAAAATATAGATGAAGATTTTGAAACACAGATGTCTCTTTATTTTCAAGAGCCTATTTCTAATTATAAGGTAAGTTATAGATATAGAAATATTAGTATACTACTTCTTTAATAATCTTATTAAAGAAGTAGTATACTAATATTTCTATAGGTTAATCCTTTAGACTATTAGAAAATAAACTAATATTGATTTCCTATACTAGCTATAATAGCTAGAAGATATTTACAAATTCCTGCTACTAGTGCTCCTATAGAGAGTTCTTTTAGTATAGGGAGACTTATTATTTCAAAAACTAGGAATAGGCTTTCTAAAGAGTTTTTTAAAGTTATAGCGTGTTTAAAGAGTTTTTTTATAAAGGAAGAAGAAGAGGAAGACTTTAAGGAATAATTTATAGCGAAATTAGTAGTTTAAATAGCTCTTAGCTTATGTAGTATATTATACTTTCTTATTATTACTTCTTTTTATCCATCTTCTGGCAAGATCAGACTTTTTATTTTATTTTTTACTTCTATTTCTTTTTTGTCTATTTACCACACTTGACAATAATGTATTACTAGATTATCGTTATTTCATAGAATGACTCAATATAGAGCCATGTTCCTTCAAACCCAGCCCTAAAACTGTTGGCAGCATCCATACCATCCCAGTGCCCGATGAGTTTCGAGCAAGAGGCACCCAATGCCTGCTGTACGAATGTAGCCTTGGCTTGGCACACATTTGACGCACATTCCTGTGCAAACTGTTCCATACCGAGGGTGACGCAGCACAGGTGACGCCTTGGACACGTGGCGGTCGCCTTGTCCAACACTATAGTATAATGTGATACGAATTATATAGCATAGGGCTATACCCGATGACTCAATGCGGGGCAGCATCTCTCGTGGAGGCTTCTTTTCCACATAACATTCTCAGGTAGGTGCGCTGTTTGGCGTCGCAATTGCCCACCAGTTGTCCTTCTCATAACCAGATTTAACGACCTGTCCCCCAGCCGAACGGATGTTTTCCTCAAGCTCTCCCGACTTATATAAGTGGTAATACCTCTGGTAAGTCGTTTCTTTGGGCTTGGAAACTTCTCCATCTGGAAGCTGCTGCTTCCCCGTCTTCATCACCCAAGGCACCATAACATCCTGTTCGTGACCTTCATCCCAACCTCTCCTACTCGTCTTCTGCTCCAGTGCCCAGACGTAGATTAGTGCCTGGCCCCCATCCCTTAAGCACTCCAAGATTGCGCCAATGGCCGCTGTCCGCCTCTCGGGGGTCGATAGGTGGTGAACTACCGCGATGCTAATCGCAAAGTCAAAGCGCCCGGCGCCCGCACCACCTCCATGTGGCAAGGAAAGGTTATCTGCCACGACGGCAGAATGTGGCTGGTGCTGGGCCGCGATATTGGCTAGGTTGGTCGAGCGATCGCTGGCAACTATGAAGACGTCTTGGTTGACGGTCAGGTATTTGCCGTTGCCGCATCCGACGTCCAGTCCGACGGACCCAGCCTCGAGACCGAGCAGAAATTCATTGACGATGGGCCACGGCTTGTAGCGAGTTTGCGAGAAGTGGCTTGCGATTTGCTCATACACATCGTGAACATGCTGCTCTTCATAGGCCTTGGGTTTGAGGGTTGGCTCCGCCATTACGGTTTGGAAAAGGCTGACGTTATATCAAGGTAGCAGCGTGGTGAGACATGGCACACTCGCTGTTGTATATAAAAGCACTTTGTGAGATGGTGTCTCTGTGGTTTGGTGGGGGAGTTTGTGTTTTCAAATTCCGCGTTCGTGATATGTGAGCGCAATCGCTCCGTCGTTTAGCACGTGACTTTCTCCAATTGAGCGATAAGTACTGCAGGACGAATGTGACACCGCCTGCTGGATAGAGTTTAGTGGGCGACTCGACCGCGTAAAAGTTTTGGTGGGAAGCTGTGTAGGGAAACGTCGGTTCAAACATTGGAGGGGCCGTCGCCACGACTTTTCTGCGAGCGCTTCACCGTTGAGCGTCCTGTATCGCCTCAATAATTTGCTGAGCGTTTGGGCATCGTGAGGAGTCTATCGCTTCGTTATTCTGGAGCGACGCGCCTGATCCGACCACCGAAAAACTCACGGGGCGCATGTACTCGCATGTACTCGCTCCTTCCGTCTACTCGAAACGATAATCGCAGAATCTTCGAAGAAAGCCTCGAACCGAGAACATTTCTCATATTTCACCTGCAATATATGCTATATACTACTATACGTATATACAAACGGTCCCCGAAAGACCGAACTTTGCCTGTCTCGATGTTTATTGAAGCACTTTGCGCTGGAAGAATCAATCGCTGGTGTCCTAACCTCCTCCAAATATTCAATAAAGGCTCAGGCGATCGCCAGAGACTGTATTGAGCGAGCTAGTGCAAAGGCTGCTCGTTAGTGCTTTGTTACTGCATTGAGCGTTGCTATTGTTCGCCTATCGAATTCTATTGTCGGTGGGGAGATTCTTATTGTCGCTAGATAGCTCCATTGGCGACTGGCATTTTCATTGTTGGTTAAAGATCAAGAGGATAAAGATCACGAGCAATAATATGAACTAAAGAGGTGCGTATATATATGGGATCCTCTTATAGACTCGCTGCAGTCGTTTTTTCCTTTCCGACTTTCTCAAATTTCAAACTTCCGTCCGCTCATACAATATCAGTTTCTCAAATTCCAACAAAAACAAGACGATTTTGAACCACAACAAAATCCTTCCCCCAAAAATACATTGCCATGGCTACAGTAGCCATTCAGCAGCCCACCCTTCCTCGGTCCCCAATGATCCGAAAGCGGACCTTTTCGTCGTCCAGCGACGGGATGCACTACGGGCCAAGAGTAAGCAAACAACCCAAAACTGCCCGCCGGCAATCCAGCCCGCAGCGCAGCCCGCAACGCAAACGGATGCAGCCGGTCCCTGAAGAGAAGAAGAAGCTCGACTCTGCCTTTGTGGGAGGTGCAAAGGTGGACTTGGCATATGGCTTCGTTCCACCAACTGCCAGTTACCATGATCAACACTCAGCGGCGAAGGAAGCTCAAGCTGGGCTTGAGAAGAAATGTGCCGAGCGGCAGGCAATGGTAAATATCCCGGTCGGTGAGGACTCTGAATATGTTTCTGACACAAGATCAGGCGGCGACAGTGTCCGACGAGTGGATGGAAAGGATCTCTATGAAGCAGCCTGGGCTCGATAACATCAAGATGTCCAGATGTTATCGCCACAGCTTGCTGCAGGCCCTGCTACATATCCCGAAGCTTGTGAATTGGCTATTGGGGTTTCACAAACTCGGCGAATGTAGGTTCACCACATATGCCTTGTCTAGTTCTAGGTCTAATCTACTACAGGCTGCAGTCAGCGCCCAGCGGTTTGCCTCGCGTGCAAGTTGAGAGATCTTGCTACCATTTATTGGGCCCAAAGCTCTTCACGCCAAGAGATCTATACGCTCCTAAAGGACATAGATCGCACTCTGGCTATTCGTAAGTGCAGGTCCAGAGTTGACTACCTTTCTTTATTTGTAGGGCTAACATAGTTCCTTCAGGCGGCTGGGCAACAGACAACCCGGAGGAATATGGTGACCCCGATGACCAGTTTACGGCAATGCTCGAGATGATGTCGGAGGACATGGGGGCGATGGGCCACACTAGGTTCCAAGCCATCCATAGTACTCTGCTCACCTCTAGTATCCGTTGTTCCTCGTGTGGTCATACCACCAATCCTCACCATTCCGCCGAACGGACTCTCTCGGTGCCTCTCGAATCCGCCCTCAGTGGGTCTAGCCTCGAGGTCTTTGTTGCCGCTTTCCTTCGCGACAAGATCTCAGGCTACAGATGCGAGGGATGCCAGAAGTCCGTCAACGTGACCCGAGATGTCAAAATCGCATCGCCAGCAGACGTGATCTCGGTTCAGCTCAAGAGGGCGGGATGGAATGGGACTGTCAAGACCAAGGTTGGGATCACGCGGGTGCTCGACCTGACGAAGCACGCCGTGGATGGCTCTACCCAACTCCGATACGAGCTGGTCTCGACGGTGTCTCATCAGGGGAATAGCCGGTTCGGGCACTATATCGCCCACGCTGTTGGTCCTGATGGGAAGTGGACGGAGTTTAACGACGAGTGTACCCGCAAAGTGAGTTCGAAGGCTGTGCTTATGCCGGCAGGCTTCAAACCCGTTTTATTATACTACAAGCGGGTGTAGGATTTTGAACTCGTTCAGTTTTGATGATGGCCGGCGTTCTGTTTACGGTGTTTAGGGGTGGCTTGGTTGTTTGATAGATTATGGTGGTTTTGTTTTGGGCCTTTCGATGGAATCGGCCATTCATGTACATATGGGAGACGCTATTAGGAAGCGCGGTCTGTGGAGGCATAGCGACGGAGTTTCATCGAGTTACGAATATCAAAATCGAGGCCTAGTCAACGTACCTGGCCCATCTGATAGATAATATCATCTTCAAGTATCAATTATCAGACTATGTCGGGTATTAAATTTCCATTGCCCACTATTCCTGCCTCAGGTATCCATCCTGCACCAACAAAACGATGGCGCGGCAATGAAGTCATCGAGCACGGTCCAGCCACCAGTTGTCCAGCGTTATCTTGTGCCTAGCCCACTATTGGACTTTCTAGTCCCTATGATGTACATTTGCACCCTTTCCCACCCTTTCCCACCCAGTATTATGTGGTCATGGTACCGACGGGGTACCTGGCAGACCACACTAGTGCAGCCGCACAACCTCCCACCTGCATGTCCAATCCATCGCGCTCTTCACTCCATCAAGTTTTACAAGTATCTTATTGCCTCCCTCCCATTTATCCATTACAAATCGCCATTCGAGGCGTTTAATCCCCCGACGCACAACCTCCATCACTCTATTATTTCCCCGACACATCGTAACGTATTTCTGGCCCCTACTTGCCTTTCACTGGGGGCCATCTACGGCACTGATTGTAACGGCGGCAAGAAATACGAGGGGGCCTGCGGTCAGCGCCGAATCCTAATGCAACACGCTCCTGAAAGCCCGATCCTTCGTCGCTCGCAAATTTATCGAGACTATCGAATATTCGAACTTTGGCAATAACACGAAAACCATGAAGGCGGCGGCACGACCGCCCCCGCGGTCGACTCGGTCCCATTCTCATAGACCGAAGACCCCCTCGTCAGCCGGAGGCAGTCCGTTGACCCAGGCTATCAGAGCACCTTCATCAGCGGCACCACCTACAATACCTGCGTCTTTCTCTCCGATACGCACGCCAGGGGGCAAAGAACAGGCGCGGCCCTCAAGCCCAAATTATTTTGGGCTTGTCGTTGATCCTGGCAACAATACAAGAGATTCCGGCAGTGGCCCCAAAGATAATCGCAGCCCAACTGCTTCTTCGGTACAATGTTATATCGAGCAAACGCCCAGGAATATTTCAATAGAAAACCGTGCAAATTTTGACGCTTTCCGGAAACAGAGCGAAGCCAACCAGTCGTTCAGCTTGGGCCATGGCAACCTATCCCATTTTGCCTCGGCGCCTGTCCTCCCAGCTCATGCCCATGGATACAAGAGTGCAGCTGGCCACGACAGGAATACCGAGGCGAAAAGGACGAACAGCGCAGTCACTACCATCAGTAATTCGTGGTTGTCACCCGCGCGTCACTCCAACACCTTTCCGACTGAGGCATCGCCAATTCTTGGCCTCCCAATGCAGGAGTTGCCTATGACTGCGGAGTTATCTCAACCGCTAGCACCGGTTCGAGAACATATGCTCTCTCAACTAGGTGATAGGCACCCGCGGTTGTCTCTACCTGATGATAGACCCAGCCCGTCCACGCCACATACAAGCCAACAAACCGATATCCCGCGGGCGGAGACGCTACCGCCAGTGTTACAAGATGGCCCTTCATTTATTTCTGCTCCCGACCTAAGGGACTTTTTGAAAACCCAGAGTTCTTTAGATTACTTACTTTTAGACCTTCGAGTTGCCCCACAGTATTCTCAATCAAGGATTCGCAACGCCCTCAATCTTTGCATTCCCACAACATTATTGAAGAGGCCGTCGTTCAATTTGGCGAAGCTCACCGATACATTCAAGGTTCCGGAGGAGAAGGCTCAGTTCTCAAGGTGGAGTGAATGCAGGTATATTATCGTTTACGATTCTCACTCTGCAGAGAAGAAAGACGCAGTTGCACCTCTGAACACCATCAAGAAGTTCACAAATGAAGGTTGGAATGGGAAGGCATATATACTAAAGGGTGGATACAAGGCATTTTCTGCAATCCAGAGCGACGCCATTGACCAGAAGCCAACGAACGATACTCAAAATGCGACGAATCTTTCGTTGGGCTCCCTATTTCCTAACGCTGCTGATGTCGCTGGCGGCTGCGCAATGCCCCAGACGAAAAGTGTCGCAAACCCTTTTTTCAGCAACATTCGACAGAACATGGACCTCGTTGGTGGCGTGGGTCAAATCGATATCAGGCGTCCGGACGATGCAGATCAATTGGCCGATGACTTCCTCCCTACGTGGCTGCGAAGCGCTACTGACAAGGAAGACCACGGCAAGACAGTGTCAGATAAGTTCTTACATATAGAACAAATCGAGCAATCTAGAATGCAAAACGCCTTGTCGTCTCGAGTTTCTTATGGAACGCCCACAGCCAGATCTGACAATGACGTTCAAATCGCCGGATTTGAAAAAGGGGGGAAAAACCGATACAACAACATCTGGCCTTTCGAGCATTCCCGAGTCAGACTACAAGGGAGAGCTGAAGGCGTCTGCGATTATGTAAATGCGACTCATATCAAGCCTTTATGGAGCAATAAGCGATATATTGCATCCCAGGGTCCTCTACCTGCTACCTTTGAGGTGCGTTCGCCTCTCATCATTGTTAACGCGTATACTAATTTTTGATAGGATTTCTGGAGCGTTATCTGGGATCAAGATGTACGAGTTATTGTCATGCTGACAGCAGAATCAGAGGGCGGGCAAGTTAAGTGCCATCCGTATTGGTCTGCTCAAGAATATGGCAGATTCAAAATAACCTCGTCAGCCGAGAAGAGGGTCCCTCTAGAACCCATTAAGCATTTCCGACCTATAAGGAAGGAGTCCTTTGGGAGGCGCCGTGCGAACACTGTGGTCGAATCAGCAATCCCAGAGGCCAGCCCTGGTGACAATCCAGATGTCGTTGTTCGAACCATTACACTGTCCTGTTCGACACAACCCCACGCGCCCGCCAGGCAGATCATGCAGCTACAGTATAGTTCTTGGCCAGATTTCGGGACCACAGCCCGGCCCAGCCAGCTTCTCGGAATAATCGAGCTGTCTAACTCGCTGCAACATGGGGCATTACCACCAGCCGTCGCGTCGCAAATAAACTTGGAGGAACCAGAGCCAGACCAGTCTTTGCCACCGATCCTAGTTCACTGTAGCGCAGGATGTGGTCGGACTGGGACATTCTGCACCGTGGATTCGGTCATCGACATACTCAAACGTCAACGAAAAGAGAATCTAAGTGGCGTCACGCCGATGGATATCTCGACCGAGGAGGAAACAGACTATTTAACAACAAAACACGCATCCAAGGATATGGAGAACGATTGGCTCTTCAATCCAAACATAGACCTTATAGAGCGCACTGTAGCCGACCTTCGAAAGCAGCGAATCAGCATGGTTCAGAGCTTACGGCAGTATGTCCTTTGCTACGAGGCTGTTCTGGAGTGGATTGTTCAGCAGTATCAGGCACCGAAGAGGGAACGAAGCGGGAGCGAATCATTGGCATCGGATGACAGACGGGGTTGGATTTGCATGTGCGGGACGGTTGGGGGGCACTACGACATAGATGATTTGTGAATATGCATCCTTCTCTTGGTTTGATTCATTGGAGGCGTGTTTTGGACAAGTGGTATCACTTTGGATATCCTTGCCGCTGGTTGGCATCGCGATGGCGTCAGGCATTGCTAATGAACTTAATGTGTTGGGCGATTGATTTGCATGGGTAGCAGGCGGGGAATGATTAGACTGGAAAGCATAGGCAAATTGGAATAGAGATACATTTGTCTAAAAATTCAATTGTCTCCAATCACCATCAGTGATGGTGGTGATATTATTTCGGGTTCTATTGTATTGTACACAAGCGCATCCTCATTGTTCCTATCCGTAGCAAAATTGCGCCAACCTCCCTAGCTCACTTCCATAACTTGCCCAAACTAACCTCTTTATCATCGTGCTTGTTCAAGACCTTCGCTGTGGCGAGATCAAAGTCCTCTTGTGTGACGTGCACTCGCCTCTCTCGTAACGCGAACATACCGGCCTCCGTGCATACACCCTTGAGCTCAGCTCCTGAGCACCCGTTCATCTTCTCGGCGATCTTGGTCAGGTTGATGCCTCTCGTCAGGTTCATCTTGCGGCTGTGGATGCGGAGAATATCTGCTCTGGCCTCGACGGTTGGCGGCGGGAATTCAATCTTCCTATCGATACGTCCTGGTCGTAATAATGCTGGGTCCAGGATATCAAGCCTATTTGTCGCCATAATGACCTTAATATTCTTTGTCGGCTCGAAACCATCAAGTTGGTTGAGAAGCTCCAACATCGTGCGCTGCACTTCCGAATCACCGCCAGACGAGCCCTCGACACGAGACGATCCAATTGAATCAATTTCATCCATGAAGATGATAGATGGAGCATGCTCACGCGCCATGACGAACAACTCACGGACCATCCGGGAACCCTCTCCGATGTATTTTTGGACCAACTCGGATCCGGACACCCTGATGAACTTGCAGTCTGTGTGGTGGGCAACAGCTCTCGCGAGGAGAGTTTTCCCCGTTCCAGGAGGGCCGTAGAGCAACACACCCTTTGGCTGTGCTATCCCCAACGATTCAAACAGTTCCGGATGCTTGAGTCCCAATTCGATAACTTCCTTAATCTCCTTAATCTGTTGATCCAACCCTCCAATCATATCGTATGTGCTGTCGGGCACCTTCTCGACCATCATAAGCGACACAAGAGGGTCGACGGATGACGGAAGCATCTTCTCCAGTTTGTATGAGTCTGAGAGGAGGGTGACGCGCTTCCCAACGGTAAGCTTGGCAATGTCGACGTTATCGGAGATGTCCACAACTGAGTTCAAGTTAGTCTCTGGCGCCTGTGTCATATTCGCTTCCCAAGGCCAACAAACCGTATTTCCCTTCTGGATGAACCTTCACTAAAACCTTCTTGGTGCCCATCACCTTCACGACTTCTCCAACATATGAACCAGGCTGTTGTAGCAGCCCCAACTCCTCTCTCAGCAGACGAACTATGGGTGATTAGTATACACACTCTAGATCTGCTGCAGAGACCAAATACCTCTTGAATTGTAATCGTTTCGTTGCGCTTCAAGTCTCCGGAGGACCGCCTGGCCCTGGATGATCTCGAGCTTCATGCTCTCGATCTTGTTGTGAAAGAAGCTGTCGAGCGCCATCTTGAATGGCTTGGCGACGAATATATGGGTGTAGGAAGTTCGATATTATGCCAGTCAACAGAGAGTATTGGTGGCGATGATGGTTCGACTGGTTGTTGTGTTGACAACGTTGGGGTTCGATGTTTGATAAGGTAAGAAGGCAAGGTAAGCTTCAAGAAGTGCGTGAAGCCTTTGGGGCCTTGGGCACGGACCATGTGCTTGGCTCGCGTTTATACATACGTGGTGTACATTTTGTCTGTAACTTACACTCTGAACCCCAATGGGGGAAACCAATAGCTACAGTTCTCCTGCGCGCATGAAATATAACTATGAAGTACCACAGAACGCGGGACAAAAAGTTCTGTGAGAGTTGACGATCTCCGATTTCAAGGAGGCATATATGTGAGGACAACATTTGGTATAGTACTGTTTGGCGTATGGAGTACTTATCTATTGACCCTGGCAGCTTGTACCAAGCTAAAGCAGTCTTCGTCATTTCAAGGTAAACAGCATACATCTCCAATCTTCATGCTTCCTTCGTTATACAACAACAGGTTTATCGACACGCATACAGCGTACAGACCTGCACTGTAACAAACGCATCTTTGGTGCATTTCTCATTGCTCTATTTGCTTGTATATCCACACCTTGCTCTGCTTCAGGAACTGGAGCGGCCGAGGCTGTAGTTAGCAATTTCGACAATGATCCACAAGCCATATCCTTTATAAACCTCCTTTTCGTTGGTTTCATAATCTCGCAACTGAATTTCCAGGCGCTGTTTACTGTCAACAGTCGAGGCCACAGCTATACAGCGAAGGACCTAGATCCTAAAGGTCTTCGCTATGTCCTCCAAAGACTCTAGCAGCGGGAAGGCGAAAGCTTCAGAGGGAACCTCTCAAGCTCAAGAACAAGAGTCAGGTCCTTCACAAACACCAGTTGGCTCCAGCATCCCTACCGGCACTGAGGCTCGGCATCCTCTGCATCGGTCCCAGTCGATCACGAAGGAATCCGAAGATTTGCTTGGCTCAAGCGTCAGGTCTACTGATACAGTACGCCGCAGACCAGAAGCCAGCGCTACTGGATATGGTATGTTATGTTGCCCTTAAGAATCCCCAGGCCTTGTCACAGTCCGGAAACAAGCGTTGCAAGAAAGGCGGCAGGCTGACTCACGACTATTAGGATCGATATCAGGACCCTCGAACCCTAGTCCCTCGCATGGATCCGAACGAACAACCCCGCGAAAGGTTGACTCGGCGCGCTCTATACAATCTGCACAGTCTCCACTTCTAGGCCCAGAGCGTGGAAGATATCAACGAGGCCAGAAACCCGCAATGACACGTCGAGTCTCATCCACTCCACAAGGCCCGCATCGCGGCCAGGAATTTTCGGTCGACGATGATGCAAATGAAATCGAAGGGGACAAAGCACTTCGACATGCGGGTGTGGGAGGGTCCGTATCAGGGTTTGGGACAACCAAGTCATCGCTCAGAAGGCGTCCCATGGCTGTAGGGGCTGTTCCTCGAGAAGACTCGAACCGCGAGGACGAGCTACGCGCAACAGGATCTGGCTTTACTGGCCGTGCGGATGGAATTACGGAAGAGGGTTCTGGTTCTGACGAGAGTCAGGAGACGATACGTAAAAACGATGATATGGATCCGGATACAACCAACCCCGACGACGACGATGATGATAACGAGGATGGTGACATTAGCGACACCGAGAGCTTTACTTTGAAGGACAGGCAGGAAGCCATCAACGAGACGCATCCCTTTGGTATCCGTATATGGAAGCCTGCGCTCTACAAAAAGGATAGATCGGTTCAAAAAATAGCAGAGGGAGACATTCATTCCGCTCCTGGGGGGCTGGTAAGTAAGTGGCTTCTGCTTTTCAACGTCGCCTGGACTATATTGTTTGGATGGTGGCTAGCGCTTGCTGCACTAACTGGTGCACTTGTGTGCTTTGTATTTGGCGCCGCACCAGGCGCACTTGAGTATGGAAGAGTCCTTTGGGGGTTATCGGGCTACATATTCTACCCATTTGGCAAGTTCGTACGGCTGGAGCAAGACGAAGCATATGCAAACGAGGATGAGGGAGAAGGCAGAAGTGTCACGGAATATGAACGATGGCAATCCGGCGACCTTGAGGATGGAAGACTGTTCTTCGGACCTGATGGCGGGAATAGGTCAATAGTCGGACGCAGGCGAGGAAGTTTGGACTCTGTGGCTACCGAGACGGATAGTCTCCTTGGCAGAACGAGACGTGGAGGTGATAGAGACTCTTCGGTCCCTCGAACGAAGAGGAGACTCTTTGGTCGAGGCCAGTGGAATCTTGGCCGCGTAATCTTTTTCATCTTCTTTTACGGGTTGATTACGCCGCTGCTCTTTATTGTCTCTGGAATCTGCTGGATCATGGTCTTTTGGATTCCAATGGGCAAAGTAACTCTACTACTGATATATCACCTTCGCCGCCATCCTTTGGCACTCTCGTTTCAATCCGACAGTTCATACTCACGAGGTGGACCCAACTCATCCATACTCCTGTGCACATACCGTGCTGTGGGCCTCAAGTATTGGAAGTATACCGTTGACGGTACCAACATATTCTTCATCAATCTCATGGCCGTCGTCATGTTCGTCATACTCGACTACTGGGTGTTGCGCGACATGATGGAGCTTGACTTGGCTATCACTCAACCGGCCTTCCTCTTTGTGGGTGCGCTTCTATCCATCATCCCACTTGCATACTTTATTGGACAAGCCGTTGCATCCATTTCCGCGCAATCCTCTATGGGGCTGGGAGCGGCAATCAATGCCTTCTTCTCTACGCTGGTCGAGGTTTACTTGTACTGTGTTGCTTTAAACCAAGGCAAGGGGCAACTTGTCGAGGGCAGTATTATCGGTAGTATATTTGCTGGTATCCTGTTCCTTCCCGGGCTATCGATGTGCTTTGGGGCCATAAAACGGAAGACGCAAAGGTTCAATGCGAAATCCGCTGGTGTTACGTCTACAATGCTGCTGTTTGCAGTCATTGCTGCTTTTGGTCCCACCCTATTCTACCAAATATATGGAACTGTAAGTCCAATCCAAATTCGAAACGGCAAGTCAGCTAACAAGGCATCCAGCATGAACTCTCTTGCTTGTCATGCATCGACACCGAGAGTGAGGGTCCAAGCCGCGACTGTCGCCGCTGCTACTTTTCGCAAACTCCCTCCTTCGACGACCGATTCTACATCGAAGCGGTGCGGCCCTACTGTTGGTTTGCCGCCACACTTTTGTTTCTATCATATATCATCGGGCTATGGTTTACTCTCCGGACACATGCTGCAGTCATCTGGAACATCGAGGTCGACGAGAAAAAAATCCACGCCCAAGACGCAAGCCACCTTTTAGCTACTCAGCAGGCCGCCGACAGGGCTCTACGTAGCCACCAGCTAAACATTAGCCCAGGTACTGCCCGCAGTGCTGAGATCCGTGATTCTCCACTGTACAAGAAATTTGTGGGCCAGCCATTGAAACAAGGGGCAACGCCGACTGATTCGCCGGGGACAAATCACAATGGCCCTGTCACGACACCTCACATGGTACCACCTAGAGCCAGTCTCGACAATGCCGCGAGCCCACTTACGGAGGGTGCAACAGATCCAACCGTGGATACTGCCCTACATGCTACGGATGCTGGCAAGAAGGTCTCGTCTCACAAGCCATCACCTCTCCCTGTGGATGTAGAGGTAGCCGCCGTCGACGTGGCTGTAACAGGTGCTCACGATGCGCCCAACTGGAGTAGAACGAAGAGTTCGGTCATATTAATGAGTGCTACGATCTTATACGCCCTTATTGCCGAAATACTAGTCGATACTGTCGATGTTGTCTTGCAAGGATTCGCTGTTGATGAGAAATTCCTTGGCATAACGCTCTTCGCACTTGTTCCCAACACCACCGAGTTCCTTGTAAGTATACCACTACCCTGTCCTTCCACACAACTAATATATTTGTAGAACGCAATATCTTTTGCCATGAATGGCAATATTGCACTCTCCATGGAGATTGGTTCTGCATACGCGCTCCAAGTGTGTCTTTTGCAGATTCCCGCCCTCGTTCTATTCAGTGCTGTTACCGCTGCATATGTCGAAGGAGGTGATGCTGTTGAGAAGACCTTTAACCTCATATTCCCTCAGTGGGATATGGTTACAGTCATCTTGTGCGTCTTCCTGTTGAGTTACATGTACGGAGAAGGCAAGAGCAACTACTTCAAGGGATCGATTCTAATCCTCAGTTACTTTGTTGTCATTGTCGGCTTCTGGTTCTCCAGCATGGCCGATACGGACTCCATGGGCATGAGTAGATTCGATGTTATTAAGGACGGCGCCGTATTTGCGACGGTGGGAAGGGGGAAATCGGGTGTGGCGTTTCAGCGGCGCGCATAATTGGACCAAATGTCCCTCATTCATTTTTGTAGCAAAGATTTTTGTGTGGTTTAGGCTGGAGTTGGGAAGCGTTGCATATCCAGTACACAAACGGATCCTCTGGGACTGATTAATAATTCGGTTTTGTAAATTATTCATTTACCGTTGCAACTCATATAAATATCCCAACCGTTTTCTATCATCCCGTTTGAAACACTGTGCCCAACGCACAGTCCCGAATGCCCAAGCCATGGTGGAGAGCCGCGAGGCGGCACTTCTGAACGCAATCTACGCCATAATTCCAAAGACCAATATGCATCCATAGCAAATCTTCAAATAAAATCGTATCAGAGAGATTTCAGGCACCAATCCTAGCCGTATAAGCCTCCCACCCCTTCCTCCTGTATCGCTCCGCCTCCGTAACCGGATCCGCCGCCCCAATAATGCCCCTGCCGACAATAATGATATCCACGCTCTTCTCTCCGATCAGCTTTTGCGGGGTGTTATACTGCTGCCCAAGACCGTCACTGTTGGCACGCTGCTCCTCGCCCGAGGGCAATTGACAGCCAGGAGTCATGGTGATGAACTGGTCGTCTGCAGCTGTGTTTTGCGTCTCCTGTGCAATAAAGCCCATCACAAAGTCCTTGTTATTCCTTGCGATCTCTACACAAGCCTTTGCATATGCCTCGTCGAGCAGGTTCCCAGCGCTGGACATCTGGGCCAGGAGAAGCAGACCGCGATCGAGCGGCGCCTCCTCGATCTTAAAAAAGATAACGTCCTCTTCGCACTCTGGAATAGGCGCACGTGGCGAGTTGGCAGGTTCGTAAGACTGCGACACGGTAGTGATTGAGACAATGCTCGCCTTGCGACGTGCCTGAAGCGCCTTCAAATTCTTGATGTCCTCGTCATCCTTGCCCTCATCGTCCTCGGACAGGCTCTCTGGCCTGGGCGTGCCAACCGTAATATCCGTTTTGACCTCGTACTTCTTCTTCTCGCGCCAGGCGCTCGCCGCATCGGCCAGCGCAGACACAATCGCTGCGCCGGGCAGGATATGCGCATTCGTGATGTGCGCCCACTCGACCGCCTTCCCGGGCCCGTCGGTATACTGCTTCTGCACCGTCGATCCGATGTCGCTGAACTTCCTGTCCTCGAAGATGAGGAAGCCGTGCTTGGCGGCCAGCGCCGCCAGTTGTGCGCCGGTGCCGGTCTCGACGTCCGAGTCCCAATCGCTGACAATGTCGTAGTGCGTCTTGAGGACCACGATCGACGGGCCGATCGAGTTCGCTAGGCGCAGCAGGGTGCGCGCGCTTGAGACATCGGCGGAGAGACAGAGGTTGCTCTCCTTGACGACCATGAGACGGTACAGGTACGCGCTCAAGGGGTGAGCCGATTGCCGCTCCTCGTACGGGGTCTGGGCAATGCTTCGAGACATGGCCGGTAATTGGCAGTCGGGGACTGCGCTGTGCACGTCGGCGGGGTGTTCCAGTGCTCCGGGCTAGTCGTGGGATGTTGAGATGCGAGGGGTCGTTATAAAATCAAACTCTGCGGTTCGAGGTTCCCATGGGTTTGTTCTGGTATGGTGCTAGGGCGGTTTGGGGTCCAACCAGGTACGAAGACTAGCCGACGAATCACCACAACTTTTACGACTGAACAGTGTCTTATTATATATATTTCGAATGTGTGAAATTGCTACCCGGTTGCCGTTACTTGAGTAAAGGGAAATTCTATTTACAACGCCATACATCGCTTCCAATGGCTCATGATTACAACAGCTAGTATCATTGCCCCGCACGTCTAGCCCACCTAATACCCACTATCCCAGAGATCGTCTTTGTCCTTCACCATCTCCATAACACGAGATTTCGGCTCCATCTTCTTCATCGCCTTGCGATCTTCCCGCGTGATCAGTCGTGGTGTGATTGGCACCAGAGGAGTGAACGGTTGGTAGGGGCTATATGGTGTTGCTCCAGCAGACCACGGAGTTCTTAACCCTGGCGACAGCGGCGTAGTCCGTTCCAGGACCGTTGTCTTGGTAGAATATGAGAATGACGGTGAAGAAAGTCCGGGAGGTGGGTCAAACGCTCTGAAGGGAAGCTGTCGTGTAGATGAGGTTGCCGACGAAGGGTTCACGGAAACGGGACCGGGGATCGTCAAGTTCAAAGGACGGTTCGTAGCAACCGGCCTGTTGTTAGGTGGTGGCCCCATTGAAGCTGAAGCGAGGTTTTCTGCAATTGATCGTGCCGGCGAGATGGGTGACGGATCTGCAGTTTGCACGCTGGAGTTGTTACGGGAATGGTACTGATAGGGCATTTGACCTTCAGGAACCGGAGGTGGAGGTGGAAGCTGGTGGTGGCGAGGGCTAAGTGGCTCCTCATCCGACGCATATGTTGCGGGGAAGGTTGCAGAGAGAGGCGTGGCCATTGGAGAGCTGATCTTCATTCCACGGATGCCCTTACGCTTCGGCGATTTGAGGGACGAGATCAAGGACGCTGCGCGCGAGTGTGTTTTCTCGGTGCTGCTCAGATTGGCCGGCTTGAGCTTCTCCAGGAGCTTGCTGGAGGCAGTGCTTTGCCTCTGAGGCGAGGCAGATGGAAGAGGGGTTGGGGCAGGCATATCTGCTATGTTGAGTCCGGCTGCTTTAGCTTCCTCCTGTTCCATAACATGCGCGTATAGGTCCTCGAGTCCGCGATTTAAAAGCTCGCGATCTGCTTGTATAATTCGCGAATCGACTCCTGGGTTGGTCCCGGGCGAGGCGGGAGAGCAGTTTTGAGAGGGGAAGACGTAGGGATTCTGGGTCTTCTCGGCAGCTGGCCGCGCAGCGGTGCGAAAGGCTGTGGCGGCCGAAGTGAGCGAGATTGGAGATGGATAATATGCGGCGGGGTTTATAACGTGTCCAACTAGCATCTCAACATCATTCTGTGCTGCGAGTTCTCTTGCTTTGCGAAGTCGGCGTCCGCGTCGAACGAAGAATAGGGCGAGAAGGATGGTGACCACCACGAATACGTATGCGCCAACGATTCCACCTATTTCAGCAGGAAGGAAGGACTTGTCGCGAAGTGCTCTAGCTGATAAGAGAGGGCCGTCTTCTGGAGATGGCGCTGTGTCCCAGTCGATATCCAGCGGATTGCCTCGAGCATTTATAACGTTCTCGACGACTTGTGGAGCCTTGCGGGCGATTCGTGTAACAAGAGCTGGGAGACCGGTGAAAGCTTCCCGCATGGCTATTCTCACTCCTATGAAGCGATAGTCGAGTGGAGAGAGATCATCGGCACCTGAAGGGCGAACGTCTCAAGGCGAGAAGCTATTCATGGGATGTGAACGTGATGAAGTGCGACGGATCAGATGTGGGCGCAAGGGGGCGACAGGTGCTGGACTGGAGATACAGCATACATAGCAGCCTTCAGCGACATGATAGGCTGGACGGGATGCAAGGCGGGACGCAAGGTGACAGGAAGCTGTGCACCTGGGAATCGAGGGAGGGGCAGCCTTTGGGTAGAGAGGGACGGCAGGTGTCGAATCGAAGACCCTACCAAAGTACTGCAAGGAGACGCATTAATTATATCAATCTGGTAGCGCATGTGAGCGACGACGATATGGAGATGTTTAGTGGACGAGAAGTTGACGTCCCGCAGTTGATGTGGGCAATGGGAGAGGACCCTGGCATGTTTGGATGTTTGGATAGCTGGTGTCCAATAGTTCTGAGCTGTTAAGCGCTGATGTGAATCTGTGTGTGCCTGGGCTAAAGTAGGTGGTGGTGATTGGTGGGGCCTGGTCGTGGTACTGGCCGCGGTCCTGACCGCGAATTGGGGCCTTGTTAGACACCTCATTCGACAGTCCTGTATGTAGTTAGTGTAGAAAATTTGACCAGGAACCCTGTCTAAACCCTGTACAAACCCTGCTCGCTGTGAACCCCACTATTTCCTAAATAGGAAGTAAGACTGTCAGCGTCAGACAGTTATCTGTTCAAGGCTAACAGCCAGCTAGATTCCTATTGTAGTTAGAATATAAGTTAGTAATCACCTTGGATAGACGCCATGTAATTGTAAGGCGAATACAGTAGTATAGCAGTATCTACATACGTCACTCTATATAAGTGATAATGGCCTTGAAGCCGCTCGAATTCCTGGCTTATGAGCCCCAATCCTTACCCCAGAGACATCGCCAATACTCTACCTTCGAAGAAGATGGCAGAGCAAGCCCTGCTCTGCCTATCCAGCCTACGATTGAGGGGCAAATCGAAGCCGACACACCAGAAGTATTGCAGCTCTCAACCCAGCAGCGTATAGAAAGCTGTGATCCTCAAGGCTTATGTTTGACATTATCTAAGCCAATAAGGAGATGGATCTAGACTGCTAGAAGGAAGGTCATAAGAACTCTGATATCGATAGTTTGGTGTTACGATATTAGCTAAAGCTACTTAAGCTAGTGGTGTTACAATCACAGCTCATAGCCACTAGAAACTATAGGAACAGGCAGCCATAGTAGCCACTAAGGTTACAAGGAACTGCTAAGCGCACAACTGTACATAACAGGAATAGCCTCACCACCTTCCTTTTCTTCTCCTTCTCTCTTTAGATTCAATCTAGCTTATTATTCTCTAGACTGGCTTCTTGACCTCTGTGACCATCGTAACATTTAGTAGCACGATGTCATACTGACATTCGTTGCACTCAGTTTGCTATCAAACTCAAGAGCAAACTTAGAAATCTCCTCCTCAAACCTACAAGTCACCATACATATCTTGGCTTATCACACCAACAACAAGAGCAATACTACTCAACGATTGCTGCAAACTCTTCTAATACATCTGTTTATGATACATACATCATGGCATATCTCTACCAACTAGAGGCCTAGGAACATGAACGATAGCTCTAGAATGTAATGGTGGGTGCACCAGATGTGAGAATCTAGCCACCCAAGGAAGGGATGAATTTACTAAGACAACACACTGTCTTAGAAAACAGAGCCAAAGGGTCGTAGCTTAGACTATTCCACTGTCACGGTTCACCAAGGCATAGGGCGCCAGTTGGGTATTATGAATTAAACTCAATCTAGAGAAGAAAGGAAAGAGAAGAGGAGCACTCGAGCAGTGGCTCGATCTATATACAGCTATTGTGGAGTGAATTCTCTTTAGCGAGACCAGTTCTGAGAATTCACTCCACAACTGAAAACTTCGCTCCAACCCCGGAAAGCTCCCCACACCCCTGAACCCCCACTCGAGCTGCAAGGCGCACTTGATATCGTAACATCCACAACGCAGCAATCAGGTGTGTGATGTAGTGAAGTGGTTCAGACAAGTTGCAACAAATGTTGAGTCTGGGAACTCAGGGGTAAGTCAGAGGTTAACACCTCACTGACTTTTCAGAAACAAGGAGTAACAAGATGAATGCTTGGAAGCTTGGAAAAGACGTGGAAGTATGTGATAGTCGATTTACTGTATTGTCTGCTTGCCCTTTCTTAAGGAAAGGGCAATCCTATTTATGCTAAAGGAATGTAGTTCTCTCATTTTCCAAGACTTTCCATGACTTACCAGGCTTGGTAACTGTAGTCGATGTAAGAGAATCCCATAGAACCATCTCTTAGGTTCATAGCCTATAGGAAGTAAAAGGAGGTCCAAGGTCAGAGTACCCCTATAGACAAATTATGTCATAGACAAATTATGTCATAGACAAATTATGTCATAACTTAACCAATCTTGTGGGTAACTAAAGAGCGATGACATGTAATGAATCATAGAGGTTCGTAGGAGCTTTTAGAGCTATCGTTCATGCTCCTAGGCCTCTAGTTGGTAGAGATATGTCATGTGGTAGTATAAGTGATGTCATGTAATGAATCATAGAGGGTTGTAGAGATATGCTATGTGGTAATATCAGCCCAGTAACTAAGGAGCGATGACGTGTAATGAATCATAGATGGTTGTAGCAATCGTTGAGTAGTATTGCTCTTGTTGTTGGTGTGATAAGCCAAAATATGTATAGTGACTTGTAGGTTTGAAGAGGAGATTTCCAAGTTTGCTCTTGAGTTTGATAGCAAACTGAGTGCAACGAATGTCAGTATGACATAGAAGCTTCTACAACCCTCTATGATTCATTACACGTCATCGCTCCTTAGTTACCCACAAGATTGGTTAAGTTATGACATAATTTGTCTATAGGTGCTCTGACCTTGGACCTCCTTTTCACTTCCTATAGGCTAGGAACCCAAGAGATGGTTCTATGGGATTCTCTTACGTTCGCTACATGATTAGCAAGCTAGTTGTGGGTCGCACTTGACTTCGAATACAGTTACCAAGCCTGGTTAGTCATGGAAAGTCTTGGAAAATGAGAGAACTACACTCCTTTGGTATAAATAGGATTGCCCTTTCCTTAAGAAATGGCAAGCAGACAATACAGTAAATCGACTAGCACATACTTCTACATCTTTTCCAAGCTTCCAAGCATTGATCTTGTTATTCTTTGTTTCTGAAAAGTCAGTGAGGTGCTAACCTCTGACTTACCCCTGAGTTCTCAGACTCAACATTTGTTACAACTTGTCTAAACCACTTCACTACATAATACACCTAATTGCTGTGTTGTGGAATAGTCTAAGCTACGACCCTTTGGCTCTTTTTCCCAAGACAGTGTGTTGTCTTAGTAAAATCATCCCTTCCTTGGGTGGCTAGATTCTCACATCTGGTGCACCCACCATTACACACGAATAGCTAAACAACGGTGTGAACTGCTTTGCCCTGAAAGTTTGTTCTGCATTCCTACTAATGTTAAAGTGACAAAATTAGCAGGACCTTAGCAGATGGATATAGAAAGCAAAAATTTATTTTTAACTGCATTTTTCCGCCAACTACATCACCCTCAAGATGCTCAAGTCAAGTGCATTAGTAGATCTACGTCTATGCTAGCTGCAATATTAAGGGCTCTAGCCTATGATATCCACAAACCTAACACGTCATCTACTACCTAAACAAATCGATTAGCATCTCATTGTACTCTGTCTGTTGCTGTTGCTTAAGAAATCAAGGATGAAAGGGTGTCTAGTAGGCAGTTGTATGTTATTTAGAGCTTTAGCGCTCACATAGGCCTTTGAGGTACTAAGGCTAGAGTGGCAGATTTGGGTGTCTACAACAAGACGATGTTAGAGCAAAATGAGCAAGACTACCAAAATGAGAGTTGAACTAAACGCAAAGGCGAAAAATCGGCATATGACAATTTTTGATATCTTTGCCGTTGTGGTGCAATTCAAACGATGGCTAAGGGGAGTGCTCTCTATGTTATCATTTAGGCTCTTATCATTTATTGTATCATTAGGGTTGGTTCAGCTTAGCTAAATTGATGGCATTCATAAAGGTATGGCACGTAGCCACATTACTGCAAAATAAAGTTCTACTTTGCCTATCACAATGACTTAGCGAAGACTAGAGAGCTGTCTAAAACTAGCGTGCGTCACTAGGGACTGACCCTATTAGGGGACCGACCCTAGACCAGACCATAGGGCGGTCTGGTCCTAAATCTTCAACTGAGATCACGGTCTAGTCTAAAGCCAATAACCCACAGTTGTTACGGCTACAGTAACATGACATCATGGTTACAGGGCCAGGGCCTAGTAACGTGACGTGTTAGTCACAGGGGGCAAGCAGGGTAGGCTGCCATGTGACGGGGCTAATGGATAGTTGCAGAAACTAGTGGATATTGGATAGTTGAGCTATCCACGAACTATCCTGAATATCTAGCTATCCGCCAACTATCCAGGTTACCCATGATGCACGACGCCACTATATAAGTAGATAGTATTTCCTTAGATAGGAGCTTCATGCTCAACTCAATATAGTATTCTTTACAATACTGTAACGTGTTACTTGGAAAGCCTTTGTGTCTAATCCCCTGCCTCCTCTGTCAAGTCAACCTTACGCAAGAAACCTCTTGTGTCTTCTATCGTTTAGAAGTCAGCGTTACAACAGTCCCCTACTAGTCTTCTAAGAAACCAGTTATAGGACCACTTGAATTTTATCACAGGACTAGGCCTACTAGAACAGTTTTCACAGGACTATTAAACATTTTTCACATGGTTTAGATAGAATGGCAATTACTATAATTATTGCTATATGTCTGTATTACGCCATGACTCTAGAATTTCTCGACTAGACCATGACTTGTTATAGACTTGACTTAGTTCAGTTCTCTCTGTTGTCCCCTTCTAGTGTATGTTAAGCCCATTATCTTTCCGTGGCCTCTTTGCAATAGAAGGCTTTGTAAGTGAAGGTAGCGAATAATCACCCTCATTTTGGCTTAGGGGCAGCCCTTGTAAATCGTCTACCTCTAGGTCAATAAAGTCAAGTGTGTCAACCTAACTTTAGCAATGAACTTGTCTATGTTAGTCTTGGTTCTAGGGTTGCAATTGCCAGACCCTAGGCAACTTATAAAGACCTCGTCATGATCTAAGGAAATTGTAATGGTCTTAGTTCCATGTTGTCTAGATGTGTGTATTTGGCTAGTTAGGGCTTCAGTTAGGGTTAGCAATTCGAGTAGACTCATGAGTTTGAAACCAAACTCAACTCATTAAGTTGAGTTTAGACCTGTACTCAAACTCAAACTCACCAACTCGAGTAGACTTATGAGTTAATGAGTTATAAAATGCATTAAACCTATTTAGGTATATACATTACCTAATTAGGACTAAGTTGCAATAAGATAAGATAAGATAAATTACTAATGTAATTGCTTATACAGAGGTCGAGTTCAAAAGTCGTGTCTGAGCTAGTAGTGCCAAGCCTTGCATAAAATGGTAATCTTATGAACCCCTCATTTTGTGACTCGTAAACGTTAAAATCATGGCGCCAAATACAAGTCTCTCAACTTGGGCTCTTATCGTGACCTTAAAATCCCCTATCAGAGGGAAGACAACAGCTGAAGTAGCTGAGAAGACAGGAGTATCTGCTCGACAGATAAACCGGATTTACACTCGGGCAATTGAGCGTGGTTTCGACCCAAACCACATGCCATTCTCTCTCCAAGATGAATGGCTAGACGACACCCCTCGCTCTGGACGCCCTCGAAAACAGACAGAGGAAACAGTCAATCAGGCTGTTTCGAAAGTATGCAGAGATAGATATGGCCGTGAGAAAACTTGCGCTGATATTGCAGGGGAACTTAGTATCAACAGTTTTGATATTTCTTCAACTACCATATGGCGAATCTTGAAAACAGCAGGATATCGGAAAACGAAACTGACAAGGAAGCCTGGATTGACGAAGAGAATGAGAGAACAACGGCTAAAGTGGTGCCTTGACCACGAAGATTGGACACTTGAGGATTGGAAAAATGTCATATGGTCAGATGAAACTTCTGTTGTTTTAAACCATAGACGGGGAGGATATCGGATTTGGCGGAAAGTTGAAGAGGCATTTTTACGATCTTGTGTAATGGTGGGTGCACCAGATGTGAGAATCTAGCCACCCAAGGAAGGGATGATTTTACTAAGACAACACACTGTCTTGGGAAAAAGAGCCAAAGGGTCGTAGCTTAGACTATTCCACAACACAGCAATTAGGTGTATTATGTAGTGAAGTGGTTTAGACAAGTTGTAACAAATGTTGAGTCTGAGAACTCAGGGGTAAGTCAGAGGTTAGCACCTCACTGACTTTTCAGAAACAAAGAATAACAAGATCAATGCTTGGAAGCTTGGAAAAGATGTAGAAGTATGTGCTAGTCGATTTACTGTATTGTCTGCTTGCCATTTCTTAAGGAAAGGGCAATCCTATTTATACCAAAGGAGTGTAGTTCTCTCATTTTCCAAGACTTTCCATGACTAACCAGGCTTGGTAACTGTAGTCGACGTAAGAAAATCCCATAGAACCATCTCCTAGGTTCCTAGCCTATAGGAAGTGAAAGGAGGTCCAAGGTCAGAGTACCCCTATAGACAGATTATGTCATAACTTAACCAATCTTGTGGGTAACTAAGGAGCAATGACGTGTAATGAATCATAGAGGGTTGTAGCAATCGTTGAGTAGTATTGCTCTTGTTGTTGGTGTGACAAGCCAAAATATGTATAGTGACTGGTAGGTTTGAGGAGGAGATTTCTAAGTTTGCTCTTGAGTTTGATAGCAAACTGAGTGCAACGAATGTCAGTATGACATCATATGAAGAGTCATTAGAAGGGACAACAACTAGGCCCTCCTTTCCTCCATCCTCCTCCCCCTTGTCATTAGTGAAGAAATCCTATACTAGACAGTAGTCAGAAGGCTCAGTTAGCAGGCATACTATAATGCATTAGGAATGTATTAGCAATATATTAGATGGTTCACTTACACTTCTCCTTGCTGTCTTTGTAGCCCTAGCACTTACGTGTGATGTTAGCAATTGCCTTTATGCAAGCCTTATTAGTCTTTGTAGGAATGCATTACTAGGAGACTTACTAATCCATCACCTTTCTTATGCATGGTAGGACGGCAGATAGTGACCATAGCGCGTAGTTTCTCTTTCTAAGGTGTCTTTAGGGCTTTATCTTCACTGTAGTCCTCAACCTTGACATTGTTAAGCTTGGCTAAAGTGTAGCAACAATAAGTAGCCATGGTAGCTTTAACGAATTCTAGTAATGCATTAGGAATGCATTAGGAATGCATTAGGAATGTATTACTAGGAGACTTACTACTAGCATCAATCACTTCTTGATGCTAGTAGTAAGTCTCCTCTCATACTAGCAACCTTCGGGCGCACCTAACAAAAGGCCACAAGGTCAAGCTTGCTAAGGTCCATAAGGGTGCGCCCTTATGCATTACTAGAATTCTTTAAGGCTACTATAGCTACTCATTGTTAGCATATCAAGTGCACCTTGCAGCTTGAGTGGGGGTTCAGGGGTGTGGGGAGCTTTCCAGGGTTGGAGCAAAGTTTTCAGTTGTGGAGTGAATTCTCAGAACTGGTCTCGCTAAAGAGAATTCACTCCACAACAACATAGCTGTATATAGATCGAGTCACTGCTCGAGTGCTCCTCTTCTCTTTCCTTCCTTCTCTAGATTGAGTTTAATTCATAATACCCAACTGGCACTGTAAGGACACAGGGCACCCAGCTCACAGTAATAGCATATGAGAGTGCGAGTCGGAGGCTAAACGGATGCTATCCTATAGGTCTACTACGAAGGATACAAAAAAGATGATGGGGAACCCCATCAGTCGATTTTCTCAAGTATCCGAAACCCATCCGACTCGGTTCCGACTCAGTTAGGCCACCCAAATGATCACACGTGACCCCACGGCTACCTGGAGTCTACTCCCTAGAATGAGAGACGAGAAGGCATTCTTACAGGCACCCTATGCCTTGGTGAACCATGACACTCACCGTCGCTACACTTTAGCTAAGCTTAACAATGTTGAGGTCGAGGACTACGAATGCATTAGTAATGTATTGCTAAGTTGAACTTACATCATGATAGCAGAGGTGGATAGTAGGCTAGTCGGTTAATCTAGCTTTATACTTCTCCTGTTCATTAAGAATGTTAAGGCAGCAGAACAGCTCTCTAGAGGAAACGATGAAGGCGCCGGTCTTCTAATGCATTCCGAATGGATTAGCATGTATTAGAAGGAGGTGAAGTTCAAAGTGAAATGCAAAGTGAGTTTTGAGAGGGGTGGGCTAGGGGTGAACTTACATCAGTTCCAAAAGGAGGAATGCCTAGAGGGCGAATAGGGAGCTTTTGGTAGACCTTGTCGGCCTCCTATTTCAATTGTTAGTATATTACTGATGCATTAGCAATGCATTCTCACATTGTTCTCGAGCTTAGGAGCCATGGTGGTAGCTGGGTGTGGTGGTGGTTGGTGGTTGTGGTAGTGGTGTTGACAGAAGGTGGAAGGTCAGAAGTTGAGGATTTATTTGTGGGGGGGTCAGCCGAGATTTTGCCAGAAGTGGGCTGGGTGCACTTCACCCACTGCCCAGAACGTAGGTGACCTGACCCCCCCCTAACCTAAGCTGAGCTGCGACAGCTGCAACAACGTGGAAACAGTGGGCAAAACTTATGATTGGTGGGATAATCCTGGGCGCGAAGGGACAGGAAACGAGTACACAGGTGAGCAGACCATCAGGGGTTAGCTCAGCTGACCCGAAAATGCTCCACTTTTATGACTAAACCTTGCACGTTGGTCAGCTAAGCTTGCGTTGCATCAGATGATATGGTCAGGTAGGGCTAAAAACAGTATATAATAGGGCCCTAAATTCCTACCAACATAAAACCTGTAGGGCATGGCAACAACAACAGTAGTAATTCATTGCTAATGCATTATTCACAATGGATGAGATAATTTCACTACCTCAACTAGACCCATGGTCTGATACTGTTAGTATTGATAGTAGTCTTCAATTTGAGGATGAAAGATATCAGGAACTTGTTACTGAGGAAGAAGAAGAGGAGGAGAAGGTAAGAGCCGCCTAATATATACTTAATGCATTACTAATGCATTAATATCGAAACAACCACAGTTATTTCAAGCGATGTTAGCGACAAAGCAACCCGGGTAATGAAGGTAAACTATACAACAGATTTACCAGAATACCCCTAAACATCCGAAAATGGGGTCGCCTATATCATCAATACTTCCTCAATGACACCAGAAGCAGTTGATGCTATGTGTAATAATGTGTGTTCTTTGGTAATGTGTTCTTAATGCATTATTAATGCATTATAGGTCCAATATTGCCATAAACGACTTCAGCCACCAAAGCCAACGCACTGCAGTGTTCTTAACAATGCTTATTGTAAAAGGATGACTAATGCATTAATAATGTATTAGTAATGTATTAATCTCAGCGTGAAGTTGAAAGTGAAGTTGAACTGGAATTGAACTTACATCTTGGGGAAAAGGCTTCATTCCGAGTGGGCGTTCAGTAAGGAGTTTGTAGGCCTTATAGGCCGCCTGTTGTGGTTGTTAGTAGAATTATCAATCCATTGGTAATGTATTCATAGCTTGATGGGCGCCATCGTGGTGGCGGAGGTGGTGGAGTTGGTGCTGTTGTTGACGGAAGGTCGAAGGTCGGAAGTTGAAGATTTATTTATGGGGGTCAGCCGAGGTTTTGCCGGAAGTGGAGTGGGTCAGCCTAGGTTGGGGGGATGCTCGGGTCACCTACGTTCTGACAGGAAACGGAAGACGGCAGCGAACTTTACCCGGTCGCTGACTAAGCCGAAGAAGATGGACCCCCACGCTTCCCCACCACCCCCTTGTAACGAGAGGATACAGACCCACAGACAATCTTCTCAGTTGTGGAGCAGTAAAGTCACGACACGCCATCAGCATCCACTTCATTCTTTCCTTATTCGGGATTCATAGGATGAACGAGACTCAAAAAATTGGGTTAATCTTATTATCTATGGTTTGATAATTTTTTGCTATAACGATGGTTTTTGAGGCGCTCTAAATCGAGCCCCAGAGTTGCCTCCCAATCCCAAAACCAATCTATGATCACAAGTAAAGGTGCAACGCATGAATAGCCCTCTCTGGCCAGAGAGGCCCCTAAAATGCAACGCCATATAAGTCAATCTCCGTATTCTAGCCGTACCCTCCTCCCCGTCCAACCCCTCAATTAAGTTGTCCCCGGCCCAGCCAGAGTCGTGTTGGACCATTATTAACCTGCCAAACATTCTCTAGTAAAGTTTGCTTTTGCGAATTCCGAGGTTGTGACAGCCATGCTTTTCCTTGACGCGTTTTGAAATTCTCCCTGGGCGTAATCAAGCGGAGAGGCCATCTGTCGAAGATACTAGAGGCTCCTCTCCAGAGACACCAGCTCCTTGAACATGTTTGTCCACCTTTGTCCCTCTTCCTTGGTTGGCTGCGGTAGAGGGCTTCTCGCATATCCTCCATAGCCAAAGCAGCCCTGCATGCCAGCCTTGGTGCCAACAATTCCTCCTTGAATGGCGGCCCAGTCGCCCTTGGCTACGACCTCTTGCATGGCCTGAGCCTCAGTAATGTTACCAGATTTGTAAAGATCGATGGTCTTAATGCAAGCCTTTGGAGAGATGTTTGCCAGCCCAGCAAGGATACCATGTCCACCTCCAATCATAGTCTGAAGGGTGAAGTCCGCTGAGCCTCCGAGGACAAGGAATGATGGCAGGTTTGAGGCAGGTTTGGATGACTTGGTAGCTGCAACGACGCGGTTCAACTTTCCAGTGTTTCCGCAGGTAAGTTTGACACCGACAATGTTTGAATGCTTGGAAAGCTCAATGATGATATCCGAGCTCAAGTCAAGACCCGAAACAGCGCCAGGGTAGTTGTAGATGATGAGTGGGATTGGCGAAGAGTCTGCGACATCGTTGAAGAACTTCAAAACCGATTTGGAGCTTGGTGCAAACAGAGGTGCATAGTAGGATGGTGGTAGAACCAGAGCGTAGTCTCCTCCTGAGCGGTGTGCCTCTCTACATAATTGGATAGCCTCACGAGTAGACTGTGCGCCACAACCAACAATGATTGGAAGGTCACTGTAGCCGGCATCGGCAAGGGCTTTCCTAGTCGTGGATGTCACTTGTTGGCGCTCGGTGTGTGATAGATGTACTGCCTCGCCGTTGGAGCCTTGGGTTGCAATGCCAGCAACGCCTGCTCGTGCCAAGCGGACGGCATGGGTGGCAATGGTCTCGTGGTCAAGATCCTCCGAGCCCACATGGAAGAAGCAGACGGTGGGGACATAGACTCCTGGAACAAGAGGCCGCGAGACGTTCTCTGCCATTTCTAAGGATGATGCCGTAGTAGAGGTGCTTTCAAATGAGCTACTGTAGTGTGCTTCGGAGTCTGAGTAAACGTTTCTTGGAATTTGAGATTGTGAGGCAGTGATCCTAATTGGCATACCGTGAGGTTGTGTGTAGCTCCCAGAAGGTGACGGGGCATCGCTGTGAGGAGACATGATTCAAGTTTTATGGCAGGCACCCTTAAATAATGATTCAGGTGGGAAGTGACGGTGTGCAAATGGGACAATGGGTCTTCAAATGCAGTGAATATGAGATGGAAAAGAAGGGGGAAGTCTGTGTGACTTATATGTGAAATTTTCGCTCTCAGTTGGAAAGGTGGCTTGGCGATCGGAAGGCACGATGATGAGTCGAGATCCAAGAAAATGGGCTGGGGGGGGGGTAGGTTAGCCTTGTCAGGCGTGGACGGGGTCGTTAATAACGGAGATGGGTGTGAAGGGGGGGGGGTGAGGGGCGGGTGAGGGGCGGCGGCAGACACAAAGGGCAGACGAAAGACCAGAATCAGAACAACGGGGCCCATAAAGGCCCATATCCCATATCCATATAGCCCATTATACTTCTCAGTACATACCGTACCGTACAGTACAGTATAGATAGTACGATATGTTGCTTCTGGCCACCAAATGCTATTGGCATTGGATTCGAAGGATATATATTTTAGTGATGCTATTGATGATTCCATAGCATCACTAAAATATATAAAGTTATCCTCACACACGACTCAGGGTATCATGGCAGGGCCTCAGGGTTACTCAAGTGGACAATTCCGAGGCATGGGACCTCCTATACAGAGCATTCGACTTATCAGAAGTCGTGTATACGATATATGATGCATGAAATGCAATGCTGGAGAACCGGAGAGCGTCCTTTTACGGCCAGACACACAGACTGCATGAGAGCCCAGATGCCAGAGCCCAGCCAGAGCTTTGCCGGCTTGTCGTCTTGTCGTTTTCATGTTTTCATATTTCATGTTTTCATGTTTTCATGTTTTCATGTTTTCATGTCTTCATGTTTTCATTCATGTCTTCATATTTTCATTCATGTCTTCATGACTTCATACTGTAAAGTAGCTGGATTGAAAATAGAGTACCATGTAAGGTACTATACTTAGCGTTGACAGGTATGGAAAGGCTCGTGTCCATGCTCCGATGACCGCGTGTGAAGCGTCTTGTGAATGGGGGGCGTGATGCCCTCGTCTACGCCGTCCTTGTCGTCGCCACCCCCCCCGCTTCCACCTCCCGTCGAGTACCAATGACCCTTGCTGCAATGACAACGAAGATACTTCTAATGCAGTAACATGCACAGTACCCAACCAAGTACCTTTTAAGTACTGGATGCACACTGGCCGCGTATTCGTGATGCACAGGATCCACAAGGACTCGTGCTTCCGTGGGGGTCAACACGATCGACCCGTTGAAGGACAGGCCTCTCTCCTCCTCAAGGGGAATGAATCCTCGAATTCCAATATAGTAACTACGACTACTCCGTACTGTAAGTAACCCTCCAATCTTGCTATGTCCAACTTTCCAACTTTCCAACTTTCCAACTTTCCAACTTCCCAACTGACGGCCGTTGTAGCTGGACCATGCTAGTCTCGCTGTTCTGCTGCTCCCAAACCAACCTACTGCAACTCACTTCCGTTAATCATCGATCGGTCTTTCTCTCCGCGTCGTCTTCCACCTACTTCCGCCTACTACCGCCTACAGTACATCCACCTACTTCCGCCTACGACCGCCTACAGTACTTCCGCCTACTTCCGCCTACTTCCGCCTACTTCCTCCTACTTCCTCCTACTTCCTCCTACTTCCTCCTACTTCCTCCTACTTCCTCCTACTTCCTCCTACTTCCTCCTAATACAAATCCAATCACCAAGACAAGAGTATAAAGGAGTTATAAAGTAACCGCCTCTCCACTTAATCCGACGGTGATGCGGATTACGCCGTGTCTGAGTAAGCTTTGCCTCCTACTTCCTCCTACTTCCGCCTGCCGTCTCGGCTCCGCATATCGTGCTGGTGAGTACTCCGCGTTGTACATCTGCCCAATCCAGATGCAACCTCTCTTCCCAAGACAACGCCAAATCGACAGGGAGAGACACCATCTGCAGCCGGTCTCGTGCTGGGAAAACAAAGGCTGGGACATCTAGAGGGGAGCTCCAGCGCCACGCCAGCAATCCGCACAGCTGGGATCGCCCTATAATTGGCGAGGCGTGGGTGGTAAGCAGCGTTACGGAGGTGCCAGAGGGCAAAACCCCCTACCTCGCGAGGTTCCTACCCGATCGTCTCATGTGATGGGAGTCGAATGGGACGGACGCATTTGGCTGGCGCTGCATCCCCCCCGGACGTCGAGCTAGAGCATCTTTGACGCTCAGCTGCATTTCAGCTGCAGATTGCCTTTTGCAAACTGCGGAGGCATGGAACCCTCCATATATCATCTCCATATGCCTTTCCTTTTTGTCTCCTCTGCATCACGCGCTTGCGCAAACTGCCCTCGTGCTCTCCCACGACCGCCCACTTGAGCATCCACAGCAAAATAGTGATTCGCTCCAGGACTCGCTGCACTGTCGCTGCACTGTCGTGTGCCCTTCTCTTCAAGGCCCAACTCCACATTCTGACGCTGACACTGCACCGCACATCTCCTTACACACACAGCCTCGTCGAACTGGGCCGCCTACAATACAAACGCGCTCTTAAAACACTCTACCCCAGTCCCGCGTCCCAATATTTAATAATAGTGTGGGGGTCCATCACCACCCCTGCAATCTCGCCCCTTCTCCCCCATCCCCCATCCCCCATCCCCATCCCCCATCCCCCATCCCCCATCCCCCATCCCCCATCCCCCATCCCCCATCCCCCATCCCCCATCCCCCATCCCCCATCCCCATCCCCCATCCCCATCCCCCATCCCATCCCCATCCCCAGCTCCCCAACACCAAAAACAACCGCCAACACCCATTCACAACAGACAACAGTACTACAACATCCCCCATCCCACGCCCGCCAAACCGCCAAACCGCCAAACCGCCAAACCGCCAAACCGCCAAACCCGCCAAACCCGCCAAACCGCCAAACCCGCCAAACCCGCCAAACCCGCCAAACCCGCCAAAACCGCCAAAACCGCCAAACCCGCCGACCACGAACCTCACATCGCGGCCACCCCGGCCCCCAACGCAACACGCCACGGCCAGAGAAGAAAGGTACTAAGCGCCGCCCCTACACCCCCTCTAGGTCGCCCCTACCCCACAAAGCCACACAGACGCTGTATAGTCATAGCATATACTTGGCCAAAATTATCGTAGGGGGCATGGAAGGGGCGCTAGGGCGCAAGTCACATCTGCATAGGAGGCACGTGCCGGGAAGAGCTAACCCCGCAATTCCCGTTTTGGGGAGGGAGCCCAGGATCGATGGGGAGGGGAGGGTGTTGTTTACAAGGGCGGCTGGGGGTGTTGCCCTTCTGCGTCTTGATGGTTGGTGTTGGGAATGCTGGTGTGAGGAGAAGGGGGATGGGATGGGGATGTTTCGTTCCTGCGAGGTGGGTGTTTACATCGAAAGTTCGGACTCGACACATGGGTGGAGGTCGCTGGTCCCCTCAGCTTAACCTCAGAGTCGACACAATGCGAGACCAAGACCACACTCAGTAACAACGACCTCCTCTCACGACCATCGAATACATCAACTGGGAAGGTGGTAACAATCACGAAAGACCGACCATGCCCATCCCTCAACCGCGCACATACCCTACCTCTTCGCACGCCATCTCGCACCATAAACCACAACACAGACGTCACAAGCAAAAAATCATGGAAATAAAGGAAGATATTTCTTCAATTCTTCATAAAACTCCGGCGCCCTACGGCGGCAATGCCAGATCTCTAGTGGTTCACTATTCTGTTTTTGGGGGATATCAAACGCCGCGCTAAATAAAAACACACAACTCCAAGCCAGCCCAGCCAGCCTGCCGCTTTTTCGTTTTCATCCGGGTCGTGCCCATCATCTTCCATAAATAAAACACATGTCTCGGGGGAGCAATCTCACTACCCCGCAGCCTTGTCGGGCGGGGAAAACGCCCACTCAATCGCCCCTCATCTTTCCCGTCCCTGTAGATGCGCCGCCATAAAGGCCTCAAACCCCTGGCTCACCTCCACCGAGCTGGTACTATCACTCGGGCTCGCAAGTCCACTATCCACATCCCCCGACCCCGCCTGGCCATCGCCCATCCCAAAGCCATAGCCGCCACCGCCGCTGCGCGCACTCGAGCTCATCATCCCGCCTAGGCTTATTAAGCTGGCGGAGTGAGAACTGCCCAGCCCGACCTCGCTATTGTCTCGTGAGAGCAGAGGCTTCTCGGGGAGAGCCTTCAGGAGGCCAGTGCTGGTATCCAACATGCCGAGCGCAAACTCAGTTAGGCCCTTCACGCCACGCCCTTCACCATCCGCGCTGACTCCGGCGCGCGCGCTGACTCCAAGCGTCCAGCGGTACTCCTTCAGGCGCATACGGTAGAAGTCGGCCTCTTCCTTTCCAGGGGCCGTTGCCCATAGGAGAGATCCGAAGGTTCCGATGAGGGCGAAGTTGGTCTTGGACGAGAAGTACCAGAACGCGCGGAGATGGCTTGGTGTCAACCTATTTACAAAATCCATTGCGCTGATGAGCCGAGTTTTCGCGGCGGATCGGCAGATGTGGAGAATATAGGGGTCGATGGGAGGAAGGTTCGGTCCAGGTGGCGTGAGAGAGCGCACGATGCGGCGATGAAGCGTAATTTCAGTGGCGAAGTATGAGAGATGCAAGAAGCCGGTAGACGAAAGCCTGCTGCCCTGGCTTCCATTGCTGAGTGGCGACGGCGAGGATGCCAGATTGGTGTGGCTATTCTCCATTTTCAGGCACACCGGCAGCGCAGCAAACCATTCTTTCAGCTTCAGCTGCACGGGCTTCGCCAAGGAGAGAACCATATGGGTACCAGACGTGCCGGCACGCGTCACATTATCCATCGCGGCTAGAGTATAAAAGGTTTCCAGGACTTCAGCAAGAAGTTGCGACAAGGATACCATCTCTGTGAAGAGGAGCCTGCCACGCTCGTGTTCCAGCACCTCTCCATCCTCACGACCACTTCCATCACCCGGGTCGCTCTGGTCGTCAGGGAAATCGTTCCATGTGAGTGATCGCACTGCCCAGTTAGATGCAAAGATATGCGACGGCCGTCCGTGTATGAGCGACCCCCATTTATCTTGCATATACAACGCCCAAGCCAAGCGCTTTCGGAGACCGCGCTCCCAAAGTGGAATCTTCCAGGTCGAACAGTCGAGATGAAGGCCTAGCTCTTGGCCGATAGCGACAAGCTGTGCCGTCGGCGCCCATTGGTCTCCCTCCGGACGTTGCGATAGGAGTAGGCCGGCTTGTATTGTCGACAACTTTGGCCGATACATGGCATCTGCCAATGACGTACGTACGAGCCGCTCAAGCTCTCTGACATTCGGTCTCGGGGACTTGGCCAGCTGTTCGCTGTGGTCCCACCAGTTGATTGCTAGAATATACATTGCAGCTAACAGTGCAGGCGAAAACTCTTGATAGGACCTCGCATATTTCTCCAGAAATACGGTCTTTTGGATTATAGGAAAGCTTGGGTGAATAACATGAAAGTACAGATCTATCAGGGCCAGGCCGTGAGGAGTGACGATTGCCTCAACGGCATCCGAGTCCTCTATGACATGCTCGTATCCAGGGGTGTTGTAGTCTGGGAGCATCAAGAAAGTATCGACATCGCTGACCTTCCTCAGCGTGCCTCGCGAAAGTAGACTCTCATCTTGAGGATCGAAATGCGACAAGTCGAGAAGAGAGGGCTCGAAGTCTGTTGTCGGCCCTATATATTGACTGTACCGATCATTCTGTAGACCGAGCGTGCGTTTCAGCATCGCTGGCCCGCCAATGTTGGCCATATCTTCGGTGAGAGAGCCGGCACAGGTGCTGGAATTGCTCGAGTCAGGCTGCCTCCGCTTGGATGGTTCTTCAGGCCTGTCTGGCGACCTAGAAGGAAGTCAGATGCGCTGTATCGGGGACGAAAACGAGAAATACATACCTCCTCTTGGCAGCGGAGTCCTCCTTTCCCACCTTTCCTTCTTCAGGGACAAGCTTTCTCTTGCGCGGCTGCGGACTCTGGACAAACGTGCAATCCTGCTTGTGGAATTTGCACAAGACACACGCAACCTGGCCCTCGTGTATGACGCACTTACTCTTGCGCCTTCTGCAGGCATCACACGGTCGGTCCTTCCGGGTACGTGTGTTGGGTAGGTCACCGTCTACTATCAAGCTTCTCATGCTCGAGGAGGCCTTTGGTTTTATACTCTCCTCCGCAGGCGTGTCGTTCTTGGCATGGTTGGGTTTGGCAGCAATGGGGATGGGAGCCGTCCGAGGGATAGAAATGGGGGTCGACATGGCTTTCGAGGCCGCTGGGTGAGAGTGCGCAGGGGACGGGGTAGGTGGCGCGCCGATTGAACCCCACAGAAGAGTCCCCCGCGGACCGATCCCACGACACAAGCACTGGGTGACACGGGCAAAGAACCAACCGTAGGTAATCGGGATGATCTCCCGGATTGGACTTGGTACGGGTACCAAGCAGTCCGTTAGACAATGGAATTGGTTTTGCTTATGCTTCTTTTTTGGTCAAACGGTTATCAGATACCGACACGTATGAGGACGTTCGGCGGGCCGGCGAGGGATGTGCAAGGACGCCTGATATGCCAAATGGGCATGGTATCGAGAGCAGCGCGGGTACTCTAGAAGCGCTCTACTAGCCCTGAACAGGATAGCTCGAGGCAGAAGGCGAATGGGGTATCCGGGGAAGGCTTATCGTGTTTCTGCAGTGAGACTGGCGCAAGTTTCTTGGAGGTAGGTGGTGGTGCAGAGGCGTAGAGGTGCAGCCGTGCAGCGGGTGCAGATAGATGGGGATGGGAGCGATAGATAAGAGAGTAGTTTTGCGTAGGGGCGCAGTGGATTCTGGGGAATATGGGGTACTGTGTGATTTGAGTATAGTATGGGTGTAATGGTAGTGTTTGTGTGGTGGAAATGGCGGAGATGGAATTTTCGAGGTTTGGATTTCGGGTGTTGACGGTATGCAGAGATAGAGTGGTGGGTGGTTGTTGGATAGATAGGAAGATTAGGTATTTCGTATATTCGGGGGCTAAAGATAGCGAAGTAAGAGAAGAGAAAGAGAGTACCATAAGAGGTAAGAGGGTAAAAGTATGGAAGGGTAACGTAAGGTGAGGTAGGGGGTAAGGTAAGGTTAGGTTAGGTTAGGTTAGGTTAGGTTAGGTTAGGTTAGGTTAGGTTAGGTTAGGTTAGGTTAGGTAAGGTAAAGGTTAGGTAAGGTTAGGTAAGGTAGAGGATAAAAAGGTGCGGATAATGAGATAAGGCAGGACAGTTAGTCGTAGTTAGCCTAGTTAGTCCTAGTTAGCCTAATTAGTTCAAGTTAGCCTAGTTAGTCCTAGTTATGTAGCCTAGTTAGTTCAAGTTAGCCTAGTTAGTCCTAGTTAGCCCTAGTCAATCCTAGTTAGCCCTAGTTGCCAAAGTATGGTCCCTAGTTCAGAGTACGTACTGTGTTCTTGGGAAAATGTATGTTGGAAAATGTATGGGTTGTGAGTCACGAGACCAACCAATCAAGTAAAGGGAGAAATGGGCCGGGGAGTTGGAGCCGAAGGGGGATATACCCAGACACAATATCCAATATCTGGCAAATGACCGTCCTCGTAGTAGCTGTGGGCGGCTGATTGCTATAGCTGTTTTAGCTGTGCAGGGCGCAATACATGGACCAACTGTGTCTTACCTTGGCAGTATAAACGGGAAGGAAAAGCGATGACCAACAAACCAAGCCTCGCCATGCAATTCGCACCAACCCAACCGATGAGAAGAAAAATATGACAGCTCTCAGCCATATTTGATGACTACAGCACTATGGAACTTCAAGTGGATAATTGGATACGGCTGGGTGGCGATGGTGGTGGATACGTACGCCATATTTTCCTTGGTCCTCCCCGCCGAGTTCCCCGCCGAATTCCCCGCCGATTCCCCGCCGAGCCGAATTCCCCGCCGACTTGTAAGTTAAGGAAGCGTGTGCGTACACGCGTGAGTGACAGTTGGGTCTGTACAGTACCTCCCATCAAAGTACAGTCGCATCCGCATGGAAATTCTCACCCGCTCAGCGAGGACCGAAGGCAAAGCTGGACGTAATGCAAACGTGATGAGTGGTCGTGGAGGCCTGGCAGAATTTCCATGACCACGACGTCCATTTATGTTGATTAAAAAGAGAAGGTAACCGTTTTACTTAGTACGTATGTATGGGGGAGTTGGTTGATGGGTGGGAAAGATAAGGGAAATATGGGGTGTGAGCGGGACCAAGGGGTGTAGGTGGCAGGAGTGAGGAGGGGATGGGTAGTGGATGAGTAGTGGATGGGTAGTGGATGAGTAGTGGATGAGTAGTGGATGAGTAGTGGATGGGTAGTGGATAGTAGTGGATGGGTAGTGGATGAGTAGTGGATGGGTAGTGGATAGTAGTGGATGGGTAGTGGATGAGTAGTGGATGGGTAGTGGATGGGTAGTGGATGGGTAGTGGATGGGCAGTGGATGGGTAGTGGATGGGTAGTGGATGGGTAGTGGATGGGCAGTGGATGGGTAGTGGATGGGTAGTGGATGGGACAGAGCGAGGTCGGCAAAGGAGGCCTAAAGATTACCTAATGATGCCGTCTGACATCTGCCTGTGCCACTGCCGATGGATGGACTTAGGTAAAAGATGTGTGTAAAAGGAATTTCGACAGGTACCCTCGTATACAGATTCCGCGTATGATGTACATGTGCCGTCTGGGCTGGGAGGCGGAGTGCAGGTTACAGTTGTGAGATCCATGGCCAATTCAATAACCAAGAACGATCGAGGCCCATCGTGGCATCGTCGAATCGTTGAATCGAGACCAGGAATGAGAGCGAGGTCTCGTGATCAGATGGTGTGATTAGATAGATTATCCTCCCCGTCTCTTGTCACGTGATATCATCGACTCGGACTGCGGATATGCGCTATCTTATCTCCAGTCAGTCTCTTTCCCAGCTTGTATCCTCAGCTCTAACCAGCCATGATCTTGTGGCCATAGATCATATCTCTTATCTAATCTGCATCCTATATACACCTATATGTCACCTAATCCAACACTATGTACCATACTCAACTATATCACCAACCATATGACACCAACTACATCCCTCCATGCTAAATGTGAAAATATAACAAACCACACACCCCGCCCTCACCACAACTCCCAGATCTTCCCCGGCACAACAGCCCTCATCACATTCCAATGACCCACCGCGCTCCTCCTCTGCGTCTCCTCCAACTTCGCCGTATCATTCGCCCTCAGCACATCCCCAACGTCTTCTAAATCAAACTCCCCACGCAGAATCTCATGTTTCGGTACCAGATACGCCTTCCGCGCCCCGCTGCGCAGAAAGTCCCGCTCCACGGGCTCGCGGAAGGTAATCGGCGCCTCCGAGCGTGCGCGGCAGAAGAGAACCATGTTGGTGAAGTCCTGGCCCGCGGCGAGGAGCTCGGCGGCTGTGGGCGTCGCCGTCTCGCGGTAGATGCGACAGGAGGGGAAGATGGCGAGGATGGTGCGGATGATGAGATGTGTGCTTGGTTGGAGTAGGTCGGAGGCGTAGTTCTGCGGCGGTTAGTGCTGGTGGGGGGAGGAATGGAGAAACTGGACTTACGATTGCGATGACGCCGTCGGGTTCTAGAGACCGGTGGAGGTTGCGCAGGAACTCGTCGGTGAAGAGGGCGATGGGCTCGGCGCCGCCGGTGAAGACGTCGTGGATGATGTAGTCGTAGCGTTGGGTGGTGTCGTTGGCGACTTGCGCCGCGTAGTGGACGGCGTCGTCGATGACGGCGTGGTGGTTCGGTGCGAGGTCGAAGTACTTTACTGCGTACTCCAAAACGACGGGGTCGATCTCAACGATCGTCGTGTTGATGCCATGGGCCATGAGGGCACCAGGACTTGTGCCAATGCCAGCGCCGCTGTACAATATTAGTTGGGTGAACAGACTCATAGCAAAGAATGCTTACATGACTAGAGCTTGTGCCTCGCTATCAGGGACGGAAACGGGCGCTTCAATCAACCGAACCGCCTCCAGCATGGTGAATATAGCATACACAGGCTCGCCAACCACCGGATTGTGGCTCTGGTGCATCGTCCATACTCCCCCCAGCAAGCTGTGATCGCACCGCAAGACGCGGAACTGATTGCTGACACTCTCCAGAACGGAGATATAGCCAGTATTCGAGTCCTGGCGTGCGATGAGCCTATAGCCCTCAGCTTGCAGACTCGAGTTCAGGGCCTGCGTCGCCCAGGGGGTCTGAGCGTGGGCATTGAAGACGGCTGTGTGCAGGAGAGCTGGCACTGCGTAAATCAGCAGCTTTGACGGAGCGAGGAGGGCGTAGGACGCCGCGAGCTGGACCTGCCAGGACACGCGTGACAGGAGTACGGACTTGTAGCTGGTGCTCTGGATAACATTCGCGGACCAGGCTGATGTTATCTTTAGGAAGACAAAGGATGCTACTCCTGGCACCGAGTGCCACTTCCCCGTGATTCCAAACCCCTCTAATACTAACCCTACAGCTGACGCTGAGAGTAGGAGAAGCGGCGCCACGGTCAACAACTCTGTAATAAGGGGCCCATACGTAGCACCAAACGTATTACTGTAGTTAAAGAGGAAGTGTTGGACCGTCGGGATGTAGAATGCAATCAATGGCAGCAGATCAATCAGCCTCCATCGCACATTCCTCCTCAACCAAAAGCTCCCCGACCACCCCAAGAAACACGCAGCATTAACAAGCTTATCATGCCATATCGACGCTGGAATGGCACCGTACACAGGCGACAGCGTAAGTTGCGAAACCGACGAAGACGCCGCCGCCAGGGCGAGTATCACCACAGCCCTGACGGTGGTGCCAGCCCAGTCAACGGCATGATTGAAGAAAGTCTCCTCCTTCGCCTTCTTGGCCAGTTCCTTCAGCTCTTTCTCGAAGTTCTCCTGCGTTAGCGGCGGGCTGGCATTGCTGACGTTCGCCTCGCGCTTTTGCGACTTTGGCTTGGCCATGTCCAGTGATTTTTTGTACGGGACACGTATTTGGGATTTTGACGAGATGCCAGCTTGACCAGCTGGTGATGTGCCCGATTGACCACTTTCCGCACGCTGTCAAACTTTAGGATATATTTCTTCAGCTGGACTCCATGTTGCGTATAGCTTGTACGAAGCTATCGCAATATATGTTCGATTCTGGAGCTTCTGAAACACTCGGGCAAAATGTACGTAACGAGCGCTTTGGCTCTCGGACAGGCGACACAGACGGTTATTCAGTGACCGTTCTTTTATAGATGTAATAATATATTATCCACCAGCGCTCCTTCTACTTATGTTGTTATTCACTGACTACGGAACTCAGGGTTATTATTCGACCACGCCTTCATTACATATTTAGTCCAAGCAGTACTGTTTGGCTACTGAACCACCGGCTTTTAGCTCTACACCCTGCTGACACACGCGATTTCCATGATGATATGCCTTCAGTCACGGGGATCAGATCATCGGGCGAGTTAGTTAGTGCTGAGAAGCGACGTTGAAAAGAGCCACAAAGCCGGACCGCCTGCAACGGTTGGCGCGTCGGCGATATGCAACAAACCAGCATTGGTGCCTAGCTACGGCTTCTTAAGCTGAAAGAATCGCATATCGCCAGTGGATGCGATGTAGCCAAAGGAACCAGAGCCGCCGGTTGCATTGCCAGCGAGACTGAACCAGACTCCATTCATTGGACCGTGGGCAGTGGTCATTCCGACTGGCGTGCTGCCGACGTTTGGCGGAATCGGCAACTGCCGCTGGTAGCATTGATGCGCATGATGGACGACTCTGTGTCTTGCGTGACATAGATTAACTTGGTGGCTGGCTCCTCCTTGATGAACACAGGGTTTTTGAGGCACGGGTACAGCTTCTGGTCGGTGGAGTTAGAGATATCTGCTGAGAAGAAATAGTACTGGCCAGTTTGCTCGGAAGCATCCTTAAGGCCGGCCCAGACGCGATTGCCAATCTCAAAGATGCAATGTGGGCTGTTTCCTGGCTCCGGGATATTAATGGTCTTGATGATGGACGGAACGGCCGAGAGATTCTGTCCTGGATACACGAGCAGCAACTTATTTTCCCACTGCAGCGATAGCCACATCTTGCCGGGGTATAACTCCGAAGGCCACACGCCATGGAGCCCTGACTTGCTGTTGTTTCCCATAGGAAATGACTGGAAAGCAGTAGGTTCCTCGGTGATCGGATTCAGCTCGATCTTGATAAGCTGGCTGTCCGACATCTGCCATACAGCACAAAATTCGTGCCTGGCACGCGGGCAAACTCATGCGTCCCAGACGCGGCTGGCGTTAGATACTCGGTGAGGCGGCGGCTCACGAGCGAATTTGATGAATCCTGGGACGACGCTGTGCCAGCGCCGAACGCCAGCACCATAACTAGCAACTTGAAAATATGGGACAACATAGTTGGCATTCTTTGCTCAACATTTCTGCCCATAGGCGGGATGTGCTTACATACATCTTGTCTGGCTATTCCTGGGTTTGTTCCCAAAGCTGAAGCATTTCTGTAATAACTAGGGGGTGTGTGGGTGGCCTGTGCCACAGCGTTTTATTAGTTAAAGACACGGCCCGCGCCTATTTCCCACTTAGTAGGGCGAAATCCACCCAGCATGGCTGACGCTACGACTGAGGCTACTGACGATCCTTAAACTGTGCAGAACCACTTAATGAATTTTGCCTCGCATAGTGATAGATACAGTACAGTGTACGGTAGGGCGATATAAGTTTCCGTACGGGTCTTTGTCTGGGGAAAAGCACGGACTCGTACGGAAACTTATTGGTCGTACTGCATGGCCAGCTTGGGTGAGAACTACGAGAAGTGATAAAGCCACCGCTATAGTTAATGTGGTAGAGATCTCAACAGCGTTGAAGTAGAGTCTCACTGTCAGCTCTTGGTAGACAAGCCACGCCCACGGGCTTTAACGTGGGCGTCCGTAAAGAGGCGTTGTATCCTGCGGCTTATCCCTTGCACAATGCCCATTGTCTTGTCTCATATTTTCTCACCTAAGCAGGCCATACCATACGTAACTTCTACCTTTCATTCCGTAATATAAGGCTGTGTATGATAGAGTGGCCGCGGGGAATATTTCTTAACAGAAGCAGCTATTGCTAGTGATGTCGTGATAGGTCCACCATCGCCAACGCCTTGTAAACATGCTAGCAAACTTATCTGCCCAATATGAATTTGAACTCGAATCTTCACTGAAAATCCCATGAAGTACTGTACAAGATAGGCGTCTTATTTTGTGTAGTTGTAGTATTACATTCTACCGCGTCTTACCCCCTACTGTTAAAGCTTCCACCCTGTCTCTCCCGTTCAATCTGCTCGTCGAACTCTCGCTGAGCAGCCTCCCTTGCAGACATCTGACGCCCCTCTGGTGCCTGGGCGCTACTGGCAGTATCGGCACCATTACCCCATCCACTTTGAGCAGAGGAATCAGCTCGAGGCTGCCGACTGGGCTGTGATGAGGACCCTTGCTGTGAACCCCCATTCGTGAGCCCTTGCTGCCGAAGGCGCTCCCAGGCTGATCCGCCAGATGACATCTCGTCTGTAACTCCCACGCCGCCGGTTGGAGATGCATCATCAAAGTATGACAGTTCTTTCTCTGCAGTAGGTGCAGGCTGAGTGCCTCTTCTAGGTGCGGCGCCCACGGGGCGTTGTGCTGGGATTTGGGACTCTCTCGCAGTTTCCGCACCTAGAAGTCCCCCATTCAACGGGCCCTCCTCGTTGCTTGTCCCCCAGAATGAGTCGCTATTGGGGCTGGCGTCGTCTCCGGTGGCCTGTTCTCTTGGCTTCGTTTGGCTCCCGCGAGGAACTGGTAGCACTGGCCGTCGTGAACGGCTCGGCCCTGACCCGGGGGCATTTTGTGCCTGTGACTTAACATGTGCCAAAAAATCCTTTAACCTCGCATCCGCGACCATACCAACTGTCGCCACGGAGGAAGAGTAGATACCAAAAAACATTGTCCCAACAAGCATCCCAACAGTGCTATATGCAGACACCCTCGCTACGTGCCAAAAAGGAATGGCCTCCATGCCCATCACCCAGGCGAGTCTAGCGGATGGAAAGACTTTGGGATTGAACGTGTCAGGGTTGGGCTTGACGAATGGAAATTTGAACGACGGCGCTGTTCTGTACGCTTGCATCATCCCACCAGCAAACCCCGCGATGGGTCCGTATGAGAATAAAGACAAATGCTTTGCTGCCCAATATGCCAGGGCGGAAGCTTCTTCTTCTGTTGGCGGCCTCCCGAGGGTTTTCTCAGCACTTCTGATGACTTGGTCGACGGATGAAGCTACCTTCGCATCGTTGAGCCCCAGAATCCGGGCCCCTATGAATGGCCTTGGGAGGTATGTCCCTTCAAACCTTTTCAGGTTCGGAGGTTCCTTGAATTCGTCATAGCGATCGTTGTCGGATTGGGGAGTAGGGTCTTCGAATCCACGGTCGGGTTTGGGGTTATCGCTGTCGTTGTATACCATTGCGATGGAGCCGCAAAGCTCGAGGTAGACGTGGTATTCCGGTATTTTATGTAATATAGCAAGCCCTGAAGGTTTGCATGGGAACGCGAACTGTCGGGTTGAGATGCTTGGTGGGATAGAATAAGTTCTGAAGCTCCAACCGGCGGGTAATACTGGAGATACTGACGTAGTCCGATAGCTCTGTCCAGGATCGCCCATAATCGCGCTAACACTTTTCGGTAGCAACCACAGCTCCCTTGGGATAATTATAGTTTACCATGACAATTATAGGTTTTTAAGATGTAGATATCGAAGAAAGGCCTCCAAGTTGGACCTGGGAAAGGAGGAGTTTTGGTTATGAAATTACATGCCAAATCTGTGGGGGCTATCTATGCGTATTGTAACATATGAGAAGACTACAACAAAGTGATTTATATATATGCATTGGGCCTCCTCTTAAAACTGAAACTAATGGGTATCTGCTTTACTAAAAATTCCAGACCGCACATACTAATGTACATTGTCATTATATGACTCACCTGTACGGCTCCTGTTCTCTCGTCCTGTTGGGAGAACCGCCCTTCGCTATTCGTCCAGTAACACGGTAGACCACCCTGTCAACGCGCTTGGCCACTGCAGTTCCGGCCCCTACCAACACGCGGCTAAACATGAACAGTGCAACGAACGATAGGACCATAACGACAGCAAACGTGACCCAGTACGTTTTGACTGTATACACACCGTCCAGCTCCTTGATTTGCACCGAGAAATAGCTGGTCATGAGACTGACGGGGAGAAATAGCACGCCTAGTTTAGAGAGCAGTGTCGCGCTCGAATTAAGCTTCGCTGTAGCCATCGAGTCCTTTTGGGTTGTGATGTTGAAGTACTATTGCAAGTTAATACAGCGGAAGATGAAACAAACGGGGGGATCATGCTAGACGTACTGTGGTATGTAGCCCATCTATCTCGCCAATTGCCTCATCCACATAATTAAGTACGAGAAACTTGATGTTGTCCCGCAAACGTTCGAAGCGATGGCGTGCAGTTTGAACCACCGAGACACGCTCGTCAATGCGACAATGAGAAGATTCCTTTTCCTTGTCTTCTTCGTATTTTAGTATTCGAGAGATCAAATTCTCATAGCCGCTAAATAAATGCTGGTTTGAGCGCAGTAGTTTTCCAACCTCATAGAGTTTGGGGATGATCTCTTTTGCTAGTGCATCAGGCTTATTTTCGCCCTGTTAAAATTAGTTCTACCCAGAAACTGTACTCGGGTTAATGACATACGAGGCCGGCCATAATCTTCTGGCGCTGTTTGTGTCGTTAGTGAGGGAAGATAAGTTTAGATTCGCAAACTTACGAGTTTCTCGATGTTCCCCTGAAGAACCATCAACAGCGTATAGGTCGCCGTCCAATCGTCGAACAGATAATAGAATAGATTACTGGCACCTTCAACACCAGTGAGTTCCGAAGTGTCCTTGGATTCCGCAGGTTGCCGCAGAGAGATAAGCTCAACGCCGTCAGCTGACCCAATTGTCGAAAGCTGACTTAAAACACTCAGCGTGTTCTTGCGAACTGTTTCGATATATTTCGAGTCCACCTCTTTGGGGCTTGGATCTTCGTGGAACGAAATAACAGTAGCTGCTTTGGATCAGCGATAACTCAAAACAGAAGCATATGGAGAAGCATACCGTCATGACAGAGGACAAGCCAAGACCACAATCTCTCTGGTTCAATTATTCCGGAGTCGCGCTCTACAGGATGCATCCAATTGGCACCTACGCAGATAACTTTCGAAATGGTTAGAGAGGCACATAGACATAACGATCTCCAACGCAGACTGAACCCACATTTGTCTCCGATATCAATTGACTGGTAGCTTGAGAAATTTGCCGCAATATTAAAGAAGTTTGTGGTATTCGGCTTCACTACTTTTAAATCGCGATCGAGGTGGGTGGGCCGGGCAGGAGACGCCTTTTCGATATCGGCGCTAGGAGAGTCGAGCTCCTTTTCAGGCGTCCAGTTCTCCGCTGGAGCTTCTCTTGAACTCGGTGGAGGAGTGGTAAGTAGTAGGGCCACAAGCCTCTTGCTAAAGCCATACCGATCACCAATAGCCTTTACAGCATCAGGTTGCGAGTCGGGTGCCCAAACATTTCTGGGGATATCAGTGATTTGCCAGCTAACCGTGACGGCGTGGTTGACACTTACATCCACCGTGTTGGAGCTCCTTTGGTCCTGGGCGCAGCACCCTCCGTCATAAGGGTCTTGAAACCACTTGGCGGAACGTTGGAAGCAATCCTAGACATGCGTGACCCGAAGTCGACAACAAAATTCTCCGCATCTCTTTTCGCGGCGCACTCGCGGGCCTCCCTGTAGTAACGAGCGTCGTCGTAATCCACAAACAAATCGAAAGTCGACATATCTTTTGTATCGAGTCAGGCTGTGGCTCTCAGCTCCTTCATCCTCGGGAAGCGCCTGGATGGATACGACAGGGCGCTTGATCACTCGCTTGATCACTCGCTTGATCACTCGACGCGCTCCCGCACGTCACGGCCCTGGTTACCTTGCAAGGGACCCCTGCACACCGTGTGTTTCTCTGGTATCACGTGATATATTTAAGGATGTGGCCGATGTGCTAAACCAGCAGCCTGCTTAGTCATCCGGGTTCCTGTTGGTTATCTTATCTGTGATCCATCCGTACGTCACTAATGCCCTTTATGCCCTTTGAAGCTCTGAGTTGAGCTTGGAGTCCAACGAAGCTCCCCTCACACGCGCTTGTAACGCCCACTAAACTGCCGACGCGCAATGGTAGATACTCTCAATGGTAAGGAGTGACATTAAACAGTCGAGAGATTGAAAGTCTTGGCTGAAATGTCCGATATACTATCTAACACTCCATAGGACTTGATATTGAGATCCATCAGACTCGCGTCGTCCAAGGCTGCGAGGAAAGCCTATCTTAACACGGCCCTCTTTCTAGCAACCTCCGCTACGCTATTTGGCCTGGCCGTTGTTGCTTATGTCCTTTTCTACGTGAACTATATTCCAAAGATTGGAATTGAGCGGGAGGTCCATCTCCAATATGGGTACGTGCCAGCCACACTCAGCTACCTGGCTCCCCAAACACACTTCAGGACTGATATAGCGGTCTAGGGGCGATGCGTCCAGCCCTTATGGGCTTGTGTCTCTAGATAATTCTGTTATGCCACAACAGGCGTACGATATACTGGTCGAAATCGATCTCCCAACATCACCAGCAAACAGCAAGCTTGGGAATTTCATGGTGGACATGGTGATGCTGTCATCTGAATACAAGGACTCGAGCCGACCTGGGACATCGACAAGCCGGCCATCTGATCTTCATAGCTGGATCCCAGCTGGGTCTATTCTATTCTCATCTCGACGCCCTGCCATTCTCACCTTCCGGTCCGATGTCGTGAGCCTCGGTAAACAACTCGCTGGCCTCCCACTATATATCCTGGGCTGGCACCGTGAATCCGAAAGGCTGCGGATTCCGATGGCTGAAGGGATCGTCTTTGAAAATGGGAATAATAATGCACCAAGGAAAGTGTATCTCGACATACAGTGTCGCCATCAACAGGCCCTTCAAGTTTATAGCATGCGTCTGCTACTGCTGGCAAAGTTCTCGGGTCTTAGGTGGCTTATGTACAACCATCGGATCTTCTCTTTTATGGTATTCACAACCGCATTCTGGGCTGCAGAAGTCTTTTTCGCTCTAGTGGCCTGGATTCTATTGCAATCAACATTCAATGCCACCGAGGATCAGACTTCAGCCGTGGAACAAAAACACCAGGGTGGCAGCTCAAAAGTCAAGACTGAGCCCTTTGACGATGATATTCTAGATACGGATGATTCAGATGTATATGGTGGGCTACAAAGGTATTCGACATATGACAGACGGGCACCTGTGCGACATGAACCACAGATCAAAAAGGAAGATGACGATAAGAAAACCCTATTTTCAGTCGAAACTCGCGTTTATCCTAAAACAGAGGAGGCTGATGATGAGTCCGAAGAGCCAACCTATACGAGTGATATATTCAAGGAGGGAAGGTCACCTTCTGGGGTTGGGACAAGTTTCAGCGAAAGTAAGGGTGGGGTTGCATCTATGGCAGCTCAGGGAAGGAGGTCCAGAACCGCGAGAGAACCTAGTCCAGAATTTTGATGTCGGAGTTGAGTGTGGAGAGGCTAGCGTTGATTCATTATACCCCAACTATTCGAATAATATTTCACGCAATTAGCATAACCAATAAATATAATAACGGATAACATACTGTGCCAAGTGCAAAATTATCGAGCAGTTTTATACATTCTACGGACCCTATCCTTTACGTCGCAAACCAAGTATATCTGAAAGCTTCACTTCTCCTTTGCCACCCCATCCCGCAGCGCCACTCTCTACCTCTGGCCTGACTTGAACATACCACAACCATGCTCTCTTATCTAGCTCGTCAGCACCAATATGCTCGACCCATGAACCAAACAGAAGTTCCAGAGCTCCAAAAAGAAGCCCTAGGTTTCGCTCTTTCTCTCTCTCCAAGGCAACTCCAGTTTTTTTCTTGGTGGTTGCATCCCCAGATGGTGCAAATGCTTTCATGATATATGACCTACCACCGTCAGGCTCATGAATCGGCAACCCAGCACCTATGCTTCTTCCAGATGAATTCGTAGACCTCATAGCCTCAAGATCTAAGCCCCATAATGCTTCGTTTCCAATGGTTCCTGCGACACGAAGGCGCTGCGAGAGTGCATCATGACACACTTGTGTCATCAGCTTCCATCGATCAGTTCCAAGCATAATCCCGCCATAACATCGCGTAACTACCACGAGAATACTGACAAGATCCATAGATTGCAGGATTCCAAGGATGTGACGGCCTCCGCCGCTCTCACCATCGTCGTGGCAATCTTCTATGACTCCGCCGTGGTCGCCTTGCACGCGCCATGCCGTGATATTATGGCTCGCATCTCGTAGCTCGGAGTTCCTGATATGAGTTCCTGATATGAGTTCCTGCTTCAGAGACCTAGCGTCAGATGCTGATTTTATCCCAATAGCTCGGGCATTAAAGGTTGACTTTTTGAGTGTAACGCTTTGTGATACAGCCCAGCGTGAACCATCCATAGTGGTATTATCTCTTTCATCAGGGGCGGCATTTGTGGAATCATGGCCTTCATCAGACCCTGGGATCTCTATCCCATTATTTGCTGCCGAGCTCTCTTCATTGCTGTTGCTTCCAGCAGAATCTCCTACATAGTACCCATCTCGTTTTAAAACGTGTACTTCCCGTCCCATAATCCTCACTTTGGGCTGTCCTTGCCCCCACCCATCATCTTCGGCGCTCGTACCTTTTGTAATTCCAATGCTGCCTGCTTTACTCCTCGAGTTGGCACTGACAACCGCTTGTGCGAGGCTCAGTCTGCTTGATAGTGGTTGCTCTGGCTTGGTAAACTTCAACAGTGCGACTGCGAATGCTAGAACCAGAGGCGCACGGTTGGTCACTATGGTCGTTTTTCTGATATCCTCTTCATCAGACGAAGGAGTAGGAAGTTCGAGCTTTGCCTCGAGTTCCTCTGGGGTTTGCGGCTCATAATCAAGCTCATATGCAGATTTATTGCGCTTTGCTTGGGTTGACACAAGGCCCTCGAGTGCCGCACGTTTTTTGGACGGATCCTTGATGCTATTCTTAGCTGCTGTATGTAACTGCTTCGCTGCTTTATCGTCACTGATGGCTTCTGTCACTTGTGCAAGGTCAGATTTCGCAATATCGGCAATGCTAGGACAAAGTAAGTAAATAGTCAGTGTTGATGTGCATCACATGTCCGAGTACCTCCGGATATTGGCTGCTTGCAAGGACTTGACGCGTCCCATGGCAGCCATCATAGGCACCTTATTACGGCCCGTAGTCATAAGCCGTAGTAGGTCCCGAAGGTCTTCTTGAGACGCCATAGCAGGAGGTTCTTTGGATGTACAAGTGTAAAATACGTATAATCCTCCAGTTTGAAGTTGAAGTTCCAACGATCGCTAGGCTTGTCTGATAAGATAACACGTACTACTGAGCACTGTTTTGCCTTGTCTCCACTATAAGATGGTATGTTTATACTATAACCACTGAAGTGCTTTATACCGTTCAGTCCGGACTTGAAGTAGTTGCTGTTTATTATATTTATCACAAAGTATCATCATCACAATGACCACCAACACCCAGCCCACGACAAGATCACAGGTATATCACGTGCAACATTTATCAGCCTTCTTTCACCACCACGTAAAAGACTTTAACTATTACTAGGACCTGCAAACATATTCCGTGCCACATCGCTATAGAAGCCCATCCCCGTCTCATTATTCCGCTGCAATCCTCGCCAACAGGTCATTCACCCACGGCGGAAGGCGGTACTTGAGAAATCCGGCGTACATTGTTAAATCCTTTGCTTTCCGCTTCAAGTCCTCAATCATGTGGCGCCGAGTGCCGTCATTGCTGTTGTATTGAGAGTTTGCAAGCCGGGACCGCTGTTCCTCACAGCTGCGGCCAGTCCACATGATGAGATTCGGAATGTTTCTCGTGATGGTTTCCGGGAACGCCGCGTACTTGCCCGCAAACTGGCGGATGATATTCGAATCTCCATGTGCCTCAAGGGGGAGTATCTGGAGGCTCGCAATAATCTATATTGTCAGCATTGATCTGTACATTTAAAACTGGGTTAACAACTTACATCCAGAGCGCCTGTCCAATTCTGCGCCTCCACTTTACTCTTCGCTTCATTCATTCTCAGAAGAACACGACACGTTTCTTTGTTGATTGGGGTGATCTTCTCATGGTACATTGGCTTGCCATTGTAGATGGCTGTGATAGTCTGCGCAAGTTTAACAGGATCTTCCACAGATGTTAGACTCAGGCTGCCACGTTGACCTGGGATGCCCTGATCCGGACCAGGTCGGAACGATGGCAGAGACGATTTTTCTTCGCCAATTTCGACAGCCACAGCCTCACTTAGGGCTCTGTTGGTGATGGTAATAACATTGTCGTACTCTCCGGCCAGATCATACAGCAAAACAGCATCTGTAACTCTTCCACTATCATCTGCAATGCTAGCGGCTTGCATGATGACGGTACGCATAAAATCATCAGTGTCGGCCAAGTGAAGAAGCTTCATTCGCTCTTCAATGGCACCCGTAATTCGTTGGCCGTCCAATCGCATATCTCCTAATAATTTGGCAAACTCTCGACTCTCCAAGACAAGGCCGCGAAGGCTTTCATGGCACGCTAATACTTGTTGACTCCCGATGCCGCCTGGTAGATCGCCATTTAGGCAGATCAGTGTGAGGTAATCGACAGCTGCCGTAACATTTGCTGCACGGAAATCTCTCGTATACCACCCGATCATTTGAGCGAAGTTAATTTGCGGCCGGTCAGTGACGCTGGTTGTAAGTAATCGGCCTTCCGATGCGATAGGATCCGAAACGTTAAGCAAGCCATAGTAACCCAGGCCTATTGCGAAATGTAGAGCGGCTGCGTAATCCATCTCGTACAGGGATTGCATGGCGTACTCGAAACGGCCACAGATAATCTGAAGGTAAAAGTAAACTCCAGAGGATGCCTTTTGTTCAACTAGGCCCTTAGCAGCAAGAAGGTCCCCGAGATCCTTCACCGACTTTTGGACATTCGTAAGAGTAAATACATCGCCGGCATGCTCCTCTGCAAGATTGACCTCCCTTGCAACCACGAAGTGCAACCAGGCCCAGTCCATTAGATCCTGATGGAGACCCGCAAATGTCATTTCTGTGAGACCACATCTTCCGATGACCTTGTAGCATGACATGCGGAACGGATCAACCGAATTCTCGGGAGCAATCCGAAATCTCTGGCCGTATTCATTGTTGATGCGGTTGTGCATATCAGGTGGAAGGCGTCTGTCTGCGTTTCCGTTGTACTCGGAGATGTAATGTGGAAAGTAGCGATCGATTGCACGGAAAGCGTTTTTATTCGCATGTACATAATCTGCGGCTTCTTGGACGTGACCAGTGCGTAACAAATAGAAGATAATTGCCCACACTGCCTCGCCATCCAAAGTCTGTAGGCCAGTGCTATCTGGGGCAAGGTCTTTGCGTGATGCTCGTAGTCGGACGTACGCCTTCACTTTGCTCAGGACATTTGGAATGCCGCCAAGATTGGCTTCCCTGGGGTTCTTAGCAAGCAAGACTTCCATTGTTTGAAAGCACTGTTTCTCCAAGTGGCGAGCAGTTCCTCTCAATATCCTCTTCCTTAGGTCAATTGCGGCCACATAATTTGGGGCCTCATCGGTCCAGGCACTGGCAAACTGGCGCTCTTTTACCACATTAGGCCCAGAAAAACTTCGTAGATCCGGATGCTCTCCGACAATCTCGACGACTGCTTTATAGGCATTCAGAACCTGCTCGGTGTGGTCGCCGGGGTTTTGAGCTTCTACTGCTCCAAATTCGTGTAGTAGTGGGTAGGCACTCTTATGCAACCTTGATTCGTTAAGATGGTTGATCTTCTCAGAAAACTTGATTTCTTTCTCTCTCAGCAGACGACCCGACGGCATTGAAGACGAAGTTGTATATGCTGGAGCCTTGCCATCCGAGTCTGTGGCCAGTGACTGTTGTAATGAACCGACAGGACCGACAGTACCAATGACTGATCTTTGCATAGACTGTCTCTGATAAGCACTACCGCTCAAGCTGTCAAAGTTTCGGTTTTCTTCGGAGCGTGTGCTTTTGTTTCGCCGAGAACGCCCAAACCCACCACTGCCATTTGTAGTCGATTCTCCGTTCTTCGTCGCTCGTTCCTCGGCTCTCGATTTGATTCCAAAGTGTTGGTAAATGCGATTCCTTTGCGAGTCCCACTCCATTGACGCATTCTCCTCCAGGAACCTATCAAAATCGCGGGCGGATCTGGAAAGCCCTTCAGCTATCATGCTCAAAGTTGTTTGGGTCTGGAGTTTGGTAATATAACTGTCCACGTCCGTATCAACGTCGCTTGGTTGAGGCGCCCAGTCCTGACGCTTTGCTTGAGAGTCGAATTGGCTTAGATCTCGAACGGCTGAGCCAGGTTCCACACCCGATGCGGCCAGAAGATAATGAGCCCTCCCATCGGCCCCGTTTGTCATAGATGGCGGAGCAAGCCTCTTGATGCGATCTCTCAAATCGCCGAGCCCAAGCTGTAAGCTTGGGAGTTCTTCAAGGCTGTTATCGCCATGTGTTCTCTTGCGACTCTTCTGTAATAGGGTGTCGAAATAAGCCCCGGTTTGTTGGTTTGGGCCTTGGGATTGCCGTCCACTATCGGTTGGCTGCTGGGTATTCAAAGCTCCATTGCTATTTTGCTGCCCGCCAGTATTTAATATCGAGCCAAACAAAGACTGCGTTGGTTGTGGCTGTGACTGGCCCGTGGTTGTAGATCCAAACAGAGATGCTGTAGGTTGTTGCGCTTGCGGGGGGTTGCCAAAGGGGCTTGAGGCATGTTGAGCTGGTTTGGGCGCATTAAGTCCGCTGAAGAAATTGGTTCTCGAAGCAGCAGGCTGGTTCGCTGAACTCGCAGTTTGACCGAATAAAGACATATTCACTGCGGCTACTCTTGAGAGCTGTAGCCCTCAGGACAGATGCGCAGGATGTCTAAGTTCGGGTGAGGGAAGTGCGTTTCGTTTGCTCTAAAGCTTTTCTGGTCGTTAACTTTGTTTATACAGTCGCGCCGCGCAATAAGTCATGCCCCAGGCACCAAATTCCAGCCTGCGAGAGGCAGGGTTCTTCTATTCTCACGCCTATAGATCCACTCCGAGACTTCAAAATGACGGCGGGTTATAAACTACGATATCATCGTGGAGAAGTTTTATTTCTACATTGTATTAAATACAGAGTTGCGCACAATAAATCCAATTGGGGTTTCTGGCGACCAACTGTCATGGCCTGTAGTGTAATTAAGCTTAAGTGTAGCTTATCCGATTAGGCTTCTAATGAATCCACCGGGTTCCGTCCAGAACCTCCTCCCATAACACCTGCTCTTCTCGTAGCTTCCTACGTGCCGCTGACGCATCCCCTCAATCCAGTCAATCCTTTTGGCATCAACCATGAGGCTCTCCGCCCTCTTGGTGCTTTGTACGTCTGCGATTATCGCTCATGGTCAAAGCGATACCGACCATCCATCTTCGACAATTGTGTCCATTCAACCCATCGAAGCCTCTACATCCTCAATCGACCCCCTCGCGCAGATACAATACAACCCGACCACTCTCGAAGCTGTGATTGCCTCATACGATTCTCCCGATGTAGCCCCGGGTGCTGGTCTGGCTCGAGTGGGCATTTATGACAAGGCCTCGAACGCATGGGCGTCCTCGACTTCTATTTTGTCCTTGGACAACTTCACAAAGGGATATGCGCCAGTCATAACGCTTTCTCTTAGTCCGGATGGAGACGTTATTGGAGTTAGCTGCAAGAGCGAAAAGATAGATGCAGGGCATACGAGGGATTTTGGCCCAAAGGTGACGGTTAGGAGGACGGCCGGTGGGAAAAAGCCAAATCTCAACAGGCCGATTGCACTATCGAAGGAGGGCAAGGTTGAGGAAGAAGAACCCGAGAAGACGTTCCTTCAAAAGTAAGTTTATTCGACCAGTTGTCGTAAAGCCACTTCGCTAATATTTTTGCCAGATACTGGATGTTCGGGATGGGTATCCTCCTGGTACTTGTGTTGAGCGGCGGGGGAGATAAATAGGCACATTAGACGCTGGATTGAGAGAGTTTTATAAGCGATATTCAATGAGATCCTGCTCTCAAATAAAATAAAACGAGTTTAAGTAGCTGGCGAGCAACATTTGCTGCTTGTGGTGAAATGCTCGAATTAGTATGCGAGGTTATTGATGTATTTAACAACTAATTAGCCTACTCTTGAGACATCACAATAGCATCTTCAGGGGACAAATAATTATAGAATTTCTGGGGCATGAGCATAACAGCTTCATGGCCCAGCCTTAGGGATGTTGTAAGAACGTATCCTATGCTCACTACTTAACAACTTTATTTACACCTCACCATGCTATCTCACAAGCTCCGAATGGACTCTATTGTCAACAATTTGAGAGCTCGAAGCAGTACCATTGATTCCTTGCCCATTCTGACCGATTCTCTCCAGTGCGGCGTGATACTAGAAACTGTTAGCATGTTGTATCAACCTAACTGGGGATCACGGCTCAACCGTACTCCCGCTCCTCTCGTGGGAAGTTCATACCTTAAAGCCAAAGTTCAACAACAGTGCAACCAGTAAGGCAAAGCTGACAACCAACGGTCCCACAAAATTGTCGAAGTCCTTTCCACTCCGCGCGATGATCATATTGCGTCGGACGAAATGGATGTAGTAACCCCAAAATCCAGCAAAGGCTGCGATAATGATATAGGCAATACCCATGTACTCCGCAAGCTTATTTTCGCCCGCAGCTGAATAGAGGCTTACAGCAAGAGCACCTAGTAATATACAAATGTGCTGCCATTTCAAGAACGTTCGTTCGTTTGCCAGCCACACTTTTGGCTCCACTTGTAATGGGCCTGAATCTTTGATTAGGACTCCGGGTTTGGTGACTCCGGGTGGTAGGGCCGCTTTATGCTGCCTGCGCGATTGTGCATATCTTGAGAGCGAGAAGGAAGGGAATACAGATGATGTGGTACCATATCCACCACTGATAGTCCCAATGTCTTGGTCTCCACTCTCATTATCCTGGGCTCTCCCCTTTCCTTTCCCCTTGCTGGCGGCATCAGCCATGGCCCGAGATTTTGTAGCTGCCTCTAAATCGAGTCTATCCGTCATATATGATTTGCCCAACAGTGATCCTACGGCCGCCTTGTAACTATCTTTTCGGTTGCTGGCCGAGGCCATGTAGCTTCCGACAAGTAGTTCACCTTCAGCCTTTTGCGCCTTCGCCAGCTCTTCTTCTGCAAAGGCGGCATGCGGATCCTTTCGAATATCCGTCTCCACGTCGCTTAGCCAGAAAGGGAGGCTGTTCACATAATCCTCGAACAAGGATGCAACGCCGTGCACAAACTTCGAGAAGCGTGGCGCCTTGTGCACGAGATGCGAAGCCATCAAGTCCTCAACCCATTGGGGGGATTTTTTCCCGGAGTTTTCCTTGACCTTTATTTCGAGGACAGCGTATGGAAATCTAGATATTTCATTTTGGTTGACGTTTGGAAACGGAAATTCCATCTGTGTGTTATCAATATCGGTTCGATGCCAGCTGTCTGGGTTTCGGCACTGTCGATCAGGGTCTAGAGAATCCTCCCGAATGAAAGCTAATTCGGTATCAATTGAAATCCTCACCCGATCATCCAACGGCTTTTGAAACGCTGTACGAGTGTAATTGGCTCTCAATACCGGATGGAGGTTTCGCTCTTTGATAAATTCTTGGATCTCGTTCACGGATCGCTGATAATCGGCTACCTTCTCTTCTGGTTGGCCTTGTCTTTCGAGTTTCTCCACATGCTTCTCCATCTTATATTCGCCAGTGATGAAAGGCTGGACATATTTCTCCTTGATCGGGAAGCGCTTTTCCTCACTGTTCCCGGTATTGTAGATTGTCTTCTGTTCAAGTAACAGCTCTGGCTTGTCGGTCAATTTGCCATACCAACGAACTCGGAGCGAAGAGGCATCAACGGTTCCATCCACCTTTTGTGAATATAAACCGAACTGAGAGTTGTCGAAATATAAAGACGTGATAGTGGGGTCCCCCTGGGAGGCATCGGCCTGGTTTGCGGACTGCTCGCTGTATACAAGCACAGGTAGGCGGCGTAGAATGTATGTTTTGACCTCCAAAAGGTTATCAGGGTGGATCCAAACTTTGGAAATGTGTTAGTATTTCAATTTCAAATGGTTTCGGGAAGCTCACATTTGTATGCCATGTACTTCTCGCGGTTCTGGGGATGCGGTTGTGGTGGCATGTCTGCAGTCGACGCGGTCTTTTTGTCCCCAATATTAGGCAGTCCTTTATCCGCCCTATCCTCGAGGTTTTGCCGCACAATGAAATACATTACCGACAATTTGTTGATCATGGGAGTGTATGCTTGCTCTGAGTTGAAAGGCCTCTTTGATAGGTTGATTTGCAACATTGGGCGGACTTTGTATTTGTTCCCTCTTTTCCGGTCGTGTTTTTTAACGATCTTTAAGAACCCAGTATAGTTCAAAGCGCTGTACTTTTTGAGTTGGTTCGCCTCATTGGTTATGCTATCCAGTTCATCTTTGATCTCCTTGAACTTGGCAATGTCGGCCGTATCGGCACCCTGGGGTGCCAAATCTTTCAGTCGCTCACTAACATTGTTGGCACGCTCCTCGAGCTTTTGGAATGTCGATTCCTGGAAGGCAGCAACCTTTCCGAGCTGCGTATTGAGTATTTCCTCGCAAAAGCGAGACTCGTCATCCTCCGTCCATGGCTTGTTGTCACCTCCAGTGCCATCCTCTCTCAAGAGCCTCTTCAACTTTGCATAGTCAAGGTACTGTTCTTTCCACGGCTCGTGAACAGAGTTCGCCAATATCTGCCCAAACCGCATCTTGATGTGGTGCCTTTGAAAAGAGAGCCTTTCTTGCGGCTCTGATTCCTGTGTGACAGGTTTTATGTGTGGACACGTTCGGTTGTCGTCAATGAGGCTTGTGTCGATCTGCTGTAACCATAGCTATCGCGATAAGAGCTGCGTCTGGACGTACTCGTAGTTTTAGCCGCCACCACGTTGTTCATTGGCCCCGAACGTCACTTGGCAAGCTCCATTCGTGCACGTGTCTGATGTATTGGCTGCGACCTATAAGGACCACAATAAAGTGGATAATTTCTTCTTTTGTTAACTGAGAACTCCAATATTTGCAATATTTGGAGAAGTTTGACAGCTGCATATGCTACAGAGTAATACTCTTTACTGTGCAGGACTGAGACAAATGCTTGGCATGTTTATCCACACATATAACCAGAGCAATAGGTTACTGAAGTATAGATCATGTGAGAACTCTATGTACGTAACATATGGTATGAAGACACTATCCAGATATTTGGTATGCCGCTTGTTGTCAAAGGAGCCAGCCTAAAATTAGGTATACTAGCTCCTCAGGAATAGGTAGGCAAAGAATATATGGTGAGCTAATTTTTTAATGTAATTATTGGCAAAATATATAAAGTCATGTCGACATATTCATCTGACGTCACTACACTCGAAACACACGAGTCCAATAAAAGGCATGGTTCATATAACACAACAATGCCAATGCCACCAATCATACCACAACCGTTAGCCATGCCTCATTGTAGCATATTTGAGATTATATCAAAAAAGGACATACGACCCATGCTCCAAAGCCTATGGTGTCATTTTGTTCATATTCCCTATATTTATCTACGAAAACCCTAGATACCGCCGTCACCTCTATTTTAAACCGGTCTAGGCGCTAACGGACAGTTTCACGATCCCACCCGTCACCGGGAGAAGGGACGAATTTTCCAAAAACATATCACATTCCCGTGCACAACTTCTGCCTTCGTTTATTCCCTAGATATCCCTGTTAGTTGTCAAGCTTCACTGAAAAGCAGTTGGGTGACTTACCCAAACGATTAGCGACTGCCCACGACGACAATCACCGGCAGCAAAAATGCCCTCTACATTCGTGCTGTATTTCCCAGGAGGCGTCTTGACGTTCTTGCGTGTATCCTTCTCTATTTCGTCTCCCAGAACACGATCCTCAGGGCCCAAGAAACCCATCGAGAGAAGCACCAACTCAGCTGGGAAGAATTGCTGCGACCCTTCGATCTTCTTCATGTCCCATCCACCAGTCGCAGACTTGGTCCATTCCACACGGATGGTATTGATTCCCTTGACAGCTCCATTGCCATCATCAACAAAATCCTCGGACATGACGCAGAACTCACGTGGATCCTTGCCCATGTGTTGCTTTACTTCTGTATGGCCATAGTCAACCCGATAGATCCTTGGCCACTGAGGCCATGGGTTGTCACGAGCACGCTCAGGGGGCGGCTGGGGCAGCAGCTCGAAGTTTGTCACGGATTTGGCACCGTGACGGAGTGATGTACCGATGCAGTCATTGCCTGTATCTCCACCGCCAATGACAACTACATTCTTCCCCTTGGCAGAAATGTATGAGCCATCATCAAGGTTAGAATCGAGAAGGGATTTGGTATTTTTGTGCAAGAATTGCATCGCAAAGTGAATACCTTTCAGGTTATAATAATTAGCAAGCGTAACAATAGATAGACAGAATAAAAATTAGTATTGGTTTGTTAGTCTTGAGAGTACAAAAAAAAATCTGGGTCACATGAAAAGAATACTGATGGTGAACGCCCTCTGCTGAACGCCCTCCTCTGCTGATAGCGAATGCCCTGCTCTGCTGATATCGAATGCCCCCTCTGCCAATATCACATACTCTCAACGAATGGGCACTGCCGATTTGGAGTTGTATGCTCTCGAAGAATCGGCGCTGCCGATTTCGATGCCCAGTCCAATGATATCGATGCTCTCGAAAAATAGTCGCAATTGGTGACATATCGATGCTCTCTACCCATCGCATCAAGCGATGGGGAGTCTAAAAGTCACCTTTTTAGGAGTAGCCAGCTACGAGCTCGACTCGGACTCGGACTTAGCCAACTTGGCCGCAGCAGCACGCTTCTGATGCCTCTGGGACTTAAAATGGCGATGCAATTTCTCTTTCGTGCTCGCGTTGTAGTCGCAGGCAATGCAGTAGTGCTTCTTCGCAGCCATATTCGCCTTGGCCCACACGCTTTGCCCCGGGCGCTTGGGAGCCTTTGGAGCGATGCCGTTGATCTTATCGATATGTCGCTTGCTGGTGTTGTGCATGTCGAGAGCGGCCTGTTGTAGGAAGAGACGGCCGCATGTCTCACAGGCGAATCTCCATTCTGCCTTTGCCTTCGCCTTCG